ATATCGGCTAGTACACCCGCCTGTCATGAAGTCCGCGGGAGAGCGGGGTTCGACTCCCCGCCAGGGAGTGTAGAGCCATAAACAATTTTGACATTGGCATCTGATGAGTATCGGATCACCTGCCTTGGTTTTGCACACGTTCTAGACCACACCACACTGTTGAATAGTGACAATAATCGTGATCGCGGATGGCTTCATCCAACCAGATACCTTCAGTGCTCGTTTCACAACCTCACATCTCAGAGCCGTCCAGGGGAAAGCGTCTAAAGCTCAGCATTTTGGGCAGTAAGTAGGAAGTAGATACAATTGTATATGATTACTGAATTAGGTAGGCGCTGACATGCACAGGTAAGAATTAAATCGGTGAAGTATTACAGAAGGAAACAGCGTTGCCGGTACTCAGGCCACATTGCTGGTATCCAGGCCGCGTATAGTATGACCAACTATTCAATGAAACCGTATAGCGCTATTACACAATGAAAACGATTATGTACCATGATACGACTATATGAGATAAAATATGCATCAAGAGTGTTAATAGATCATCCGACTAGTACGTGAGAAGACCGTAAGTCTGGGCCGACTCGCGCGGTACATTAGGCTTCTCCTTGAGCCGCTTGCACCTCTTCTTGTGCTGGCCTTGCTTCCAATCCCTGCGCGATCAGTCAGAGTTATATTTCTGCGGATACCAAGGGCGGGTCTCACTTCATCTGACAAGGTTTCCCGCAGTAGCGCTGTGTGCACGCGTCAATACAAGGCAACGAGCGAAGTTTACGATACGTACCACCTCGCCGCAACCTACGCATACCCTTGGCGGATTCGGTGCCGGCTCGGTATGATATCGACATTCGCGCCACGAGCATGATCGAGCTGCGCGTTTGCCAAACCGCTCATACTCCTCTCTTTCCTTGTTTTCATCCAGACCCACAGTCATTCCGAGTTCATACCATAACCGAGCAAAGTTTTGGCTGTCTTCGTCGTTCGAAATGTGTCCCTTTGGAAGGGTGCGTAGCGCCACAAGTGTCGGATACCATTCTCTACGGACGGAATGCTTGAACGCCTTGAGAAGAGAGTTCCTGCCGCTGCGCATGTAGAGCGTTGTTCCGAGCGCGGTCCACACTCGCAAAGGGTGCACGCAAGACGATAGTCCAGTGTACCCTAAGTATGTTATCAACGTCGGCGAGTGACATCAATACTGGGATCACGCGAAGGCGTACCAAGCGGGACGAGCGGCTGTATCCTGACAGCCAGAACGACCGTCATAGATAGCAACTCAATCACGTCGCACTCCTTCACCAAGTAAGCGGCCCCTTCGGATACACTCAAGATTTCACTGAAAAGACTGAAGAGATGGTCAATCAAGGCGTTATCGAGTGAAACGGTCGCTGATACCTGAAGACCATGAGAGTGTGGTCAAAGACAGTATACGTAGCCATGTCATCCTTCTCTCCCTTCATTATTTGTCGGTCCGCGGCCTGGCGCATGCTCCAGAGAAGACCAGAGGCTCTGATATAGGGCGTGAACTCTTGGCGAAGAATAGTAGCTTTGGTCATTTTGGTTAGCCATACGAGGCGCTTGTTGACATTTTCGGGGTGTTGGAAGCTAAGTGCTAGGCGGTCAAGAAATTCGCGAGCGCCATATACTCCAATAATCTCGTCCTCGACGAAAGACGTGAATTCTTGAGGTTCGTCGCCGGGCAGAGATGTGTCGAGGGGTGATGTAAACATCAGAGGGAAAAGATGCTTATAGGGCGTAAGAAGATGGCTTTCCACGAGCCCCATATAATCGGTAGGGTCATGGCCATGGAACCAATTGAAGAAAACTACGCGATGATAGGGCTGCCATTTGGGTCCATTGAAAGACTGTCCAGAAGTGCCAAGAGTACTACGCGCAGAGTGAGATCATATCCCACGGTGTCCGCATTCAGTTCACTATGTGGCGCACCTCGTAATAGGTTGAAAGGCCAATATCACTCGACAGAGCATGTGCTGATATTGCTCCTTTGACGAGCTGTCCCAGCCCACACTGACAAAGGCGTGGGGCCGGTCAATGATGATGTGCCATAATTGATTTGCGATAGAGATAGCGCGGATACGTAGAGGATGATGAGGATCGGTACTCGATCCTAAACCCAATAGATATCGATGTATGGTTCGGAAGGTGGACTCGAGAATCTCGAAGAACTTCAAATTCCAAGGCTAGGATACATAGTCATGTCAGGCTTATCCGTTTGGGACTTAAACGTATGCTTGCCTGATATATCTGGCTGAGTAAATCATCTTTGCTGAGCACTCGTTCGCAGAAGTCGAGCAAGCCGGCATCTATGAGACTTTTCCAGCGTTCGAGTCCGTGTTGCTCCAGATCAGGACCAACTGCAGAGAAGAAAACGGCGGCATAGTAGGCGAGAGGCGTTAGATTCCCCCAGCATGGTTGTATCGTCAGCGCTTCATGATATCTGAAGAGAGGCTCAAGCGCTGCCTCAGGACTTTCCCCCCAACGCTTTTCAGCGTCGGCCTTGGCAGAGCGCAGGTTTGCACTGCTGGTTGCTTGCGTCGGAGATTCGGTCGGGGATTCCTGGGGCCAATTGCCGGGAAGAACGACAACATCCCTCCTAATCTTCTCGGCAAATGTCTGTCGAAGGTGGAGGGCACACATGCAGATGATAGCGATGTGGGTGTAGAGTAGAGGTGACCGTCAAGAGCAAACGCGCAGGAGTGATCCGAGCGGATCACTATCCCGACGGCATTTGCCGACGTCCTCCGACAGCCTCCGACCGATTGCCGCGTTTGTCTTCGACCTGCGATGGCACGCAGAGCTCAGCGGCGGGCGGCTTTCCGTACACCGAACGCGCAGCGTCTCTATCTTTGCGTGGCGCATATTCGTGGGACTAATGCGAGGTCAGATGATAGGCCTCGACTTTCCGTCGCGGACAAGGCGAGGACCACTTGAGTGGCCGGCATAGGTTTGACGCGCTACAGGCTAAAAGAGCGTACCGATATCTCTCTATCTCCATCTACCCCACCCCCGCCTTCATCTTCCCCGCTTCCCCAGCGAACTGGATATGACCGAAACGCTGATTTCTGCTGTTCGCGCTCGTGTTACCATCGATGTCGACTCGATGAACCCTCTTGTCGCGGCTCGCCATGCAGCGGAGGCGCGCTTCCAGGATATGACCTCTAACCAGGCTATCGCGTATGGAGAGTCCACGCGCTCCGAACAGGCTACTGTGCTCGCAGAGGCTATCAAGACAGCCCGCGCGACGTTGAGCGACGCTGTGGAAGAGGACGCGCTTGTCGATCAGGTCGTCGATGTCTTTGTGAGTCGGGCTCATATACTCATGATAAGACTGCCTAGTACTGATGATTTGGTGCGCTCAGACAGTTCTACTTGCGAAGAACGTGATCCCGCACATCTCAGGGCGCGTTCACGCGCAGACGGCGCCCGAGACCGCTTTCAATACAGAGGCAACCATCGCGCATGCGAAGAAGCTCGTGGCCCTCTTCGAAGAGCACGGCATCCCAAAGTAAGTTCTCGCCTCAGAAGCACGCCCTCCCTCCCTCACCACAATTCATTCAGAGAACGAGTGTGTATCAAGATCCCAGCGACCGGTCCCTCAATCCTAGCCTGTGCATACCTTGAGAAGATCGGCATTCGCACGCTTGCGACTTGCCTATTCTCCGTCTCTCAAGCTCTGGCAGCCCATCAAGCTGGCTGTCTTTACGTTGCACCGTACTTCAACGAGCTTCGCGTACACTTCGAGCCCGACCTGTGGAAGAAGTATGATGATACAGCGCGCGAGCATCCCATGGGCAGCGTCATTCACGAGATCGTTGCTACGTATAAGAGCATCGGCGCGAAGACGCTTGTCATGCCTGCGAGGTGCGCTTTCAGTTGTATTGTGATGCTGTCCATCGCTGACTATGTGCTTCAGTGTCGTGACCGGTGAAGAGGTTGTAGCCCTCGTTTCCCTCCAGCCAAATCACCTCACGCTCTCTGGAGCCGTACTTGATCTACTAGCAGCAATCCAAAACAATGCTCTTCCCGAACCACCAGCGCTTCCTGCCGGTTCGTCCTCGTCCCTTCGCAATGCAGGTTCTCGACTGACACCCCGTAGCATCATCCCTGACTACTACGGACTACCTTGCCTCCGACGCACAAGCCCTCGCGCAAGCAATCGAAAGTGACGCAGAAGTAAACAGGAAGCTTGCCGACGCTTTACTCATCTTTGGCGATATGGAAGAGAAGCTCCGCGCGCTCATCCGCACGCAGCTACACGTTTAGGACCAGTCGCATACATAGATAGACGATCATCCATGAATTGAGATACACCAAAAGTACAAAGAAATATTGATAGGAAAGCATCACGAGAGACTACGCAAGCGGAACAATGATGACGCTCAAACTCAACGCCGGCGCGCTAAACTCAAGATTCTGCGCCACATCAATCGTTGAGCTAACAGGGACAACCGCATCGGGCGTCTCCGGCGTATTACTCGCGTTCGCCGGTCCACTGAGCTGCACGAGCGTCGCCTGGCTAGCTACAGCCTCCGGAAGCTGGAACGTGATGTTCGCCGCGGCGGACTCGTCGGTGTTCGCAACCTTGATGATGTACGCTGAGGGTGAGGACTGCGAGACGACGCTCCAGAAGATCGTGCCGTTGGGGTCGCCGCGGAAGGGCTCAGTGGGAAGGTATGAGTCTCCACGGTTGAGGGAAAAGAGTTGTTGGACGTAGTAGGAGGTGGATTTGTAGACGTTGCCGGCGTCGAAGGAGAGGAGGTTGGGCGTCCATTGGTTTTCGGTTACGTGGCCGAGAAGAGGAGCGTAGCTTGCGGCGAAGACGATGTCCTGAAGGGAAGAGGAGGGTCAGTTGAAGAGTGTCGTGGATTCAGTGCGAAGAAGCGCTCACCGAGTTGCGCTCGAGACCCATCATGTATGCCGCCTCGGAGATACTGCCAGATACAACGGGGTAGACGAAACGGCCCTCTTCCGGCGTACCCTACGTAACAAAGTCCATATGAGCGAGATGCAAGCGGTGAGATAAAGGTGGGAGACGCACGAAGATGTTTGACGCGTTAGTCGAGATAGCGGCGTACTCGCCCTCGAAGTACGTCGTCCCGTTACGCTCAAATCCATCGTACATGAGACTATTCTGCGCGAACCACGCTATAGCAGTCCGAGTAAGCCTCTTGTTCTTCCTCGACGGGGAGCTCAGCTTGTGACAGTACTCACTTGGGGTGTCATAGACGTGAGAGTCATAAGACTGAGGAACCGGGTCCAGGATAGGGTTGAAGATGTAGGTTGTAGCCAAGAACCGAATGTCGGGGTAGTCGGCTTGAAGTTCGGTGACGAAGGCGTTCCAGCGGTAGGTGTACGTGCCGGAGAAGAAGTCCTCGTTTCCGACCTATGTCCATGTCAATTCAAGGTAAAGGGCGGCGATGTAAGGGAGGGGGCACACCTCGACGTAGTGTACTTCGAAAGGCTCGGGGTGGCCGAGCGACGCGCGAAGGGCGCCATTGGGCGTCGAAGTGTTGCCGACGGCGAACTCGATCTGACAGCATGTTAGCCGATCCATCCGACGGGATGCATAGAGGAAACGCACCTGCTGCCGCGCCTGCTCGATGTAAGGACCCAAAGCGTCCTCTGCGACGCTCGTGCCCCCAAGAGAGAACCCGGCCCAGATCGCCATGATGTTCTGCATGCCCATCAATTCAACCCATGTGAGATACTCATAGACGCCCAGTCCCTACAATCGCACAGACATCAGCGCCCATTCTTCGCGCGTGTGAGCCGGTGGACTTACATCCGTGTTGATGTACGACCAGTCTCCCTCACGACCCGGGCGATCCACAAGTGGCCCAAGCGTCGCGTTCCACTGCCACCTTGTCGAGACGGTTTGTCCTTCCAGATTGTTACCTCCCGGCCAGCGGAAAAAGCTCGGGCCGAGATCTTTGAGAGCCTGCGCGATGTCCTGCCGCATGCCGTTCTCCTGTCCACCCCATGTCGGAGGGAAGAGGCTGAACATGCCCAGGTGGATCTTACCGGTGAAGTCGGAGAATGTCAGGGTGAAGTTATTGTTGGTGTCGGGAGCCGAGGTGGACGGGGTGAGCGTAAGGTTGACTTGTGTCCATTCTGTCGTAGCATCGAGAGATACGCTCGATGAGCCAAAGACGGTGCCACTTGAAGATTGTAGGCCAACGGATGCGTTGACCGCCGAGGAGGGCGCGGCGGGGAACCGGTAGAAGAACGAGGCGTTGTAGCTCCATGACGCGTTCACGGGGATACCCCAGTATCCCATGTTCCCTACACCGTCGCCGGCGGCTGAAGTCGTGACTTCCAGTGCATTGGGAAGGGCGGAGGATACGGCATCCGAGACGACAGAGAGGGACGCGGAGCCGACTGGGGCCCAAGCGTAGAGTGCGGTGGTGTTGCCGGGCGTGACTTGTTGGAAGGCACGATTTTGAAGGACTAGTGACGAGAAAAGAGGTTGCACCTCAGTAAGAGGAGCAAAATGAGGGAGGCATAAGAACGACGTACGTTCGCCGTAGAGACCGCCGTCGCCGCTGTGCGAGATGTCCTCGTACATCAATCCCCCTACGTCGATGTTAGCCCGGTCCGATGTCTGATCATGCGAGAAGCTTACAGAGGGTCGGTGAGATGTCATGACTTGCAGTCCCGTTGACGACCACTGTCGTCTGCGCCAATGACTGCTGTAGCAGCGAGGCGGCGAGAAACACAAACCCAAGTCGAGGAACCATGGCGTCTCGTCCGGACGCTCGCCTCTACTCTCTCCACATATAAAAGTGACGCAGAAGTGCCAGCGTCACCGACATCGCGGAGTCTCATGACTTCGTCAACCTGGTGACGGACACAGGAAATATGTTTAGGCCGCTTGCTGAGGAGAGCACAAGGACAGCAAACATATGATGGAGAAGCCAGGATCTGAACATCCGCGTACGGTCTGACGTCTGCAGCAAAGGCACAGAAGGCATCATGAGAGAGCTATGCTGTATTCGCAATAAGAACGGCGTTTTTTGCAATGAGAAGCTGGAACCCATGATACTCGAGGATTTCTGACGAGTAGGACAGGGCGGACCGGCGAGTCCGTTCCATCATGAGCTCGGATGCCGAGCAGACACATGTGTTTGGAGTGTACGGGATCCGTCATATACGAGGGTTCCGGATATGCCGGGCCAAATTGCGAGCGAAGGGGAGTGCTCAACGACGTAGGATCATGGGCGTCAGAAGGAGAGCGCTGCGCGACGCGAATCGCGCGCCATCGTGACCGGCGCGCGCAGGCGTTCCCCGGACCGAACGCGTCGGGCGCTCGCCCACCTTATCTCGATCCACTACGACCACTCTGGCGGTCTCGTCGTCGGTGGAATACCAAGTAATCTAGGCTTGAAAACAGTCCAGTGGGACATATCATTGGAATCTGGGCCTCGGATAACCTGCAGGACAGGACCACATCATGTCGCTGTTGAGCGATCCAGAGTACGTACGTTCAGTTCATATATCTACTGCGCTGGCTGCACTAGACTCGTTGTCCATGATGTACAAGTCATATCCGACGACCTTTACAGGCCATCTGGACCCTAATGCTGTCTCGAGTCATTGGTGCCACAGCTAACTTCAACTCTACAGTTTCCTGATCCACAGCCTGCGCCTCAACTACCTGCGCAACGTCGACGACCCATACGGCCAGCGCCTGATCTCCTTCTCGCCCTTCTACGCCTCGAACCCCTACGTCGCCGCCGCCCACCTCTCGGACACGGACCGCTGGCCCGAACTCCATGCCTCTTCTTCCCCGTCCATATCCGACGATGAGGCCGACCCCGCCGCAAGTAACAACAACCACCGACGCAGATCGGGATTTCCCGGTGCGACTGGCTTGAAATATAGCGCAACAATCATGCCGGGGACGAGACAGAGTGGGCTGGGGATGAGTGTTAGAGGGAGGAGGCCGGATCTCACTGGGAAACGGCTGTCGAGGATATCAAAGAGAGGCTCGACTGGCTCTACGCCGAATAGTCCAACTGTCATCCCCGCGAGCGAGAATACGCCAGAACCTACGGGCGTCAATATCACGTCTGCATCGCCGCTTGATACAGCTCAGAAGGAGCCCGAAGTGGTCGTCGCACCTCCGCCTCCAGCACCGGCACCAGTGGTGCCTGGATTCGTGCCCAAGTTCAAAGGCGCGGCTGAGATGGACGCGCGAAGGAGGCTGAGGTTGCAGGCGAGGCAAGGCGCCGTGGCTGCCGCCGCTGCTCCGAGAGTCACTCCGGACCCGAATCGCAGTCTCGTCGATTTCGATTCGTCGTCGTCCGAAGAGGAATCGACGGCAGACTTTGAGGAGGATGGGTTTGACGATGTTGGTGTGGATGGAGACTCGGATATGGAAGGCGACGACGGTGATGAGGAGTTCGATCCGTGCGTAGACTCTCACCTTGACCTTTCTATCTCAACTATGGCCTCTAATATATTGTCATATAGGGAGTTCGTAAATATGCTGGGCGTAACAGACGACTCAGTCGACGGCCTCTCCTCCGTCTCAATGTCCAACTCCGGCCTCAACTCAATCTCAATGTCAAACCCCTCCCACCTCGCCGCCCCAGCGTCCGTCCGCGGCCGCTCAAAACTCAGCCCCGTGCGCGAGAAACACGGACACGACTTCTCGCTCGTCGAGAACTCCCTCGGCGCAGGTGGATCCGGAGAGCCGATGTTCGAGATGGTCACGCCTCCTCCGAAACAACCTTCCAACGAGCCCGCTGCGAGGCCGACGAAGAGGAGACCGTCGCAGCCGCCTGCACCCGACGATCTCTTTGCGAGGCAGAAAGTTGTCGTTGCTCCTGTGAAGAAATCGGCATTAAGCATGCGCTTATCCGAAGGCACCGACCTCAACCCCTTCAGCGAACTTTACAGCGCCATATCTGGCCGCGGCGCATCAGCGTCGACCAACGTCACTGTCTTCTTCCCGCAATCGAAGACGCCGATGAAGGCTATGAACCTCGTGGTGAGGAAGGACGCGACGGTTGAGGAGGTGTTGGGCTTCGCGCTGTGGACGTACTGGGAGGAGAAGTGGGAGCCGAGGTTGGACGAGGGTGATGATACGCCTGAGGAGAAGCTTAGCGCTGTGGGCTGGGTGCTGAGGATTGCGGAGGAGGATGGAGAGGTTGACGAGGACTTCCCGCGTAAGAATCTCGTACAGGTTCTATTACCGGAAGAGCTGATATCGGATTCCAGCGCCGGACAGGATGGGCAAGATCTCCAAGTTTAACTTCGACGCCTACGCCGTCCTCGCCGCCTCAGCAACCCAGATGCAACAGAACAAGATCTTCGAAGCCAAGATCCAGCGTTCGCCCTCACGCGTGGTCAAAGCCAAACGCCCCGAGCCGACCCCTCTACTCGGTGTGCCCGGCGCATCCAGCAATGCCGGCATGTCCAGCAGCGGTGCACCTTCGACGAGTGCGATGGTACCCAGCACGTTCCCGAGTCATCCGGGAAGTGTGTTCGGCTCGTTCAACCCGTCGTCGAGTTTCGGTCCGCAGATATTCTTGCGGATAAGGGTGCAGGATACGTTGGATGCTGTACATGTGTACTCGACTATACACGTGTACGTCTTCCTTCACTCTTTTGTCACCCATCCCATTGCTCACGTATTCGGACTGAACCAGGACATCAACAATGTATCTCCAGGAAGCCCTCGACATCGTCTGTCACCGACGCAAGCTCCTTCCCGCCAAAGACTACACTTTCGTCGTATCCGACATGTCCGTCATGGTCGCTCTGGACCGTACAGTCGCATCTCTACAAGGCAAAACCGATCTCCTACTCGTGAAGAAAGAGATGGTACCGAACCTCGGCGTGAACGTCGCGAAACCGGCTGGATCGTCCGCGGATCCGAACTGTACGTGTCACGTGCGTCGCATGATGGCAGTGCGCTGATGAGGGCGATTGTGCAGCGAGTATCTTCGGGGGCAAGGCGAACGCTCAGCCCGAACCGGAGGTCACCTCTGTACCCGATTTCGCGGCAGACTATAAGCGGTACACTGTATACCGCAAGATGCCGATGCTCGTGGGCCGCCACGAGCGTATACTCGCCATCGACGGTCTATACGTCCATGTACGTGCTCTTTCTTCCTTCTCTCTTCCTTCTCTCTTCCGAACCTCAAGCTTACATATCCGCATAGTTCATGCCCTCGAACAAGGCCAAAGCCGTCTTCGAATCCGGCAAGACCTCTTCGCATCACATCAAATCCGTCGTTGCGGCACAGCAGTCGCATAAGGACAGCTCGACATTCAGGATCGTCGTACACCGGCTGAGGGAGAACGGAGGGAATAAGAGGTACGATTTCGAGGCGAGCAGTGCTGCTGATGCTGGTGAGTGCGATATAATGCGCATAGTGGAGAAAGAGAGCTGATGGCGAGTTTGTAGCGGAGATCGTGCAGACTATCAAGAGTATGAAGAATAGTATTGATAGGCAGAGCACGATCAAGGCGCGTAGGAGTAAGCACATGGGCTGAACGGTCCCACACCGACACGTCCAGTCAGTCTCGATCTTGTTCTGAAGTGGTGCTACGTGCTCATACGGTCATCCACGGCGCTCACATCTCCGAATCGAGAGGCTGCCAGCCCTCAGGATGTGCATACCCGCACCTCGTCTTCTTTTAGCTTGAACACGCTATGTGTACGCTTAGGATACCTTATCGTTGTTTTTCTTGTTTCGTAAAGGCGTGTGAACCAGCGGGTGGATCGCTATACGCGACGTGGCGCAGTGAACGTGTCGCTCTCGGCTAAGACACGAGGCTCTCTGAATATTATCGCTTGCCGTCCTGATTTCCAAGTGTGCGTCGAGAATCAACCAACGGAACAACTTGCGGAAGATGCCGGCAACAATTGATGCGCCAAAGTTCGACGCGTTCCACGTTGATCATGCTGAACGCGAGCGCGTTGAGAAATGAACTTGGCCATCAACCGCGACCACCACTGCTGAAGCTTGGAGAATGGCCAAACGCAAAGCACTCTCGAGAGATGACTCTGACTTTGAGGCATCTGCCTCTGACTTCAGTGACTACACGCCCAACTCTCGGAAGTCTAAATCTAAGGACTCGTCAAACACAAGTCGTAAACGGGTGAAGCGGACCAACCTTGACCAGGAGCTGGTGGTTGAGTTGGAGGAAGCCTTTGATTTACCTGCACATGGAGCTTCGAGACACGCTATCGGCACACGCGCAAGTCCCATGCAGGGTGCACTGCTAGCTTGGTTCGAAGGAGTACACGACGCTAGAGGAATGCCTTGGCGTAAACCATTCGATGCTTCGGCAGATGCCAATGCACGCTCCCAACGCGCATATGAGGTGTGTCATATTGCATCGTATGTCTACTTGTCAATACTGACCCTTTGGCCTAGGTCTGGGTATCAGAGATTATGCTACAGCAGACTCAGGTCACTACTGTCATCCCTTACTACAAGAAATGGATGGAGCGGTGCGTGAGATCTCGGTCATACAGGGGCCTACAGCTCAACCTCTCATAGCTTTCCTACTGTCCGGGACTTGGTACGACTCCAGTACTCGTATTCTGCCCGTTACCTGTCTCACTCTTGCTTATAAGGCAGATGCGGACATAGAAACTGTGAATGCGCTATGGAAGGGACTCGGCTACTATTCGCGTGCAGCTCGTCTTCTCGCCGGTGCGCAGAAGGTGGTCCGTGAGCTCGACGGTCGCTTACCCACCAATGCTGCGGACATGCAGGCGAAGATGCCTGGAATAGGTCGGTACACGGCTGGGGCCATCTGCAGTATCGCTTACGGAGAGCAAGTGCCTGTGGTGCGTCACTTGCTTTCTTCATCACACAACATACTGACCTTATTGATAGCTCGATGGCAACGTTACCCGACTCATGAGTCGTATACTCGCTTTGCATGCACCCCCCAAGTCAAAAACTACGCTGGATACTCTATGGCAAGGAGCATCGGATCTTGTTAATGGATGCCAGCAAGCCGGTATGCTCAATCAGGCTCTTATCGAGCTTGGTGCGACTGTCTGCAAGCCACGCGATGCCTCCTGTGGCGACTGTCCTATCAAACAGTGGTGTACCGCCCAGAGCATTGCTCACGTACGGTGGCCATTGGATAAAGTTTCAGATGCAGAAACTGAAACAATGACCCAGGAAGAGCAGGATTCTGTATCTATGCCAGATATCGAGGAGACTTGTACACTCTGTGTACCAATACCGCAGTCTGGCGCCGCCATGAGACCTCAAGTGACGGCGTACCCGATGGCCGTCGTGCGCAAGAAGCAGCGAGAAGAAACGGATGCTGTCTTCGTGATCGAGTGGCGTTCAACAGACGAGGCGGCTGAGAGGATGTTTCTGATGGTACGACGCCCTGACTCAGGTGAACGCTTTCCTTGCCACTAGCCCAGACACTATATTAACATTTTCCCAGGCTTACTCGCCGGACTACACGAGTTCCCCACGGTGGAGAAGACGTCTGCAGAGAGCGACGACAACGTACACCTACGCAGTGTGCTTATGCGCTACCTTGAGAACGGCTCACGTATATCGGACTCATCGAAGCACCATTCCGACCAACCACACGTTGCCAGAGTTCAACCCGTCGGCGATGTCGTCCATGTGTTCTCGCACATTCGCAAGACGTACCGCGTGAGCTGGACGGTGTTGACGGGTGCTGGCGGGCCGCCTGCTTTGAAAGTTTCGACCGGAGTGCAGCCGGCCCAGAAGAAGAGCACACGGACGAAGAAGATGACGCCGACGTCGGAGAACGACAGTAGTGGAGCCGTTTCGCCGTCCCACTCGGCATGGGTAAGGCTCTCGGACGTCGAACATGCAAAGTGCGTTTCATTGCTCCCTTGTGACTTGGGCCCAACTCACGCGCTCGCAGTGTTGGGACTGGGGTCATGAAAATATGGAAGATGGTGGGCGCAGTCAAAGACTTTGCAGTATTGTAGTCGGTCAGGCGGTCCGCCGTTCATGCGTGCTTCTTCCGAGGGAGGGTACGATCCGTCTTCTCTCTTAACTATCATCATCAACGGCTCCGGCCGACGCTAGATTTCCGCAGTCCCACAGAAGTTTACAGTCATGTCAGAGGTTTAGGTTTCCAGCTTCTGAATACAGCTGGTGCTTCCGACAAGCAACCGCAACAACGTGCACTGTCGGCACAAGACGTGTCCGAGCGTTCGTTGTAGGGTGCTAGACTGTGCTGAACACTTTCGTCATTCAATTTACAGACGGCCGCGGTAATCAGGTGCCTGCCATCACTGTGCCGATGTCCGGTAGTTGGTATGTGTACGTGCCGTCCGCACCCCGTTTCCCTCTAGCGACCGTAGCCATTCCCGCGAGGCCATCCCGGCCCGCCACTGCGCTTTCGACCACTCGAGGCCACGATTCTCCGACGTCCGCTCGCTGGTCATCATGTCCTTGAGCGTGTATATAAGTCACATGGACGGCTGTTGCTCTCCAGCCTCTTCAGGTCTTCCTTTCCTTTCATCCAACTGTTTCTACAGTGCACCATGCAGACTCGCGCACTTCTCGCCTTCGTCCTTGCTGCTGTTTCCGCTGGGGTTGTGGCAGTCCCTGCGGAGAAGGCCAAGCGGGCGTCCTGCTCGGTTAGCAGCGTTGATGATGCCTCCGACCTATCGGATTGCTCTTCCGTCACCATCAACGCGTTTACTGTGGCGAGTGGAGACACCCTGACCATCTCTGCCGCTTCTGGTGCTACAATCACTCTTGCTGGTGATGTTACCTTTGCGAAGAGCAGCGCAGAAGGCCCCTTGATCACCATTGACACCGATGTGAGCATGTTCTTGAGAGTTGTGGCGTCGCCTTATTTACTCCGGCATCAGGATGTTACTTTCAACGGCGCGGGGCACGTCATCGACGGAAACGGTGCTGGTAAGTGCCATTGCGTAAGCGGCACCAATGCACGAGACTGACCGCTAGTGAAGAGTACTGGGATGGCGAGGGCACGAACGGTGGTGTCGACAAGCCGCACCCGTTCGTCAAGTTTAAGGGCTACGGCACATTCTCCGACTTCACCGTCAAGAACTCGCCCGCTCAGGCCATCTCGGTCGGCACAACGGGTGGCTCTGCCGTCTTTGACAGCGTTACCGTGGACAACTCGGCTGGCGATGACGGTGATCTTGGCCACAACACCGATGGCTTTGATGTTTCCGCGGATGACGTGACCATTCAAGTACGTCTGCGGTGTGGCATTCCTTCATGGGCTTTGCTGATATAAGTTGTACAGAACTCCAAGGTTATGAACCAGGATGACTGCGTGGCCATCAACAAGGGCACGAACCTCGTCTTTAAGGACAATACATGCTCGGGCGGACACGGTATCTCTATCGGCTCTATCTCTGACGACAAGGTCGTTTCTGGTGTCACGATCTCGGGTAACACCGTCACCGACTCGATGTACGGTATGCGCATCAAGGTGCGTGCACCCCTTTTACCGCGGTCGTTGGACGAAGAGTAGCTAACCTGTACACCCGCAGGTCAAGACTGACGCGACGGGCTCCGTTTCCGACGTGACGTACTCGGGCAACACCATCTCCGCCAACGACAAGTATGGCTTCCTCATCTCTCAAAGCTATTCGGACGACTTTGGTACTCCTGGAACTGATAGCACCGTCTCGTAAGTCATCATCTCAAGGCTTACATATCCCAGCTCACCAGTATTCCTCAGCGGCATCAACTTTACCGGTGACAAGACCACAGTCACCACCACCGGCGACTATCCTGTTGTTGGCGTTGACTGTGGCCACTGCACGGGCACTTGGGACTGGTCGTCGCTCGTGGCTTCTGGTGGCGAAGCTTCCAACCTCGTTCTGGATGATGCTACGGTGCGTCATCTTCTCACAAGGCGTATGCGCTACTCTAATAGCATCTTAGATCTCGGGTGGCACGTACTAAACTCTCAAAAACATGGCCTCAAGGGTCTTCTCATCAGCTTCTCTCTCCGTTACATAGGCGCGTTCCGGGGATCTATTCTTTACCCCAAGTATACCAATCACATGTGCCATCTTCGCTGTCATTCCTTTCCGACCTCGCCCTCCGAGAGCCCATTGCATCATCGTTTCATCTCTCTTTCCTTGGTTTTATGCTGTAAAGTTAAAGTTAAGTAGTCACTTCGGAATCGACAGAAGTTGTACGAATGAACAAAGTTTATCTCCTTGTCACTCTCTCATGCCACCGGCGGCTTCCTCGGTCATTGAGCTGGCTACACCACGTTCGCCCGTAGAAGGCGGCACGCACCCGGAGCACTACAGGTCGCACATTTGTCTTCACTGCACCATGTGCCACTACACCTGACCCGGCGCTGATATTCTTAGCTTTGGCAGCCTTGACGCTTACTCCAGACCAAGAGTAGGCTTCATGCGCAAAGTTTACGACGCGCTGGCGATAATGCGCGTGGGTGCCATGAGAAGGGTACGCCCACAGATGCACACAGCTGCCACGGTCATTTACCACGTCTACACAAGCTCCAAAGCTTATTCTGCGTCGTGCGGTTCCAGATTCACGCTTCAGCCACGTTGGGATTATGCTGCCTGGGTCGAGACCGGGAAAAGTTGCGGATTGTAGAAATGCGAATATATAACTGTGAATCCAAGTCTACACTGTGCGTACGCGCAGTGCGCGCCCTTTGGTGCCTCCATCTGGCCCTGAACCATTACACACAATCTTCCCACCCATCATGCAGAAGTACACACGCCTGGTTCCACAGACGCTCCGCGTCCACTTGGGCGTTTAGTAGTTCTTCTTCTTCTCGTCGACCGAGAGGCCACCTGGGCCCATGTTCACGAGGAGGATGAGACCGCCAACGATCGACAATGTCTGGAAGAAATCGTATCTGTAATAGGAGTCAGTACTTTGCGTTCTCGCGCATGGGAAAATACACACTTGAGGAAATCACGCGCGGGGTGCGAGTGTGCGACCGACCACCAGTTGTTAACGACGATGTTGAAGATCGAGAGGATAACAACGAGTGCGCCACTGGCCCACTTGGCCTTGAAACCGACAGCAACCATCGCGCAAGCGCCGAAGCCGAAGACGCTCATGATCGCGCGTCCAATACTCCATGTCCCTTGGAAGATAAAGCCGAGGAAGAGGAAGATGAGGAGGATGCGACCGGTAAGCAAGAAGTACTTGCGGCGGTCGTTCTCGCTGAGCGTGGGCAAACCGGCGAAGCGTGTGTTGCGCGAGATCATGCTCTCCGAGAACACCATGAAGAGACCTCCGACAACTGAGAGGTTGCGCAAGAAGAAGTTGAGGTCGAAGATGAGACCGTATCCAAAGCCCTGGGCGATTACAACACCGACGAGACCGGCAACCGCGAATTCAGTGTGGCGTTTTGTGACGATCGCGCCGGACGACGTGACCATGACCTGTACGGCAAGAGCATGGTTGGTTTTGACGCGTCGAATGGAAGCTGAACATGCTTACGATGATGTTGAGCAACAAGAAGGTATGTGAGATACCCCAAGGAAACTTCCTATGCCTAAGAATACAATAAGAATCCGCCCAATGGGAAGTGCGCTATGAGTGACCTACTTTTGAAGATACCACAATTGGTCGCCCCACTGGGTCATGATGCGGAGTGCATCCTCGAGGAAAGTAACGATGATCATGAAGCGACCGATAGCCGGAAGATGGGGCTTGAGCGGTTGCGAGTAGATTTCGACATTATCCTCGACAGTCTTTCCGAGAGCGCGAATCTTCTCGAGCGGGTCGTCTGGGTTCGCGGCGCGGTAGCCCGAGGATGGACGTGAGTTGCCAAAGCCGTGCGGGTCGGGCTGATAGCCGCCCTGGGGACCGTAGCCCTGAGACATGCCGCCCTGTGGGCGTCCGAGGGAGATGCGGGAGGTCATCGCGGCTGGCGGTGGCGGCGGGGTCGTAGATGGAGGTAGGAGCAGAAACAGTTGGATGCGTGTCTCTACGTGGCGATTCCAAGTGACGACGCGTGCGAACTTGGATCACTGCCATTTCAACTATGCCATCTGTGGAAATCATCCTGCCATCTTTTGAATCGAACAGCCCCTTCAGCACGGCAGTGATGAACAGATCTTCAGACTGAGCCATGATCTGCGCAAGCTGTACGGCCACCCCGACGGCGGCGCGTTGCCCGAGGAACGCGAACGTGTAGCTACGAGTCACGTGTGTGGCCCGTAACGCGGAGGTTCGGCCCAGTCGTTTCTTGCTTCCGCCACCATGAGTGCCTCGGACACCAAATGGGAGGCTTTGCGCCCATGGACCCCTCGCCTATCCCTATCCGTTCGCGAGGTCACTTCCGTTTCAGCAACATTTCTATTATCGTCTCTGTCGCCAAACACGAATTTATCTCTAATTCTCGACGCTCAAGACGACCAAGATGAATCCGGTGGCTCCTCGTCGCACATTTTGTCCGACTCGGCCACGAAAGGCTTGTCTGTCAAAGCCAATGGCCAAGCTTGGCCTCGTGTACTTGCCCGGCTTGATGATGACAAAGACGAAGCTGTCGTGATTGTCTACGGGCTTATGCCGGGCATTCAGTACGACATCGAGTTTGCCATCGTTCCCGGAGACCTGCGCATGAAGAGTCATATACAAACTGAGAATTCGAAGCGTGAGTATCATGAATATCTTGTCGGTCGCATCGGCTGCGACTTATCAATTTATATGTCTGACGCTCATTTCCGCCGTGCAGCTGCCTCTGGCTCGGACTCGACTGCGCAGAACCTCGGGCACGACCTGCCAGAGATCATTCTATCTACACCTTCGCCGACCAGTGGCACTTCGGCCTCGGCGAACGTGTACGAAGCGTCTCCCAGTCCACCTTCATCCTCGCCACCCTCTACCCCTGGTTCACACACACCGACGGCACACACCCACGTCCCCTCGTTCGATGACTATCTCGCCGGACTGCACTCAACACTCGCGCACTTGCAAAGCGAACACGATGCGCTTACGAGCGATCTCAAGTCTGCGCGGAGAGATACGCAGAAGCATCATGCCACACTGAAGAGCGATCTGAGTGCACTCAAGAAGGCGAGCCAGAAGCATGCGCCCACAGATGCACGGATGCGCCAGAAGATTCGCGCTCTAGAAGAAGCCACTAAGCAGGCGCAGCGAGGTCGGGTGGACGTCGACGAAGAGCGCGCGGCACTAGAGCGAGAACATGAGGATAGCGAGAGGGGGCGGCAGAAGGTGCAGGAATTGTGGGAACAGGCGAGAGAACAAGCAGATGAGGCGAAGGCGATGCGTGAGAAAGCAGAGGAGGAGACTGGTCGAAAGTTGGTCGCTGCAAGAGGAGAACTTGCGCAAATAGAGGCGAAGTTGGAGAAGCTAAGGGTTCGCAGAGATAAGCTCGAGGGCTCGTCGACATCTTTAGAAGCAAGAGAGAACACCAGCGAAGACGGGCAATTGCAGGAGAAACGCACGGGCACTGTTCCCGAGCTCAAAGCTCGCCTGCTCGAGCTGCAGTCTGAGCGCGAACGTATTGAAGAGGATCCGTACTCTTACATCCCGCCGTCAGCTTCGACTACTTCCAGTTCCTCCGCACCGCTTTCCTCCGCCCATGATTCGTTTGGCCGCTCTCACCCGTCTGGCTTTATCGGGCATCATCCTCACGCGCATCCGAATATGAACATCGCACCTCATTTGAACCACACGCTTCCCAACCAGCATGTCCATGGCATCCCACATCGCGGCAAGCCGCACCATAGAGGGTTCGCGCCGCGTGGCGCCTTCTTCGCCTCGCCTCCCCGAGGAACTGCCCACGTCAATGCTGGCGGTCCCGCTACGCGCGGACGGGCCGGGGCACGGCCCGCAGCTATGCGGAGGAAGAGCTCACCAGGCGAGAAGTCAACGTCAGGAGCGAGCATGCTTTCCAGTTTGGCACCACCGTTTGAGCCCGCGAGTGTCCGCGGACGGCCGGGCGCTGGTGCATGGGGCAACTCGTGACACTTTTCATAAACTCTAGTCTTGTCTATGCCTCTCGTAACTGTACCGTCTACAGGATCACGTTCTCTGCACGGTTGCTGTCCCCTGCTCTCACGCACGCTGCTTTCGCTGTTTCTCTTGCTTAGATTGACATCCTGTAAACATACGCATATTACCTTGTAGCCTTACTGTACATATCCTTCAACGTCGATACTCTGCACCCAGACCCATTGAAGCGAACCACCCTCTTTTGGGCGCAATGGCTGGCGGTCTATCAGGGTGAGCACACTCATACGCTACGGAATCTTGCAACGCTGACTTTTCACGCCAGAAGATTCGCTACGGGTGTCTGTCCGCAAGCTGTTCTGATTTGCAATAACGATTTCTGTTCTCCTGTCGCGAACCTCTCCGATGCTCCGGTGGACCTCCTGCTAGCGCAAGCCATACGAACCAAGACCGACATGGACCTATCCTCATTCCCGGTGCATACGGAGACCCGTACGCCGCTCACTTTAGTTCCATGCGTCTGTGGTGTCCGCAGCGTCCCAAGTACACCCCTGCATCCCCAGGCACTCTTCTCGATCACTTGGCCGACTGTGTTGTATTACGCAAGTCGCGAGCATATGTGACTGATCCAAGCCAGTGCATCGACATCTGGAATTGCAGCTTCGACGTACAAAGGACGTCTCAGTGGGGCATGTACGCCCGAAGTTTGCGAGACTTCTGCCGAGGGGACTTCTATGAAGCAGCTAAAGCTGAGTTCATTGGCAGACTTCGCCGCCTTGACCCCCTGAGCCTTACCCAATCTTCAGCATCGTATCTCTATGATTGCCACCGAACCCTACTTTCTCCGTCTGTTATGCGCAGGAGGATCGATCGGCTCGTCTTCGCATCTTCGCACATGCCTTACAAAGGTCAAGCGTGCCCTATACCGCCTATAGCGATGACGCGCGCATACATATTACCCTGCCTGTGCTCACGACTCCAAATGAGTCTACATCACGTATACCCTTCTTCGGGGCGGAGGCACTCCAGGTTCGCCTCCGCCAACCCATGCAGCTGATGCTAGCTGCGACGAATCAATCATGCCCACGGCATTTGCCGAAGGTCCCCTTGGTCGTTTCCACTATTTCGCAGCTTCACCGCGCCTGGAATCTACTATGACTGTGCACCATGTTGAGCCGAGGTCATGTCGCGCTCGGGAAGCTTTAACAGTCAAGAAGGTGTGTCCCGTGCCACATAACTTGCATTTAGTCTCATCGCCAGCCTGATTTCAGGGACACTGGATGCTTCTGCCGCTACCAGAAGTCAATACTGAATTCCTGTACAGTGTGAGCCGCCACCTAGGTCGCTGTTTCTCTACGGTAAGCGTCCATGCTACTCAGACTGCTGCGATCCTTTCTCAAAGCTGTCTTGAAGGCGGCGCTTTCTCGGGTTTCGCTCACCTCGGTCCTACTTCGCTAAGAGAAAAACAAACCCACTCAGGCTGTCGAATACAGAACATACTCCAAAGGCGGGTATCTTCAGTAATGTCTAGGGCTAGTGCGAGAGCAATCAGCCTATACTCGACAGTCGCATGTATACGCGCCCGAGTCCCGGTGCGAATGCGACGATATTCATTTTTGTGTCATCAATGAGTCCACAGGCTATACCTCGGGCAGCGTCCCCGGCTTACATGCTAACTCATTCTAGACCATTCAGTTCTATGCCCTGCAAGCGAATTGAAACGTGAACACATGAGCCAGCAACCTTTCCCTGAGCGATCCACTTCGCGCCGCACCAAAACGATCATAGTGCCACCGCTGAGGGCGATTCTCGGATTCTCCATCTAGGAAAGCGATACCTTTCATGGCATAAGCGCGTCTCCGCCATTCTTGGACTGATCTGCACCTCGACCTGCTGACGTAGGCAGTCTTGTTCTATACACACCGGACATACAGTACCCCGGCAATGCTCGCCACTCTGAAGCTCACCCGCGTCCGTACGATGCGCCGTTTCTAGCATGAGCAAAGGCATCTAGATATGAGATTAGGTATGGACTGTTCCAATGCAGTCAGCCGTGACCGCACGTTGAGGGAGCTGATCTTGTCATAGCGGACAGATTCGCGAGGCTGTCGCGAGCGCCCAGAACGGTCCGCGACACGGAAAGGGGGCATTGCAGCATCCACATCCATACGTGGTTTATCGGTCTCCGAACGTAGCTTCACTCAATCGCGCGTGGTAGCACTCTAACCCGCTTCTGGATAGGCAGTGCGCCGAAGCAGATGGTGCGCAACCCTTGTAAGTCTGGATCATCGCCACTTCGTGTTCATCGGATCTGTCAACAGCTTATTCAAAGTCCGATACTGATGTGTTTGACAGGTGACGAGCATATAGAGACATTGAACGGCAGGTGGATGCGCGTTAGCTCCGGTCCGTCTCAACACTGACGCTCAGAACAAGGTTATGTGTGGCGTAGCGCTTCCGCCGGCAGTTGCAGGTCCTTATGTCACCCCTTCAACGTTGCAACGATCGTCGTCGACGATTGCTCGAAGAGGTTGGACAGCACCTACCGCAAGGCGACATACCATTTTTCATTCCGGGACCCTGAATGTCGGAAACGTGTTCAATGATTACTGGATGGGTACACCCTGGCGCTCTCGGAGGTCCACTAGCCTCTGTGTCGCAATTCGTCTGTATCCACGATATCGCTCGCGCGCTAGTTTATTCGTATGTAAGCGCACACAAAACCTTAACATACGCTTCCGATTTCACATTCGAAGGGATGCGATACTGATCCCTTGTTCGGCCATCATGCCCTAGATCTGAACTGGTCGGAAGCCGGACGCGAAAAGCTTGATACATGTTTGGGATAGTATGATCCTGCAGATTACCAAAAAGGACAGCTTAGGCAAGTGTCTTCCGGTCTCTTTCCGATTGTAGGAATGTAACATCTATGACTCTATTAGGCTCCTGTCGCTGTCCTCCAGCTTTCACACAGGAGTCGAGATCTTCTGCTTGTTGACGGTCCACCTTGTGGTCCACCCGACGAGCGCGGGTACGTTGTCGTTTACCGCTCCGATCCGTGAAAACGATATAGCCGCATTCAACAGCCCAGAACTTTTGTCCGTACGACTGAAACTCTTGACCATACAGGCATCGTTGGTCAGCGAGCCTCGCACCAATGAAATGCTCATTTCACTGTTACCCTGGGATATCCACGACACCAGCTCATCAGGATGCCTGCTCCGACGAACCGGTAGGCTACGCCCAGCCCCACACCCAATTCTGCGCGCGGCGACACCGTTCGCGTCAAGGTTGCACCTCGTCGGCGCCTCGCTCGACGTTCATATCTGCACAATTGTCTTGTCGTTCTCAGAGGTGGCTTAGCACCCGAGCAGGCGTTTCGACACGGAATGCGGCGTGCTGTCCAACGCTAACAATTTTCCAGAAGAGCCTTTAAGGGCCACCTATGCGGCTCTCTAGCGGAGCTGACAGGCTCCTCGTACAACCATACAGCTAGTGTCCGCAAGTGCTGCACGTCGCATATTATCCAATGGTCATCTTCTTATGCCACTATCAAGATCATGGTCTAATCTTCGCGATCGCATCGATCCGTCGGCGACGTGGCCCTTATTGCAAAGTTAGGGTTGCGGCGCTTGTAAATTGAAGGTACAGGGCCAGACGGATTAGTGCAGGATCGTGCTTCTGACGCCAGCGCGGACGCAAATTCTAATCCGGATACGGCGTTGACTGCGACTTTGCATATCACGGTTTGGACACCTCCCACGATCATCCGATTCACTCCAACGGCCGCAAGCATCGCTCAGCCATACGCCTCAGGCCTTGGGCCTCCTCACGCCCGATGAATGCACGATAAGCACCTCGCAATGGGGCCGTGTTCGTCCTTGAAATGTTTCGTGCCTCATTGATCCAGTCGTCCTTGCTTCCCGTTCACATCGTATCCAAAGCAACAATAAGCGACAGTACGGTATTCAGCGGCTCAGGTTGTCAGCCCGAATCGGCGGCGGCGGCCGGCACGCGGGTGTGCGGGCCAGCTGGACCAAGCATATGCAGAGCTATGCAAAGCCATCTTCTGTACTCATGTGTGTATAGGCGATGTCGCCTTTCTGCACTTCCGCAGAGATCCGCAAGCTTCTCCTCATCCCTTAATTGATGATCTAGATCTCTCAGCGGTCCAGGCATCCGACAACGTTGCCATCGCCGCCGTCGGGTCACGTATCCACCAAGGATGTGCCTTTGCGGGTAACGCACATCGTTGCTCCTTCTGCGCTGTCTCGAAGCCGCTCGCGAGTGGTGCGGCCAGCTAAGTCGCTCTGATTCGTGCCCTCGGACGCAGCAACGACCGGCTGGCATCTTCCAATCCCCTAGGTATTCTCTTGCCGAATGCATCTATTACCTTGACAGCAGAGTACGATAGCGGCGACCTTTCGGTGCCGCTTGGGGCGCCGATATCCTCGGCCTTTCGGCGAAATAGTATTGGCAGAAGCGTCAGTGAGCGGGGCTTCGTGCGGTACGTGCTTCAAAGCGTGATCGTTGCTCTACTCATAATCGGCCATCGGGCGCAGCGCACGCATGGCACTGCTGTCGCCCGCGAGTCGTTCTACGCCAGTTTCAAACACCTGCTATTGCTACATACTGTGCTATTGTGCATAGCTACTTCTGCTGGATGTGCTGCTGCCCTTGGTGATCTTTGTCGGCCGCGCAACTGCAAGGACACCGGGTTGATTTGAATGGCCGGCTTTGACACTCCGATCCCTATGGCAGTTGCAAATAGTCGACTGCATTACCATCTCATTGGCCATTCGCTGGACTGGGACCATCACTTTCCTTGCTGCGCAGAAAAGTATGACGATGCGCGCCGCGATGACAGGTGGAAACAGGTGGAGATCATTGGTAAAGACCGGGACGCTGGGTAGTCCGCATTTGGATCCTGTGGGACGTTGCACGACTTGTCATGAGCACGATTCGGATGTTCCGCGACGAGTTCTATATACAAACAAAGGCTTCATGTACGACGACAGTTTGACTTTGACTTGCGTCTGCGCTCACGTCATATGGATACGGGTTGCGACCTGCTGAGGTTCATACCTCCTCACCCACATACACTCGAACAGTCTTGCGGAGTTCTGACTGGTGGGTAAGTTTGTAGTGAACTTCCGAGGCTCTTTGACGCTCCTATCCTCGCTCGGGCAAGGCGGCTGCAATCTGTCAGGCTCGGCTTCTGGCCCTGTGTTCTAACGAGGTTTCGGGACGCATGTCCGCCTCTTAGAGCGCTCGATCCGTGGATGCGCTCGCCCTGCGATGACTGCCAGAACGGCGTCTGAAAGCATTGAAGGGGATGTGCTCCGATGTCGTACGAGACTGAATGGATTTTGAGCGCCGTCGCCGGTTCTGTGAAGTACACACGGCGTTCTCATGTTCTCAAGCTCAGGCTCAATGAACACTCCAGCTGACAGTGACGCACCTCCGTCTTGAGACTCTTGAGAGTATACAGAGCTCTCAACCGGTTCTCGAGGACTAGTGCCCGGTAAGTTGGAGGTCTCATCATCCACTCGGAGATACAGATCTTGTATGGTCCATGTTCCAATCGTCATCGAGATCTTGGAGCTCAGCCGGCGGATGCTGCGGTCCAGATATCCAGTTATTGAAGCCCTGCTTGCTGACCGTCAGTTTACGTGTGACCGGTATCACCATCAGGTCGTGGCAGCAACGTCGGTGGGCCCTTGCGCTACGGCCTCTGGAAAACGGTGGAAACTGTCAGGGATCAATCGTGGATATTGTGTTATGTTGTACAAAGTGTGAGGTAGGGTATCCGGTCATTACTATCGTCACAATCATCGGGGAGGGGGTGTCCTTGCCGTTCACCGAGAGCATCACCCAATATGACGACACGTACAAAACACAGCGAACGAGTAGCGAAGCGACATGTGTAGTAACAAAAACTTAAACACTCGTGAGACCAAGGAAATCCTATCGGTTGTCATACGACGTCATGCGAGGAATAGAGAAATAGGGAGGTAAGGCCAAGTCCAAGTTGCGAGGTACGCTAGGGCGCCCAGCGGCCCGGCCTGCGCAGAGGCTTATCACGCGGAGCGTCTGTGCGGGTATGGAGGCGGCGAACTCGCCATGGCAAGGGGTGACTGTGCGTAGTGTGAAGCGCCGCCAGCTGGGCTCGTGCCGCGACTGTGCGAGACGGATAACTGTTTGAGGTAGTGAATGTCCGTCGGATCCCGTGGAGGCGGGGCAATCGACTCGAGGTACTCGAGGGGCACGAGGCCAGGTGCGGCTGGTAGTACTTGGCCGTGAGAGACGCTCTGACTAGGATGAGGGTAGGCTGGGTAGGGCGGAGGCTGAGCACTGTAATGGCGTGGTGCGCCATCTGCTGTCCGAGGATGCCCCGGGTAAGGCTGGGACAGGTGGACGATGGGGTGGTGGGGTGGCTGATGCGGCGGTGGCGAATGGTCGAAGGGTGCAGGCGTACGACGTCGTGTATTTGGGGCTTCCCGCTCAGATTGTGCTGTAGAAGGGAAAATGGTGTACAAAGCGCCTGAGCCTGACGTTTGGGCGAAAGACTGCTCGGAGGAGGGCCCGATGATCTGGCCCATGCTGCGTTTGATGTCCTCCTTCTTGCCTTTCACAGCACGGGCACTGCGAAACAGGTTTTCGGGCACGTTGAGACCGCCGACGTTGGGAAGTTCGTCTACTTTACCCAGACTGTCGATCGTGCGTTGATTGAAGTAAGCGGCTATGTCATTTTCAGCACACATGCGTGGAAATGAACGCGGAAAACACGTACTCAGATGCCATTTCCGCGTAATTTCGTGAGGATGATCCTCAGGCAAGGAGACGTACACGCTGAACGTTTGCTTGATTAGCTTGTCGCTTTCGTGCATAGGGCGTGTGGTCTTCTTTCTGCTAGGCATGTCGCCGGTGAGAAATGGGTAAGGAAACGTGGAGAACAAGGGCTTACCCGTTCGCGGATGAAGTGCGCTCGTTGCCTTGTGGGTCGCGCTGATAGTAGAAAAGGAATTCCTACAAGCAACCCAAACGTCAGTAGCAACGAGTACAAGCGGCGTTCCCGCGCTTACCTCGCGAATCCGGGACGGGCCCCAAGACATGCCGTCCGTCCTAGAGATGAATCATGAGCACAAACGCGGGGAACGAAGAATGCAGAAGCCAATCACCATCGCTCCATACTCAGGCCGCCAGAGTCAGACGTAGTAGCGCTGCGATCTTCCCAGACATAGACATGTCCGGGCTCGATGGCCTTGCGCTCATCGGCATCGAGGCGACGGGTTAGAAGCGTCAAGATGCCGCGAGCGACGCCGTAAAAAACGAGCATGGCATCTTGGGCGGTGCGGATGCGAACACCCTCGAGAGTGGGTTGTTGTTTGTAGCGGGGAGGCATGGTAATCGAGGAAAAATACGTGTCCCGGACAAACGAGGGGGAAAGGAGGAGTGCACGGAGACTGACCCGGGTGGTGTATATGTATCGGGCTCAACAGCCGCAGCGTCTCTGGCCCAGGGACACGAGATAAAAGGTTCCGGCCACAAGCTCTAAATTGACTTCGCGCCCTGCGACCCTATATGGATTCATTAAGCGACCGGGAACAACAAGGGGATAAGGGCGCTTTCCTGGAAGGTTTACCATCAAAGCGACCGGATTTGCAGAGCGGGCCGGATATGGAAGTAACAGTTCTAGTGCACATCGAAGCGGAGTCCCAATTCACTTGGTGGCCACAGTCCCGGGAGATGTGCAGGCATCTGTCCGATGTGAGCAAGCGTAAGCCCGTTTGTCGTCTATCCTGCCCACGCGGAAGCGGGGAACTCGGGCCACCTGAGGTATCCTGCGAGACCGAGTCCGTGCACGATCGAACGCCGACCATAATCGTGATCGTGCGCGTGGTGAGACTCGCGATCCGACGACTGCGAGCCGCGTCAATCTGCTACCGCGGTGGAAGGGGCGGTGGAAGGGACGTTCCCTGCTGTGTTCCTGTGTGAGCGCTCTTGACAACCAGCTGCCCCACGGCCGACGCCGACATCAGCCATATACACGTGCCCATCAGTCCTTCCGCAGCGCGGCCACGATGCCCATCATAAAGTAAGGTCCCCCCAAAGGCGTCTTTGAAAGCGCAAATCTGAGATCCTTTGCCTCCGAGGCCCCGAAGCGCTTCCATCCGCACAAAGTTTAATCTGTACCCGGAGACAGGCCGAGACCGGCGCATAACGCCTCGCCAGCTGCCCGCACCTGTACAAGACACACCGTACAGAATGCGCCCGTGGCCGACGCGCGCACAACTCGATCGTATACAATGGGTCAAGCTCGCACACTGAAGCTTAGACGCGCGAGCCTCGGCCGTAACATTTAGCGCGCAGTTGCCATCGGCGCCCCGATGCTTTTTCCATACACGGCCGGCCTTGTGATAATGACGTCCCCGATCCCACGTACCAGCGTGGCCGCGGAAGCATAATCCGCAACCGCGTCTGTTACGGACAAGTTGATTGGGTGGCGCGGTAGTCCGCGATTATGAAAGGGCGGTCGCCGGCGGTAGGTGAATAGAAGAAAAGCGGTGATTGAGTAGGAGGGGTGGTAAAGATTCAAATGCTCAGGAGGAGCAAAGCTATTCGACGATATGATCTACGAGTCGTCATCGTTAGGTACCGTCCCAAAGCCATGACAGCCGGAGGAAAATAACGCGCCTTGTAAAGGTAGTACCACCGGTCGATCATCAGGAATCTCGGCGTAGTGCATGCGATCGTCGAATAGATAACGCACACGCAACGTTTTCGCACAAGAAGGCGCAGGGTCATAGAAACCTGGCAAGCCCGACTGGGAATGGTGGTCAAAGGTCGGCTGGAGAAGAGGCAATCAGAGTGTAAAACGCACCTTGCGGCGGTGGACGGGGATGTACAATTGACTCTTATGGACCAGTGATTGCAATGGAACCGTTACGTCTATCATCAGAGCCCTGGCGTCGGCTGTCGAGTCCGTGGGACCGTAATAGCCCTCCAAGACAACCAGACCTGTTATGCAATCAGCATGTCAGAAAAGGAAGAACGCGACGTCGCAGCGCATCATACCGCCGATGGCCTTCTCAGCTTGCATGTGTTTGCGCGCGGTATCTTTGAGTAAAGCAATCGTATTCTCAACTTCGCGATGAGTATTCGACTGCTCTTCCTCAAAGGCCTGCTTGGCTGCACGGAAAAACCTGGGATCAAAAGGGTCAATAGAAGCGCTGCAGGGTTTGAAAGGGCAACATACTCTTTGCGTCGCCGCCGCTGCCGAGGCCGAACGAAGAAGTGGTAGAAGAGGACCGATGCAGTGGCTGGGACCGCGGTCGCAAGCGCGACAACGGAAGGGTCATACTCGTCCGTTAGGTTCAACGGGACCACTAGTCGTTGCCCAAGACAGCATACTCTATAGGTACCACGGGTCAGTCACCGATGGCGGAACCGAGCAATATGCGACCTACTCCAGGCCAAGCTCGACGCCACCGCGACTGAAAGTTACCGACGACGTCAGGCCGTTGTATTTGTCGCCCCATGCACCTGTCAATACGCCCGCGAGGCCACCCAGTCCAAGCTGCAGATCCGCTTTGACTTCGGTAGAGAGCTTGGCGTATACAATGCCCCAACCGGCCCTGAACCCTGACTGAATGCCAGCAAGACTGAAGCCCAAACGCCGCCGGAACACGACGAAGGCGGCGCCTACATCAGCACCTTCTCCCGGCTCTACTATGTTTGGAAGATAGTCGGAGAGTTTCCAGAGAGAAGGGGTGATGAACTCGAGCGCTACTGAAGGCTTCTCCCCGGTCGAGATCACGACCACGCCGGTCGTCGGGGATGTTTGGAATATTTGGCGCGCATAAGTAAGCGTTATCCCAGGCAATGAGAAATTAGGCGGAGTGTAGATGGTAGTTTGGGCGTTGATGCTGCCGATTTCGGAATCGTTGTAGTCGGCCTTTAGCGTGAGGAGTGGTGGGTTCAACAAATGGAGTAATGAAATGGTGCCCTGGTAAGCGAGCGTCAGACTTAGCACAGATCTAATGGCGAGCGCTCATACCGAGAATGCGAACTGAGGTGATAGCTGGTACCTTGCTGTCCCAAAGGACATCAAGGTGCCGCGCGAGTTGATCGTGGCGGACCCGTTCAATCGTAGCTTCTCTGAGACATCATGCTGTCGGAACTGTCAGACATTGCAGCAAAGGTAAGAGGAGTCAACGTACCTGTACTGTATGTCGAAGAGAGAATGACTTCATATGGACGCCGTCAATTCGCTCTCTGAGGTCTCCGATCCAGCTGCGCCTGGACGGGCCCTTCGTAAGACTCTGTGCATTCAATACTAGTCGCAGAGTCCCGCGTGGTCGAATCTCGTTCTCCATTTCATCCCTCCGCCGATCCCTCTCCGCCATGGACAAGGCCCTCCGAAGCTTGAAGGGTATTAGACTCGTAAATACACGAAGTGATGTCGGGATGTATGTACCTCTTCGTCCGACTTCGAGCGCCAGTCCTTCGGCCAGTCCTTACGCAGGCCGTCATAGCCTGACATATCCGATAGGTCATCATATGAAGGGTGATGCAGAAGTAGTGATACGCGCCATAGACGTCGTAGACCGCGCTACACGGGGGTCAGAAGGCGTTTGAGATTGAAGCTCAGAGCTTCAGCGTACCGTGTAAAGTGATTTGAAAGCACTGTGCGAGCTTAGTAACGGAATGGAAATCCCTTGAGCGCTGTTCCGCACCTTCATACGCCTTTTGTATTTCTAGGAAGCGCCGCGCAGCAGTTTCCCTCGTCTTGTCATCGCGTTGCTTGTCCGGGTGGAAGACGAGTGAGAGAGACCTGTAACGCTCCCGGATTTCATTGTCGGAAGCGGTGCGCGGGAGGTTGAGAACAGCGCTGGCCAGCCGCAGCGTCAGGATCGCAGGACATATACACAACCGTGGGCACAGCGCACTAGAGAAAGTCTGGGTCACTCGAGAGGGTCGTGGACAGCTCTTCCGGCTCGGGCACACTCATAAACAAGACGTATATGGAATAAAAGAACGACTAGTTGATATCCAGATTGACGGAGGACGAAGTAGGAGTCCAAGTTGCCCGACCCGAAAGTCGAACGCGTCGCGCGAGACCTCGACGCGTTTCACGCGTCACACCGGGCCGTGGTAACCGTGTGCACTTCTTGTCTCCGCCCGCCACGACCGTGATATTAGCTACAGCTGCCTTTGGGCATTTTCCGTCTCTGTGTGAGCATCGTGTTCGATGCCGCGTTTGAACTTTGCGACCGACGAGGCATCTCTGCTAAAGGCCTATAAACTCTCGACTTTGGCCCCGACGTGCGTGTTTCGGTTCCGTACGTGGTAGTGACGTGACCAACGTGGTACTACAAGAGAATGGGAGGAAGTAGAGCACGAAGAAATAATCGCTACCGATCTCGCTAGTCCGACAGGCAGCAGCTTTGACGGAGAGCGAGACTTGAGCGATCCCCTAGGACTGGGGGCACACATGGAGTGCGTGTTAGCTCATGTCCGCCTTCCAAAGTCTTATGTTTCACCAGCTTGAAGAATATGGATATGGAGTCTCGTACGACCTCCGCCGCTTGATCTCACCAACCCCTCCTGACCCCGCCTTAGGAGCCCAGGTGCTCATAGCCTCCAAATCCTTTGATCCTAAAGCTTTCCTTGCGACCGTTCATCCCAATGCGTCGTATCAGGATCTGAACGCAGGCATAGCGCATCTGCGCTCGTCGGTTGAATCTCGTTCGGAGGCTATTCGCGTGCTGGTTGAAGAGAACTTCGACCGGTTTGTGGCCGTGAAAGCTTCGACTGACGGTGAGCCGATCGGGACCATAATCGGCACAAGCAATCACTAAGCAATCGTAGCTCTTTATGCGGAGATGCGCGACGGATTGCTATCCGATGAGAGCGACTATGCGTCTAGGCCCTTGCGAGATCAACTCAAGCGTATGTGCACCTCTTCATGTCTGTGGAGCCGCCGTGAACATTCATCGCAGAGGCTGCGACCAAGGCCAATCAGGTCTACCTTCCAGTACTCGAGAATGCGACCAAAGCTCAGAGGTTGCGGACCACTCTCGGCGTGTTCGATCGTTCGAAGTTCTTCTTCAACTTACCGGCTCAATTGCTTGAGTACATGCAGGCGGTGGGTGCACTCGAACCTTGCCTCCATCCGCCTCACGAACAAGGCATAGGGGCGTTATGACGCTGCGATGCGTGATTACAAGAAAGGAAAGTTCCTCTTAGAGTCCCGCCCGGGACAACTGTTACCCCTTCCAGCTGGGAAAGACACCGCACTCGCGGAGAAGCAGCAGAAGCGCATCCTTGACAAGGTTTGGGGCACCGTGGAGAAAACGATGGGCGAGCTACGTGCATCGCTTCTCAATCAGCTAAAGAACCCGGCGCGTGCGGTCGAGGAGCAGGAGAAGACGCTCGAGTGAGTCGTTCTCATCTTATCGGGGCTCCGCTGAGATGGTAATCCTTTTACAGGATCCTTCTCGAGCTGAATCTGCAGGATGACCCGGTCTGGACATATCTTGACGCCCAACACAAATATATCCTCGAGCAGCTGCGCAAGGTCTTCTTAACTTCAATCACGGCTATACAGAGTAAGCTCCCTAACCTCCGCAGTATGGTCGGACTCACATTCAATGATGCGTAGAGAAACAAGCGAAGCTGAATGAAGATGCGGACTCATTGCCCAGCATACCGGTACAACTGCAGGCTTGCATGACTGCTCTTAAAACCACGCAAGCCGAGAATGTCATCGGTACGTCCAAAAGCCGCTCTTGTCCCGCCCGTCCCTTGCTTGCCTTTCCCAGATTGAATACTCATCCACAATTGAAGCGAAAGGTCGCGGTCACGAAGTATGGCAGGCGATCGTCGATATGGTCAAATCGCTATCCGAGTCGATGATGTCCACGCTCCCGAACTTCTGGCGGATAGCAAAGGCGCACATGGACGGCAAATACCGACGTGCTGGCGCGTCATCGTCGCGGCGGAGCCCGACCCAGGTGCGCACGATGGCACTTGACATCGTGCGCCTGCACATTTCCCTAGTGTCCGAGTTCTTCGTCTTCACGGACATGGCCGTCCGTAGTCCGGGCTTCTCGGACAATACACCTGCGAACATGCCTGACGCCAGCAACTCTCTCACAACGGCGCACTTCCTCGTACGCGCGCTTGGGGAGCTACTTGAGAGTGTGAATGAGGTCAATGCGCTCGAAATCTCGAGCGAAGTCAGCGCCAGCCTGAAGGCCTTCGTAGAGAGCGCACGTTGGCGCTTTGAGGACGTCCTCACGATGGCGTGGTTGCGCGGTTCGCATAATTTCTTCAACTCCGCCTTACTCTGCTGAACGGTTCATCCAGATGCCAAGCTCTTCCACCATCTCGAGTCCTGGGTCGCGTCCTCGACTGAAGACTACACGACTGCATACCTCGGGGATATCATGGTCTTTCAGAAGCAGCAGACTACCACCGCGTTCAAGCTCGCGGGCGGTGTGGATATCTCCGCTTCTGCGTCCAAACTTGGTAAACAGTACCCCGTGGCGAGCGAGTTCGTTACGAAGATCAACAAAGCTTTTCTGGACTCGCTGTATTCCATGCTGGACGGATTGGAGCACCTGGCCGCGGATCCTGCACCTGAGCTCGAGCAGGCGGCTCCGGTCGCGGGAATTGCATCAGCCGGAGACGCGGTCCCACAGACCGCGAGTGCAAGCGCCAATTTGCTTGAGATGCTTGACATCACCGATAGCGTACGCCGTTCGCTTCAGTTGTCTTTTCGAAGGAATCTTCATCTTACGATACCGTCAGGCAAACCGGACACTCATCGTCATCTCGAACGTCGGCTACCTGAAGCGTGTCCAGATACCCCTGATGTTCGCTCAACTTGAAGCTGCATTCAACATCAACCTCGATCACGACCGCCAGACACTCGTCGCGCATGTCACCGAGCTCGACACGAAGCTGTTCAACGGTTTCGTTGCACCTAAGGCCGCCCTCGTGTGTGATCGCCTACGCCGCGGTATACTCGATCCTGCCATGGACTGGTACAAGACGCCACCTCCGCGCGACGTGCGGCCGTACATGTACGAGACGCTTATGCTTCTCGTTGGTGTACACGCCCAAGTGACGGGCGTTGCACCCCCTCTTCTTGAGCGCACCTTCCACGCCATCATCGAGGAGCTCTTCGCGGCAGCGCTCCGATGCTTCCAACAGATCCCAAGGCTGAGTATGGGTGGCATGCTCTGCGTACGTCTTGGCCCTTTTTTATCGCTTCCTGACTGATTTCTGTGTTTAGGCGACACTTGAGGTGGAGTTCATGAATCAGATCTTAACGCAATACGTAACGCCGGCGGCGAGTGAGACACTCAAAGGTCTGTATACGGAGATCAGCAAGAGCTACCGCAAGCCAGCCCCCGGAGAGGAGAAAGATCTTCAGGAACAGCTTACAGTACGTATATGGAACATCTTCTGTAAGCGATTGGCTGATGACTGCGTTACAGGCTGTTCGGCGCACTCTTGTTGAGAAGAAGCGCGCAACTGGCTTGGAGTTTCTCTGCTTCCGCGCCAATAAGACGGAGAAAGACCGTGAGCGCGAACGTGAAGCCCGTAGGGAGCGTGAGCGACAGCAGAGCGAGACCGGTAGCGCTACTGGGGATAGGTCGCGTACACCTGCAAGAGATCGGGAAAGACCTGATAGGAGCGCCGCGGCGACGCCAACCAGGGAACGGCGCCGGCCCGCACCTTGACACTGTCCGGATGATTATAGTATGTAGTATTATTGGATGGATTGGATCGGAAGACTAGATGCGGTGGATATATCCGAGCGTCCGTGAGGTCACTACTGTCCGTGTCCCGCATATGAACTACTCGTCTGCCTCCTAATCTCGTCATGAAGGTCGTGGGTATCATAATCCGATGGCTAAAGTAATAGATCGACAAGAATCGTGATGATGCCGAGGCAAATCTCGACCACGATGAGCCAGATGACAATCTTTTCTAGGAGCTCAGAGTGCCGACTGCCGACGCTCTCCTTGAGCAGCGACAACATATCCTGCAGAACCTCCACCCGTGTGTCGAGTAGCTGGATACGTTGTGGGATCTCGAGGTAGCTCCTCGCAGCGTCGTATAGAGGTTGCAAGTCTGGATATGTCTAGAGGGCAACCTATGAGACGAGGGACGAAGGACTTGAACGAGACGAACGTACCCAAAATACCTCTGGGGAATCGAGCACTGAGCCAACGGCCGCGATATTGCCCCGCAGAAGAAAAACCTCGCCCATTTTCATCATGATCTCTGCAGGCAGCGTGAGTGGACGATGCCGGGCTTTCAAAACAGGCGAATCCCGACCTTTATGTGAGAGGTTAATCTTGCCCGTCTCGCTAATGATCTCTGGATAGTCTTTTGTCTCTTCAATTGTGGTTGAGATGTGTTCTTCGAACTGTCAGATAGCTCGTCAGCATCTGCGGAGCCCATTCACACGATGGATGCAGACCAGAGATATCTTGACGGATTGTGCCAATGCATGAGATAGCGAGAGTTTGGTCCTACATATGCCAATGTCAGCGACTGGCGGACAGGATGTGGATGGTGCACATACATGTAACTTGAACCTTTTCGTAGAGTGATGACGTCGTTATATATCCTGCGATGAATGCTCGGTCAGAGCAGCTCTGCCAAAGCATCATGACAAGACCCACCGACTATAGTTCGCGTAGTAGAAGTTCAGATCCTCCATCTCGACATCCGAGGGTCCTGTCTGTTGTCAGCCATATTCACATCGCACAGGCGCCCATCATACCTAATTTGTCAACCTCAAAGCGCTTCCTGAACGAGATTGCGTCAGTGCCACAGCTACTAGACAGACGAATAGCACTCACAAAGACGACAAGAATCTCTTCTCCTGCGCTTCCGACATGCCCCAAATGACAACCGTCCCATATTTGAACAAGAATATCTCCGCAAGCCCGTCTTCGCTCTGCGTATCGAACTTGCTCCTCTTCTTTCCCGCGTTTCCCGCGACTAACTCCGGTACACCCAGCAAATCGGCTTCTTCGCCCTCGCCGTGGCAATTCCGCTCATGACTCTCCGACGTATGCGCCCATTTGACCTTCGATGTTCGTGGATTCTCGGGTTCGGAGACCGGCTCGTAACGGTAAGGCGTGTAGATGACCTCGTCGATGATGCGTGGGTCGGTTCCGTAGGCACTCTGACGAGCTTTGAAGAACTTCATCAAGTCGTCAAAACGGTATTCACTGTTCACGTCGACGCCGTTAGAAGCCGAAAGTAATGGAGCGAAGAGATGAACAGACCTGGCCGTGCAATACGCGGTCACTCGCGGTAGACTCTTCGCTTTCTTCTTCGTAAGCCGGAGTGCATCTCTGCGGGCTGTCCCAGCCGGAATGCGCGCTATTTGAGCATACGACTGGTCTAAACTTCAGCTTCGTCGCGTCTATTCAAGCACAATGCAATACGTACTTTGACGTCCTCAGCGTCGGCATCTTCCGTCTCCTCCTCCTCGTCTGTGGATGCGCTGCCCTCTGTACTGGCAGCGCCTTTGTCCTTGGCGGGCGCTAATAGTTCGCGCTTGGCCGTAGGTACAGGTGCGGGTTCTGGGTGCTCGGGCAAGACCTTGAGTTTGCCCGCAACTTTTGTTGAGCGATTTGCGCCCCGGGCTTTCGTGTCGTCATTCGAACTCGAAGGTTGCCTGAGCGGCAGTTTCGGAGATGGCGCCGACATACAGTAGAATGAGTCGCTGGAGGAGTGTAGCGAGGTGGACGCGAAGAGCAACGAATGGACAGACATGTTGTCATTGATGCGCTCTCGAACGCGATGGACCGGGCCGTAAAGCCGGAAACCCCTTTCTGCCGCGAGGCGCCACAACTGGCGGTGTACCTTTGACTGCCGCGGTCGCACAAGTGCCCCTTCTAATCACCCAGGACTAGCAACGTGAGGTAAAGTATGGTCCAGACGGGAAGCACGCTGCGCCTGCATTATGATAGAGAACATTGTAATCTACTAGTTACGAAGTAAGTACATGGTGATACCACTAGGCTCCGACATCGTATGATCTGCTCATCATGGCCAAAACCCGCGGCAAACATAGCTCTTGTTGACCCTGCAAACTCATGAGGAGAAGCAGTATGTATAAAGCCAATGCAAAGTCGAAATCTGAAACGCTGTAGGGCGATGTGCGCCGGCCGGGTTGATTATGCTAGTGTAAGCCTGTAAGGGCGGTGGCGGCAAGCCCCCGCGCAAGGGCAGCCGGGAAGGCTTGTTTTCCGTCTCCTTTCTCGATCCCACGCACCAGAACTGTGCGGCTATGGGCCCCATGTCAGGTAAATTCACCACCTTCCGAAACTGTGGTGAATCCGGAATGGCAGCCCGCGGGGAAGTGCGACAGTGACGCGAACCAGAGCTAAAGTGTACCAGCGCTGTATACGGAGTTTGCGCACACTACTCGCACACTCTCTCGGGCACATTGTAGTTCCATCGGGTGGATACTGATTCTTACGCCTATGCCGTATTGATAACGGTGAAGGAAGATCGTCGTGGAGCGCATTGAGACTGGTAAGAGTGTAAGCCAAGGATTCAGATATCAGTGCACTAAACGTTTCACCCGCTGAATGACTATCAGCGATCCGGCGCCATACTGTGTTGCCTGCCGGGTCGGCGCATTCGAAGCAACGAGATGGTATACTTATCTTCCTTCAATGACATGAAGCAGTCTCAGCAACTTTGTCGTCGGCCGGGCGGATGATTGTTAGCTAGGGTCCTTCTGGATCGGGCGAAGGTTCGCAGCTGGCAATGACCAATTGATATCTTCGCAGTCTAGGCTCTCTCTATTTAGTCTAAGGATAGAGAGTTCGCGATCGCTCCCCCCCTTATAGAACAGCAGAGGTAAACGGTATCGAAGCGCGTGGAAGGCGCTGTGAACGGAGCGTGACCGGCCGCCTCCACGGGTGCCTGGTTGACCGGTTGAGGGCGGCTCCGTCTTGTACGGTTCGTCACATCCTAGGACGGACACAAGGACATTCGTTCTCCCTTTGCATATGTGAACCAACAAGAACCCAATGACGGCTACAAGGCATGTCTCAAATGACACCTAGTTTAGATCAGGCCCTCCAAGTACGGCCGAGCTTGAGCTTGAGCATTCATGGACAGGTCCCGAAGAGCGAGTGGTGTTACAGTCGCAATCAAGCATGGGAGTCGTGTTCCATGAGTCGCTCGTAGATTGGATAGACCCGATTTGACCGTGGCAGAGATAGCTAGAAGGCGCGCGCAACCCTCCAGCTGTAGCGAAGTCTCTCTGGACGTAAATTCCACCCCTTGTGTGAGTCCGGTCCTAGCGATTGTCATAGCATAGCATTGCATGGGTGCGATTCGAGAAGACAGTGAGCGCCGAAAGCAAGCTACCGTCCGCGAACCTCCGACAAGCGCCGCGGAACCGAACACATTTCACACGCCACTCGGTACGCCGGCTTGAACCTTGACTGCCATGATCACTCATAGTGGCTACGCAGGTGAGACTAGCACAACCCAGTAGCTATGCGGCGATGTCGTACAGATACTTACTATGTGCATCGCGTCATCTCATCGGATCCGCCAATCCTGAAGACGCACGTTAGTCCGTTCTGGCCAGGTGTACATCGAACATGCATATTGCCTTTTCCGGGTCACCGTAAACCCTGCGAGTCTCTCATGCTCAGTATCTTACATACACTGCCCGTACTCAAAGTACGTCAAATCGATCACGCCTGAGAGTTTCGTCATGGCCACGCATTGAATAAGCGGGTACTAGCAGGTACTATCTCAATGATCTTCGTGTCCTGCAATCGTTCTCAACGGTCCTCTTCCCAGTGACTTCCGCACCTCTCACAGCATCTTGGAGAAGGTCCTCATACGTCTGATACGCTCGTCTAGGGTATACTCAGGGACTGGGGGGTGGGCAACCTTAAAGTCTGCCATGTGTACTCATTGGTAGCGGGCCGCAACAACTGACATCGCTATCGCTCTAGGCACTGAGACAAATTCGTCGATCTGACATATTCCCATGTATTTTGTTACCTGAGCGTGCCCTGTATTGATTACTGATCTCACTATAAAGTGTATCCCTCTATCATTGTGCTTAGGCGGCCTTGGTCACTAGGGTCCGAAGGTTGAAAAGGCGCTGAGTTGGCTCGGATGAGGCAGGAAGGAGGAACCATGTACCCGTATACCCAGATGCGTGAAGACGCTAAGACAGGTATGGTCATAGCATACTGCCGCAGAGATGGCGTAGTTACAAGCCGAGGTGAACAAAGGGAGAATATGGCAAGCCTTCGCGCGGCTCGGATATCCGGACCGATTCTCCGAGCGCGACCGTGAACCCTCGTGAACCGCAGCTGTTGTGGTCTCTGATCTTCACCACCACGATATCAACCAGAGCTCCGACCTTTCTTTAGCTTCAATACAAAGTTGCATTCAACATTCGTGCTGTATGGTGATAGTCCACATGTGCCATAGACCTGAGTCGAGCCTTCGCGCTTCGCGAAGCATACGTGGCCTGCTGTATCTTGCCGACTTAAGGGCGCCGACGCGGCAACATGACAAGCATCCCCGGCAAAATCACTCCGTGTACGCGCACTGTCTTACAGCAAACATATAGTGTCATGGGCGCTCCGATCAATGTTCTTCGAGCGGGTACAATCGAGGATGCTTGGCTGTTGCACAGCATTGAAGTTCGACGGTTCCATTCGTTAAGACGGTGACTCAACGGCGACTCTCCTTCCAACCACCACCAGTACGAGTCTCGATGATGTCCTCCGACGAAGAGGAGCGACTTATGACTACTCGGGTCTCGAAGAGGCAACGGCGCGGGGCTGCGTGCGATATGTACAGTTCCTCCCTCTCGTTGATTGGCGGGTGCCACACGATAATTAACGCAGTTCATCATCACAGGTGTCGCAAACGGAAGCGTATGTGACTGAAATCATCTGGTACGATGCTTCTATTGATGGCGCGGCGCGGATGCGGATGTAGTCAAGTGTGCGTTAGGTGTACCTGGCTGCCAGCGCACATGCTCACAGACGCGACGATAGGCGACGGGAAGCAGGCGAGCTCTGAGAAGTGTACGAACTGCAGAGATCACAGATGGAGTAGGTCATTCGCGTAGATACGCAACTCCAACTCATATGCAGTAGATTGCACATTCTACAATGCACCTGGAAAGGTACGTCTCGAGACTTGAAGAGCAATCATGCGTACTCATCTAGACGACAGAAAGTGTCACCCGGGTAAGGCGATCCATCTCTGAACATGCACGCTCCGTCTTACACCACGTAGGTACATAGAAGCCCTCGAACTCAAAGTGCAGAGGTTGCAAGGCCTCATAAACCGGGTCAGTCCAAGTATAGCCTTGACACACAATCGTCTGACGGTTTCCTGTATAGTTGCTCCCGGGGCGAGACTTCACATATGAAGTAGGCTTCGAGTTGACTCGCGATAATTGGATGCTTCCTGGTGTTTGTGGCGCCTCGGAACTCGGCCAACCCAGTGCTTTCGTCGTAGAGCCCACTTCCTCGGCCTTCAGCGCGAGACACACTCCAGATACCGCTCCATCAAGCGCACTCTCAGTGATGCCCTCTGGTCATGCAACCCCGGAGACACCCATGTCAGACAACGAATTCTCTTCGGACGAGGACCGCCGTCACCCACCCATCAAGTTACAGCACTTACGCGGCGTGTCGCAATGGGTCTCGTGGTCGCATTATATTACCCATTACCTTGGCAAATCTCTCAGCACCGGACTCATCAAGACAGCTTTGGAGATGTGCAGAGAGCTTATGCCCGGTATTCCGACCAATGACGTTCTTCGCTTCCGCTCGAAGGTTTGGGACCGACCAGATGTATGCAGCTCTACTTTCCGAATGCAATTGAAGCTGACCAAGCTCTACCAGTGGTTGAACGGCCTCGGCGATACAACTTTGCAACGGTCTTTTCACTTTCCCGATCGCGATGTTCTGGACCAACTTGTCGAGCTCTACTTCGCAAACTATCACATCATTGTGCCCATTCTCCATCGGCCTACTTTCGAAGAAGACCTACGTTCCAACCTTCATCTTCATGACCGTACATTCGGCACCGTCGTGCTCCTGGTCTGCGCTTTGGGGTCACGATGGGCGCGCGATCCTCGCGTCCTCGAGACGGGCGATACCACGTGGCTATCTGCAGGATGGAAATGGTTCATCCAATGTCGAGTCCTCGATGATGCCGCGCTTGCCTCTCCTTCATCTCATCTGCGCATACTGCAAGCCCTCTGTGTGCGTGATCGCTACCTCCATCGACTGAAAGAGGCTCACTTGCGACAGCTAGCTGCGGTCTACGTTCCCAATGTCTCACTGACACACGGATGGATGTATATCGGTCAAGGCATTCGACTCGCCGTCGATATCGGTGCGCATAAGCGACGAGTGTATGGGGCGAACCCCACGTTGGAGGATGAGATGTTCAAACGCGCGGTCTGGTTCGTCTTATTCCCGAGTCCAAAACCGAGAGCACCACTCACGCATTGGGTTCCCCAGGATCTTGATACATATGGATCGGGCGATGAGCACTATCATGGGTCGGCCCTGCTGTATCCAGGAAGAGGAGTAAGCACACTCTCAAGCTGCGACGGGCCGGTTGTCCTGATCCGTCACCCAGTTTCGATCTTGAGATGATGCGTTGTTGTGATGACGAATATCTGACACCTGAAGATCCTGAGCTATTCGGAATCCAACCCCCCGACAAACCCTCGATCCTCACTTACTTCGTCTGGTCAATGAAGCTCTCTCAAATCCAAGGTCTCGCGCTGCGCACTCTCGTACGTACTCTGCCTTCCTCTTCAGACACTCTCGAAGTGTTGACGGATTCGTAGTATGCTAGCACGAAGGCCAAGGCGCACTTCAATTTCCAAGGCGAGGAATGGCTTACACGGACTGTCGCCCGTTTCGACTCGCTACTCAATGGTTGGGAAGACTCTATCCCGGAACATCGTATGTACTCTGATGGGCTTGAAGGATCGATGACTGAAGGCATCCCTCCCAGTACGCTGGCATCCTGAACAACCTAGCGAAGTGTTCTTGGCGCAGTCGGCTCAGTTGTACGCACAGTACTACACCACGCAGATTCTCGTCCACCGCGCGCAGATGCTGGTACCTCCGCGGGCACCCGTATCATACCCGTCCCTGGCTATCTGCACGAGCGCCGCACGCTCTCTGATACGCGTAGCCGGCGTCATACACCGTAGAAAGAGAGAGCTCATTGGGAGCTTGACATGGCAAGTACGCCAGATCGATTGCATGGCTCCTTGGACATCCGAACTCATGGCTCCCTTAGATACAGACTGCAGCGATGGTCACCATCGTCACTCTTGGCCATGCGCGTTTGGGGAACATCAACATTGATCGCAAGAAAGCGCTGGCGGACGTTGACTGGGCCATATCCGTCTTGCGAGAAGGGGAGATCAGATGGCGCTGGTCCGGTAGGCAAGCGTACGCAGACATAATGTCTATCAGCAGTGCTATGGGCTCAACAGCACTACTGCAGGGACGTCGTCGAATCTCTAAGAGTGCTCGGGGAGGCTCCTGCGGAGGAGTTCCTGCCGATGGACCGACGGAAACGGTCACACGAAGCGGATGATGCTGCTGATCCGGGTACCATAATGGATCAGTTGGGTGCTATACCCGGTGCAGACGTCTCCCAGCCACCATTGTACGGCGGGGACCCGTCTGCCACGGACTGGAACGCGCCTTTGATGACCTTCGGGCCTGCCGTCAGCGACGAACTCGCGCCGTACTCGATGGACTATGCGCAGGGCAACACGGTCCAACCACATAGCGCAGACGCGGTCTTCGGGAATATCGACTTTGACGCCCTTTTTGGCTTCGGGAATGTCAACACGGAGGGACTGCGACCTTGGTCTCCCGCCCCATTCGAGGGCGCGCTGGACATGCCTCCAGCTGACACGGTCCAGGAGGGCACGAGCTTAGGGGTTGAGGACTGGTCAAGCTTGACCGTTGATTACAGGTGTGTGTATCCGGAACTGGTAGGACCTTCCAAGAAGTATTGACGAGCTCTTCCTAGTAAGACGGAAGATTGGCAGTGGACGGCTCTGCAGCAGGATGCACAAAGTGAAGGGCCTTCGACGAGTTATGGGCATTCGCGGATGTGGGACGTACACGGCGGATAGATGTATCGCCACAGACGTGCCAATAGATGAGAGACGAATCTACTGTGATCCTATCTCTGCAAGGCGTTTGAGATTGTTTCGCGCCGTGTGCAGATGACGACATGATGCGGCGCTGCCTGGCCTTCGGATCGTGTCTGGCAACGCGTATATTGATGAACTACATCGCACTTGCTTGCTACCTCGATAGCAGCTTTCTATTCGTCCATCTTATAGGAGAGCCATCGACATAGAAAAATAGACAGCCGATACATGCGCAGCGTGAAAGGATAGGTACAACATTCGGATACAAGTAGAATACACTCGCCAGAACCGCCTATATCCTCCTAAACGTATTCTTACTCCCACTCCTCACATCCCTCCTCCTATGCGTCCTCCCCCTCCTCTCCGCCTCACTCATCTTCCCATCACTCGGCGCCTCGCCACCCTTCTCCATGCCCGCACCGAACCTCTCCACGCCCTTCCTAGTATCCTTACCCTTACCCTTCCCTCGTCCACCCTTCTCGGTCGAGTCGACGTCCATATCATCGAAGCCAGACGAACGGCGTTTGCCTTTTCCGCCCGATGAGGGTACCCAGGACATCTCAACTGTCCCGTCGGCGTTGCGCACGATGTGTTCGTCTCCGCTTTTCTTCTCTGCGCCTTTCTTCGACTGCGATTGTGCGCGGCGTTGGCCGAATGGTGCGTCGGTTGTGCGTCCGGCGCTTGAGGGGCCCTGTGTGCGTAGAGGTACGAACTTGACGCGTTCGTCGGGTTGGCCTCGTTGGCGCGCCTTGTATTGTGCTGGGTAAAGCTCTGTAGGAGGGTCAGTGAGAGGTATCAAAGAAAGAAAGGGAGAAATACGTACCACCCGCGTCGCTACTGTCATCGCTATCACTCGTATCCGAGTGCGCTTTATCGCTTTCCTCCTCCTCCTCTTCAACAGCCGTCTTCGTTCTCCTCTCCGCACCATCAATCCTGACATCGTCCACGTCCTCCGCATCGCCATCGTCGTCACTGTCCTCTTCGTCGGTAGAATCGGCCCTCTGTGCCTGCCTCTTCTTCTGCGCGACGGCGCTGGGATGAAGAAGCGCGTACTCCCGACTCCGCTCGTCGATCTGGAACTCAGGATCCTCGAACAACGCGCCGAAACGTGAGTCCGTAAGCAAGCTCGGCTTCTCTCCATCTTCCGCATCGACGTCCATCTCCGTCTCTGCATCTGCCGCGGCGTCGGCCTTGCCCGCCCTCCTCGCCCGCTTCTTCTCCTCCCTCTCCCTCTCCTTCTCCGCATCCTTCACGACCTTCTCCGCCAGCGCCTTGTTAACCTTGACCTTCGGCTTCGGCGCATTCTTCGGCGCGCGGATCCTCGCTTCGGCTTGGGCGTCGAGTTTACGCTGTACGGCGGCTGCGCGGGCTTCTTCGTATACGAAGGGGTTGGCGATGACGCGCGCTGTGTCGTAGAGCTCAAGGGAGATGAAGAAGCCGTGCATGTAGGGTTTGAGGGCTGGGGTGCCGATGAGGTGGTCGAGACCCAGTCTGGTGAGCGTAGTGTCAGTATGGGAGGTGGAATGGTGGAAAGGGAGTTGTGACGTACTGCGTGAGCTCTTCCCGACTGACGAACTTGAAGTCCTCGTACACGCCGCGAGCGGCTGCACCGCCATCTTCGAGCTCCTCGGTCATGTTTTCGAGGAAGGAGGCCCAGCGTGGTGCAGGTCCAAGTTGGGGAATGAAGTATGCGCCCATCTGAATGCCTTCGTTCGCGCTAAGCAGGAGGCCGGACCCGGGAATGTGGTGGATGTCATTCAAGTCGGTTGCGGGTGTTAGGGAGGCGAAGTTCGTGTTGGGCTGTAAAAGGGTGTCAGTGCATGTTATAGCGGAAAGGACGAAACGATGTGCATACCGAGTTGCGGTCCCAGATCTTGACGACCTTCTTATCCGCACTAATAACCAACCCATCCCCCGCCATCCTACTCCCACCCTCAACCCAAATGACCCTCTTAACCGGCAACCCGTATCCCTGATCCTTGACCGCGAACGGCCTCCTGCTCCGCACATCGTACAGCAGCGTATGTCCGCTACTCGTGCCCACAGCATAGCTCAACCCGTCGCTTCTTGAGCTGAGACTTGTGACACTGAGTCCTGAGAGCGGTGACGCGGCGTCTTCAAGGCCGGGGAGGACAGATGCAGCGGTGAAAGATGAGACGGAGGAATTGAGAAGGCGAGTGGCGGGGAGAGGGAGGACGCCGACGGCTGTTCGAGAGCGAGGGTCGATGAATGTGATGCCGCCGCCTGCGCCGTCCGTGCCGAGCGCTAATAGACCGTGCGCGGGGTTCACGTCCACAGCGTTTACACCGTCGACTTCATCTCCCAACTTCAACGGACTGAGGAATCGACCTTGGTCTAGGCTCAAGCGGTAGACTTCGTTTCCCGCTGCACCGAACAAAGCCGTGCAACTCGGGAAATGGTAGTTGACCGCTCGTCCGAATTTTGGTATCCGCGTCCGATGGTGCAGGCCGCCTTGAGTGTGCACTTCGATCGACCGGTCATTTTGGAGCATGAGAACTTTTGTCCAGTCGTCGCTTAGAATCTACTTTCCTTGCGACATCAGCACATATTATAAGCATGAAGATTGGCAGTGAAACGCACGACAAAGTCCACGTTCTCGGCATCGTTGTGCCGCTCGAACTTTTGTGATAGTTGGCCGACGTCCCAAACGCGCATCTGCGGCTTGTATGTACCAGTAGCAATTATATGTCCGCCGTCGCGTGTCGTCTTGACTCGTAAGCTAGCCTGCGAGCATGGTGTCAAAGCAAAGCTCTATTCGAACCGTAGAAAGTACCCGCACCTCGGGAAACTCGAAGCCTTGGATTAACTCCAAACTACTATCTACCCTGTCCTTCGTAGCACGTTTCGCGCCCTTGCTCTTCACGGCGCGAGCGCGAGCTAGCCAGTCGGGCAATGCGACAGAGCTGCCCGCCGGCGCGCCGTTAACGGTGTAGATCTTAACATGCTCGGACATGATTCAGTCCCCTGATTATTTCTGTGCAGGTAGGGGATTAAGACCCGGAAGAGGAGTTCTGGGCGTGTTGACGAGGTCACTAACAGTACAAGAAGAGAGAAGGATGGGGGCCACGAGAAATAAGTGGCGAATGCACGGTTCCAAGACGCGTCCGGAGGCGCGAAAAGTTGCAGAGCCTAAAGCCCCTATTTACGGCTTTCCGGACCGGAAATATCCTCACGGTCGCGAAGACTCTCCAGCGCCTCCATGACGAATGGTCACGGACCACCACAAGCTCAAACGGCAATGTCATCCCAGCTCGATCATGGCCATGCTCTCGCGGATAGGATTGCATCAATACACGACATACAACGGGTCTTCGAGACCAGTACAACATACGATACCATGGGCTCAGGGCTAGACAAACACGCTCGGCCAATTTAGTCTTCGTACTTATATCACCTACATCCCCGATACTATCCCCTCCTCTCGCGTCCAATGCTTGCATGAGCATCCGGGGCCCTCCCTTTCCGGTCAATCAGCACGCTTCTTGGCGTCGTCCTGCTGAGTTGTTGGTAACGTCGTTGAGCCTGCAGGAGGCTCGGCTGCGACGATAGAGCCTCGGGGAGATGAGCCTTCTTCCGTGTCGCGATGGTTGATGGCCCCTCCTGATTCAACCAACACATTCTGCAAGTCCATATCGCCGGGAAGTACAGGAGACCTTGGCGGGTGGCGGGGGAAAAGGTCTCTGACTCGGGCCATTCCCCGGAAGGTCTCCCCATCGTCGCTCGCAAGTCTGTCTTCCTCTACAGCCTGCGTAAGATCGACTCTATCCGCGAGACTCTTCAGTATCTCGAGAATGGTAACTGTCTCTTCCTTCCCCGACTCTCCTTTGTACTTAAAAGTCTCAGTCAAGAACCTGGACAATGGAGGCGCATCGTTGTGGTTTGCACCGTTCTGCAACCATCCAGCGGGCAGTCCGGCATCCCGTAGTAGACTGCGAAACCTCCTCGAGGGAGAAAGCTTTGGACCGAAACTGAGATGCGTCTTCTCCCAACTGTGGAAAACTGATTCGTCCTGAGGTAGTAGATGACTGAACCGCAGTAAGGTGTGGTCGTTCAAAACCGCAGCCCGATCCTGTTGCCCTGCGTGAAACATGTGAACTATCATAGTCAACATGTTGCAAGCAGGAAGATGCTGCATATCGCGTAGATCTTGGCAGCAGCTAGCGTCGTGTAATGGGACCAAGCACGGAACTGACGGATCTGAGATCGGGTACTGGGGTGGCACGCCCGAGTCAAGCCGATTCTTCGCAGAACTGAAGTCGATCAAGAGTCTGAGAGGATGTGTTCCATTGGGTGAATCGACATCCGTGTTGATGTTATACGATCTTTTGGATGGCTGGGCAGTCTGACAGACGCCGATTAGGAAGCAGCGAACTTGGAAGAAGCAGAATTGTGCCATGAGTTCAAATTGTGGGTCCTCCAACGCCTGGATCTGGTCGCTCCGTTGTGACACGCGGTAAAGTATTTCCAAACACTTCCGCAAATGCTCGGGACCACCGGGAGCTCGTGTGTTTGCCGCAGGCGTGAGCCGTTCTGCAAACAGGAAGCACGCCATTTGGAAAGCAGATATGTCTGTCTCAAGATCAAGGACGTCCCAGCCGCCCGGGACCACAGGGACAGTTTGTCGATGAACCCAACATCGATACTAAGTGAGGAAAGACATTTAGATGTGAAGTTCGTGTCTGCGCCAAAGTCATCTAGAGCATGCATGGTCGTTGACAACAGAGACGCAAACTCGTTCTGTCGGCCGTTTCGCATCTGGGCATATCGAAACTGCCTCGAGGACTGCACAAGGACGTTCCTTTCGTCGACCCGATGTCGGCGTCCACGCCAAGGATTGCATATGATGGATCTGAACGATATCCACCCCCGTCCACCGAATCGCAGAAATGACCACGCCGCAAAGGACAACACATATGTCAAGGGTGTCCTGTAAGGACACCGTTGGTCGAGGAGCGGAAGGCCGCTCGCAAAGGTGTAGAATCACACAACTGGCCCAATGACGGCGATAAGGCAATAGGCAACTGTCGTATCGACAGTATACATGAACAACACGAGGCCGCCCAGGAAGAGCATCACGGAGAAGTGCACCGAAGCCACGAGGAGGTCAGTGATCACATCCATGCCATACAGCTGGGCGCCCGTGTCCAAAAAGATGCTGGTAAGCGCCGGAGGAAGGCGGATATCGTTAACAAGATGCCTCTTTCGCTCATAATCACGAGCGTAGTCTCGAGACCATTGTTGCATGAAGTTGGCTCCGAGAGCGCACAGCAAAGAAATGGCGAGACTGCCGAACCAGAGCGCATTGTAAACTATCACGCTGGTATCGGCCTTGAACGGCACGGAGGGAGGCACTGGGGCATCTGTGTTCGCCGCCAGGATCTGTGTCAGAAGGTCGGCAGTTATATCTGGCGACAGTCCCTTCTGGCTCTCGACAGCGAAGGCTGCAACGATGAGCGCGAATAGGCTCGTCTAACCAGGACTCAGTGTATGACACGAGACTGCAGCAGACAGTGAGCGTACAAATGTCAGGATATTCCCGGTATCCCTGTCCCATTCCTTCAAGCGAGCATCTCTCTGCTCTCTCTCGTTGGCATCCGCCGATGATGCGGACTTCTGTCGAACTGCCTCTTCTGGCGCTTTGAGGCGAGTGTCACGATCATCTTTGTCGCGCGTGAGTCGTCGAGAACTCATTCAGAGAAAGGCCACGTACTCAGATTGGACATAACGGCAGCAGCTGGGTACTCTAGATGCGATGGATGAAGCGCATCGAAGAGCAGACTTTAAGTACAAAGGCGACATCGGACATGCGGCACCCACAAGCCTCTGGTAGAACACCGTTGCTTGTCGCAAGGCGCAGCTGACACGCCTTGAGGACTACAGTCCTCGGGTGCCATTTACCACGCGGCACGATGAAACGACCAAACATATGTCCTTATCGTGTTATATGACCTGTATTAATGCAATGCGGAACTGCAGATCAAGGGCATAGAAGTACGTGCGGTGTAACAACGTGAACGATCGAAGCTCATATTGGTGTTGCCTCCATGAATGGTCAATTTATCGCCTTCTATCGCGGGTGCGGCGTGAAACGTTGTGAACACGGACAACGTCTAAGGTTGTCCGATACCGCATACAGCAGATGCTGAGTGAGAGTTCAACGTTCCAGTCATATTAAGCACTGAGATTGACCTGACGCGGGCGAAGCGCAAATGATTGCACTGGGAGACCGTTCAGTATACGCCATTCATAGGTATAAAGCACAAGCGTTTCTTACCGGGCACCCAGCACAGAGGCACGCACGCCGCACACCTCGCGTCTTGGCGACTAGACAATCTCCACACGCGGCAATGGACAAAAAGTACATTTATCGAGCTCGAGCTAAGAGACACAAAAGCCGTAGAGGATAGGCGAGGGAGTAGGAGAGAACCGAAGCCATACGCGCTCCTCGAAAGAAACATAATGTAAAAGGATAAACACAAAGGTCACGAAGGGGATAGAACTATGCACAGTGGTTCAAGAGGTAGGGATGAAATGCAAACGTCACAGGCGACGAGGAATCGACAAATCGACAAGCGGTGGAAGGGGAGGTGGGAAGGGGCGGCGTAGACTGTAAGTATGTGTATCGCGGGATGAAAAGGGAGAAGCTCGAGATTTAGTATTCACATATCACAATTCGCAGTCGAGAAACAGTCGAGAGACGAGAAAAAGAGGCGGAGAAAGGGGAATGCATGGAGATAATCTTTATGTTGTTGTGTTGTGCGGACAGGACGGGGAAATGTGTGTGCAGAAAGGGCTCGGGATAAAGGGTGCGGGATGTGTGCGGAGTGAGGAAGAAGAGATTGATGGGTGATGGGACGGGCGGATGCGATGAGGGCGACAGCAAGAATGCATGTAGCATGGTCCAAAGTGCGTTGCGGGGGGCGGTGTACAAATGCGAGCGGTGTGCGGTTCGGGTGCATCCGGATCCAGGTCCGACGGAGGTATCGCGTGTTGTGTGACGGTCAATGAGCGGCAAGGGTGGCATGTGCGGACAGTGAACAGTGAGTACATGGGGTCGAGTCGACGACGATGGGGTGAGTGGGTGAGTTGAGGTCAGCGTGCGCGGTGGTGAGTAGGAGATCGAGGCACAGCGGAGGTGGCGGTCGCAAGGGCACGGTCCGAGGAGATGGGGATAGACGATGTGCATGTATCCATGAGAGGCGAAGTGTTTAACGGCCCTCTTGCGCCTCGACGAGCTCCTCGTTGAACGTGCTGGCCGGGTCGACTCCATTCTTGACGTCCCGCTCGCGCGCGGCGCGGATGAGCGCCTTGACGCTCATGATCTCCGTGCTGAGGTCGACGGCCGTGCTCTCCTCCCAGCGGTTCAACGCCCACTTACGGCAGAAGATGCTCGCCTATACCCGTACCTCATCAGCAGCCGTGTCGACCGCACAAGAGGGAGAGACATACCTTCATGAACTTCTTGCTCGCGTACTTCTTATAGAAACTCGCGTGCCTCACAGGCTTGAGGATGAAGTTAAGCATCAAGTTCGCCGTCGGGATCAGCTGGCTCTCGGGGTACGAGCTATAATGCGCCAGATCCGGCGTCCAGTTCTCCATGCCCAGCATGATGCGGCTCAGCCACAGCGCAGCCGCGGCCAGCAGACTCGGCGGCGCGGCGATAAGCCTCCACTCGACGCACGCGATCTCCATGCAGTACTTCGCGATCGTGCGGACCTGGACGTTGTACCCGTCCGCCTTGGACGCGCGGCGGAGGAAGTGGATGGGGTTCGGGTAGGACATGTTCCATTCGAGCGTCTTGAGGATGTAGCGCTCGGCCTGGAGGATCTCGACTTGGGTGTACGAGGAGTCGGCGCAGCGGAGGAAGTCGTGCGCGGAGGGCGAGACGATTTCTTCGACCTGGCAGGTGTCAGGAAGATGTTAGCATACGAACCGTGACGGTGTAGAGGAATGTGAATGGTATGACGATGGGCGCGAGTGACGATGGGAAGGAAGGGACAAAGGGGCCAGGCACGTACCTTGGCGGCGATGAACATGCACGTGATGCCAACGAGCTGGAGCTTTGCGAGCGAAACGACGCGCGCGCTGAGGAAGCGGTCGATGATGTTGACGGCCAGAAAGAGCGTCTCTGGCAGCAGCCTGAAGCGCATGTGCACCTACAGAGAAGCGAACAGCAGGGTTAACGCTGTGGTCTGATCCGATAAAGGAAGAGAAAAATACGGACCTGAATGAGCCAGTCGGTGAGGATGCCGCGCATCTTCCATGCGAGATCCTTCTGGTTGTTCATGTACTCCGGGTTGGGCTGGCTTTGTTTCTGTGGAGAGAAGTGGGGGATGAGCGCCTATCATCAACACCACGCGATCGGCCACATCGGACACGCAGACGCAAAGACGCGGGCCACCGTCACCGCAACACCGCGATAGGGCACCAATACAACGCAGAGCACATAATATCGACTCGACGACGTCGAAAAAGAGGTGTGGTGTGAGGAAAAGGCACACACCTCGATCTCCTTGAGATACTCGAAAATCTCGCCGACGTACTCGGAGACCATCAACGGGTCGCCCTCGTCCTCCGCGTCCAAATCGCGCCAGCCCTCGCCCTCGGGGTCCGCCTCGGCCTCGGCCTCAATCTCAGCGACATGCCTTGCGAGCTCGGCCTGGGCGAGCTCCATGTCCTCCTCCTCCTCGTCCTGGCGGTGGTCGAGCTGCATTTTGACCGACCCATGGCCGTCGTCGCGCGACTGGACGCGCGAGTGTGCCGGTGCGGCGGGAGGCTCGACGGAGGACGTGCGGCGTTTCTTGGGTTGGGGCTCCTGCTGCTCTTCCTCCTCCTCACGTGCAGCACGCAGAGCCTGCGCCCTGCGCGGGCTCGTGATGCGGCGGGGCTCGGCAGCGCCGGCCCGGCGAGCAGCGGCAGCGGGGGGTGGCACCCGACGAGCGGTGGTGGTGGTTGTCGTCGTCGTGCGGGTGGTCGTGGTCCGGCTCTTCATGACGACCTCCTCGGCCGACGCACCGGCCTTGACGCCAGCCTTGCCTTTTCCGGCGGCGGCGGCGGTGCCGGCTTTGGGCTTGTTGACGACGACCTCGCCAAACGCGCTGCGTTTCCGCTTTAGGTCGTCTTGGGCGTCACCACCCACGGCCTTCGAGCTGGCGGCTCCGGCGGCGGGGCGCATGGCCGCTTTCACACCACCGGCCCGGGTGACGGGGACGTTCGAGCTCCCGGCTGTCGCTGCTGAGGGGGGTTTTGCGCGCAGGGGAGCGCGCTTGCTGGGCCCGTTCTCGTCCTTGTGTACGGCGATCCGTCCGTGCGGCGCCGCCCGCCTCAACTGTTCTCTCGTTAGAGCTTATTCCTGCGGGTAAACGCTGACGAGTAGTACTCACGGGAATGTTATTAGACATGACAAGGCGATACGGGATAGAGAGGGAGAGGAAGGGAGAGGGAAGATGCGAGGAGGTGGGAGGAGCAGAGGACAACCGCACTCGATTTCCGCTTTCACTGAGGCCCAACAAGTGCACGTGACCACACGTGCCTTTTCGTTGAGATCGATCGCAGAATATTCGTGCCTCTCTCGTTTCGCTCAAATCGCATTCGTATTGCATCTCACATTATATTCGCATCCATTTGTGCGCCATAGAGGGTGTATGACTGGTACAGCTAGGAACTGTAGCCCGGCCGAAGCCCGCCGCGCCTCGGACCCGCGCCCAAGCTTCGCGCCTTCTCTTTGTGGCAATCGTCATCCACTCGGACGGCAAACCACACACGGCCCGCCCCCAAACGGTATCGGTGCACCCATGCACATGTTCGAATACCTACCGAGCCCAGTCCCTCCAGCACTATACCGTTAGCCGACAGCTGTCAACAGCGGTGCATTCCAATAACATCATGGCTTCGAAAGAATCAGATGCCAGACGCCAAACACTCTCCGACGTCCGCATGCAGCACCGAGCTCTATACTTCTTATACCCCCATGAGCAGCTTCTAAGTCTGTAGATACTACAACACGACATGGCCGCCCAATCGAAACTGGCGCGGCACCCCGCCCTGCCCATCGCCCTCGCGGTCCTCCTGCTCGCCCGTTCGCGACTGCTCGACATCCCCCGCGCCCTGCTGTCCTCCAAACTGCACCACCCAGCGTCCTCCGAATCCGAGCTCGAAGCAGCCCTCCAAGAGATCTACCGCCCGAACCCCGACGGCTCCCGCACACTGCTCGTCCCGCACCGTCAGCGCATCTCCGAAGTGACCATCCGCCCCCTCTCCGAATCAACGCTCAAACAGACCGCGCACCTCTTCCCGCCCGTCTCCGCGCACACGCGCTCCAAGCCCGCGCTCGACAGGGCGTTCTTCCGCCAGCTGGCCTCTCTCCTGCGCTTGGCCCTCCCGCGGCAGATCCCGCTCGTCGCGCTGCACTCCTTCTTCCTCGTCGCCCGCACCGTGCTCAGTATCGCCGTCGCGCGACTGGACGGGCGCATAGTCCGCGACCTCGTCTCAGCCGACGCGAAAGGCTTCCTCCGCGGCCTCGCGCTATGGTTCATCCTCGCCATCCCATCAACATACACCAACAGCATGCTCCGGCACCTCCAGTCGCGCCTCGCGTTGCGCTTCAGGAGCGACCTCACGCGCTACACGCACGACCTCTACTTGAGCGCCGCGCCGAATCTGCGGTATTACCGGATTGGAGGGGAGGGAGGGTTGGAGGGCGTTGATCAGTATTTGACGAGCGATATTGAGAGCTGGGCGGACGCGCTCGCGGCGCTTTATGGGAACTTGTTGAAGCCGGCGCTTGATCTTGTGTTGTTCACGGCGCAGTTGAGCTCGACGCTCGGTGTGCGTGGGACACTCGCTTTGTAAGTGAAGCTTGCTCTTGTGATAGAGGTGCAAAATGCTGAACTTAGAATGTAGGTTCGCGAACTACTACGTCACAGCGCGTATCCTGCGCGCTGCAACACCCGCTTTCGGACGTCTTGCAGCGGTCGAAGCACGTCTCGAGGGCGAGTACCGTGCAGGCGTCGGCCGTGTTGGGTACGTTCTCCCTGCGCTACATCCATACGCGTGCTGGTGTTGATGGAACGTCCGTATAGACGCGAAGGCGAGGAAGTAGCGTTCTACGACGGCGGGCAGCGCGAGCGCGCGATCCTCTGGCGCGCGTACTTGAGGCTGATCAAGCACGTCAACTCGATCTTCAAGGTACCGTACCCTCTCATATCCACTCCTGCGTCCGAGCCCTGATACTCATGCTGCATGTGTATAGATCCGCATCGCGTACGAATGGACAGAAGACTACGTGATCAAGTACCTCTGGAGCGCAGCCGGCTACATGCTCATCGCCATCCCTGTCCTCTTCACGCGTCGTCGTGTCAGCACTGGCGTGCAGGCTCCCTCTAGTGGCGAACTTCACGACGCTGTTGCCAGTCGAACTGAGAGTACGTCCTTTCTCTCCTTTGGTTACATGAGAATGCGTAGGGCTGACATGCGTGCGTGTAAAGACTACATCTCCGGCCGCCGCCTCCTCCTCGCCCTAGCAGACGCAGGCGGCCGCCTAATGTACGCCCAAAAAGACCTCCTCGCCCTCGCCGGCGTCACCGCCCGGCTCTACAACCTCCTCTCCTCCCTGCACGCCCTCCCCGCCCTCCCCACCCCAACATCCGCATCTGCAAACCCGGACACCAACACAAGCTCCGGCGACATCGAGCTCCACAACGTCGACATCTCCGTCCCCTCGGCGCCCTCGAGCGACCCGCTCGTCCGCGGGCTAAGCTTCAAGCTGAAAGAGGGCGACCATCTGATGATCACGGGGCCGAACGGGGTGGGCAAGACGGCTGTTGCGCGTGTTCTGGCGGGGCTGTGGGCGCCTGGAAACGCTCCTTCGTCTTCATCTTCGTCTTCGGATGATGGACTTAGAGCTGGAGAGGAAGAGGGGAAGGAGAAGGACGAGAGGGGCGTGGTGAAGCGGCCGACGGAACCGGGCGCGTTGTTCGTCGTTCCGCAAAGGGCGTATCATCCGGCTGGGAGCCTGCTGGACCAGGTTATTTATCCTAGCACATTTGCGGACTTCAAGGCTAGTGGACGGACGCTTGAGGAGCTTGAGGGGATATTGCGCGATGCGCGGCTCGGGTACGTGGACATCTCTCTATCGTGGGAGGAGGAGTTTGTGCTGATTGAAGTTGTGTTGTATAGGTATTTGGTGCAGCGGGAGGGAGGGTGGCATGTCCGGAAGGAATGGCGCGATGTGTTGAGTGGAGGCGAGAAGCAGCGGATGGCGCTCGCGAGGGTGTACTATCACCGCCCGCGCTGGGCCGTTCTTGATGGTACGTTCCTATCGTTTCGATTTCCCGCCAAGTACACCGAACTGACCCAGACCCCCGTATAGAATGCACCTCAGCCGTCTCAGCCGACGTCGAAGGCCTCCTCTACGCGCACGCCAAATCCCTCGGCATAACCCTCATAACCGTCTCCCTCCGCCCGGCCCTCGCAAAGTACCACACGCACGTCCTCACGCTCGACGGCGCGGGCGGGTACACGCTCACGCGGGTCGGCGGCGCGGAGGAGAGGATGGGGAGGGCGAGGGAGGAGAGGGTTTTGCGGGAGAAGTTGGCGGAGGTGGGGAGGTGGGAGGAGAGGTTGGGTGTGCTGGGGAGGGCGCTTGGGCCGGAGGGGGCGAGTGGGGAGGTTGAGGTGTAGATTGTATGATATGGACTGTAGGATAGATTGTCGTCGAGATGTCACAGCGAATGTACATGCTAATTCGTCTTGCTTTCTGAGTACGATAACCTATATCGGGTTGCCGTGGACCACGCAAGGCTTTCCAAATCATTGACAAAGGCATTACAGATTGGAATAGCACAACGATAGCGAGTAGAGGTATCCATGACGAGATGGAGCAGGGTACGAGAGGAAGACTAAGACGAGTGGATAGGATGGACAGCAAGATGATAGGAGTGCGGCGGATGAATGTGAGTTATGCAAGAAATTACGATACTGTATGGTGGGCGATGAGTAGTCCCGCCAACCTTCAGCTCATGTCCATGTCCATGTCGTCCTCGACACGCCGTGCGCTCGGCGCGTTTGCCTCGCATGTGGCGACGTCGACATTGTCCAGGTCATCGGTGTTGCCCAGCGCCTCCCAGTACGCCTCGTCTTCGGCCAACGCAGCGAGTTCGGCCGCTTCATCTTCGTCGAACTCAGAAGGCGGCCTAGGCTCGACAGTCGCCGACGTCCCTGCTACAAGAAACTTGTTGGCAAGGGTCGCATACTGAATAAAAGCGTAAGAGGGCGTACCTTTGAGATCCTGCTCCCATTCGACCGGGTCCTCCATCGCTGGATCGAACGAAGAGCCAACATCGTGTTCGAACGACAGCCGGTATTGATAGTCTCTCTTCCTCTCCGCTTCAAGTACGATGCGTGCATAGTACTGGGAGCAAGTCATGCGTCAGGCCTTGTGCCATCAAGCACTAATAACCCCGTATATACCCACCTCATCGTTGATAAACCCGTCTTCACCCTCCTCGTCCATATCCATGTCGAGGTCCTCGCCCTCACTGCTATACACCGCGCTCTTCCTCCCACTCCTAACCTTCGCCTCCCTTGCCCTCTGCGCGCGCTCAAAGCACTGCCGCTTGAACCGTTCACGCGCCGCATTATTCTGTGGCTCCGCTTGCGGTTCCGTCCCAAACAAGTTCCCGCGCATGAAGCTCCCATCCCAGTGCGACGTATTCGGCTTCTTCGCATACGCAGAGGCAGACGACTTCCGGCGGGACGCAGAACTCAAGAGTGGCGTGGTTGTGGCTTTATATTGACTTGTCCGCCGGAACGTCGGGGAGGATGTGGGAGACGACATGGGCGACGAGCCGCGGTGCGACGAGGGTGTTGTGGGCTCATAATTCTGGTGGGCGTGCCCGCTTTGTTGTGAGAGGGCGGATAGCATGTTTGGTTCGGGAGGTGGAGGGTGTTGATGGTTGGCGGTCAACCACGGGACGATCAACGGGCGCGCATTGTGAGCTGAGACGCGTGACGTCACGCGCTTCTCGCGATCTGAATGCGGTGATTGAGCACGCGTTTGGTGTTCGGCTCTGACCGCCATGCAGCTATGTTCGAGCGATACGTGAAGAAGCCAACGACAGTGATGAGGTTTTCGAACGGAATAACCTGAGCTCGCTCTGCTGGATCGTCCGGCACGTGCAAAGACTTCGGCTTAAAACCCAATGAAATTGAAGTAGAAGATTCAAGAGTACATGGCGCAGTGAACATGATGGCAGACAACATCGTATGAACTCGACACAGCCATACCGGCACCTCCTCTGATAGACAAAGACATAACATCACAGCAAAAATCTTCAAGCCGCGCGAGTGTCGAGAAGGTCGAATGGGTTGACCTGTGTGAACGTCGACAACTTTTGCATGAGAGCGCTTACAAGTGGAATGCCTACCTTGGCGGTTTACATGACATGAACGAAGGTTCGCGCTCAGGCGACGATACATCCTCCGCCGTTCGAGCCGTTGCCGTTGTCGGCGTCAACGGGCGCGTCGACAACGGGCTTCTGCGCAACGGTGCATCCGCCGCCGTTAGAGCCGTTACCGTTGTCGGACTCGACGGGTGTGTCTGCGCGCGGCTTCTCCTCCGTAGAGGCAAAGTGAGAGAGGATGGTGGTGAAGGCGTCCATTAATACATAAGGTGGGTAGCGCTGCGAGTGGGTGACTGGCGTTGCTGAGGACCGGTAGGCTGTATCTGGCCAGCTTTTATACCGCGCTGCACTAGTGCTGTCTCGGGTACCGTGATGGTCTCGAGGCCATCGGATCGAGGAGAGTCGAGAGCTACTGCTCGCAAACAGTCGGGGCACAAGATCGCTGGGTGTGACGAGCGCGCATCCACCCAAACACTGAAGAGGACTAGACAGCGGGTTCGCAGTAGGCATGCGCCAGCGGCAAGTTTGATTCCGGAGACCACCAGATGGTGGAAATAATTGTTCTCTGCCTCTCGGTTTGCCGTGCCTGCGCCACAGTGGGTCTCTTGATGCGTCACAGAGTGCCTTGAAGCGCCGAACTGGGGACACGGATAAGCACGAGAACGCCAAGCTACGCCATGGAGGAAGAAGACGGGGTCCTAGGAGAGCTAGGCTCGGCCTGTAAGGTCCGTTCGGCTGTTCAACAGCTAGTTGCGCACTCAGATAAGCATAAGCATCGGCGGTATAAGTCCGGCTATCAAGAATACTGACCGCGTCAAGATGACACACGTCAGTCTGTGGCGAAGTACGGGGACCGGGTTCAAGTCGCGAGACCGGCATGACGACGGCGTATGATATGAGCAACTCCATGACCTGAACATCGGATCCGTCACCCTGCGCATGCTCGCAAATCGCTTGGCCAAGTGAGTGGTCTTGCTTAGAGCAGACGATGGTGGGAGGCAAGGGAGAAGACGGTCAACGCACAACCCAGCATCGCCGTTACTGCGAACGAGTCGCGTGACGTCACGCGTTCTGCCCACCAGTTTGGACCCAGTCGGACGGGCGTGGCAGATGCTGTACGCGCGCGTCATGCCTTTGTTTTCCAGGATAAACGTCTCTGTTTCGTATGAGTTTGAGGTATATGGCAGCCGATGAGAGGTTGACGAAAAGGTAAGTAGCACTGAACACGCGAAGACCAGGGTTATCTTCTGCAGTAATAACCTATCCGCAACTTGCACACGTCCGCTCTCAGTCTTAGCAGGATCGTGTCTTTTCAATCTAAACCTTATAGACAGTAGAAACATACCGTCTGTAAGGAAAGTGGCCAGTCGGAAGCTAGTAGAGTATATGGCGTAGTTGATAATGGCAAGCAGCATTGATACATGATTTCGCTACAGCCCTTCCCAATAAAACAACGGCAGAACCTCACGGGCATCGAGAAGGACGAATGAAGATTGACCTACATCCAATCAGCAAGCTCTCGGGCACCAGTATAGGACGAGCGCTTACCCCGGTGGCTAATGAAGGAAAACGAGCACGCTCAAGCAACAACGCAGCCGCCGCCGTTGCCGCTGCCGGTGGTGTCCGCGTCAACCGGCGGAGCGTCAACCACAGGGCGATGGGCGACGGTGCAGCTACCACCGTTGCTGTTGTCGCCAGTGTCGGCCTCGACAGGCGCATCGGCACGCGGCTGCTCCTCGCTGGCGGCGAAGTAAGAGAGGATGGTGGTGAAGGCGTCCATTGGTGGATGAAGAGTGTAGCGCTGCGAGTGGGTAGTCGGCGTTGCTGAAGAATACGAAACATATCCTGGTGATTTTATATGTCGGTATCCAGGTACATGTCTGGGACGTCGAGCCGGTGAGCATGCTGCGGCAGGTCCTGGAGCTCGATGAATGCACCGATCCGCCCTGACTTCGAGGACTGCAGCGGCGATACCTGACAATTGAATAAGAGGACTTATCTGATGATGATGAGCGCCACAAAGTGTATTCATGTCTCGAAGGGGTCGCCGCCTAGGAACAGTGAGCCTGTAGGTACCTGGGATTATTGTCCTGCGCTGCTTCCGAGAACCGTATTTTCCTCCTTCCAGGAGAGAGCTGACAATCTTGGAACGTCACAATTGCCAGTCCAGGACGACCGGTTAGACATCTCCGGACTCGCGATATCTGACTTGACGAACAGGTCCGGGTCATCCATACATGCGACGAGTCCAAGCGTCGCTATTGTGAACGGATGCATTGCCAGGCAACAGTATGAGACCTGGTGATTATAATGTACATGATATTTTGCTTCCTTCTGAGACTAACGGCATAACCACGCGCCAGGACGGGACCGACGACGCACGAGACGTTCAGAGCTCGCCGCGCTGGAGTAGGGCGTCAGCTCGCACTCGTGATAGTTCGCGACATCGAACTGACCTTGCGCTCCTCGCCGCGAGCGGCCATCTCTGGGTTGCCAGTCATCTTCCCGCCGACTTTTTCGGTCGTCCCGCGCAACTTGTCCATCATGCTCGCCTTGTGCGCGCCGGTACCCTGGCCGCCACTGAGCTCTGGGTCCATACGACCGTAGTTCTCAGCGCCGCCAGATGAGGTATTGAAGCCACTAGTGTCGCGGTCACCAGTGCTGTAGCCCTGAGATTCGCTGAAGCGGCCTGTCTCCGGGTTCACGTCATCCTGGAAGTCGCCGCCGCCAGTTGAACCCTGGTAGCCCATACCAGTACGCTCGGCGCCCATCATGCCAAGACCAGTGCCGGCGCCGCCGGACCCTTGCATGTCGTTGAAGCCGCCAGCGTTCATATTGTCGGCGCCGGGGCCTGCTGCACCAGAAGAGGCGTAGCCAGTGCGCGACTGGTCACCGCCGAGGCCAGCCATAGTGTTGGCGTCATTGCCTACATAGGGCACACATGAGTATTGAAGAGATCATGAGTGCGAGCCGAAGGCGCGCTCACGTACCAGTCTGATAGGGAGTCTCGTACTTCTGCTGGCCAGAGTTGCCGCCGCCGAGGGTGTTCGTGTTGTAGTCGTTGAAGCCGGACATGATGAAGTTGATTGGTGAGTGTGAGTGTGCGTGCGTAAGGTGTATTTCGTGAAGAGGTTGGGTGTTCTGGATGATGGAGATGCTTCTCGCCCAACCGTTTATATCCGAAAGTCTATGTGACCAGGTGGCGAGAGGAACGATACTATGACGTTGAAGCGGAGCCAGGCGCACAGTTGTAATGTGAACAGGATTCGGCGCAACGTGCACCAAGACGTGGGAAACTAAACCCGTGGCATGGTGACGAGGTAGTGACGGAGTTAACATGTTATACGTCCATATCAAGTCCGTATACCACTCAAGTCCGCCCTCGGTACCAGCTAACAGGCTTCCCAACACGTTTATGTTACGTCCATGCGACAAAATGCCCGTGCACGAAGGCGTTCTCACCAGACCCGGCCTTGTCGTCTCGGTTTTTTTTGGCTCCCTGCTGATCACCCGTGATCTATGAGCGCAACGTGAAGGCAACCCCAGTCGTAAGTCATGGGTATTGCGCTCCAGCCCGGTATGATTGGGATGACGAGGTGACGGTCCGAGTCTGCGCGCCCGTGGAGTGAGGAAGAACGGGCGCAGACACCGCGCCGCACGGGTCTATTTTCGGGTCACGCTGGAGTCGCAGAAACTGTCTTCGCAGAGAACTGCCCTCTTGCAGCGTTCTGAATCGCGAGAAGTTGTACGCAGGTGTCAAGGTAGTCGGAGTCTGAGGAAGACCGACTCGGGCGAGCCTCGGGAGACGACATCATGCGCCACGTGGTTCCCTTATCGCCGAGCGCCGGCAGAATACAACTTCGACTCCGAGCTACGACGACCTTCCCTTCCAGCTTGCAACCTGGTTTATTACTGCCTATGCTATCTCAAGCTCACCCGCAGATAGATGCCTGCGCATGCGATGAATGACGAGACCAGGGCATGTGGCGCTCAAGTGTGTGATGTTGTCGCTTCACCATCATCTTCTTGCGCGCTGCGCGTCACAATCAGAGCTCGCGCAACGACGATACGGCGATGACCGCCGTGCCAATCTGCTTGTTGCATGCTTCCACCATAGCGAACCTACGTATACTGAGTTCAAGTGCAAAGTCTGAACTCAGAAGGTTCCTTGACCCGCACTGGCATCTCGTCGACGTGGAGTCGTGATCCCGCACCTCTTGCTCGCAGTTCGCGATTGGTTTTCTTAGTCCGGGAAGGACGTCCCGAGACTGGGAACGGGATCTCTTTACCTGAAAGAGCATGATCGTAGGAGAGCCCAACTGGGAGACAGCCATGCGTGACTTGTACGTCCCATCGAGCATTACATTCCGCTCCGGTGGTAGCGACAGGCTGCGTACCAGAGTCCGGAAACAGCTTACGGAGCAACCTGCTGATGCGGTACTCCCTCGCAGGTTCGATAACTACGCGGTACAACTGGTTCCAGGCGTCATCCTCTACTATGACTACCTCCTCACCATCGGAGACGAAGTCACCTATTATTGGCCCAATCGGTCGTTCACTTGGCTTTCGGCGCTCTTTCTGGCGACGCGATATGCGACGCTTCTTAGCTTTAGCACCGTTTTCATCTCCATGCTGTCAGGGTCAGCGACGGTCGTGCGTTTTCTATCGAAGATACTCGATCTATATCTGACCGTTCTTTGTAGAAGTGAGTACAGGATCACATCGACCATTGAGCATACGTCGACGTATGACATGTAGATGCGGGACAATCCAAGACGTTCATGAGCTCTTCGAGATCTTGCTCCAGATACCTGTAGGCTGTGTGTGCAAAGTTGTGCGAGTGTTTGAACTTCTGATCCTGTCCACCAGAGGCCTGTGCACCATTCGAGTATACGCACTGTATGCCCAAGATCGAAGAGTGTTGATTGGTCTTGCCATATGTGGCCTGTCTCTTCTGTCCACCGCTACTGTGAGTATACCTCCCTCGCTCAATCATGGTAAGCTCCTGAAGATTGACATGCCAACTGTACCTGGTGTCGACGGCTAACTTTGACAATCCTGTCATCTTCTGGTCGGCGGGTCCCCTCTGCACCACTATACGGGCCAAAAGCGACGCTACACGTATGCGACAGACAAAGCCTCATCGGAGGTTGTCGCAGAACGCTGATATCGACTTAGGACTGGCAATGGCTTGGGGCACTGTGCTGCTGTACGACATCCTCATCTTCTTTTTGACCGCCTTACGAGCTTTTCGCGTGTGGAATGCGGGCTCTGTTGTGCATGTCATCCTCCGAGACGGCGTTATGTACTTCTGGTACGATTCATATCTATCAACTGCTCGTCACAAGGCTGAACGTCAACCTTCCAGCGCCCTAACTGCTGCAAACGTCTTGAACATCGTGAACTTCCTGGTACGTATGGCTGCTGCACTTCGAGCGTCTTGGCCATCCACTGACCAGATCGCCCCAGGCTGCCCCAGTGAGTTTTGCCATCGTCTCCTATACGCACACATTTCAGCTAACGAACAACACGGTAGCCACTGCTCAAGCCTGCCTTCGCGTCTCTCACCAACGTACTCTCCGTCACGTTCGTCTCGCGTCTCATGCTTAACCTACGCTCGAACTCGAACTCCGATCCATCTCTCGAAGGGGATATGGAGCTCCATCCTACGCAGGCAGATCTCGACACCGTCATCTTGGATGTCGAAACGCACCGGTTTATGGCCAGTATGCTCAGCCCAGAAGGGTCAACTGGCTTGGACTCGCCTACCGGTGGCCCTGACTCTTGATGTGTCACGCCTGGGCTGTACCCCTCGTGTAGCCCACTCCCAGAATTCTCGATATACCTGCCCGGGAGAAGTTGTACCAAGTTGTACACGCTAAAGCTCGTGGATCTCGTCAGTCGGAGAGCCACGAGGCTCACAGCGAGCCGGCGCTAAACGTTCGGATCACAACTCCCATGTTGACCGTATACAAATCCTCGTTACACTCACCTCCGCAACAGGCGCTCATATACATGCCAATGTAGACTAAACTGCGCTGTTGAACCAATGTATAGGTTTACATCAGCACTTCGTCGCTTCAGTCCCGTCCCTCCGACACATACCCTCGCCCGCCTTGCTAAGTAGTTCTTCCTTCCATGCTTACTCCGATACGGCAGACGTACCTAACGGCCCTCATCTGCGGGGTAACCATAGCGAACATCTATAGCGTATCAACTGTTTGACAGATTAGCGCTGAACAGGCGTTGATGGCATGACGTCCGATTCCCGCGGTATTCCAGCCTTGGATCTGACTGGACGCTGCAGTTGGACAAGAGATTGAGGCACGTTCTGGCACGTTGCCTTCTTCCCCTCAGTCGGTACGTACTCGCATGCAAATGAGCCCTTCTAGTGCCTGGAAGTACTACCGGCGGCTTGTGAGAGCCTACGGCTTCAGCGATAAGTACGCGAGGGTGAAGCACGCCACTCACTTCTAGCTCTCGGCCCGCAGCGGTCGTCCCTAAGTAGTCGTCCCTGCGAGTGTGAGCGGGGCGCGTTCCCGCAGTCTTGCCCTCCCAGCACCGGGCTGTGCCATCTACTCTCCAATCCGATTGTAGAGCTGCGAAGATCAAGGAAGGGCATGGATGTAGGGGAGAGTGGAGAGGATTGGTCATTGATCACGCATAGCTTGTACGTGCCCTTCGTTCGATCTTTCGGCTATCATATCATCCATGAACGAAGTTGACGGGTGCATATATGCAGGTTCATCAACTACACATTGCAACTCGTCCCGATCGTGATTCTATACTACGACTACTTCCTGGCGCTGAGCGACGAGATTGCAAACTACTGGCCTCCGCGCCGCCCAATCACTTGGCTTTCAGGTGTATTCCTGGCGACACGCTACTTGGCATTGTTCGGCTATGTTCCCGTCTTTGTCTCCATGATCTGGGGATTTGAATCTGCGGTGCGTACGGTAAGTATCATCCAGCTTATGATGAGTACTCATAAGGTTCAGTAGGGGTGAGCATAGTTCTCTAGTACACATTAACTACAACATGCTCATATTTGAAAAGATGCGGTCCAGTCCAGAACTTTCATTTCTTCCTCGAAGTAGCCCTTCAAGTCCCTGTCGGCTGTAAGCGTGGATCACATCATGCACATCGAAGGGCTTCATTGATGCTCAACGCAGATCTTTGCGCTCTGCGAGTGTATGCTCTGTACTCCAAGGACCGCCGAGTTCTGACGGGTGTGGTCGTATTCGGTCTTGCTTGCCTAGTGGTAGCGGGGGTGAGTCTTAAAGCGCTTATCCGAAGCCGACCGACCTTACTGATGTTCGATTGGCACGCATGAAGTACTTGGCTTCATCTCTTCATGATCAGGTTCCGAACTTCTACTGGTCGGTTACCCCTCTATGCGCCACTGCACGGAGTACTTTCGACGGCCACCGTATGTACCACAGTCATCATAAAATGATGTGATGTACTGATATCGGTCACAGGCCTTGCACTCGCCTGGTCGGCGTTGCTTCTATACGACATCCTTATCTTTCTGCTCACAGCGACCCGCGCCTTCCAAGTTTGGACAGCAGGTCGCATTGTGCAGGTCGTCCTTAGAGATGGCGTGATGTATTTCTGGTGCGGTCCACTCCTTACAAGGTCGACCTATATCTGAACCAGCGCATATACAGTGCCCTGGCGGCCGTCAACCTTGTGAACATCGTGACGCTCTTGGTACGTTTACGCACTGTCATACTTATAGCTCTTCTTTACCCACTCACACGGTACCGAGCAGACTGCGACAGTGAGGACTTCGAAAGCTTATCTGGCATGCTTGAGCTGAAGATCACTATCTATAGCCACTACTCAAGACGACATTTGCCTCTCTCACGAACGTGCTATCTGTCGTCCTCATCTCACGACTCATGCTCAACATCCGTTCGGACGCGACTCCCGAAGCAATCACCGAAGATACAGAGCTCTCGACTACGCGCTTCGATCTTGACAGCGTCATTGTAACACAGCCGGAAGAGCCCCAATGCATCAATCGTCCGAGGGAACGCTTTGCTCGTGAGAGGACTGTGCGATTTGAGGATGCCATATTCGCTTCGTCTTCAAGTACAGACCCAATAGATAACGACTCTCGGCATGGGATCGCATGAGCATGATTGTACTATATCATCTCGCTGTACCCTGCTTGCATGTGCAATGATCGTTCGTGCAGTCTCGTTCAAACCCTAATGTAGGGGTAGCCGAATGGGCGCCACAGTTCAAGTAGGCATTCTACGATATGCTGTTGATAGCGGGCACGGTTCGAAGAAAACAGTCTCGTGCGATCGAAGATAGGAACGGGGAAGAGATGCTGCAGGCGCAGCATGAATTGCACTTCGATCGAAGACTAACTACAGCTACACATTTATATTCACAAGAAGTCACGACGACGACGAACACGAGAACCCATTATACCGAGCCAGCAACGACCATCATTACACTCACGCCTAGTACGACCTGCCGAACAACGTCCACCTCTTCGCGTCCTGCCCACACGCCACACACTTCGTCTGCCCCTCCACGATCTTCTCCCACCTCTCCTGCTCAAACGGAATGCACAAACTCTTAGCCCCCGCACTCGGCGCCCTCTCGTCCTGCGGCTCCGCCGCGCGCCCGCTCCGCTCCTTAATATCGTCCTCGCACGCCTCGCGCTCGCACCACGGCATAACCACCACATTCTTGCTATCGAGCGCGGGCACAACCTCGTCCCAGTTCCTAACCGCGACGATATGGTCCTCGTAATTCTTCTTCGCGCGCTCGAACATCTCCTTCTGGATCGTCTCCAGCAGCTCCGGCACGGCGGTGTTAAGCTCCTTAAGCGGCAACGGCGCCTTAACGCCCGTATCCCTCCGCGCGCCCAACGCCTGCTCCTTCTTAATATCCTGCGGCCCGATCTCCAACCTCAGCGGCACGCCCTTCTGCTCCCACTCGTTGAACTTCCACCCGGGCGTGTACAGGTCCCTGAGATCCGCCTTGGCGCGCACGCCGGCCTTCTTGAGCTCCGCGACGATATCGGCGCATTTGTCGTTGATCTCTTTGCGTTGCGCGTCGGACGTCTTGACGGTGATGCCGCAGGGGACGACGACGACTTGCACCGACGCCACGCGGGGCGGGAGAACGAGCCCTTGGTTGTCGCCGTGCACCATGACCATCACGCCGATCGTGCGCGTGCTCAGTCCCCAGCTATTCTGCCACACGTACGCCGGCTTGCCGCCGTTATCCGGGTCCTCGACGAAGATGTTGAACATCTCGGGCCGCGAGAAGTTTTGGCCGAGACAGTGGGAGGTGGCGCCTTGGATGCCGCGGCCGGAGGTGGGGACAAAGCCTTCGACCGTCGTGGTGTAGAGACCGCCTGCGAACTTTTCTTTTTCGGATTTGACGCCGGGGATGACGGGCACGGCCAGGAGGTCTTCGTAGACGCGCCTATAGAGGTCGAGGATCTGGCGGACTTCGGTGTCGGCTTCGGGTTTGGTCATGTGTGCTGTGTGGCCTTCCTGCCAGAGGAACTCGCGCGTGCGGAGGAAGGGCTCTGTTGATGAAGTCAGTTGGTGTCTCTACACCGGATTTAAAGAAGCGCCGTACGCGGGTTCTTGAACTCCCAGCGGACGACGGAGTTCCACTGGTTGAGCTTGAGCGGGAGGTCGCGGTGCGACTTAATCCACTTGGCGTAGTCTATGCATGTTCAATCAGTATCGTAGCCTCCGTTGAAAGACACGAGTTCACATACAAGGGTACATCGCCGTCTCAGACGTCGGGCGAATGGCGATCGGCTCCTCGAGGTCGGACTGGCCACTATGAACGCATACATCAGTACACGGGACATATGGAGGGTGAAGGCGAGAAGAACGTACGCGCGAGTGACCCAAGCGACCTCGGGCGAGAAGCCCTCAATGTGGTCTTTCTCACGCTCGAGGACCTTTTGCGAGACGAACATGGGGAAGTAAGCGTTCTCGACGCCCATCTCCTTGATCTTCTCGTTGAACCAGTCTGAGTGAATCTACTCAGCCCGTGTGTGCAGTGATACGGGATATGATCTTACATTGGATGGTCTCCCAGATAGTGTAAGACCAAGGCTTGAGAATGTAGCAGCCCGAGACGGAGTAATAGTCGAGCATGTCCGCCTTGATCAAAACCTGCAATCGCGCGTCAGCAATCTTATCTCCCCACTCAGACAAAGATCAAAACACACATTCGTATACCACGCCGCAAAATCGACCTCCTTCTTAACGCCGATAGCAACCTGCACAGCGCCCTCGATCCTCGCATCCTCCTTCTCCTTCTGCGCCTTCGCCGGCTGCGCGGGTTTCGCACCGGTGGGGACCGGTTCCGAGCTGAGGTTGGCAAAGTCGATCTCGTGGAAGGCGGCGTCTGGAGCGGAAGAGGCGAGGTTCTGGATGTATGATGCGAGATCGGAGCCGGAGACGAAGATGGTGGATGTCGGGGACGAGGCGCGGAGGGCGAGGGGTTTGGTCGTCGAGCTTAGCGCGCTGTCGAGTACCGTGATCACTTTCGGGAACGTCTCGGCCGTCAATGCGAGGGGGGTGACTATGACATGTCAATCAACATAGAATATCAAATGGGATATACGATATACGCACGCGAGTTCTTGTCGAGCTTAAAGGTCTCGATGAGCAGCTCGTCGTTGGCCAGCCTCATCTCCTTTGCACCGATCTTCTTGCCCAGCGCCGCAGCCTGCGTCTCCGTCTCCTCCCTCGCAACGACGACAACAGGCGTGACGGCGGCGCCCTTTGCGGTCTTGGGCTTGAACACGAGCATCTTCACGAGCTCGAACTCGGCCGGCGTGCCGTCGGCAGCAGCGAGCGCATCGCGCCATGTGGCCGGCGAGGGCGCCTCGGCGTGGGATACGCTCGCCTGCGTCGCGATCGGCGCCGTCGATGAAGACATTGTGCGGTGTAGAGTAGTGGGCAGAGGGAAAGTCTGTCGAAGGCTGGAAAAGGCAGAGCGTGACTCGCGCGTCCGACGCCGCGTTATCAGATCGAATTCCGTTTGGACGCCAAGTTTCGCTGCTGGCCCGCGCGCGGACGCTGTGGCACGCCGGATGGCTGCTCGCATGCTCTACCACCGTCGTCGTCGTTCGCGTCACGACGCGTCGACGTGGCGGCCGTCCCGCGTTTCGGGCGCGCTGGCCAAGGGGCGTGACCCGCGTAACGAGCCCGACAATTTGTCAAGTTCGCATCTGGACAGCGGGGTATTAGATTCGAGTATATTTTAAGTGTGTATGCAGGGGAGTCTACTATGAGTGGTGATGCGTGCTGTAGGTATCGTATGCGAAAAGCGAGAAAGTAAAGCGATATAAGCTATCAATGACTATGCGAGCCCTCTAGCTCTCCCAATACACCCTCACACCTCCGACAAAGCCTCTCATCCTCTTCCCTTGTAAACGTCCAACACCTCGGGCACTTGTCTCTCCTCGCCGGTCTCAACCTCAACCCCACATTGACCCCCTCAACCTCAACGTTCTCCGTATACACCCAGTCGTACTCCTCCTTATCCGACTCGATGGCGCATTCACCAACGACATTTGCGTCCGAAACGATGAACAGCGTCTTAAGCGTCCCCTCCTCACGCCTCAACAACTCCCCAACATCACCTGCCTTCCCTCCGCTAGGCAAGATCACGTCAACCTCAGCCTCAAGGCTGCCGTTCATATACTTATCCCTCCTCGCCGTTTCCAACAACCCCAATACGCTACCCCGGACTTTCAACAGCGAGCCCATCTCCTTCGCCGCGAGCTCGTCTTTCCATTTGCTTTCGTTCAGCGGCGTCCAGGGTTCTTCGAACAGGCTGCGACCCGTCGTGCCGATTTCGCTTTCATTGGGTTGGGAAGACGGAGGAGTGAGAGCGCGTTGGGCGTGCCAGTGCGCTTCTTCGGCGAGGAAGGGCGTGACGGGCGCACAGATCCGCGTGAGCGTCTTCAGGACCGCTCGGCACACTGTGACCGCCCTTCGCCTCTCAAGGCTTGTAGGAGCAGACGCGTATAGCGCGTCCTTGGTGATGTCGAAGTATAAGGCCGAGAGCGTCGTAGTCGTGTATGTCGTCAGAGCGTTAACCACTGCTCAATCGTATCAGTATGCAGCGACGGCGCGGTAGAGACTGATCGGCTGACCTTTCGCAAAGTTGTACGCCTCGTATCCTTCGAGCGCGGTCTTCTCGAGCTCCCATGTGCGGTGCATCACGTACCGCTCGGCCAACCCAAGCTCTTCCTTCTTCACCTCCTCGCTCTCCGCACTACCGATGTTACCCAGCGCAAAGCGCAGCGTGTTGCGAATCTAGTTCGAAGAAGAGTTAAGTACGCATAACAGGATAGGCACGGGCGAGGTGAACGAACCCTACGCAGCGCCTCACCAGCCTGCTTCATCGCCGTCCTCCCAATGGCCATATCCCGTCCATACTCGACCGTAGCAGCCCACAACCTCAACGCATCAGCGCCATACGCCGGATCCTTCTTCTTGTCCTACACGGCACGCATCAATTCTAACCCCTATACGAAGTGAAGAAGAATGAGACGTACCGCGCCACCAGCAACGATCTTCCCGAAATCCACCACATTCCCCTTACTCTTACTCATCTTAACGCCCTTTTCATCCAGCACCATCCCATGCGTCAACAGCGCACCATACGGCGCTCCCTTATTCCCATCACTCTCAGCAACTCCAGACCCGACGTACGTCAACAGCTGACTCTGGAACCACCCGCGATGTTGATCGCTTCCTTCGACGCATACGTCCGCGCGGGGTTTATTGTCGTCGCGGGTGGGGAGCATAGCCCATGATGAGCCGGAGTCGAACCAGACGTCGAGGGTGTCGGTGCTCTTGGTCCATTCTGACGGGTCGGTGTTGGCGAGGAGGGAGGGGGGGACGAAGGTGGATGCGGGGGCTGTGAACCAGTGGTCTGTTCCGTGTTGTTCGAGGACCTGGCGGAGCGGTTAGTAGGGCGGTCAGAAGGAGGGGGTGGAGGGAGACGTACGGAGATGATGTGGTCCATGCTCTCTGGTGTAAGAACAACTTCGCCGGTGGGTACATGCGTGAGCGCGGGGATGGGTACACCCCATGCTCTCTGACGCGATATACACCACTCGTCGCGCCCGCTCACGAACGCTTCAAGTCGTCTCCTCGCTACACATTGCATCCCATTAGCTCCACCCTTCACTCATTCACAAAGGCGAGAGAAAAGACGCACATTGCTCCGGCAGGAACTTGACCTCTTTTATAGCCTCAAGCGCCCTCTCCTTCACCCCATCAAGATTAGCGAACCACTGGCTCGTAGCGCTCACAATAACCGGTTCGCCCGTCTTCCAATCGTAGAAGTACCGATGCTTGTACCTCTCGACCTTAATTAATGCGCCCTTTACACCGTCCCTGAGCAAGTCGACCATCCCCTTCGCACCGGGACCAAGTACGGGTTGGCCGACAAGGTGTTGTGCAGATGGTCCCAGGGTGGATGTAAGCTTTGATGTGTATAGACCGCCGGCACCGACGTGGCATATGAGGTCGTCGCCGCGCGCGGAGGGGAGCGCTTTGTAGTCTTCGTGTCCGTGTGCCGGTGCGAGATGCACAATACCCGTCCCCGAGTCGTCGCCAACGAAGTCCGCCGCTATCACACTCTTCTCCGTCGTATCCGCGCCCCCCAGCTCAGAGAAGAGCGGGGAGTACTTCATGCCCACGAGCTTCGAGCCGGATATTGTGCGCAGAGTGTGTAGCGTGTCTTGATCCTGGGAGAACCCTAGTACACGCGCGGCTTCGGATATACGCGCTGTAGCGACGAGGTAGACCGTATCGGCTTGCGGGGCGCGTATAAGCGAGTACTCCATCTCTTCGTTCACAGCCAGCGCCATATTCGCGCTCAAAGTCCACGGCGTCGTAGTCCAAACAAGCGCCCTAACCTCCCGCACCCCACCCTCCGCCAATCCGCCCATCAACTCCTCCCCATCCACCTTGAACGCCACAAACACCGCATGACTAACATGATCGTCCTTATACACCAGCTCGGCCTCCGCCAGCGCGCTTTTTGAACTCGGACTGTAGTGCACGGGCCGGAAAGCGCGGCGGATGAGGCCCTTGGAGAGCATGGAGCGGAAGACGCGCAGCTGGCGGAGCTCGTAGGCGGGGTCGAGCGTGCGGTAGGTGTGGGCGGGGGAGTCCCAGTCTGCTAGGATGCCGAGGGTGCGGAACTGGGATTTTTGGGACGAGATGGCTGTTTGGGCTGTTTGGTGGGCGAGGGAGCGGAGGGCGGGGACGGAGAGGGAGGATGGGTCCTGGATGTATACATTTTAGCGACGTATTACTTGAAGAGAAGGAAGAGAGGGTACCTCGACGGATTGGAGAGCCTTGTTCTCAATGGGTAGACCGTGACAGTCCCAGCCGGGTACATAACTGCGCCACAAATTCAGTGCTAATCCACTCAAGGGTATACTAGAGATACATACTGTACATTGCGACCCATAGACAGTTGATACCTATTGATGATGTCCTTGATGATCTTGTTCAACGCATGGCCTGTCCGCACGTCAACATACGCTTCCCGAGACATGCCCGAACCTGACACTCACCCATGTGCAAGTCCCCATTTGCGTATGGCGGGCCATCATGCAACACGAACTTGGGTCCAGTGACATTCTCGCGCTACCTTAACCCATTCTTATCAGTATTCATACCCAACCATCAAGTATGAACATAAAGTGCGACCTGCCAGCGATACAGCGCATCACACGTCTTCTCCCTCAACGCCCTTTCCGTCCTATTAGGGTCCGTCCACTGCGGAAAGCTAGTTTTTGGGAGTAGCAAGGTCTTGCTGAACGCCTTTTTTGCCTCTGACGCTGTCGAAGTCGAAGCGAAACGCGGGAGAGGACGGGGTCGGAAGAGGGCCATGGACGCGCCGAGCCAAGTCGCGTCGCGTACCAGGCCGGTTGAAGTCACGCGTATGGCCCGCGATGTCAAGCGCTTTTAGTCTTTTCCATCGTCCGACTCGAGATTTGAGTTGACAGGTCCTTCTTGATCTTCGACCGTCACCGTCGCCGTCGTCGTTCGCCCAGTTCTAACCGCCATGGCCAACATCGAGAAACCGCGTGTGCGGATCCTGGCGCAGAGCGAGGTCGCGGAGCACAACTCTGAGCGCTCGTGCTGGGTCGTGCTCGACAGGAACGTCTACGACGCGACCGCCTTCCTGCCCGCGCACCCCGGCGGCGACGGCTACATCCTCCAGCTCGCCGGCGCCGACGCACGTGCCAAGATGGAGGAGTACAAGCACACGGCCTCTGCGTACGAGCTGCTGCAGGGCATGCGTTTCGTCGGCAGACTCGGCGCGGGCGAGCAGCTGGTGGACGAGAACTGGGAGGCGACGGACGATTTTGTGCCCGAGGAGACGGACCAGGCCAAGGACTACGAGACGAACGAGTTTTTGGATCTCAGGAAGCCCTTGTTGAAGCAGATGTGGTACTCGAACTTCAGCAAGGCATACTACCTCCAACAGGTCCACCAGCCCCGCCATCTCGCTACCACCGCCAAGCTCTTCGGGCCGGCATACCTCGAGGTCTTCACCCGCACAACGTGGTACACTATCCCGACAATTTGGCTCCCCATCGCCAGCTACCTCTGGCTCCGCGGCACCCTCCAGCTCGGCGGCAACGCCCTCCCGCCCTTCCGCGAGCACCCCGCTCTGCCCCTCGGTCTCCTCGCCGACGTGCCCGCGTCCGCATATGCGACCGCCGTCGCAAGCTGGGCGTTGGGATGCTTCATCTGGACCCTGCTCGAGTACATCTTCCACCGATTCCTCTTCCATCTCGACTACTATCTCCCGGACAACGTACCCATGCTCACCCTGCACTTCCTGATGCACGGCATCCACCACTACATGCCCATGGACCCGTACGTGTCTCTTCATATCAGTCTGTTTCGGATAGCATGCTGATCAGGCGTGTCACTGTGCAGGTTACGCCTCGTGATGCCGCCCGTCATGTTCAGCGCGCTATCATACCCAATGACCCAGCTCGCACACGTCGTCTTCCCTGCTGCGATAGCGAACTGTGTCATCGCGGGTAGCTTCACGTTCTACGTCCTGTACGACTGCATGCACTACGCGTAAGTCTACCTGCGTCTTTTATCTTCACCTCGTGCGCAGCGCTGATGCCGAGATGTTGGGATTGCAGGTTGCACCACACGCGTCTCCCGGCGTACGTCCGCGAGATGAAGCGGTATCACCTTGCGCACCATTACAAGAACTTCGAGTTGGGCTTCGGCGTGACGAGTAAGCTCTGGGACATCGTGTTCAACACCCAGCTCGTCATTTAGGTGGCCGTCTTCTCATTGCGCCTGTTCTTGTACTCGTGTCGTTGGTGGATCTCCGTCGTGTCATCTCATATACCTCTCTCTAGACCTCTTTGTGCAGTCTCTTGTATACACTCATTTAATCTACGTGTTCCTTTCCAGTGTTCCATGCTGTCTTGATCGCCAAGTTGAACCCCCGAGATTCAAATACCATCAATACACCGACAGAAACGATTGCGGAATAGATGGCAACAGGATGACTGAAATTTTTGGCAGGGTTAACATCTGGAAATACGAGCATAAGAGCCTTGGAGGCATTCTGTACGTAGTCGCTGTACCGAACACCGATAACTTGGCCAGCAAAACACAGGTGCACGGGGTGGAAACAGAAGAATCGTGGTCAAATCCGTGGAGACGTGGTGCGGGAAATCTGGATACAGCGGGTCTGGAAAGAGACAAACATGCTAGCTCCGCGAGAAGATGATAGCGCACAACTCACTGCTGCGAAAGCGGTGCCTTCATGGAGGAACCGGGCGCCGGCGGTGCTATCGAAGACGCTGACGGTGCCGTTCCGTTGACCGCGTCGTTCAGTTGTTGAAAACGGTGACCAGCCTGGTTGCGAATCCATTTCCAGGCCCTTGCGCTCTTCCCAATCCCCTCCTCCGGCTTGGCCTGGGTCACCTTCAGGAAGTCCCGCTTCTTCTTCATGGCAATGAGGCCCTCCTCGACCTTCTGCAGCTGCTCATTGTCGACGCTGCCGCTGGCGCGCATAGCATGAAGCTTCTGGTCGTACAGGGCGATAGCCTTGTCGATTAAGGCCGTGAAGCTGCCGGAGAGAGTAAGGTTGGCGTATTCGGACGTGAGATCCGCCACCTTCGTCATGCTATCGCCGATCGATGCCTTGAGATTGTCAAGCGTCTGCTCCAGAGCCGCCTGCGCCGCCTCGTCGCGTTCCTTGCCCTGCTTCGCCTTATCCCACTTTTCCTTCTTTTCGCGATCAATCTCGACCGCGACGTCTTCAACTTGCTTCCATACGGCGCGGAAATGCGAATGCTTCTCAAGCGGGTGATTGCAGTATGAGCATTCTGCCCAGAACCACTTCATCGCATGACACCGTCGAAGGGCCTGGGGGTCGAGTGTGAAGTCGTAGGTGCATCCTACGTGGCAGTTGGAGTAGCAGCCTGTCTCAGAGCAAAGCGTGTTGACCATCTTCGTAGGCACGTGCTTCCAGACGAGCGTGTCGACCTTCTTCTCGTAATCGGAGCTCTTGCTCATCGTCTGCGAACGAAAGCGTTTCGTCAAGGAAAGTCGTCTCGCGCAGAGACATAGACAGGGTACCCACAGCTTCACCCAACTTGATCGCACGTATGCACTTCTGTGTCTCGTTCCATTTCGCAATCGCCTGTTCCATCTGAGCGAGCGAGTTGGCGATCTGCTCCTCGATGGCCTGCGACTTCTCGTACAGACTCAAGATCTCCGTAGTCGGCTGTGGCGTGACTCCGTCCAGCCAGTCGAAAACTCGGACCAGCGTCTCGAGAGCATCCTCTTCGGGAACCTTGACCTTCTTGCGTAGCTGCGCGATAAGCCGCGTCTGACCAGGGGGCGTGGTTGCCATGATCTCCTCGTACTTCTTCCGGTGTGCCATCGGGTTGTCGAAGAGGAACTGAGGTGCGTCGCGGAGAGCCGCAGGGAGGGAGTCTTGCGAGAAGTTCCACGAGAGCGGACTCGATACGTTCGTGAACATGAAGCCGATGTTGGCGGCGAGGGATTTGGGGAAGATAGCGGACAGCGTGGTGAGAGCGTAATCCGTGCAGATGTTGAGACGAGGTAGCGTTCCGTTCGCGAGGATGATAACACCGTCAACCGACTCGACGTAGTCGCGGATCTGCGTGGCGATGTTCTTCTTGTGCAGCTCGTCTTGTTGGATACCGCGCGTGTCTGCCAGACCGGGTGTGTCAAGTATGCGGATCTATACAGAATGTCGTGAGATACTATCATGCATGTAGTAGATAACGTATAATACCTTCACCCCATCAACACTTTCGAAAGTGTAAAGGCGAGCGGAGTTGGTCTGGCTACCCTTGGAAGAGCCTCCGGCCTCATTGGAGCGATCGAGAATATCCAGATCATAGTCGAGAACAGACTTTCCGAGCATTACGTTGGCAACGTACTCGAGGAGAGAAGACTTGCCCACGCCGGTCTCGCCAACAAGAAGGATGGTGTAAGGCTCCTCAGCACGGTGTCTCCTGGTCTTGACGATGCCCTCCCGAAGATCCTCGACGGAACTATGAGGGCGTTAGCCGTTGTACATCTCAATGAGAGACCGTGAATACTCCTACTGACTTGATCAATGGTATGTCGACGTCATCCACGTCGCCCATTGTGGGTTGGGGGTTGGTAGAAGATTGCTCGCAAGGAGCGTATGGTGGAGGGACCAGCCTGGAAATGGTTTGATGTAGTCAAAGGTAGCGTACACGTCAGACTCACGAATCAGTGACAGTGTTGTCTAGCATCATGCTGAGGGTAGAAGAGACCAGTAGTCTTTGCAACCGGTGAGTCCGTCTGGCGCCTTTTATACAAGCGTCAGCCTCTTGTTATTGAATATAATTGAGCAAGGTGCATTCACGTGAGTCTTTCATGTTACGTTCACGCCGCCAGTAACCGATACGAGTCGCACGTTTGACTAGTCGGCCAATCGAGCTTCGAGATTCGAGTGAACGACGCAGTATCCACGGCAAGTGAAGCTAGTGAAGGCTCGATTGGCTCCGACAATTGCATTATGAACGTTCTCCCGCGATAACGAGCTTCATGATCGCATAGAACAGCCCGGACCAGCGAGTAGACCGCCTCCATCTGGCTTCTCATTGCGTGATATGCCTCCTGTACATTGATATGAGTAAGCACCTGAGCCAGCGATACCGTCATCGAACCGCGTCCTGACCAAGACGAAGCTGCGTGTGAAGGATCTCGAGTTCCTTCGGGCTACAACACGAGGACAATCTATCCTGAAGAGACGCGCATGCGGGTTGTCTGGGTGGTGAAGAGGCATCTCATATGTTCGTTCAGGGCCTAGTATCCTCATGAATGAATAGGAGCTTGACTGGAAAAGGGATATCATGGTTAGTGTTATAGAAGAGCTCCATGAGGCATCCGTACTGCATCCGTTCGCCACTCTGCGGCGTTGGAAATGGCGAGTGTGACGCTGAAGATGATCGATGAGCTGCAACTTAGTTCATGGATATCGACAGACCAGTCAGAGCGTGCGATTCAAAGTGCCAATCAGGTCGCAAATGGATGGGTCGCGCCGAGCAGTTGTGTATTATGTTTTGGATAGGCGGTAGCGTTGAGCATTGGTTGAGCACATGACAGCTGGAAGAAACAACATCGATTGGTGGGCATGTGCAAGCACCTGGACGCGATGATTTCCCACGCACCATCTTCTTCCCGGCGCTCATGCACTCATGTCTCCATTTGAGCCATCCGAGTACTCTCATGATCTTCATGTCATGTATCTGCCTCCCCCTGGCGAGACGCAAGGAATGGCGGCTGACGGTCTTCTTTGCGCCCAGCATGTTTGCACGTTGATTCAGCAGAATCGAGTTCGGGGCAAGGCTGGCAGCTGGTGCCATTCAGGGCTAAACACAGGTTAAGCCTCTAGCGATCCAAGCCATGTGAATGTGCCGCCGACTGTCTGTGACCGGCTGTACATCCTTCAACTCCGCCGCTTAAGGTTGCTCTCCCTCGAGAGCGCCTTGGGTGGATTGCCATCGCCGTCGTTCTCGCTCTACCGCCCATCCAGTATCAAACTAGCCAACCGAGTCAGACATCTCCCAGTCCCTATCGAGGAAACTGCGCTGATATTGCTTAGAAATGAGTGACAACTTCATTGAGATCAGGGTTCTCGGCGGCGAACAGTGTTACCTTGGGCAGCTATACGACACTAGAACGAGCGCCCTTTTGCCAGGTCACGCTTTGTACAAGAATTCAGACATCCGTCCCCGCCAAACGTCCGCGAAGAGCACCAAGATCCACCTCGTCGCTATCAATAGTTTCTCCGACAGGGCGTCGAGCCTCAACATATCGGCTCAGCTCTCGCTTGCTGTCCTGGCAGGTCTGATCAACGCAAATGGCAGTGGGTCCTTCCTCACCAGTCACGACGACACGGACGAATCCGTGACGATAGCGCTCATCTCTCGGTATCGGTCCCACACCGAGTCGCTCGACTTCAACGACCTTGAGAACAGGATGTCTATGTCTGCCCATGGGTTGGCAAGCATCGGCGCCACGCACGTCGTTACCAGCATCACATACGGTGGCGATGTCATCGGCACCATGACGCAACGGTCGGCTCACACTACGGATGCGACAGTCGTCAGGGGGGGATATGATCTCTCGCTTAGGACGATGAAAAACATGGGGAAAGCGCTTGGCGTTGGGAGCAACGGTGGACTCACTGGCGATGAGAAGGCATTGCTGGATGGCTATGACCTCAAGGTGGATCTTGCGGCGGACTTCAGGCTCGAGGATGATCAAATACCGACGGACCCAGCATCGATGCTTGAGCTACTCAGGAAGAGTAGCTCGCTCGTAGGCGATGGCGTCCCATGCGAGGTCCGATTGACACCCCTCTCCAAATTGCTTTCGGGTGTCCCCTCCATTCGCGAGCTTGCCGAAGCTGATCTCCTCGACATCAGACACGCGTTTGACAACTTCTTGAAACTCGAGCATAGTCGTGCTCGGATGTATGACGCCGTCCAAGCTCACCAGGAGTTCTTCCCCTCATTCACCTCCCTTGTCGCGACACGCTCCATCGAAGTAACCAAGCTCGTTCAGCGGGCGCGAGACCGGCTGCGCGCATACTTGCAGACGCATCGCAGTGCCCGTGTCACGGACGCTCCCAAGGACCATGTAACCGCTGGCGAGTTCGTTGCCTCGATCCGGACGGGGTTCACCGCTGCGGCGAGTGACCACGAGAAGGATAAGGCTTTGTGGCGCAAGTGTCAGGACATACTCGCCGTCGCTAAGCGTCACGAATTTCCTATCGTCAATATTAGCAGCATCAGCGGCAAAATGTCTCGTGTAAACCAGACGGCGCTTGTCGCGATCCTTGTTCCGGAGAACCCTCATTGGGAGACCCTCATCACGCTGTACAGCGACATCGCCGTTGATATTCGGCAGTGGCGCCGGTCCATCGACATTTCCGAAGGTGTCTCAACCGAGTACATGACCATCTACGCGGATCCGTATCGCGACACCATGCTTCACTCGTTGGATGACAAGGCTGCGACTTTGATGTCTGCGCTTCAAGCAGCTAGGTGCGTGTTGGCGTCTGATCACGTGTGCATGAAGACTCATACACCCGCGCTATGTACAGAAACTCAAAACAGGCTGTTCTACTTTCGTACGGCCGATCTAGCGCTCCTGTAGGCGGCTACTCCTGGCGTTTGCTCAACGAGGATGGTTGGGGTGTGGTTGTCAACAAGGTTGAGGCTTGGAGATACGTCGGAGAGGTCGCGAGGTCCAAGCCTCATGGCAGCGGTGTCATCACCTACGTGAACAAGAAAAAGTACATCGGCAGCTTTGTACACGGTCAGTGCGATGGAGAGGGCAAAGTCGTCGACGAGGGAGGTATTGATGTCCCCGGAATGAATGGGGTTTTCATGGCGAACGTCTTGAAACCACATGGCGTTATGGTCGAAGTGACCGTCATGAGCAAGAACGGTATACCTGTACAACATCGTCGGGTCGCGCTGAACCGCTGGGATTCGGTGCGCGCACATGCCGCTCGTTTGGCAACAGTACTAGATTGGGATGGCTCACGGCGCCTTCGCATCGTCGTCGATGACGGGGCCGCGCAGGTGGATGTGTTGGGTGGCATGATCGATCCTGATGAGAGTCCCGCGGTGGAAAGCTCGTGTTGGCAATTGGGAGATCTATCGCGGATTGTGGCTCACATTCGTTAAATCAGCCCGTCGAACGAGCGTACCCACGATTCTCGAGTTTATTCAGATTATCCCTATGGGATATATTTGTATCACATGGACGCCTGAGAAAGGACTATGACATCTTTTTGGTATTTCATGGTGTCTACTACGAGAACAAGCACAGCCGCATGACTAGATGAAGATAAAAATACAAGCCAGGAGTCCGGGGGCACACAAGTACCCATATAATGAGGTGATAACGATACAGAGAGAACGGGGAGCGTGTGTGATAGCGAGATCGAAAGCAAGTTTGCATGGTCCATAGCGAGAGAGCGGTTCGAAAGCATGGTAAACAGAGGGGCGTGAATGAGTGGGTGTGTTGATGATGAAGTCGTGCGGGGCGCTGCCCAAGGGTTGGGGCTCAGCCCAATGAAGACGAGAGTGCAGGCACTCAATGCGTTGCGCGCTTGACGAAAATGGCGATGACGATAATGGCGGCGATGACCGCAGTCAAGGTGGTAGCAGCGAGGAGTGAGCGGCGAGCCCAGCGGACCTCGGAAGCGCGCATGCGCTGGAGCATCCGTGCGCGCTGTGCGGGTGTCTTGTTCGCCTCCCAATCGGTAGGGGCAGACAAGGGCGAGAGCAGGATGATGAAGCTCAAGAACCACAAGAGCGGGCATACTGTGAGAATAGAGTCAGGATGTAGTCTCAGAAGTGCATAGGGAGATGACGTACAGAACCCAAACTTGAACAAGTACTGGGCGAGGGTGACTGGTTCACGCTCTTCACCATCCCCGCGCTCCAAGTCGGCAGACGCAAACTGAGCGTATGTCGGCAGCTCTTCCTCGCCAAACTCGTTGACGGTTGCGCCAACTGGGTAGATGTAGGCGGGAGGAAGCTCCTTGGTGATGCTGCTCACGGACGAGGCCGTGGGGCGCTCGTCGTGGCGGGAGTCGGTGGTGCCTGTAGCATCGCGGCGAGCGGTAACGCCGAAGAAGAGGTCGACCGCATTGGCCTCAGAGGCAGGGCGCGCTCCTGTTGAGCGGGCCGGGATGGTGAAGGCGCGGGTAGGAGCCGGAAGCATCGCATCCGCAGAGCAGAAGGATTCGCGGGAGTGTTGAGGGAGAACCGGCGTGGAGGAGGCGGCCTTCTCCTTGGTCGTGAAGAGGTTGAAGAGCGAAGCGAACATCGTGATGAAGTCGGGAGAGTAATCGAGCGCCTAAAACGAAGAAGACCTTAACGGCGAGTGGCACAACGGACGGGCTGTGGCGAGGCGGCGAGATGACGGAACTCATGTTCGCGGATCGCCGTTAAGTATCCTGCTGTAGCCGAGCCAACGACAGAAGAGGGTGCGTTCCAACAAGCGCCGACAGTGGACCCACAGAGCGCCCTCCGCAGACCGTGAGCACAACGGCAACCCAGATGAGCGACGCTGCCGTCAGTCACCGCGGCAACCGATTCTCACGGTTCTCATGAGGGCTGTCCCACGACTGGTGAGCGGGAGGCGGCCGTGTGCACCGAACAAGCGCCCACGATACCTGCCACGAAGCACCTCCCGCCAAAATCAGTACATACGTACCAGATGCTGGATGCACAGCGCACGAAACCTTCGCTGGGTGAGGTGCGATTGAGTCGCGCGTCAGTTGAAGTAACGGGTATTCATTCATTCGGATTTAGCCGAAACAGCACTAGTCACCTCCTCGATCTCGCGTACGAGTGCTGGTGGGTGTTAAGTATTTACCTGAGCTCACTACTCACATAGAGTACCGTCTCTGCGCGAGTGAATTCAGTGCTGCGTCCGTCCCAATCGCCAACCCTACTCACCCTCATCTGGCGACCCTTCCACTGGATGACTGGCACAAAGATCAAGAAAAGTCCCGCCACGACGCTGTACTCCGACGTGAGTAGCAGTCCTACAAAGGGCATACGAGATGCGACATACGCAGCCTCGCATCCGAATGTCTGCAGTGCGCCCTCTTTCGTTGCCCAGGGCAATTGGAAGAACGTTACCGAGAAACCGCCGAGGACACGCGCAAGATTGATCAATGCAGAGATTTCGCCTTGATGGCGCGGGAAACAGTCGTTCAGATACGCGTCTGCGGATATATTAGTGACATGTCATACGAGCACAACGCGAGGTCACTCACAGACAGCGACGGTACCAGTCATGATAGAGAATTCGGTGATACCCCAGCCCATGACGAGTGCACCAGTTTGGAGGTGGTTCTGGAATGTTGCTCCCAGAAGGACGGAACCGCATATGTATAAGGGGACGGCGATATAACATGCCCTGCATGCCACGTTAGCCATCACAGATGCACTCAAACAAGGTGATGTGTACCATAAACGGGCTTCCGCCTCAAAGACACCATGGTTCCTGCGGATGGATACTGTCTGAATCTTGTCATTCACGTATCGTCCAAAGACTTCACCCAGTACCACGGCAACCTGTTCCCAGTCATGCATCAGGCTCACTCTCACATAGGGTACGACGGCATACCATCGGCGTGGCATAGCTACCAGCAATGGCCGGCTGAGAGAAGCCGAAGCCGCCCTCCGACCGCGGGTTTCCCAGGAAGACGACATTGGTACCCTTTGATTGCATCAATTCGTCAGAACCGCTGTTGAGGTATAGAAGCGAGATAGTGAAGCGGACGTACGTTGATACCGATACTGAAACCAAACAGAGCGGCTTCGAAGATGAGAATGCCCAAGAGGTGCGGGCGCCAGATGAGCTTGAGAAACTGCAAGAACGCGTCCCACAAGGTCGAGCGATGCTTCGCCATGCGCATGCCAGTGAGACCTATCAAGGTATCAACACGGTAGTGCAGCGATGGTGGGGGACGTATTGGTATAGGTTTGAGGGTGCGATCATACATCCTGTGACGGGTATGAGACGAATGGTCATCGGAGGACATAACAAGGCACGGCTGACGTCTCACGTCCGAAGACAGCGATTAGCGCCAAGACGATGACCCCATAGATGCTACCGATACCGTAGGCCCATCTCCAGCTATGCGCAGATAAAGATTGAGTGCGAATGTTCCTGCAATAGAAAATGCACTTGCCTAGCGTTCTCGACAAGGAAGCTGAACAGGAAAGGTGACAAGAACGGGGACATGAGGAAGCCCATCGTCCATATGTTGAGCTGAGGGAGGTCGTTAGTTCAGGAGCAACACATGAAAGTCTCCAATATAACTCACCATCCGAGCTTGAAGGTGGAAGGGATACATATCCGTTATCACAGCAAGACCGGTCACTTGCGGAGCGGTCGCGAAGAAGGCATTGAGGCATCTCATGGCTGGCCAGTGAATGAGTGACGCAATAGTGTACTATATGCGCACATCTCACCTGCAAATGTAGCTAAGTTCGGTGCAAACGTCGCCCCTATCATGAAAGCCTGGCCGAAAACCTGGACAGTAGTCAGAGAAGTATCGCGTTGTTGGCAATGGTTGTGCTCACTTGCGACCAGAACAGAATCGGGAGGCGTCCGTACCGGCGCATCAATATGACTGCCAAGACACTTCCCCAACCTAATGATGTCGGTTCCAGTGCCTAGGGACAGAGTGAGTGAAGCATACCAAGTAGAAAAACGCTCCAGCTATCAACGTGGGTTACGCGTCAGCGTGTGAACATACTTGGGGCCGCATCATGTCCGCCACTCACTTGTTCGTCAGGTCATTGATCTCGCCTGTAGTTGTGTTAAACTGCCTAGCGAGCGGGAAGAGGCATGCTGTGCCTTTATGGGGCTGCATCAGTGTTTGAAACTGGTCGATCCAAGTCAGAGAACACGATGCACACCTACGCCATTCTGAAAGTCAGGTACGATGGCGGCAAGCGTTATCACTATCATCTGTATCGTTTTGCGCCGCTTGCTCCACTATGTCCAGGCTGAGTATTTCACCGCAAAATTAGATGTGCCCACGTACGTTCTGAGGATCCTCAGGGTTGTCCGTGGGCTGAGGCCACAGTACTTTCATGCCATCCCGGGAGAGCTTGAGCTTCGCTGCGACGGCGGCACCGAATTCGGCCTTCGCTTCGCTGACAATCGTATCAGTCACCGACTTGCTATTCGTAACTAGGGGAATAAGACGTACTCGGGATCGATTGCGAGACTTCCGGCACGTTGCTCATGGTACGCGTAAAGGTCTATGAGCGAGCCATTCTCCAACTCGTACACTCCAATCGGTAGCGACCGCTTCTCGTCCGCATCGGCATAGTCGGTGCGCACCTCCTCCGTTTTCTTCATGCTGACGGAGAACGAAGACATTCTGCGTGGCCTGTATGAGTGTGCGCAGTCAAGTAGGTCGAAGACCCCTTTCGCCGTACTGCGCGGAGTACGATCGATCATGTGAGGTGGTCTTCGCAGAGGCGGCAGTCCGCGTGAGGGGGTAAGTGTGCGATTGAAATCCCATTTGCATGGCCGGCGTATTCTCGAAGAGTCGGAGAAGATAGCCAGTTGGTGTTGTGCTTCTATGGCACTGCCCGTGTCCCAAGTCGAAGCTCAGGCTCAGGACCCCGTGCGGTGTTTGCATCATGGGAGCAGGAAGCGTGGCCAGAGGACACCATATAGAGATAATAATACAGAGAACTGCAAACGCACCCGAGCTTCGGCGGGTGAAGTGGGGCGCAGATCGTCCAGCCTTGTCGATGGATTGCTATGGAGATGTCGGGAGTGTCGCGTCCCCAATCGCATCATAAGCATCTGGCGACAATGATCTTGCGAGTCATTAGCGAGCCCTCAACAGGTTCTCAAAGCGGTGTTAGCCACTGATACTATGTGAGCAATATGGTATAAAGCAAACAACACCATGGTTCCATTAGACCACCCATCATCATACTATAAGAACTCAAGTCCAATCCCCATCTGTACGCCTCTCCTGAATCCATCACTTTTCCTCGCCGCGAGAGGTACGCCAAAGTTAAGCTCCACACGCACAGGGTCGAATGCGTAGATGAGACCGACGCCTGCAGATACAGAGGGCTGGGATATTGATGCGCGGACGGCGTCTTTCAGGGAAGGTGCTGCGGGACGTGACGATGTGAGATTAGGAGCCACAGCCAAGCCCAGATGATGGGACGTACCGCCCTGCAAAGAGTCAAGTTGACCAGCGTTAACGAATAAATGGAACTTCAAGGGCCAATGCGGTACACGCGGGATATTGCTGACAAGGCTAGCGCCTGCCGCCCAAATTAGGTCACCACCTACGGAATCCGCTATAGGGCGAAGCATCAGCCACCTTGCCAAGGCGAATGGACAGAAGAAGAACATACGTCCGTCTCGCGGCCCTAGACTATTTTGTCGGAATGACCGCACCGACTGGGGCCCGCCCAGTTGGAAACGATCTGGAAAGAGCGTGTTTTGACCTTTCAGAGCGTGTAACAAGCCTGCTCGTGCGCCCAGGGAAAGTGTCTGGAGACACAGTCAGTATGACGTTCTTTCGTAAGCGCAGTCACGGAGACTCACCACGCCGGGGTGCAACTGCCTGGATGCGGTCGCTTCGCCCTCGACCTTGTAGAATGCTGCATCCCCGCCAACACCCGCAAACTCGTGGCGCAGCTTCAGGTAGCCCCCGCGAGTGCCCATAATCGCGTTGTCCCGACTATCGCGGACATAAGTGTGGAAGATCGAAGACTTGACGCTTTGTCCGGCTGCCTCTCGTATACTATACTAGGCGTTAGCGACGAGATCGCATCAAGAATCATCGTTTGACAGGTCGCACCTCAAAGAAGCCGATTCAGTCAAGTTGCCAACGTGTCGCAGAACCGCCTCGTAACCCATCTCGTGTTGGCCACTTCTCCTGTATCCTGACTACTATTCAATAAGTACTGCAACATGTAGCAGTGGATTGCCTTTAGACGTACCCGGACAGCAACCTTCGCACCTCGCAGTGCCTCCGTACAACTAGCAAAGCTACTATTGTCCTTGTCCGCCGCATACGCCGACAGCTCACCGCGCGTGCCAAGCGTTCCAGTCAACGGCGCCGAGAACACCCCGTTGAACGCTCGTCGCGTCTTTGTGCCCGCGGAGACTGACGCCTCGAAGTGCTCCGCACCGCCGAACACATTTCGTATGTGACCCGTGGCACTCTACACAAGATGCTCAGTACTTATCAACTTGATATAGACATGATATGTACTCACCGCAGTCCCCTCGTTGTTCCCGACCTCCGTACTGGTCTTCAGGAAGTATCTCCCCTTCTCCTTCGTGGTGAATACGATATCAACATCTCCATCTCGACCTGCAGACGGTTCCAGCCGTGCATTGACAATGCTGAATATATCCGCTTCTTTCAAGTAATGTCCAATGTCACGAGTTGCGAGGAGTGCACCCTCTAGCGTCTCCGGGCGCTCCTTCGCGAGTTGAGGGTTGATGATAGAGGCAAGGAACGTGGCACGAGTGCGCGAGGCGCCGTCTACCCTGACCGAGGCAACTCGCGCAGGTGCTTCAAGAACAGACAGGTCCATAATACGTCGAGAAGGAGAGCTGGAAAGTCACGCAGGCGCGCCGGAGGTCCAGACAGTCACCGGCTCGGAACGGGCGCGGCCACGTGGGTTAATTAGGCTCTCGCCGATCAATAGTTTGTTCGCCTCTGTCAGACCCCAGACGCTTGGTGGCGGAACAGCGACTTGCGCGCTATCTCTTGACTTATCGCCGGTCGTCGAGGGCCCTGCTCTTCCTTGGACCCAAGCTTCAACAGCCATGTCCTTTCACCACGGCACGCCTGCGTCTTATACCAGCGACTACGGCGTCCTAGCGCACTACGCAGCACACCGTGACGCTCAACGTCAGGCCGACGGCGCCGCTGTTCGGGAGGAGACTGACAGCGAGCATGCTACGACGATTTCCGATGACGAAGTGGCACCCGGCGAGGAGGACGGTCTACTTACACCTCGACCGCGCCGCACGAGCTTCCCAACTTCCTATCTGACCGTACCTCCAACCCTTCCAAGCACCCTGCCTCCAAACATGCGCGAAGCTGTGGCAAATGAGTACACCCCACTACTCATCCCAAGGATACCGGAAGACTCGGATGTGCCCGTTGAAATTGATACTGGGCATCACTGGTGGGACGAAGCGCGCATCTTGGTTCGATATACCCTCCCTGTATTCGGGTACGTTCTCAGGGAATCACGCCCGCAACTCCAGAAGCTAATGAGTTTCAGAACCCATCTGCTCGAGTACTCGCTACAAGTCGCGTCGGTCATTGCCATTGGACACCTAAGCACCAACGCGCTAGCGGCTGGCACCCTTGGTACAATGACCGCGAGCGTGACCGGCTTCAGCATCGTCCAAGGCTTTGCGAGTACTCTGGATACTATGTTGCCTTCCGCATGGACCTCAGACAACCCTCGCTTGGTTGGCTTATGGGCGCAGCGAATGAGTGCGTCACCTTTTCATATCGCCCATCCTTGTCCAATGTCTTTCCGAGTCGAATAGGGGCACTGATTAGCGACTTCGAACAGCTGTGGTCATGGCCATATGTTTGATTGTGCGTCCACAAGCCTTATATGGATTAGAGACGCGTCGTTGACGGCTGACATGAACGAACGTGCGCTCCTCGTGCTTCTTCCACGTTCTGCAGCCCATCTTCGCAATCTGGTTCAATGCCGAGGCAATCTTGCTTATGTTGCAGCAAGAACCGGAGATCGCGCGACTTGCAGGCTTGTACCTCAAGTACGTCTCGATCGGCTTGCCTGCGTACGCTTTCAACTCTATATCCCGGTATGTTTCTACTTCACCCCCACACCGGCGATTGTGAGATGCTTATTGGTGATCTTATCAGGCGGTACTTCCAAAGCCAGGGCCTCTTCACCGTTCCCACTCAGATCATCCTTGTTGTCGCACCGCTCAACGCGTTCCTGAACTGGCTCCTCGGTATGTTCGTTGTCCCAGCCGCATGTCAGCCGATTAAACCCATGCTGTGTAGTATGGGGTCCCGCACCCTTTCGCCTGGGCTTCATCGGAGCGCCGCTCGCTTCCGCTATAAGCATGAACCTTGTCTCGCTCGCGAGTATTGTCTACGGTGTTTTTTTTCATCCCGAGCACGGCGTGGCATCCTATCTGCCGCAGGCGAGTCTTCTATCGTTACCTCCAAGAGGCGTCCGGCCGAAGCGATGCTGACTGGCCTTGCAGGAGCTTCCAGAGCTTGAGTGTGCTCGTTCAGCTCGGGTTGGGCGGCGTTGGTCAGACAGCAAGTGAATGGTGGTCCTGGGAGCTCGTCGGACTCGCAGCCAGCCTGTGCGTGCCTTTCTTCTTCCCGAATCGCCTTCCCGCCTTCCCTCCATCCACAACTCTCACGCTCGTACACGGTTGTCCCTGGTTGGCGAGATGTTCATTCCCTGGCGAACAGGATTGGACCCGAGGCGCTTGCGACGCAGTCTGTATTGCTAGTATCTGCATCGACAACATACCAGGCGCCTTTTGCACTGTCTGTAGCCGCCAGTGTGCGCATCGGAAACCTGTTGGGCGAGCGCAATGCACCTCGTGCCGCGCTCTGCGCGAAACTCTCACTTCTGCTTTCGCTAGGCTTCAGCGCGATCAGCTGCGCAATGTTCCTCTTCTTCCGCAAAGATTGGGCCCGACTGTTCAATGACGACCCTAGTACGCCCTCCTACCCGTACCCTTTACCAGATGCGGTAGACTGACTGCGCTCTTAGTCGTTGTGGCTCTTGTGGCGTCCATCCTACCCGTCGTTGCGCTATTCCAAGTCTTCGATGGTCTGAGCGCAGTAACGGGCGGAGTGCTCCGTGCCCGCGGCAAACAATTCACCGGAGCGTTACTCAACCTCTCCGCATACTATGTCGTGGGTATCCCCTTCGGCGTCTGGCTGGCATTCAACCGCGACTTCGGTTTGCACGGGCTGTGGTACGGCTTGACCCTCAGCTTGGTGTATAGTGGTTGCGTAGGCGCTTGGCTTGCGCTTACTACGGATTGGGCGAATGAAGTTGAGAAGGTCATCAAGAGGTTGAAGTCTGAGGAACATGCGGGAGATCTTGAGGGCAATGGGGTGCGGCAGGTGCTGGTGCATTGAGACGTGCCTGCATACTGCAGCTACCTTGGATATGCTGCTCTCCATTGCTAGGTGGATATGTATGTCCAGGTGCGTGACCTCTGCGATGATCTCTGCGCAGCCGTTGACTAATGTTCATAGCAAGATGTAAATAGACAATCTTGAAGAGTAATGAACGACATGATGCTATTATTAATTGCTATGCATGGACCTCGAACTTGAACGACATATGGGGAAGAAGCGCTGCCGCAGCATGGAACACGAAGACACACTCATGCCTGTTCATGATGGCAGGAAGACAAGTTAGATACGGGCTTCGCGGTATGTCCATCCTTATTCTTTATTCGTCGCTCGGAGGATCGGACCATGAGCTATTTGGGTCGCTACTCACAAGATACCGCAGGAGAGTTCGCGAAGCGTGAAGCTGCTGTGAGGCACGAAGACACGAGGATTCATCTAAGCCGGTGTCTGTGTGGACGCCATGACACGCTGCTTCTCGGCACCTGCCTTGGTACTCTGGCTCGCTGCGACGGATGCCTGTGACTGACAGGGCAAAGCTAACGCATATGCAATACGGATATACACTTTTGGGGCAAGGACGGCGGAGAACTCAAAATGTTCAAGTTCGCGCACAGGCCCTCACTCGCGTGCAACCGCTCGATGCGCATTTACCAACTTCGCCGCGTACGCCCATCCGTCATCCGCAGCTAGTGAGCTGTAGATATGCGCCACACCTCATCTGATGGTTGGCGAGCCAGCTTGCATCTTTCCAGCTTCTTTACGTCCTGGGCGCTTGCACGCTACGAAGCACGGACGCAACACGGTAGAACGGTACCGCGGAGACTCTAAAGGTGCATGAGACTTGCCTTATGCCTCATGACCAACCAATGGAACCGCCGCGCAACGAACTCACACCAGCCAATCATGGTCACAAGGTCGCATGTCAGTGCGTGAGCGTTCCGCTTCTCGTGGGGAAATACTCGCGCGCCTTCGAGAGTTGGCGCTATATATCCCGCACAAGAGCTCACTCGCAGGCTAGTCTGCGCTCTGCGCTTACCCCTTCACGACGCGACGCTCATCATGTCTGTAGAGGAATCGAAGGCCAGTATCGAGAGCAAGGCGGAGGAGGTCCGTCGTGAGGATGGCTCTGTCGGCGCCGTGGACGAGAAGCATCCGGTCGGCGTATACGAGATGGAGAATGGCTCGCTCATCGACATATATTCGTACCACGAGCAGCGCGCGGGGAGTCTCGTTGTCACCCCAGAGTGTGTCTCCAACGTGTTCATGTCCGGATGTGAACTGTTCTCACAACTGTTGTAGGGAGGCGAAGATTGAATTCGGCGAGGCTGTCGCGTCGCGTCTCAAACTCTCACGCGACGGCAACACGATCTTGTGGCCCCAGCCGACGGAGGACCCCGAGGATCCTCTCAACGTGAGTCCGCGCGCAACAGGCTTGCCTCTCATGCCTTGATTAGCGATGTTTGATTAGCTGAGAATGCTAACACCATATGCAGTGGAGTTCTCGGCGTAAGATGCTGCAGATGATCATCATCACGCTCGCGGCCATAGTGCCCGACTTCCAGAGCGCAACAGGTGTGTGAGGTCCTTCTGGTTGTGGTATCCAGTTCTCATGATCCCAGGTATACCCGCCATCTTCCCCCTTGCGAACCAATTCAATACGACTACTGGGGAGATCAACAACTTGACTTCCAAGTGCGTACATATCAATCCGTCAGAAGCTACGCTGGCCTCTGACCCTACGTTTTAGCTGGAGCATCTTTCTGCTTGGTGGGACCCTTTGGCGATGATCGATGAGAAGGAGTACTGAACCTGTCTGGTAGGATGGGGAAGTCTTTTCGCCGTCATGCTCATGCGTCGTTATGGCCGTCTGCCTGTTCTATTCTGGTCACAAGTGAGCACACTTGATTCGAGTTCATATCCAGCCACTCAACGCGATTCAGGTCTTTGGTCTCGGTTTCAATATTGGGGCGACTTTTGCGCCCACTTTGGCTGTTTTCGCTGGTATGGCTCTGCATGCGCACAGAGGTGTCGCGTATTGACGGGAGATACAGGCATGCGGTGTCTTAATGGCTTCTTCGCGACCGCACCGCAAGTTACTGGTCTTTACATCGTCACAGATATGTACCCTTTCCATCTGCAGGCCAGGATGGTACGTCGACCAATGATGTTATCCGGCAAACTCAAAGACTGATGTACAGCCTTAGCTGAACATCTGGACTATGGGTTTCATCATCTCGCCTTTCCTATCACCCTTCCTATTCGGCTTCTTGATCGCGAATGCAAGGTATGGTCACCCGTGATACGTCTTGTATGGCGGAATCTTGACCCCGGGACTTTCAGCTGGAGATGGGCGTACGGCATTGCCTCCATCTACGGCGCCCTTGTTCTCGCTCTTATCGCTTCCTTTGGAGAAGAGACGTCAGTGTTCCGCTTTATGTGTGTTCGAGTAAGCCTGGGCTCTGACTGCTCCTGTACAGGATATACGACCGCACTGTGAAGCCCATCCCCGCACGCCCGAAGCCGACCTTGCGGTGGCGTATTGAAACTCTACTGGGTATCACCGGAAGGCGCATGGCGAAATACCGCATGAGACTGGCTGATGCGTTCCTCGAACCAATCAAACTCGTTTGGCGCCCACAGATCCTCGGCATTCTCATCTTTGAGGCGGCTCTCTTTGGTTTCAGCATCGGAATCAATGTACGCTCTCCTAGACATCAATCATAGGGTCATGAGCTGAACTGTCTCGAATAGGTGACGCTTGTTGTCTTCCTCGGAAATCCTATAGCGGAAGGCGGCTTCGGCTGGTCCCAGATAGCGATTGCTGGAGGCTACGCTACACCGATGGTACACCAGCCTTTTCCCGTGTCTGGGTTGTTGCTGACCTTGGTTGCGCAGATTGCCGTGCTACTCGGAGAGATCTTTGGACGATACGTGAACGACTGGATAGCTGCTACGTTCATTCGTAAACACCACGGCGTATTCGAACCCGAAGCTCGTCTGTGGTAGGATGAGTGATTCCTGCGCCACGAATCCGTGCTCACAGAGTGTAGGGCCGTCTACATCGCAATTCCGCTCAATATATGCGGATTCGTCGTTCTAGGCGCCGCTCTGCAAAATCACCTGTCAGCCGGCGCGCTGATCATGGGCTGGGGTATCGCCGAGTTCTCCGTCATGATCGGCACCGTCGCTGTCTGTGCGTATTCCCAATCGTCTCACCCAATGCCTCAGATAGCTAACCCGCACACAGATGCTTATATGAATGACTGTTTCCCGCGCAACCGAGGCGAGGTTTCCGCTCTCGTCAATCTTGCTCGTACGCTCGGAGGCTTTGCCGTGCCATTCTTCCAGCTCCCATGGGCGACAAGTCACGGCGCTTTGCAGTCGTTTGGATGCGAGGCCGCGTATGTGCATTGAAATGATACCTATGAGAACGATTCTAACAGAAACATGAAGTATCACAGCAGGTTTATTCCTCATATTTGTACCATTTACGCAGTTCAAGGGCCGCGAGCTCCGGGTGAGTATCCAGCACTACTTGAGCATGAACCACACCGCTGACATGATATCTTTCAGCGGCGGTTCTCCATGTAGGGAAAGGGTTTTGTCGTATCACGGAGATGTACGATTGCATGAATGTGTTCCTACGATCACTCGATGATGACGCCTCGGTATCGAGTGCTGTGTGATTCAGGTGTCCTGCAAGCAAACGCCCACGATAACCTCTCATCTTGCTGCCATACAACAGCCAGACGTTATTGAGCACTTTTCACTTGTATCGTGTTGCGCCCTGAATGAAGAGCGTACTATGACGCGGCCGCCGGAAGTCAGATGAGGATACATGGACGCATAGCTTCGTCTTGTAGAACAGGGGCGTGTGATCCTGAAGGATCGTACGCACGACGAGTCAGCTAAATGCTGTACTCCCTTACAACTCCCCTTCGCACAAGGCTAATCTGTATGTTGGGGGACGCAACGATAGCATGGTACATGTAGCAAGGGGCCGGTTTGGTGGTTTGTGAAAGGCCATCATTTGTTCAACTGCGTGACGCCCAGAGATTGCGGTCCCACGCCCCGTACCGCCACCCGATGCCTACGTATAGTTGCGCAGCCCCTGGAGCGTTCCAGTATCTTCCCACCTTCGACACTCTTTAACGCTGCGATAGGACAATTCTGCGTCCTGCTTCTTACTACCCCGTAAACCCTCGCAGCACACCATGGTCACAGACCCTAAGTTCGATTACACGGCCCCTGTATGTCTTACCGATCTTGTCTATCTACATAGAATACTGATACGTCGGTAGCCACCTGGTGACCCTCCCGGTTACGACGCTCCCGCGTACGATGATGCGCCACCATCGCACGATGCACCTGGATACAGCGCTGGGCCATCGTCGTCTAGCTCGACCTCATCGTTCATCCCTGCGCCGAACATCCCAGCATGCAACCACTTGCTGCAACAAGAGAAGGACACGACTCTGACGGGCCAGTATCTTCTGGACGTAGGCTTGCCGGCGTCTCCTGCGGCAGCATCCCTGCCATCATTCAGGGATCTGAAAGACGCGAACTTGCGCTTCGAGGTCCGCGATGGTGTTATCCGGCCTGAGATCTGGCTGGCGGCGCTCCGGGAGAAGGCGCCTCCTACGACGCGCGCTCGCATCACGGCGAAGATTCGGGACGGGTCGACAAACATCGTGTTGGTGAGTTGCCTGTATGCGATGCTTCGACCGTGTGTGCGATACTGAGACAGCGCACAGCACACGCCTCATCCTTCCATGCCTCGCCCGCGTATCAACCTAAAGGTCGAGCAGCGCGATGGCGATATGTACGTGGCGATCCCGCGTTCGTTTGAGGGAACTATCAAGATCACCAGAAGGAATGGGGGGTTCAAGCTATCGGATAACATCCAGGCCCGCTCACGACTACTGTATTCGGCGAATGGCATGAGCCTGTACAGCCTTGGTGCGCAGGTGGAAGAAGAGTTGACCGATGAGGTCGTGATTGAGAAGCGCGACGGGACTCTCATGGTGATGTACGATGATGAAGCTAGGAAGTAGGGCGCCTGCACACGTTCTTGGCAGGTGGAAGGATATGGAAGGAAGCCTTGTCGATGCGATGAGTTCGGACTGCCTTATTCTGGGACTGTGATTGTGATCTGTAATATATATTCACCGCGATCGGTCTCGTATCCCAAGCAACATAGCAGGGACCAGTTGGTTAACTGTAGGTTTACGAGCCCAGCAACCCATTAGCGGTTTGGCACTCCGGTGGAGGTGACCAGATGCGATGTTTGCGATGTTTCGGTTATACGCGTGACGTCACTGCCCCACGTTTGATCTCTGCGTTATCGATCGCACTTTTCTCGACGCGTATGCCTCTCCTCGTCGAGGTAAACGACGACGCCTGGATCGAAAGATGCACGAGGCCCGATCGCCTATACAACTACTGATACACCAGTTTACTACTTCTGTACACGTCCTCCAAATAGATGTAATGTCCGATCAGAGAACGAGTTTACAGAGTACCAGAGGCGGAGATGGAGATCTTCGCCTTGGGGGAGCCCGAGTTGGTGCCGTAGCCCTCGATCTTCTTGACAAGGTCGAAGCCCTCAACAACCTCGCCTTGAATATCGATGAGTACCTTGGAATCAGGGCGAAGTGGTGAAAGATCGCTTACCGAAGACGACGTGCTTTCCGTCGAGCCACGGGGTCTTCACGGTGGTGATGAAGAACTGGGAGCCGTTCGTGTTCTTGCCGGCGTTGGCCATGGAGAGGAGGCCGACCTTGTCGTGCTTGAAGTTGAAGTTCTCGTCTAGGATGTCGATGTGAGCTGGCGGTTCACCAGCGCGAAGTAGATGACGCACCGGCAAACTTCTCGCCGTAGATCGACTTGCCGCCAGTGCCGTTGTGGCGGGTGAAGTCACCACCCTGGAGCATGAAGTCGGGGATGATGCGGTGGAAACCAGAGCCCTGGTAGCCAAAGCCGTTCTGCCCAGTGCAGAGCTCACGGAAGTTGCGAGCCGTCTTGGGGACAGTGTCGTCGTAGAGCTTGAAGACGATGCGGCCGGCGGGCTGGTCCGCGATGGTGATGTCAAACTATCCGAATCATCAGCGGGTGCGGCGGAGAAGCAAAACGATTGTGAGCGCACGTAACACTGGGCCATGGTCGATACTGGTAGAGTCGTCGATGGATGCAAGGAGAGCATCAATACCGATCTTATACCGCTCGGCAAATGCCGTGACCGGTGATGGAAAGCACTCACGCCGGCAGACGCGTCGCCGGTTCTTCTCGATCCACCATGTCACTCATCGTGCACAGCCTACAGTATGTTACTGCGAATAAAGGATACTCTGCGGTATAGGCTTCAAGCGTGTATGCATATGCCTTTACATCCGCAGTGACGTCCAGTCTCCAAATCACGGTGGGGCTGGCGCATATGGCGGTCCGCTAGTGGTCCGCTCCTGGCTAGATGCTCTGCCCATCAGACCAAGTCCAGTTCTCGATCTTCACTCGATCCGTTCTACAGTACGAAGCGCCTCAGACAGGGCAATACTACACCACTGCCATCCTGCTGGTGGTCACCGAACGTCTACCACGCGCTGGACCAGCGACGCCGCTAAATGCATGTGCATGCTCCACTACATCACTCCCTGTATGCGAGGTATCCAAAAGGGGTTATGCTTGTGGTATCTGGCGCGTACGTTGAGTTACCAGCTCGACTGACCTGATGAGTGGCAGAAGCGATGCTAACTGTCAATCTCTTCGCCAACTCTCGCGCCCCGTTCCGCCGTGGACTAGTGCGCTCGTGTTGACGAACGTGGTTGGCTCTGGATCTGAACACGCATGCAGTGCTGAGGCTCCCAGATCCAGGTCTTCAGCTCTGCGGATTAAGCTGGTAGGCCTCGCGTTATGTTGGGCGGCGCGTATTCCCCCCGTATGTCAATGTTGAAGATGTTGTTGCATAATGAAAGGCCAGTATGTAGGGTCTTAACTTGTTACATAAGAGCGGCTCGACACGTACTTGCTGCATAATCCCAGGCTGCTGTGCGGGCCTATATAACCGGGGTTTGAGCACTTCGTAAACCGCTCGGTAGCATGCACCGTCCGATTCCGATGTTCCTTCTCGTAATTGTGATTTGCGTCCGCCAACCGTTGAAGCTTGGCGCCCGCGGGCGGTGCAAGTACATCAGATCCGTCGGGGCAGACATACTTTCCCATGAATACAAACGGGATGAAGATCATCGTAACGCTATGTATAGGACTTCGTACCGTACGGCCATATTGACTACATAGAGTACGGTCAGCCGAAAGTCGAGTACACTTGCTATTGACGCGGGTGGAACGTTGGCGAAGTATCGTACGTAGCGCATGAAGTCGTGGGCGTTGTGGCTCTGTCAATTAGGCTTTGTTCGTTACACTCGTACCTCGACCTCGACATGTTCTGCCTCAGGCCCGGCCAAACCTGCCCCCGAGGAGTCCGTCAGCCTATTGAATTGAATGGCCAAGCCACGGTTATTTGTCCCATCAGCACGATGCCGGCGACAATCAATCTGCAGCTGTCATACCCCGTATGGCTCAGGGGTCGACTGGGGCGCCGATGCAGCCAGAGGTCAAAGTCCCTCACCAGGTGGAAGCACCAGAGCATTGCTTCCTCTCCATCTTCCTTCCATCCGCCACGGTGAATGCTACTCAGCGCACAGCTACTCGCGCCCGCGAGAGTTGCCAATGACTCGCGTTGAGGACGCAGAGACAGTGTATGTGCATCTGCCGCAGTCGCATTTGACAGGTACTTGACGTGCGGTAAATGAGACAGCTGGATCCATGGTTGCCTGGAGCTTGCGGCGTTGAGTACGGGGCACCCTAATCTATCCCCGCGTCAAAGTTGGTCTGACAGCGGCGAACAGCTATCTTATACCACGACTACTTCCTCACGCTACCCCGGGAGATTGACCGCATTTGGAGAAGCCCCTTATCGCGCCCGTCCCTCGTCTTCTACCTGAACCGTTACGTCCCCGTCCTAGGCGACATCGTCATCACTGTCTATAGGTGCGTCGCAGATCTTTGACACGCAATAGCTATTAAGCGACTTGCAGTTTCTCGGACTTCGCAGCAGAAGAAACGGTACACTATTCGCCTTATACTCGCGCAACTGTTCTAATCTTGTTATGTAGACATGTCGGCAATTCGCCCTCGCTCGTCAGATATTGTTATTGTTCTCTCAAAGCATTGTATGCAGTGCGTACTTCCGTGACCACGCGTCTACCCTACACCTCACGTTGCTGTATCACAGTTCTTCTCGCCTTGCGAATCATCGCGCTGTATAACAGAAGTAAAGGAGTCACTGTATTCGTAGTGGGGAGTGGCCTTGTGCTGTTAGGGATCGCATGTGTGAGTGCTCACCCCTGCTTCACGGTCGATTGCTGTTCAACTCAAAGATCGCAGTGGTCGGTGACTGGAGGACATTCGTTTGTGTTGCAAGACGTGCCCGGTTGCCATATGGGCATGGACTACTATACGTGCGCTCCCTCTCTTCGATACCATCCTGAATCATACGCTGACGCTCTGCAGCGGCTCTCGTTCGTAACTCCTCAAGCTCATATGCAGACAGCTCTGAATTGACCTTGGCTTCAGACATAGCTGTGGCGTGGATTGCACAAGCCGCTTTCGACATGATCATCTTCGGGTTCACAGTCTATCGTACGCTGCAGACCCGACGGTATAGGGATGGACGCGGTCTGCGTCTGAATGGTTCGGGACTGCTCGACCTGGTCTGGCGCGACGGCGCGCTATACTTCGTCGTTATGGCCATGTCCAACGTCGGGAACATCGTGACCTTCTACGTCCTGTCGGATGGACTGCGCGGCGTTCTGTCTACGTTCGCGGGATGGTACGCCACATATTGTGATCCCTTGATACCGCAAGACTGAAATTCCTTCGCAGCATTTCCGTAACGATGATGTCGCGCCTGATGTTGAATCTCTACGAAGCAGCAACACCCGCTTCTACGATGAACGGGGCACCGGCAGACATGACACGAACCGTGACCATGTTCTTCACCACGCGTCTGGACGGCCTGGACGACGACGTGTACGATAACGACTACGAAGCGGCACCTGAGACGGTTGATAGTCATGGAACGACGACTTCGGGCGCTGCACCTAGTACCGGCGGCGAGACAACTCTAGCTCCCTCAACCCCGCGTAATTGGAACTGGGAACCACCAGATACGCCGAAACCGAGCCGTAGTAGGTCATCGAAGGAGGATGCTGATGAGTATGCGTTGAATGAACTGCGAAGAGATCATGTATAATCACTATCTGGATACCACCACCTTGTTTATTCGCACATTGCTATCGATTATCAGAGCGCTGCAAAAGGAATCAATGCAGTGGCGATCTTGGTTCCATATTGCATCTGTGCAAAGATGGGAATAGACTTGATCTGCAGATCGAAATAACGCACGTGGTCTGCCGGTGTCTTGAGTGGATGCAAATTGCAACTCTAGAGCAACAAAAATGCGTCCATCATACAGACGGATGTCCCTGGGGAGATTCGAGCTCCCGGCTTCACGGTATCGCACTGGACCACAACGTGATGATTTAACCACTAATCGACAGGGACCGGAAGCCAAGCCGTTACAAAAATATATCAGTTGGACGTTATTGGACACGGAAAACTCGAGGCTCCAGCACCTAGCCTTACATAGTTCGTCGCTGTGGTGCCACGGTGGACATTGACAGTATATTCAGGAGTTCACGCTGATGAAGATGGAGTAGGAAAATGAAATGACGAAGCACATCTATAAACACAACTGTTGCAGTACAAATGGTAGTAGGGTAGCATTCCCAACGAATTCCGTGTTAATGATGCAGAGAATGAAGCAGGCAACCTGAACACCAACGAGCATCTACTGCACGCGGCCAAGCACGCGCGGCTGTTGCACGTCCGCCATGTTGATGAAGATGTCGTCTGCGGGGTGACGGTACAGCGGTGCGCGGAGACGCTTCTGGTCGAGGTGGTGGCCGATGAAACCGATCGACCGACCGAGAACGAACAAGCCGTTGAGCGTGCCGATGCGGATATACTCCTCGGCCTCCTCCGGCGTGAAAGCGCCAGAGTCGCGGAGCAGGTCGACGAAGCAGACAGCAATGCAGCCGTCGACGTTGAGGATGAGCGTGTCCTTCTTCGCCGTAGTGACCTTCTCAACGGCCAGGGCGTAGTCGAGCAGGCTGTGCGAGGGGAAGTTCTTGCGGACGTACTCCTTGACGAGCTCGACGCGGAGATCAGGGTTGTTCACGCTCTTGATCTTGTGGCCGATACCAGAGACTGCATGGTTATCAGTAGATGGTCCGCTACGAGACGGAAAGGTAATACTCACTGAGCTTGTTTTGCTTGCGTGACTGGTCGACGAACTCGCGCGGCGTGAGGCCGGTGTCGCGTGCGCTCGAGAACATCGATGCGGCCTCGTCAAGCGCACCACCGAAGCGGGAACCGATGGTGAGGAGACCCGAGGCAAGCGAGGAGATGAGGTCCTTGCCTGCGCGCGTCGCGACGATGGTGTTCATAGCACTGAATGAATCGTCAGTATGGCGCATATATGCTGATGTCTGAGACTACATACCCAGAGACGGCGGGACCGTGGTCTGCAGTGAGCATCAACACCATCTCGATGAACTTGGTAGCCCATGGTGGCAAGCGGCGCTTGAACCAGAGCAGCGAGACGACACCACCGAGACCGATGTCCTCCTTAAACACATCGGAGATACGCATGCCAGCGTACAGGAGCTCCTGACCACGCTCGTCGGAGATGGTCGAGATGAATGCCGCAGGCTTGCGGATGAGACCAAGGTCCTGCGCCCACTTGTAATCCATGGGGATAACAGGCGGGTCACGCTCCTTCTGCGGGACGATGGTGCCGGCCTGGACGAGCTTCTCGTACAGCTGGTTGAGCACGGCAGGCAGGTCCTCGAAGGTCTCGGGAACGATGAAGCCCGCGGCGCGCATGGCGGAGTTCTTCGCGTCGGCGGTCTCCATATTCGAGTTGGCCATTGAGCCGGCGTGGCCGAACTGGACCTCGGTCGTAAACATCTTCGCGCAAGTACCAATGGCCCAGGCGACGATAGGCTTCTTGATCTTGCCGCTCTTGACTGCCTCGATGACGCGGTACTCCTCGACACCACCGACCTCACCGAGAAGGACAAGCATCTTGCAGTCGGGATCTTGCTCGTAGCGAAGCAAGTGGTCGATGAAGGTCGAGCCAGGGTAGCGGTCACCACCGATGGCGATACCCTCGTACGTGCCGTTGGTGTAGAGCGAGAGCATGTTGTTGAGCTCATTGGACATACCACCCGACTTCGAGACGTAGCCGACCGATCCAGGGCGGTAGAGCTTAGATGCGATGATGTTGTCCATCATACCACCAGAGTTACCGATCTTGAAGCAGCCGGCCTTGATACCACCGACGGTCGCGGGGCCGATGATGAGGACCCCCTTCGACTTGGCCTGGAAGAGCAGGTCGCGGGCGTGGCGCTCGGGAACACCCTCAGCGATGATGGCTATCGACTTGATCTGCGCGAACTCGAGGATTTCCTGCGTGCTCGAGTACACGGAGCGCGACGAGGCGAAGTTGACGACGACATCAACCTCGGGGTGCTTCTTGACAGCCTCCGCAACGGAAGTGTAGACCGGGAGAAGGACTTCCTTCGTGCCCCAGTAGAACTTCTGGATGTGGTGACCGCCGAAGGGGTAGATCATGGCGGCGACCGAGGGTGTTGCGCGACCGCATGAGAAGTCGAAGTCGAGCATACCCTGGATGGCGCGCGGCTGGAGACCGTAGACGAACGAGCGAGTAGTCGCGTCGAACGGACGGAATGCGGGGCGTTGACCAGAAGTCTCAACCTTATCGAAGCGGGCGATCTGGTCGTTTGGCTGCTGGCGGGTGCCGTCGGCGTTGACCTGGCCGACCGTTGGCTCGGGCTCCGATGTCTCCTTCGCCTCGACGGGAGCAGCGGGCGTTTGGCTGATGGACTTGGGGATGGTGTCCGACTCCTTCTTGACGCCAAGTGCGATGGGGACGATGGCGGTGATGTGCGTCTCGGGGCCGTAGACGTGAATGGGAACACCAAGCGATTCGCCGAGGAGGCGCATGGCCTTAAGACCCTCCTGGTAGTTGGGGCCACCACGGCGCACGTAGATGCGGACCTTGTGGGTCTGGAGGGCGGCTTTGTACTCCTTGAGTGCGCGAATGATACCCTTGAAGGTTGCCGCGACGTTGGTGAAGTTGGCGATGCCACCACCGATGATGAGGACCTTGCCCTCGGGGTGGGGCTTGCCGCGCGTGATGAGGTCGATGATGGTCTTCGCGTACTCGTACGTCTGACCCTCAGTCGGTGCACCAGAGTACTCGCCGTAGTTAGCGAGTTCATGGGCGAAGCCGTGAGCGGCAATAGCGTCGGCGTAGACGACCGAAGCACCACCACCGGCAACCATGGTCCAAACGCGACCCTCGGCGTTGAGGACGGTGAGTTTGAGCGAGGCACCAGTCGAGGCATCAAGCTTCTGGATGTAGGCCTCCTCCTTCGTCAGATCGCGACCAAAAGGTGCAGGCCACACCTGCGGGGGAGATTAACATCATGCGAAGCGCTCGGGGGAAAGGAAATGACAAACCATTGGAGGTCCGCGGTCAGCGGAGACGGACTTGCCCTTGACAGATTGAGGGGCGGTCTCGTAGACGCTAAGGTCGCGAGCGATAGCCCATTTGGGACCGCAGATAGACTCGGCGGTCTGGTCGAGCTTCGCAGCCATGTCGAGGTAGTGGATGGTAGGCTGACCGCCCTCGACGGCATCGAGACAGATAAGGGGGTTGATCTCGAGGTATGCGAAGTGCAGGTCGACGTAGACAGAGTACAGGCGGACGAGGAAGTCAACAAGGGTCTCCTTCTTCTCTGCCGGGACGTCCTTCAAGAGAGCAGACGCGAACTCGGCGCGAGAGGGGAACTCCTTGCCGACTGGGATGGCGAGGCGGAGTGCCTTGGCGTCAACATCACCGATATCCACACCACCCTCGTGGGTGAACAGGATCTCGTCGCCTTCACGATTCGAGTTGATGCAGACATAGTACTCCGTGTTGGATGGGTGCGGGAGGAACGGCTCGACGATGAAGTTGTTGAGGGTGCCGGTAGTGCTCTCGACCTGAGAAGGAACAAACGAACTTATCAGCACAACGCCCAAATCAATGGCCAGGAAATGAGACGCGGTCGCGTGCAGCCCGTAAATGACATCACGTGCGAACACGCGTCTGGACGCGAGGCGCGCGAACCAAAATCGAGACGCGACAATCCAGGACAGCAGACATGCTGTTGCACGCGTTTGGAGCGTGTCTGGCTTGTATGCGCTTCTATCAAGATGCCAACAGGGATCGCAGGGCGACTTAGGCGCGCGCAAATTGAATGCGGTAAATGCGGGTAATGGGCGGCAGCCGCAATTCCGTTCCCCAACGCGTCGAGAGTGTGAGCGGTCCCAATTATACACACCTTTTGGGGCTTTCCTGCACGCTCAGCGATCCATGCCCGGGCCTCGTCCCAGGACTTGTTGAGCGCGAGGAGGCCAGCCTTTCCGCGGCGTTTGATGAGCTGGTCGGGCTTTGCGACGAGCTTGGAGGTGAAGACCCAGGAAGGCAGCTGGGTGTCTGGCGTGATCGCGCCGGTCTCTGGATCCCAGGAGATCTGTGCGACCTTTGGCTGGGGGAACACGAATGGCGTCGCGATCTTTGCAGAGAGTGCGACTGCCGGCGCGCGCTCGAGCCAGTACGCGAGGAGCAGCTTGGCGTCGTATTCGCGGATGGCTGCCAGTCGCCGGTGAGAACCATCGCGGTCGAGATCGGATATAAAACTTACCCTTGGAAGACATTATGGAGGGTAGGAGGGTGAGGTGAGGGTCAGAAGCAAGTCCTCCGCTGGCCTGTTCTTATCCCCATTGCAAAGTCCCCAATGCTGCATCGGACTCGTTCCCACGCGCAGGCGGCCTCGCGCCACTTCGTCTGGACCTTTCACAATGCCAGCTCACATCGTATCATCCGTCGCTTTCGACCAATCACCATCGCTATCTACTAGCCCGACCGCTAGCATAGCTGGCCCACTGGGGGGCAGCTATCCAGACATCTCTGTTGTCGAAAAGTCGAAGTTGCCGCGCCGCATGGCACTGTCTCACCACAGAAGGTTCGCGGCCGAAGCACGCCACGCCACCATTTTCTCTCCCATACTGTGGCTCTGGCTTTACGAGCTCGCTTCTTCTGCCAAATGGCCCGTACTATACGCGGCCGAGTTTATCCTTCTCGGTTGGCCAGTTTTCGCGCCCGACGCGACCGAGAACGCGGTCGACGCGTCGCGTCTTCCTTCAAGTCACTGGACGTGACCGGTGTGGTATCCGACCTTGCAGCTCGCATATCGCTCAGCCCTTCCGTTTTCCAGATCCCGAGCATGTGCAACATGATACCACCGTATGTACTCTTCTCATGAGTGGCTCCATGGCGTCAGTCCAAGACGCGATCTTTGTGAGCAGCGCGTCAGCTCCATATGCTATTCGATAACAGTCGACCCAGCCTAAAGCGGGCGTGTGAGTGCCGAAGAGACTTCACCGCTTCCGTCCCGGTATTGCCTCTGGCATGGGTCGGCTGTCAAAAGCAGCTGTACGACAGATCATATGCACTAGAACCTGTCGCACCCAGCAGGAGACGGACAGCCGCTGTCACTTCTCTTCGCTCGACCACAACTCTATCCAAAGCATCGACTTGCCATACTTGCAACTCTGAGCAGTGAGAGCCGTGCATGTGCTGCGGAGATACACATTCGATGGAGAGATGCCAAGGGTTCTACGCTTTCGACGAGCAGTGTGGCCCTCCGTTAGTCCCTACGCCTGATCCGTTCCCGACCTTCCCGAGGATCTGATATTCCGACTGAGTTTGTGCATCTGGACCCACCCAGAAGATCGATATGAGCGACCGGCAACCCAGATGGGTCAGACTTCTCCTCTTAGGTTAGGGTTACACTTAAGAGGTCGGACTTCGGTCGTGGACTCGTTGGGTTCGGACTTTACCTTGAGCACAAATCACTACAGAGGACCCTTGCGCAGTGTTCCGTTGTTCAGTAATCACCTAGGTATCATTCTCTCTTTGGAACCCCGGCTACCCGTACTGTACCGTAGTTATGCGAACCCCGAGAACACACCGGGACGCTCATGCGTAGAGGCTCGGAGTAATGGAGTAGCCCGTTGGGCGCAGCCGGTACCTAGCGCTAGGCAGCACTGATGATCCAGCATCAAGCTTTCCGTGGATGAGTCAAGCTCGCATCACGGCCAGTGAGCCCGAATGCGCACTTCAGAGCACACACCTGTCAGTCTGGATCACTATCGGACTCATATTGACCAGGTTCTGCTCGGCCTTCTCGGGATCTGAGTCTCCTGAGCCATGACGATGCGTACAGGCTTTATGCAGACATCGAAAACCTCAATGATAGCGACAAGGAGTACAAGTACAACACATGGTATACAACATTTCCAATCAGATGTGAGAGCACGATGCACAAACGAGAAACAACCTCACTGTAGCGCCACAGTACCGTCTAGATCCTAAACAACAATCTGTACCTCCTCTAACTCGTCTTCGCTATCTGAGCTTAGCTCGTCACCACCAGCCTGTGACGGATGTGGTGGTAGCTCCCGCCCTTCCTCCTTCGACACGATCTTCTCCTTGTCCAAGAAACCCTGCCACATCTGCGCAGTTCCTCCCGCGATTTCATTCGCCTGAGCATGCTTTCCCTGTGCGATCAACTCATTCATACGCGCCATTCTTTTCTGCTGAATCTGTACCATCTCGTTCCGCCGTTCCTCGCTATCCCTGGCCCGATGACGTTTGAGAGCCTCCTCCTTCATCGCCGCGATATCAGCAGCTGTGAGCTGGCGCGTGGGCTCGATGGGCCGGAGGGGCTCCTTAGGTTTCTCCGGGGTTGGAGGGCGGCGGCGATCAGGGCTGTACCCTCGATGCTCGTGAAGACGGAAGAGGTGTCGGCGCTCGGCCATTGTTCGCCCGCGTTTTTCAGTACCTGGAGCGGGGCCGTCTGCTTTGTTGCCCGCTACGGTCTTCTGCGCACGGCGAGCTTCGAACGCAGCCGGCCGCCTCTCGCGACCAGCGGCGCGACCGGTCTTGCGAGCGGCCAGAAGGGTGTCTTCGGGTGGTACGACGACGTCCGGCAATGTCTTCAAGACCTGAGATGAGCCAGCTTGGGGACCGTTGTTCACGGCGAGATCGAGGCTATCGAGCACCATCTCATTAGGCACGGGCATTGAAGATGACGAAGCCACGCGAGTCTGCTTTCCGGGGACGAATGGCGCGGCCGCTGCTCGGAGAGGAGTTGGCGTAAGCACCGGCGCTGGTGGAGGCGACGCTGCCCTTCGAGAAGTGTCAACAGAAGACAAGACTGGCCGCGCGGTTGGAGGTACGCTTCGGGGTCGTTGGGGAGGGTGTGAGGGGAGAGCCCAAGCTGGGAGACTGCGAGCAGAAAAGGGAGGTTGAAAGTTCCATGGCTGGGCAGAGATATTAGTCTGAGAGGTAGTGATAGGTGATGTGGGAGAGGTTGATGGAAGTTGTAAAGGTTGATCATTCAGCAAGAGCTGAGGTATCGCGATGGCCGGCGAGTTGCCGAATAATACTGAGTGTGGCGGAGTGTTGGCCCGATCATCATCTTGAGCCATCTCCACGTCCACGTCCTGCGTCGTTAGCAGGTCGGCGCCGGTCTCTGCCATGTCCATGTCCATGTCCTGACCCATCCGATCGACCTCAAGACTTCTGGCGTACGACTCCGCCTGCACGCGCCTCCATTCTGCTTCCCTCTTCTCCTTTTCGTTCAACCACTCCGCAATCTCCCGTTGTTTCCTGTCTTCTTCCAGTTGCGCGCAAAGCGCCTCAATCGCACCCTGCCGCTTCTGCTCTTCTTCACACCGGACCCTTTCAGCCAGTACGAACGGTCGCCTAATGTCAAAGACGATGCGCGCATGTACAGTCTGGCACTGCCAGTACTCCACCGCGGAATGCAGGAGATCAGGGCGGCGAAGAAAGACACCATGTTGTGCGATGTGAGGGTTGTGTAGGTCCGGCAGTTGATTGCGCTGCGGCACCTCGGGCTTAACCGTATCCACTAAAGCAAAGTCAGAGAAGTGCTTGAGGTCTAGTAGTATGAAGAGCTTACCATCCGAACTAGGTTTGCTCTCCTCGAGGACCTTTGTTGAAGGACGCACGTCCTGAGGATGTGTTACAGGTGCATTCGGAGTAGCTGTGCCACGTCCTGCATCCGCGGGAACACGGGCAGAAGCCGTCGAACGACACAAGCAACAGTCAGCCAGGCGGGAATCAGGAGCAGAGACGAGTCCGGAAGCGTCTATGGCCGGGTGCAGCTCTTTGTAGAACAAGCCCGGCGACGACCCTTGTAGATTGTCTAGTGCCAGTTCAGCTATGATAGCCTGCGAAGATACTTCAAGGAACCATACCTTGATCAACATTGCAGTTGTACTTGGGTGGCGGGCTATCCATTGTACTCGAGTCCGAGTCGTTGCTATACGACATATCTAAGGGGCAGTCGGATTCGTCTGAAGAAGGCAAGGATAATTGAGAATCGGAGTAGACAACGAGGCCGGACCGGTGGTGGAGCCCGGACATAGAGTGCATGGCAGTAGGCGGTGGCGCAACTTCCGGAAGCGTCGCCACCGGCCCCGAGCGGAAGACGAGCACACAGGCGAGGCAGAACAAAGTAAGGATGCAGAGGCCGATGTAGCCTTGAGCAATTGATATCGTGGCTGAAGCAACGAGCACCTCTACGTGCCCAAGACTCCAGCAGAAGGATACAATAGTCCGGCAGATGGACGAGGCGCGGCGCGCCGAAGCGATGAGACCGGGCGTGGGCATTGATTGACAGGGTGGCTAAGCGTGCACAGCGCGCTTGAGAAGGGGATGAGAGGGCGGGATGAGTGGTAGGCAACAAGGCGGTGGCTGGTCAGCCTACCCTCTTATTGATTAGTCGAACAAAGTACAGGTCGCCTCGGCAGCCCCCGCGGACAGGCACATCCGCCACTCGTTTCCTCGGCCTCGAGGCGCTCCCAAATCCCCAACACGCCCTTGGGCCTTATACGACTGGCGTACTGGCGTAATCTCCGTATGTTCAATCACAGCTCTCGGCTGGCAAAGCATCACGAACACTATGCCCGTCTTCGCGTACGACTCATCGCCGAGATGTACTTGTTCACGCGTGAGAATGTGATGGTGTTGAGAGCGCGGTTGTCCTCGGAGGCATCGAATCTTGAAGCTCAAAGGGTTATCATGAAAGGGCCAGAGTATATCGCCCTTTGTATAGGGTGAGAAGCCAGGTCGAAGTCGAACGTCGAACGACGGGCGCAGACAACAATGCGCGCTGCTTTCACACGCTCTCGCGCACCGCGTGCCGGCCGATGCACGATCACATGAGTTTCGTTCTCCCTATGATACACAAGAGAAAAGCGCCCTCAAGGAGGGAATGTCATGATGACACAAAAAGTACACTCCTCAACTCGCAGCGATGAGTCGTCTGAGACTCAGGGCCAAGGAGGAGTGATACACAGCAAGAGTCCGAACCATGCCATTCAAAAAAAGTCTGCAGCCTTCTTCCTTCTCGCCGCCTGGATGTTCTCCACCATCTCATCGAATCCTTCAGGCTCGTCAAGTTCTCCCTGAGCCTGCTTCACCGCCTTCGCTTGCGCATATTCGTCTACTTCTGTCTCCTCGCCTTCTTCCGCGTCGGGTAACTGAGTGGAGGGGTTCTCGAACTCGACCGTCCCGAGAGACTTCGCTATGTCCGCAAGGAAAGTTTGCACAGCTGACGTCGTATTAAACGCGGATTGCCCTAAAGTCGGAGAGGAAACCAATCGGCCCGAGCTCCCTGGCGGCAATGCGACGTCGTCCACGAAGTTGACCTTCTTCGCTGGCTTGGGAGTGGAGGGCGCACTAGGAGGCGTGCGAGGTATCGAACGAATCCTCGCCGACACCTTCGCGCGTTGTTTTGCGGCCTCTTCCTTCTTCCGCTGCTCATCAGTGTCCTCAGGCGTGGAAGCACTACGCTTCAATTCTTCGCGTCTTCGGCGTTCTGCGTCCATAGTCGTCTGGTGTTCCTGCACTTCTTGTTGGCTGTAGAAATGCTGCGTTCGGGAAGTCTGAAGCGCTTCTTCGCGCTGGTGTTGTTGTTCCTGCGCATTCGATTCAAGACTAGAAGGTGACGAATGCGGTTGCTGAGTGGATGTCGGAGATCGTATTGATTGGGATGATTGTGAGAAGGTTACGGGTTGGCCAGCGATTCTGAATGTGGCATCTGAAGACGATGGAGTGGGCGACGGGGCGAGCTTGGGGGCGAAGGCGGGTGTTGGGTCAAGATCTGACTGTATTCCAGTGGCATGGGTCAAGGCTGACAGGTTCCGTGGAGCGGAAGGGTGTTGATCAGCGGCCACAGGCGACGTCGACGAAAAAGTCGCCGAAGTCTGACAAAAGACCGAGGCAGCCGAAGGTTCCTCCATGTCTTGATCCGTGAGTTCGTAGGATCGTGCTATACCACTCTCCACAGCGTCTGTATCCATCATGTCGTCCGTGTCCCGGCACCAAGTAGTTGCTGGCGAGAAACTGGGTTCATGACCTCGAGGACCAGTAGACGGGAAACACGGTTGTAACCAAAGGGCTAGCCTATGGCGGATGTTGCACATAAAGTCGTCGGATATCCTTTTCCTAACCCGGCGAAACAGATTTGCATCAGCTTCGCGTGAGAGCGCATCCGGATTGTGAAGGTAGTAATCGTCTTGAACTTGTTGAATCGTACGCTCAAGGGGACGCTCGGTGATGGGGGCTGAGGTACCGGTATATCCGTTGGTGTCTATGTTACGGACGGGTTAAGGCACTGACAGAAGCTCAAGCGATTGGCACTCACTAATCGGCGTTCTCCGTGAAGGCTTGCATTCTTGTTGATCTTGCTCATGCCAATCTCCGTGGGTCGTACGATCGGGCTTGGGAGGGGAGGGAAGCAAGGTTGCGACCCGGTGGGGCGTAAACGAGGTTGGTGAGGGTGGCACAGGATTGTATCGCCGGCGGGCTGTAACAGAGTGTGCTGCGCGAGGTGGTTTAGACATCAGCGAGTAGAAGCGCTTGAAGTCGTTGCATTGTATGTTATCTGAGACGCCGTGAGCAGATGCGTGCAGGGGACCATGAGCAGCATACTAGGATCATTGAACCAGTCGTATTCGTGGTAAGGATTGCACCGGTCATCGACGGTCGGCGCTACAGATATATTCATTGGATACCGCGAGCGAAAATAGGAGACCGAGACTCACGCGCTGCGAGGTTGCCTGTAACCACACCTGTCACGGACTTCAAGTCGCCCTCCGCGTCCATCGAAGAGTTGAGCAACAATTCGACATCCAAGGGGGACTCTGGTACTGCAGCAGTAGCGGTGTTTGTGGCGCTCGCAGCGCGCGGCGGCTGGCGCGGGTTGAAGAGGATGTTGCAGGTGAGCAAGAAGGAGGCAATGAGGAAGAGGTCTGCACGAGTCTGCGCCACCGCCAGCGCCACCATCAGTGCCAGAACAGCATTGAGGTCAACAGTGGCGCAAATCGGAAGTAGCTGTGTAAAGAGGAGGATCGGGTTGCGCCACCGTGCCATGACGATGAGAAGGCTTGAGCTGATGCGGAGGAATAGTCGAGCGGGATGGAGTTTGGAGAGGGACACGCCAGTGGTAGTTTGCGACAAGTACGCTCGCTCATCTGCTTTGCTTATGCAGTGAATAAACAATGAGGCCGCTTGCCAGGAACCTCTCCACTGATCTGGGCACAAGACAATGGAAGGTCCCAACCACGCCGGCGTCGATTACATCCGGTGAACCACATGCGTGAACGACAACCACCACACCCCGCTAACTCATGCCGACAGAGCTATGACCAGCGTATTCCTAGTTTGCTGTGGTATGAGTAGCACAGTGTGGAAGGAGTCGTGCAACTCGTTATTGACGAGATTCGACGGTGGATGCCTAGCACTATGACGCTCAGACGACGTATCGCGTCCATGCTATGCGCATCCACATATCGTGGGTCGTTGATGAGGAGAGGTTCACAATCGGCCTCTGAGAAGGCAGCGGCCATGACTAGCAGAAAGAACAATGGATTGCTCGACTGTACACAGACCGCCGCGCCGGTTGATCCGGCACAGTCGCGATCACATGAGTTCATAGCTACGACACAGTGGTTCTTGTTCTGGTTCGTGATAGGTGCATACTTTCACTTTACTACCAATCCTGTACACCTCAGTACTCGTCTCTGTATGTGCCAATTGTGTTTGCTACAGGCATGAAGACTCTGAATCACGAACTATCCGAGTGCTATTAGCAGATGGTCGCCCATACTGCTCAGGCGTGTACACAACGGCTTGGAACCCGCGGCAGCCAGCAACGACAGTCACCTCGTACCTCACGGAAGAATAGCCCGAGCCCAGATGGACACGCCGAGTTGCGGGGGCAAGAGATGCCCCGTGCTTAGCGGCGGATCGGTCCAAACTGACAGATGCCAGGACACATGTTTGAACGTTTGCTAGTCACCGGAGAAGCGATCCCCAGAGAAATGTTACTTAGCGTAATCGGCGTTCACATTTTGATTGCGCGGCCGATGCCAGAATATACAGCATATGTGTGACGTGTAAACAACAAAATTATGTCGCAGGCAGATAAGAAGTCTGCGGACAGCTATCAATTGTAGATGTACAGTGAAGTAACGAATGGACTGCGCGCGGGAGTCAATACAGCTCAGTGGATCATAGATGTCACGAGACGTACCAAGGCTCTATGGAACCAATAGGAAGAGTACGTGTGCGGCGGTCGCCGGCGTGGGTCGTGTTTGCCTCGCTGCGGCGTGACGCACTGACAGCGTGTGTGGGTCAGTGATGCATGGATGATGCAGGGACAGAGGTCGGTGGTGCGCGCCAGTTTAAGATGGGGTTGCGCGGGTATCCTGGAGCAGGGCGGGGCGAGATGGCCAACTCTGGGAACTCAGCAGGCAGAAGAAATAGGCCCGGTGAGATACGGTAGATAGGTGAGAGTTCTTTCGGAACATTGTTCGTATGACGAAACACTTGACGACCACATGAATATCCAAGGAGGTTAGTGCGGGAGTGGAGCTATGAGAGGGAGGTACGCGAAGAAGGGGAGGGACGGAGCACAGTAGACATCGACAGCAGTGCAGGTGCGAAAGCAAAGCGAGGAAGGCGAATATCATGAACACAACGGGAACTGCCCGTTAGCTAGGGAAACTGGATCGCCTAGAAAGCAACTGATCGCCTTCGACAGGCGACGGATCGTTTGAGCGATTAGGTGGGCTTTCCACCACGATGGGAGGTCCCGAGCCCATTTCCGTTGCTTCGTTCTCCGGCTCCATCGTCGGCTCGTACGCGTAGGGTCCATCGTGCAGGTGGTCATGGTCGGCGCTGGGAGCCGACCACACGCTATGTTCACTCCCGTGCTCGCTCGCTATGCTGGAGCGAGTAACCGTATTGGTATGATGCAACGAGTCCAGCGTGGTCGAAGTGTACATCCTCTACAGGATTCATCAGATCGCGATCGAGGTAGTCAATAAGTTTGAAACGTACAGCGACGATTGGCCGCGAGTAATCCATATCATCGCGTAGACTGTGTGCACTCGCGAGAGCGGCGTCTTGAGTACCCACCCGACGTATCTCGGGATTTAGAAGCCCGTCCGGCGTAAGCACATCTGGACTTGGGAATGGCAAGTTCGAGGCGTCAAAAAATGCTGGCCGTGGCGGGAGGAGCAGGCCACTAGGTGCCGGTTCCCTACCAGTGGGCCGGGGCGTCGCTTCAAAGAATGTAGGGGCCGGCGGAGAGTTCACGCTCTGGCTTCGTCGTTTGCCCGTAGAAGGCGCCGAAGAGCCCTCAGCGGCCTCGGAGCCAGATGGGGCTCCGCCACGTATACGCGGTCGCCAACGCAGTGAGAAGCCACGAGAAGGTGTGCCAGGTCGCGACGCGTCTTGCGAAGGGTAACTTGAAGGAGGCGCACTGGGCGGACGAGCCTGTAAAAGTGGCTGCGAACTGGTTCCGCTTCCAGATGCCGTGCCCATCCCGCTACCGCTACCACTGCTGTCGTGGGCAAGGGATGGGCGCTGAGGTGGTGGCAGGTCTTGTGCCCACCAAACGCGCGCACCCTCAAAGGACGTAGAATGCCCATGAGAGCTCCCTGCATTGGAATGCCCGTGGGAACTGCCACCTGGAGGACTGGAACTATCATGCCCGGTCTGCGAGACGGGACCGTAGCTGTAGCTCGCATGGCCATGCGACGAAGAACCCGTACGGTGTGCACCAGCAGATGAGGAATGGGTGGGACTGTGCGGTGCGTCGGCAGCAGCTGCATCTGCAAGAGGGAACGCCGGCATGGGTGCGAACGCGACAGGTCGACCGTAAAGCGAGTGGCCTTGTGACATAGTGTATCCATGCGACTGTGAGCTCAAGCCTTCCGGGTCTGTGTCGGCATCGTCAAGAAGCACTTCGCCGCTCCCGACATTGGTCCCTATGGCGCCGTAGATGCGCGCCTGACCAGAAAGCCCTCCCGAGGCATCCACCATCTCGTCGTGATCGAGTTGCCTTCGCGTATTGTTCGCCGGTGGTACCGGCGGCTGCGCAGGGCCGAACCGTCTCCGCAGCAGGAAATAGACTCCAAGCGCTACAAGAACAACAGCCGCTGTGATGCCTATGACAAGCCCCGCAAGAGCGCCAGCGTTGTGGGTGAATCTGATAACCAAGTGAGTGAGCGAGGTGATAGAATGGTCCAGTCAACGCACCCTCGACTGTCGGAGACAGGAGCCAGTGTTCCGCTTGGCGTGACGGTAGTTATCGTAGTAGGACGCCCGCCCGCCCCTGTCGTGGTGACGGTAGTGGTGACGGAGGGGCGGGGACTAGAAGGGGATAAGCCGATGGTCGAGCGCGACGAAGCGCTGATAGTGAGGCCAGATGATCGAGTGGGGGACGACGATGCTTCCCCCGAAGTAGATTCAGACAAAGAAGTCTTTGAACTCTGAGGCGAAGTCGTGGAGAACGCGACCGCCGTCGTGTCTGAACTCGAGGAAGCGCTCGATGATGTGGAACTTCCAGATACGACACTGGATGTGGCTGCTGTAGTCGACACGACAGTTGATGTCGAAGTTGTGCTCAATGTTTGTATTGATGTCCCGGTAGTGCTCGACGTGACGGACGACGTCGCCCCCGTATTCGAAGTCGACGACGAAGTGCCAGAAGATCCACTTGAGGTTGTGGTTGTACTCGCAGTCGTGGTACTCGAGGTCTGGCTACTGGTGCTTTGCGTCGAAGTACTGGATGATACAGTTCCAGAGGTAGTGACAGAGCTGGATGTTCCCGACGTCACCGAAGTGGGACTCGTACTAATCGAGGTGGACGTATGCGAGCTGGACGTTTCCGAAGAGCCAATCGTGGAGGACGATCCTGTGGTGGTAGGCACGGCAACGCTGCTCGTGTGAGACATCAGATTCGTACACACGAGCGCATAGCGGCGAGGGAGAATTGCGGAAATAGTGGAGATCAGCGAGAAAGCTTAATTTCTACACATTTGGAGCGCGCGCACCTGGTGGACGTGCTGACGGTGCCGCTGCCTGGAGTCGTACGAGAGCTTGACAAGATGGCCGACGATGACGATGACGATGACGACTGGGGCGTTGTCGCAGTAGAAGAGCCCGGCGGGCGCGTGGTTGATGCCGGCTGGGTGGGCGATGAAGTACCGGGGGCGGAAGACACCAGCGAGGTTATTTCTGACGCCGAAGAACTGGGGGGAGAAACAGTGCGTGAGTTTGACTGTGGACTGGTCGTGGGCGAGCTCGTGACAGCAGGTGAAGGAGTGGACGAAGGGGAAGGGCGCGATGCAGAAATGTTCGTAGCGGTTGATACAGCAGAAGTACTGTCCGTGACAGATAGGGAAATGGAAGCAGAGTCAGAAGTCCGTGACGAGGAAGAAGAGGGTGTTTGTCTGGTGGACGAAGACGAGTTAGTCGAGTTCCGTGAGGCGGACGATTCAGTGGGTGTGCTCGACGGGCTTTCGGTTGGGGTATCAGAGGATGACGAGACGGTAGCGCTCGACGTGGCCGCCTCGGTCGGCGCACTCATGGTAGCCACTGAAGAGACTGGGACGGCAGAGGCGCCCAGCTGCCTCGGCACGAGCGAAGTGACCGCATTGACTGCAAGGTGATGGTGCCAGCCTTGCAGTGCGTGCGCGACCCGTTGACCATGCCGTTGCATATACAGGATCAGAGAAACACGGCGCGCACAGCAAGGGAGATGAGCGCAGGAGCAAAGGGAGCAGGCGCTATAGCATCCAGCGCTCCTCCTGGAATAAGCTCCGCCTCTCCCCACGCCTGTCTCCATTCTGTAAACCCAAGGAACCACCGACAGATCTCAAGAAAAATCTGGCACTACATGAATAGAAAGAGCACTCACGAACGGTCTTGTCTTCGATGCTGCCAGCGCCTGGTCGCCTCCCGCCTCAACGGTATTCGCATAGTGTTATAGTCGGCGGCAAGCACAATCAGTCCTTGACGCCGAGCGCAGTAGTAACGAGTGTAGTTTGCGTCGAAGCGCCAGTGAGCCAAAGTCCTATCTTAGAGAGTATTCATGAAGGTCCAGGAAGAAGAGCTGAGCCGAGACTCTGTTGTCTGCGCCGGTTGCACTCCGTCCAGCGGAGAGATGAGTGCCTGAACGAGATCACGAATTTGAGATCGCCTTGCGGCTCGCGCCGCCGGCTGCGGCGGCTTTATCGGTCCCATGTGCTTTTGCCCTTCCTCTACTTGGACCTCCACGACGATGAATTGTGGTGCTGTCTTGTGGCCTATGGGCCACAGTATCTTTTGCCGCGCTCATCCGTTTGTCGTGTACGCGTCTCCGTCCGTCACGCGTCAAGCTTTGAGTCCCCTTCTCCACTTTGATCTGAGAACGAGATTTGAATTGCGACCACCCTCGGAGCCGATACCGGCGGGCTTGATCAACCTGACCCGAAAAGGCTTATGCAAAGCATACACTGTTTTATTGGCTTCTTAGTGGCTACGTTCCCTTCACATCGCTTACCCAAGCCATCACTGCGACAACCTCGTAATGTCTACACTGCTCCCCGAATTGGGTTGATCCCTGTCCGCTTTCTACTATTAGGTACGTGGTTACAAGGACTTCGAGTGATCCTCAGAACGGACAAAGGAGTTCGAACATTGACGAAGGGCAACCGAAAGCTTGTTTGACAATGGCGCAGTACTCGAAACACTTTCAGGCCGCACCCCAATATGCGCGCTCTTGATATCATGCTTGCCTGGGCGCAGACGTGTTCGATTTCGCGCCGCCGTTGACAGCAGCCGCTCCGCTTGTCGTCGTCGGGAGTCGTCTTATTCGCCACCTCCAGAGAGCTCGTAGAGTAGGAAACACCCCGAGCTGGCGGATCGGATGAAGCGGTCTTCGCGTGACTCGTCGTCTTCACAGACATTCGGCGCAGGTCATACTCTCAATTGGTGCGTCTCTACGAGCGCGTCGACCGTGGCATCGCTCGTTGTTCCGTGTATACTATTTACGCCCGCATACCCTGTACGGGCGTCAGATCCAACAGGGCGAATGTATGTATGGACCACGCATACCATCATTTCGCCCCTGCCCGAGACTCCCGACGCGGCGCCGTGGCTGTAGCGCGTGCTCTTCCGTCGGCATGGTCATCCCTGCGTCCACAACACTGGAGATCCAAGGTGCATCAGGATGCTCAAGATCTTCCGAGCTACCATCGGCATTGATACGCCGTACGATACTGGGATGGCGCATATTGAGCGCCAGGCGGGAAACCATGACTACGGACACCCTGCAAGTATATTGATCAGCACGGACAACGGGCCCAATAGGATTGCTAGACCGACACGTTCGTTGGCGTTGTCCAGATAGTTTTAAGTGGGATCTGCGTATAGAAGAGCGGCCAGCGTCAACGACGTTGCAGTGCAAGAAGCTACGACGCACATCGGCAAGCTACAGTGATAGGGCGTGAGGGGCAAAGTAAGCATCATTCAATTGCCACTCACCGTTAGGAAGGCGAGGTTCAGTGTGCTGAAGAGGACAATCACACTGCACGAGAGTGTGAGCAGCTTGAGTTCGATGCAACTGAGATTACTCGCCTATAGAATATCAGGCCGTCGACATATAGTGCCTGCAAGAGCGGATGCTGTCTTTGGTTGTACATTCGGATCGCCTTTATACTGGTCAAAACGAATACTATAGTGTCGTGTCCGAGATAGAACCCGAAAGCCATCGCAATGCCTATTTGAAGCCTTCAGAACAGTAGGTGCGAGAAAGGAACCTATGTTAAGGCTAATCACGTCTACCGGTCTCATCGTCCACAGGCTTCCCCTGCATGATAGTGTGTATGGTTGATATAGTTGCGTACTGAAAAGGCGCAGTCAGGTTATCGAACATATAAACCAGATAAAAGACATACGACACTGTATGCACTGAAGACTGCAACGGACACACAAAGTATCGCTGTGATCGGCAACGCGCGATTGTAGAGTGCATACGTCCGGAGGCTCATGAGAGCTGTGAATCAATGGTCAGCTCTCAAAGCCTTCCAGCCCCGGAAAACTCTCACCCGCGACAAGGAGTTGTAGGATGAGAATGAGAATCTCGTGATAGAGGGTCAAATTGAGTTCGCTAAGCAAACCGTCAGCAGCTGGGACCCGATGGCACAGGGATGACGCACGTACGATTGTGGTTGCTCCCATGTCTTGAGGCGCCCTGAACAGAGGATTTGATACGCGACTGGCATATTGCCTAGCACGCCTATATAGCGATTCAAGAAGAAAAGCGTAGAGATGATATTCCACGGCCCGGGAGTCCAGTATCGGTCCACCTCAGTCCCGAGTGTTAGGAAGAAGTCATAGTAAAGAATGACTGTGATAGGCTAAATTCAGCCCATCTCCGTCGGGCCCGTCAAGAAATTCTTACCGAATGCAGCAGCATTGGTAGAGAAGTTGATCAATTCCAGGCTCCTGTCATCCTCTCTTCAATACTGTTGACAACTCCAGGAGGCGGTGAACACGGTCCACGGACTGAAAGTTACGATGGAACATGCCTGAACGAGCGAGGCGGAGCGAGGGAAGCCGTGATCCCTTGCGCGGTCCAGCGTCTTTATATGTGGGACGAGAAGCCCTGGTCTTCATCGCAGCCTTTTCACGAGAAGCTGCGTGAGCGCCAGAAGTGATGCTATCGGCGCCAATTGGGCGCGAGGTATAGGCTTTGCGTGCGCGTACAGTAGTTCATCGTGCCTTACACGGCGAGTGTTCTGGGTCGCAGGTGCTTCTGTCACCACGACGCGTGGGGAAGCACATGAGAGCGCGACTCAAATCGAAAGTTACGGTCCATACTTCAGGTATAGCGAGCGTTGATTCGCTCTGAAGTCTAAATCTTGGTTACAGGGGCTCTGACGGGAGATGACCGCTTCCCGCTGGAGTCTATGTACTGCAGTCGCCCGCGAAAGTGCTGGAGAGTTGCGGCTATCAACACGGCCTTGCTTTGTCTAGTGAACACGCGACCTCCCCTTCCCTTCTTTCCAGTTGTTATCCTCCTTCTGAGTCCCAGACAAAATTGAAATCCGATGCGTTCAGAAGCATTCGCGATGCCCGAAGTCGATGGACCAGACATTTAAAGTAAGCTGCGTGCTAGGGCCGAGCATTGGCTTGGCCGTGGAACTTGGCTACTGGGCGCACTCTGCGAGCGGCGTTCTCAAGGATGAGCGCATGAGCGACCGTGTAATCGAGTCTCGTGAAGCTGGACCTTGAGAGCGAGAAAAGGCCGAGGCGGACGTCGGATGGGTGCGGTCACGACGTATATGCGAGTCCCTCGAGACAGCGATTTACCGACTCCTCTCGGACACTTTACATAGACCATTGCATTGCGAAGAGCGAACCCAGCCATCCACTTTTGGCACACGAGAAGTCGTCGGAGCGCGGAGAATGGCCGGCGAAGAAGACGAGCGTTCAAACCAAGAAAGACTCCCTCGGTCCGGCAAAACGAGGGCGTGACGTCACGCGTGCCATGAATAACGCGTCACTTGTTGATTGTCCCATCTCCGTGGTTCACCTCTTGTCTGTGACGTTCTTGTTTCTGTGAATCGCGAATGTTATCGAGTCTTATATCTCAGCCAAAGGCACCCTCATATGCGCAATACGAACCTCACACGCCTTCTTCTCTCCGAAGCTCCTCTCCTATCTCTTCTCCGTCGTCACCAACTCACAAAACCACACCACGCCGCGTTAGCCAATACAAAGCTACTACCTCATCTACCGCGGGGTCGCCAAGTCGTAGAAGGTCGTCAGCCTATGTTAAACAACACGCTGCTAGCACATCACAATGGGGCGGCAACGTTATCCGCGGTTCCTTGTCTGGAACAGAGTCACAAACGGAGCCGGCCCTGGATAGTCTACTGAGAGAGCGATTCAAACGGAGGTGTCTTGAGCGTGCGCAGAGAGCTCGGGAGGCGAAGGTCAGGTCCGGAGGGAGAAGTGTGCGATATAGCAGTGATTGTGAGGAGATGGACATGGATATGGACGACAAGGAGGATGGACTCATGAATGACGAGGTATGGGACTGCAGAACATTCCGACGCGAAGATAACATATGCTCTATAGTTCTACGCTCGTATCGTACTTGCGGCAGAACGGAAGCGAGCCCATAACTACCGACTGTCATTCCAACAAGGCGTCGGCTCCTCTTTCGATCCGGCAAAGGAAGACCCCGATGAATGGGAACAGGACCTGAAAGGTATGACGCTCGGATCCCGTGTCGGTTCCACAATCCTCACATGCTTGTCAGCCGCAGCTTCCGCTGATGAGGGTCCCCGACCACCATCCGAATACGACGAAGATGAAGCAGACAATCTCGCATCTCGCGCCGAGGACGACGCTTATTGGGAGGCACTAGGAAGTATTGACGAACTAGATAACCTGGACTCGTCAATTATCGATGCGTCCGAGGCGCGACCAATGGATGCCAGTGGCATGGACATCGATTGATTGCCTCGCTACCATCCGTCATTTGCTATCTTCATCCATATCGCACTCGCTCTGAGTCCTTGCACATATTTTTGCTATATCTACTCTGCTGCTCTTATAGACGCATAACACCAAGCAACACCCGTGAGATTTCCATACGTGTATTCCGAGCTTTCGTGCAATGGGTAATGTCTGTAGATACTTTGTTCAGTTAAGAAGAGACATGTGGAGAGTCTGTAGTACTTGTAGTATCCTGCCGAATAGTAATGTACAGTACGAAAACAATCGATAGCAATATACAACATTGTTCAGTGCCCAGTCCTGACAATCATGTCCTTTCGTATCTACCAAGTAAACGGAAGCAAGATACGCGGCCGGGTGCGGGAGATAGGCTATTGACCACAGTATCGCAAAGAAACGACGCCGGAGCGTAACGAAAACCAGTACGGCGAGCGGCCCATTATTTTCGACTATACGAGGACCGAACGCCTGAGCCCGACCCAGAGCCAGAGCCCGAACCCGAAGGGCCCGAGCTTGAGTCTCCTGACCTCAGAGCGAGGAGCTCAATATCTGGGGCATATACAGCTCAGTAGACATCTTCCTTCTCAGAAGCGGGTCACCCACCGTCACCAAAATTGACACTCCGCTCTCGTGTGTGGCGTTCTCGCGCTCGAGTCACCGACCGGCGCGTTTCTATATGCGACACAATGATGCTATCGAGATCTACCCGTGAGGACGAGAATTCCGCGTCCCCACTGCTTGTGAACAGGTCCGGGGTCGTATCCGAGCGGAGGTTGAGCATGAGGCGTGAGATGAGCGTGATAGAGAGAACATTCGTGAGGGATGCGAATGTTGCCTTTAGCAACGGCTAGACAGCATTTGGTGAGCCCTAGCCGGTTGACCGTCTGGTTTGGATTCTTACAGTCGCGACCTATTCATATTCCATCAGCTCAAGCTATGGGATCCAATCAAGGAGACGACGTACAATAAGAGTGACAATGTTCAAGAGATTGGCGCCAGCCAACGCACTGCACGTTCATGTTAGCGGCAACATACAACAGAGGATGGTGGAATGATATACCAGAAGTACATGATACCGTCTCGAAGGACGACATGCACGATGCGACCTGCTTGCCATACTTGAAAGGCACGAATGATTGTCAGGAGGAAGACAACGACGTCGAAGAGCAGGACAGACGACCACGCCAGCGCGAGACCTATTGAAGATGTCAGTCTCTCGCGGTTTTGCCTGATTGGGCCACATACGTGTCGCACCACCGGTTGCTAATTTGTGTGTGCACAGCGGTGCCCTTTGCCAATAGAAAAGTGGGTCCCGACCGTCGATGGTAAGCACGAGATACTGCATGCGTGTGCATCAATGGGATGAACGAAAGGGCCGCTGGAAATCACTGACGATGGCAATAGCCAGAAGTGTTGCAGCCAACAAGCCGAGGCCGATCAAGATTCTGCGATCTTTCGAGTACAACGCGTAAACGCGCAGGGCGCATAAACCTATCGCGAACGTGAAACGCGTCTACATCAGAAGCAGAGCGGGGCGTACATCCGATGGGTATCTGAAGAATCAACTCAAGGTACATGTGGTATGTTTGTGGGGCACCACATCTGCAGCAGGAGCACATGGGTTAGCGCTGATTTGACGCGTTCTAGATGCACTCACCCCTATAGACGTCACACCGTTCAGCGTCAACCTTCTCGTCGCAATCATAGTGATTCACATACCGCAGGTATTGTGCCCCAGACCATGGCCGCAACGACCGGCACATGCCCGAGCAAAGCAACATAGCGTGTAGCTAAAAAGAGACCCGACAGCCGGGTAAGGGGGCGGCGCGGGGGCCAGTAGTACGCAATCTCATCGCCCAGCGTGAGGACATAGTCGTAGTAGAGCAGGACGGCTGGTATGAATTGTAGGGCGTAATTGATGAATCTGCGGCCAGGATGTACGTGAGCATGTCGCTGGAAAGGCGGAGTTGATGTATAACACTAGAGCAAAAGCTTGTGAAACAAGGGCACGTACAGTAGATGCGTGACTTTTGCCTCATCCGTCTCTCCTACGTCCATGCTCCTCGTAACACTCGTTCTATCCTTCGCACTTCCACTTTGAACCGGCGACCGCGTTGCGTGTATAGGGACCGTGGGCTCAGGGCGTACGAGGGAACGTTGAGTGAACTGCCGGGAACATGAGGTAGGCCCGGCTCAAACTTCGCTGCATGGGCCGTAGCAGACGGGAGCAAGAGGCAAGCCACTCGCTCCGCCTCGGCTACAGCGTACGAAAGTATGTCTTAGTGGGCCGCCGGCCATCGGAAGTGCAGATCGACGCACAATGGTACCGGCAATTTATCATATGATTTCCCACGAGCCCCCTTGATATGCTGATCGCAGTCACCGGTCGACCTTTGGATGCTACTGTTTCTTTAAGGCTTAATGCACATCTGGGCTTGTGGACCAGCGACTTCTTATTGCAGAATGCGGCTCTGGGAGCTGTAAAGTCTCAGCGAAATGCCGAACCCACACAATTGGCCCGCGATGACACGAAGCACAAAGGCGAGAGCAGGCCTTCCAGGAATCTCCATCGTAGATAGATAGGGGGAGGGGGGTGCTCAGCGGTCATTGTCTGGTGTCGCCATCGGGCCTCGATAGACTCAAACGATCACGTCTTGCAATAGCAACAGGACCTGCCACTCCTAGCGGATATTCTCACTTGCAAGTTACCCGTGTTACCAATGCGGACCATGCCGTCACAATCCTTCTCTGATGTTGCCCAAACCTTGATATGAGACCAGCTCAATGCCTACAAGTCATTAGACCTAGAAGATAGCGTCAATCACATAGACAGCACACCGTGTTCTTCGTCATAGGCCAGGTGCGAGTGCCTCGTTTGCTGGTAGCTGGCTCTCGATTGGTGGTAGCAGTGAGTCGATCCTGGGCCTAATACGAGCGTGGACAGTGCAGGGGCGTCTGTATCATTGGGTGTATCGTTTGAGTAAGGATAGTCCGATGTAGCCTGCTGCGTCGACGTGCCACCGAACGACCGCACAGCTCGCAGATTCAACATGATCCTAGTGATGAGTGACGCAGACACGCTGGAAGATGGTGAGATTAGCACGGACGGGAGGAACCTACAGCCACGCTCACACGTTCGTGAACGTCGTGGCGCAGGCACTGAGGGCTTCTGATGCTAACTGTAGATGAAGAGTGAATGAGCTCTAGAAGAGGATACACCATCGTGTTAGGACGTACTAGAAGGGTCAGGATATTGCCTAGGTTGACGCAGAACAGAGCACTGTTCACAAATGGCTCAATCGCTCTATCATGGAGCCATGTTGCAAGTCGTACACAAAATATAATGACCCTGCATGGCTTGGCAATGAGCAGGGGATTTCGTATACTAGATATTGCGCTAGGACACCTACCATCGCGGAAAAGGATGGTTGTCAGCCGACCTCGGCCAATTCGGAGCGTGCGATACACCGTAAGTCCGAAGATGACGATGTCGAAGACAAGAACCCCGCTCCACGCAGTGGCTAGATGCTGAGCACTGTGAGATCTCGTTAGATCAGGTCCGCTTCAAAGGCGTGAAATTGCCACGTACTTGGTCCGCGGGACGAGCTGAGTACACCCGACGAGTAGCGGGGCAGTGCTGACAATCAGCACTCCACTACCAGAGGCCGTCAAGATGGACCACTGCGGGTGTTGTCTAATGAGTTGCATCGAATTTCAAAGAAGAGCAAAACATACTATGGCGATCCCGATGCCGGCGAATATGATCAAAAGCAGAAAAGCAAGGATATGACGACTCTTCTGATACAATGCATATACGCGTATCGTACATAGAGCTGCAGAAAGTGCGGGTCAATCCTGGCGACCTGAGTGAGATAGGTGCATGTACAACGCACCTCCAACCAGTAACTGTAGAACGATCTCGTAGAATGAGTGATAACTGACTAAGAAGGTGCAGTACTGCAACCGTGAGAAAACGGGCAAATGGCTATGGCTGATAGGACGCGTACCGAGGATGAACGATGCCCAAGCATTGAATAAAGGATGGGAATGTGGCCGAGTAGTGAGAGATAGCGGTTGACCAGGAAAACGGAGGAGACCCATCCTACTCGATGACGGGGTGGCCAATACAGCTTGATTTCCCGCTCCATAGTGACGATGTATTCATAGATCAGGATGGCTGCCAACTTCGCATGAGTATTTTAGGCGTCTGACCTCACTCAGTTGTGGCATACTCAGAGGTACGAAGATCAAACAATTGGCAAGGAAGCTACCGTGACCCATGGATAGATTTTGAAATTGAGCATGCTACACAGGTACGTGAACGCCCCTATTCGACGCACACTTCGCAACCCAGAACGCTGTTGTTGGGCCCCTGCATAACCTTTCGGGACAAGCCGGAGTGTTCACGGCTGAATGGGGAGTTCAACGCATGCTCAGAAAGGAGGGTGAGATGGCTTACAGATGACAACCCCAAGACCGAAGGGCGACAGACCACGTCCCACGATGCTCATCCGAATTGCTCGTTATATATGCTCGTTGCTGCCCCGAGATCGAGAAGCAACGCACGGAGCGCCCGTGTGCAGGCACGGGAACGCCACTCAGGGCCATTCAATGACCAATAGTACAATCAAATCGTAGTTTCCCAAACTAGCAGATCCTCCGTCACCGGTCCATATTGGATAAAGCCCGCTTCACGACCATTCACTGATCATCATGTAAGCTGTAAGAGATGCCGTAGGTTTGCGTCCTGGACATAGCCGGATGAGTACATAGCGAGGGAAAGAGATTGCACGGAGAAGTTCGACACACACCGGCCACAACGACTTCCCTGTCTGATTGTCTCGCTACGCATAGCCACAAGCGCGGGCGCCGCAATATGCAGAACCATAACACCATGTGCGCGCATTCACAAACGGCGTATCCCTGTAAGACCCATTGGGCCAAGCTTCAACCAGATGAGATGTTGAGGTCTGCATCCAGGGCGCGTTACACGCAGAGCGCCTATGATGACATGATGAGAGGAGCGCAGAAGATGCAGAAGAAGTACGTATGGCGCACCGGGGGCCGTCGGGTCTGCCTCACTGCGCCAGCGCTGGTAAGGAATGGCGTAGACGTATTGGTGTCTCGTCCGCGTTGAGGTATGTACCGACCTCATCTGATGTTGACTCCGGTCTTATCTCGCATATCTACCATCTCAATGCCTGGGGGTCGTGAGCATCCTGTGGAAACGCACATGATGAACTGGTGCACATACCATTCTCCGTATCGTAGGGGTATTCTGCCGTGGTATCAACCCACGGCTGCGAACGCCGAGTAGGATAGAATGACGTTGTGGGCATGCCGTCAACGATTGTCGAAAGGGGTGCAGCGCCGGTATCAACGGGAGTGTCATATGAGAAGGGTTCGTCTGTTGTCGGACGCGTCGACCTCCCGGGAGGCATGACTTCCCTGATATTGAGCATTATCCGAGTGATGAGCGAATCAGATATCCTGAGCGAGGGAATGAACATGGCATTCATGCTGGACGATGGGATCTTACTTACACGTTCGTCATAGTCGTACTACCAGTCCTGAGTACCTCTGAGGCTAACTGTGAGCATCTGTATCAGAGATATGTGCAGGGTGGTGACGCGATATCCGCGCACCAGTAGAGTCAATATGTTGCCCAGATTAGTGCAGAATAGTACTCTGTTCGGGAGCTGAGAATCCACCAATGTGGCACAAAATGATAGCTCTCACACAAAGTACAGCGCCCCTGTATTGTGATATCATGACGTTAGAAGACATTCAAGACGGATGGTTGCTCGCCCACCATCTCGCAGAAGGATCATTGCCAGTCTGCCTTTACCAATGCGCAATGTACGGTACGCAGTGAGGCCGAAGACAGCACTGTCGAAGACCAGTACGCCACTCCACGCGATGGCGAGATGCCGCGCACTGAGAGCCGATTTGAGCATGTGCAGTGAACGTTAACGAACACTAACCGTACTTATCGTCTGGCATGAGCTGATTGCACCCTACGAATAACGGCTCCGTCGCGATGATGTGCGGACCGCCTCCAGAAGATCTCACGATCGACCACTACGTGAAGTATTATTCAGACACGTTCATGGACTCATTTGTGCTCGGCAACTTACTACTGCGACGGCAACGCTCAAGACGGAGATCCCGATCAGGAAGGCGAGAATCCAGCGGCTCTTGTTGTACAGAGCATATATGCGCATCATGCAAAGAGCTGAACATTGAGTGAGGTCAGAAGAGGTCCATCGATCCGCAAGCGGTGTAAGCTGACCTCCAACGAACAATTGTAAGACGATCTCGTAATACGAGTGATACACGAATAGGTTTGAGCAGAACTGCGACCGCTGTTGAGCCAAGAACACGAAATTGAGATTGTGCATGGGAACTCCCTACCTTGTATGACATGTTGCCGAATACAGAGTACAAGATGGGGATGTGACCGAGTAGCGAAAGGTAGCGGTTGGCCAGGAAGACAGATGAGACCCATCCGAGCGGGTGTCGTGGCGGCCAGTATAGCCGTACCTCGCGCTCGAAGGTGGCGACATATTCGTAAAACAGTATCACTATGATCGGCCTTAGTAAGACCCCGCCGCTCGACGATGTTGACACGCGCACCCAGAGGTACGAAGACCAAGCAATTCGCGATAAATCTGCGCCGCATGTTGTTTAGTATGCAATTGTGTGTATAGCTTGGAGAGGACGTACATTTCATGACCCAGCTCAACTTTCCCCATGGCTCTCGGGACGCGCGCAATCTGGAACCCAGAAAGCTGGGGCACGTCGAAGTGCGAGCAGCCACTCTGGCAGCTCCAGCACCGGACGTGGACGACGAAGGACCTGGGTCTTGCAACACCTGGCAGGCACTCGTTATATATCACACGGCGCATATAACCGCCGGACCGAGGTGACCTCAGTCGGAGGCACGCATCGCAAGCTTTTCCGCGTTATCTGATGGGACTTACAGTCAGTTTCATCGTAGCACTTGGCTTCCGTATCTTGCTCACCCACGGTCGGTAGATCTTACGTCTAGGGAGCCAGGCGCTCTATCCGGACCTGTACCTTCCATGTTTCGTACAACCAATTCCAGCTTGCGGTCTGCCCATCTCGCTAACGCGCTCGTAAGCCGTGGTGGCCGGGAGCGCGATCCGGTTAAATTAACCTTCTGGAGGTGAGAAACGAATGGTGAGCGTCCGTACTTGGTGCTGACATCTCCTTCCTTACATAGGCCAACTCTGGTCTCCGACAGGATCAACGTCTGAAGATGAGCTGAAGGCGATAGGGAGGGGCGACATTGATGATCGTGGGTCAGCCTCGTGGGGTACTCTGCTTGGCTTCGACGGGGCTACGAAGGGCGAAAGTGGACGTTGCGAAATGGCCTTGCGGGCTTGAAGCTCCGCAACATCCTTAACGACGACCATGATGCAGGCGCCGCACGCGTGCCTTGGTCGAAACGAGCGGCCGCATACAAGCGCAAGTAACGTCGGGATAAGGCAACAAGCTTTGGCTCAGCATTAGAGACATTCCGCACACGGTTCACAGCTCATCTCGACCGAACGCGCAAAGGCTCCAACAGCTCCACAAGTTCAGGATAGAGTGATGTAGTTACCGTTGCACTTTCGAGAAGTACCACACCTCGTGTACAGTATGACATCATACCATGTGTCCGGGGAATAAACCCGAACGCGCCGCCCTCTAAGGCCGTCGTCGGCAGCTGGCAGTTGGGTCTGCTTCCAGCCTTCATGCCCTTAGACCCCAGACTTCGCCTGCTCGTCGCTATACATGTCATTCTTGCTGTTATCTTAGAACTTGTGGGCCAGCAAGAGCAATCTATCGCGGCCATATGTGCACTCCTTGAAGGCCGTGGTCTCGACGTACTTTCCGTCGCAGCCGCGATCCACGGACTTCGTCAGCACCTGCCACCTCCTCAACCTCGCCCTAGACAAGGAGGCCGTCGCATTACGGAAGCATGGCTAGGATCTCTAAGAGATGAAGAATGTCGTTGGTACTTCCGGTGTGTCTGCTTATCCTCCTGCTTGAGTTCTCTGTCTAATCGACGGCCTAGATTCACCTTTCCTGAGCTGAAACGTGTCGTCGCCGCACTCAAAATACCCGACCCTTGGTATACCCGCTATCGCCATAAATTTACCGCCCTGGAGGCTTTCTGCATCCTCGTTTACCGCTTTCGGAGTGGTCACGATCTGTTGGACCTCACTACGCGCTTCGATCGCTCAGCTTCCGCGCTCTCAGAGTGTGTCAACGGCCTCGTCATGTGGCTCGAGCGCCACTGGCGACATCTCTTTGAGTTCGATCCGGAGGGTGTCATGCATCCGGATAATCTTAGCGCATATGCGCGTGCCTTCCGACGTGCTGGGTGCCCTCTTAAACGAGTATGGGGCATGATAGATTGCACCATCCGCGCCATCTGTCGGCCCTCACTCTTCCAACGACTGTTCTATTCGGGCCATAAGCGTTATCATGCCCTCAAATTTGAGAGCATCGTTATCCCGAATGGGCTTATAGCATTTCTCTTTGGGCCGGAGGCTGGACGACGGAACGATTTGCACCTTCTCGACATCAGCGGCATCGTAGAACTATGCTACGATTACTGCTTCACGATGTCGGCAGATGGCACGCGCCGTTACTTCCAGCTCTATGGCGATGGTGCCTACGGCGATAGTGAGGTACTCCTCAGCCCCTTCACCGCCGATGGGGAGGATCTTGAACCTGAGGAACAATGGTTTAATACCGACATGGGCGATATGCGTGTTGCGGTCGAGCATGGTTATGGTATTGTTGTCAACAATTGGCCCTTCCTGAACTGTACCTCTAAACATCGTCTGTTTCTGTCTCCAGTTGCTAGCTATTACCGTGTTGCAGTACTCCTTACGAACATCCAGAACTGTCTATACCCCAACCAAGTCTCGCAGAAATTTGACCTCATGCCTCCCACTGTCGAAGAATACCTTCACGATTAACCCGATCCATATGTTGCCTTTCGCCTTCCAATTCTATCACACAGACATATTTCGTAACGAGTGTATTAAACGAGTGACACAGGCTACAGACGAGCCGACAAGATCTACTACTTACTCTAGCTCTACTTCTAGACATCTGGCTCTGGGCTGCAGTAAGAATGGAGGGTTCTACGCATAAGCCTCTCGTAACCGGCCAGAATCAACTGAACGATCTGCTCCTGAATATCCTCTCGAATATCCTCCTCTTCCTGCTCAGGATCGGGTGCTTGCGATGCAGAAGCGGGTGGAGAGGATGGGGACACCGACGACGAGCACGAAGGAGAAGGAGAAGTTGACATGTCGCGATCGTCCAGCGACAACATGATGGAGCGCGACGACGAAGGCTCTCCAAGTGCAGGAGACGGCGCCATCGCACTGTTACGACGTGCTGCCAACTCATCAAGATGCACATCGGCACTTGGGCGGGCCTGAGAGGACGACGGGCGCAGATTGGGCGGAGAGGTGGCACCAACATCCGAGGCTTGGGTGTGCGACGTAGAAGGGGGGCGTGACGGCGCAAAGAACTGATCTGCACTGTCACGCGTATGTACGGCCGGGCGAGGTGACGGGACAGACGAGCTGGGCGTAGGTATAGGGCGGTAAGGTGATGGCACGCGCATCTCGACATCATCACCCCGCGCAGAACCATCGCGAGACAGGGCCGGGCGACGATCCCGGTCGTGAGCGTGGGTGCTTGTAGATGCAGTTGCTTGCTGCGATTCACCGAGAGCGCCGTTGAGGAGGGCGGTCGACAACTGGTTGAGGGAACCGACGAGCTTGTCGACGGTCTCCTGTTGCTTTTCGCCCGACTTGACGAACACGGATTCGAAGCGCTGACGGTCCTCGGAGGCAGACGAAACCGCTTTTTCAAGGATGCCGGTCATACGATCGTCAGATTGACCCGCGGTGGTGCGACGTTTCTTGGTTGGACGTGGACGAGCGCCAGTTTGCGGCGACTTCTTGGAAGAACGTCTACGACGCTGCCGAGGGGAGGAATGTGCCGATGTGTCACTGGATGTCGGTGTGGCGAGCGAGAAGCGACCGTTGTGGGCCCGGGCAAAGCCATGGGGACGGCCACGGGGACGAGGCGTACTGGGTGTCTGGTGTGACGAGGAGCCCGGTTTGGCGCGAGAAGCAGCGCGCGTCTTGCGCCCACCCGGAACCGGCGTGTTGTCCGCGTCGCTACCGCTTTCGCTGCCCGACGAGTCTTCGATCTCTGACTCAAGAGCTTCGCGCGCAGACCGTTTCGACCCTGTGGTGCGGCACGCCTTGCGTTTCATGGCTGTGGCGATCTTCTTCTGACGATTATCTTCCTATAGTATATATGAGGAATGTTCGAAAGATACGAGAAGAAAAGAAAGACGTACCTCCACCAGCGCGAGCTTCTTGTCTGCTTCAATCTTCTTGTAACGCTCATGCTCGCCCGCAATCTTCTCCAGCTTGACCATCGCAGCCTGACGACATCCCTCGGACATATTGACGCTCTCCGCCTTCTTGCGCAATGGCTTGCTATCGGGGTTCTACAAGGGCCATCAGCGATACGTCTCAATGAAGACAACGAGGCGCACTTACACTTTCCAGCAGCTTCATCGCAAGGCAGTCGTCCATCCTGCGTTTGAAGGCCTCGAAAGAGCGCTTGTTGGGCCGACACCGATTGAAGACATTGTAGGCGTTGCGAAAAGCCGCGTCTCGCTCGTCGCCATCATAGACGTATGGGTTGTTATTGCTGATCGTGCACACGCCACGGAGCGTCTCTCTGCTGCCCCAACGACGGCTCTCCTCGGCGATAGGGAGATTATCTTGATCGAGAGCGATAAATTCCGAGTCGGTCTGCTGAACGAAAGTTGCCTGGAGAGGATCCGGAGCCGTGTCGCTTGATTCTTGTGTTGCGCCTGGATGCAGGGCGCGGTCAATCGCGGCTTGCTCGTCCTGGGAAGGCCACTCCCGACGTTCTTGGTCTGGAGCTCGAACAGCGGAATGCTCCTCTTGAAGATGAGCAATGCGTTCGCGGTCGTGAGTACGGACGACATCGAGAGCCGTAGGCGGCGTGGGTGTCGTATCGAGCGGAGATATATATGGATCGAGCGGGCGACCAACGGTGATAGAGCCACGCGGGCGATCGCTGTGGCGGAGCTCGGATAGCTGGGCGGTATACGCGTCGACAGAGCCTGTAGGCTGGCGGTTGGCAGAGGGCTGCCATGGGCTCGAGCGCAGGCTCTACAACAAGTCCTGTCAGCATGCATAGATGGCTATTGTTGGTGACAGGAGGACTAACCCAACGATCATCTGCCGGCCAGGAGTTTGACGGCACGGAAGGGGAACCGAATGTATAAGTTGGCCGGGCATCAGGTGCCTGTGCGACCTGCGACGGTACAGTCGCTGGAGGAGGCATGGAAGTGTCGTAGTCCTGAGCGCCCGGTCAGGCTGAATATACACTACAAAAAAGAGAGTACACGTACTGTACGAGTCACGGCATGACGCGGGCTAAGGCGAACTTGGGAAGAGCTCGGCGCAGGCGTAGAAGTGAGCGCATACGGTGCGCGCGGGCCCTGAGATGAGAGTTAGAACCAAGAGCCGCGTGTGTTCAACCTGAACGCGACGTACCGACCCAAACCAAGTCACGCGAGGAGCAGGGCGCGCCTGGTTGGCTGAACTAGGCCGGGAGGAAGCCCGGCTAGCTTGAGACGAAGGCCTCTCGGGAGGCCGGATGGTGTGGTTGTGTTGGTAGTTGTTAGACATAGTTGCGTTGCTTACGGTGCCCACCTCGCTTGCGCGCAGGACTTATATACTACTGCTAACAGTACTAGCGTAGAGGTAGGCTAAGCGACGCAGTAGCAGGCAGTAGCCCTGTTGCTTGGGCGGCTCGCTAAGCGGCTGCTACCATCTCGTGTGGTGGAGTAGATGCAGTACAACTAATATCTTTATCAACATGTGTCCACGGCTAATCTATTATGAGCGGCGACCCGCGCAGCAGTTGCCGAGCGTTCTGAACAGGATTCGCCTTGGGGAGCTCCACTTTCTTCTTTCTGCGCCAGCCAAATCACCGTGTGCGGAATGTCTCTATTCGTGATAAATTCAAACAGTCGGAAGCATCGGGCTGTCCCATCAGTAGAGCTGTATTGTCGTGGAGCTTCGTGGCGGCGAGAAGGATGACGAGCGTTTACCGCGGCGAACGCCCATCATCCGTGTGCGTGTCGATTACCACGCTCGCGAGACTTGATTTTTGATCACGATCAACTGCCAGGTTTGACTGCGCTGTAGGATCCCAGACGCGAACTGCAGGCCCCGGCTCATCTGTAATCAAGAGGCTCTGTGAAGTAGGATGGAGCCTGAGGTTGGTCTGACAGGATGGTGGTGATGCTGAGATGATTAGACAATGTACGGATATATCAACCAGTGCTAGTACTCATACACATGTGTCTGAAATAGTCCGTGCGTGAGAGAAACGTATCATACAGTGTCACAGACTAGTACAGTAGTCCGACAGCTAGCACCGTCACAAGCCAAGCCCGAAGCGTCTAAAGAGGGACCTGTGCGAAGTCGTCGTCTGCATTCAGCGAAACATTGATGATAGCCGGGCCCGCTACCACCTGCTCGGGGTCGAGCCCCATCTTGTCCTTCGTGATGATGAGGTATGTGTAGCCCATTAGTCCCTGCGGTACCTGTACCTCGGTCTTGGAGTATGACAGTGGGACGACGATTGCGTTCTGGCCGTTGAGGAAGGCAGCGTAGAGATCGCCCGAGCTAGTTGAATCGTCGTAAGCGAGTGTAAGCTTCGAGCCGGGCGCGCCATCGCCGGTGGCGTTGAGTGCCGGATTCGCTCTGGCGGGCAATGCCGGGTTTGTGCTGGGGCATTCAGTGATGAACTGCGAGGCGAGCGTGAATGCCGAGTTGAAGTCGAGGGGCGTCTGCAAGGTGGTGTAAGTAAGGTTATCACACCAGGGCAAAGGTATCCACACCTCATATGCCGTTCCCCAAGCAGAGCCGCGGCGCACAGAGGACTCGACCCACGCAGCTTGGCGAGCCTCGGTGGAGAGAATCGTCGCCGCGGCGGTGAGATAATCCTTGTCGGAGATGAACTTCGCGGCTCCCGTGTATGCCGATGCCCCGACCTGTTCGAAGGTCGCACTCAAGTCCACAAAACCCTTCACGTCGTCGTATGGGCTACACGAATGTCAGCGCGAAGCCGGAGCGGTGTGAGCGATCCCGTTCGGAACTTACAAGCTGTACGTGCAGGGCCGGGTCGCGTCGCTCCCAAGTGCGGTTGAGAGGAACTTGACGTGGTCTGCCTCGTGCTCTGCAATTTGCAAGAAGCGACCGCGAACCCAAGGCTGGAATCCAGCGTTGGCGAAGTCTTGCACCGAGAACCTTTCGAGAGCGCCCGAATAGAAGGCGTTCTCGAGGTGCTCGAGCGTAAGAGCTACGTTAAGGACCTGAGTATCTAAAAGAGTAGGTTCAGTCCAAGTTTGCAGGGAGTAAAAAGAGCACGTCGTACCGGTCGGAGTCTGAACGTCGTCACGTTTTAGACGGTAGGGATGGGCCCTGCGGGCAGAGACGGCGGCTACACAGGCAAAGAATACCAGCGCGGCGAATTTCATGTTGAGTAGAATAGCTGATAGAATGAGGGGAGTGCTTTAGGTGTTGTGGTGCCAGACAGGTGGTCGAAGGCCGGCGGGTATGGGCAGAACCGAGCGGGAGCTGGAAGCGAACGGGCTGTTGAATTATTGCATTAGCTCGTCAAGTGTCTTTATACGCCATCTATTGAGATCGAGACACGGTATGGCACTCAACTCGTCGGGATCCTCGGCCCGTACAACAGATATGAGACTATCGGGGAAAGGCATGCGAGGCAGGGTTGCGCCCTCGAGAGGGTCAACGCAGCCACCGACTGCGTTGCTCCATGGACGGACTTCGGCGCAAGGTCGAAGCATGTCTTGTGGGTGACCCGATAGACGATGACACTGAACATGCGCCAGGGGATGGTCTCCAGAGGGTGGCCAGTGACTCGCAATCACAGTTGAAGTCGAACGTTGAACGCTACCATATCTTCCCCCAAGTTACATCTTGCGTTTCATCCTGAATGCAAACATACAAGGTCGAACGTCTTGAATTCTTGTGGCACGCATATGCCGCAGGTCGGACATCCGTACAGGCCGAGCTTCCACTCTAGTCGAGATCGGACGAATTGACAGAGCCGTGTCGGGTGGACGCCCTTCACGCCACACCAGGGCGGTATCAGGGATCGCCAGTCGCGTCTGTAGCTGGATGGAGACAAGCGATAGAATTTGTGCAGGGAGGGATGGCCATGGTGGTCAACGGTAGATCGGTTGCGCAGCGCGCGTCGAGCACTGCTTCGAATTATCGGCCGAAGCGCCCGCCGCGTTCACCCCTCTGCGACTTGCACGGCCATCACCCTGAGCATGTATCGACCTTTACGATTGCCGAGCGCTTTGAAGGACGCCATCAAGGCGCCACATCTAGTTTCCACCACCATGTGCATCGCATCTGGTGTGGCTGGCGGCGCATGAGTCTCGAGCTCGAGCGCTGAGCGTCGGGCTCAGAAGGCCTGAAGCGTCTGATACACGCTGCAGCTTTATAAGGGAGTCATAAGAAGGACAACGAGCCTGTCGAGGTTATCTATCCGCGACCTCGATCAGCCCTGACCATCAGTGACCATCCTGGGAGCACCCGAAAGCACTGCGTTCTTGCTGCCATTCCTCTTGTGCGCTTGAGCGATGGGTACCCCAAACGACGAGCCTTTCGGCCAGATCTTCACGCCGTCTTCGATCTCACTGCCTTCATTCTCCCCTAAGGATGTCTCTGCGCTCGCCACCAGTGGCGTACGCTATGTGCGTTTGACATGGGTTGATTGGACGAATATGGTTCGCTGCCGCGTTATTCCCATCAGTACGCACAGCTTCGCAGTATTACACCATTGAACATGAGCTCACCAAGTGCTAGGTGCATTCCAAGCACTGCTCGCTGCTGGGCGCCCAGGAGTAGCCATCTCAACGGTGGTGTTCGGTCTTGTGGGCGCTTCGTGCGCACCAGGGTTCTCTGCTACGGGGCTGTACCTGTACGCCCCTGACTTGAGCTCACTGCGTACGTGCGGATACGCACCTGGACACGCAAGCGTCATGGGATGGTTCCAGGAGAAGGAGGCAGCTCCAGGCGGCAGGCTCGAGGTCGATCTCTGTCCGCGCACGCAACTTCGACGCGTCGTTGAGTTAGTGATCATCTTCCGTGACCGTGAACCCGCAGCTGACCGCGATCTAGCGAGGCTCGTGCGGCAGGCTTCGAGTTCCTTGTTGGTATAGAGACAGAGTTCTGTCTTCTTCGCTCAGTAGACCCAATCGAGGCGGTTCACGACCGCCCGTGGTCTACCACTGCTTCACTTCCGACTGGCGCAAAGGAGACGCAATGCATGGAGGAGATTGCCGATGCATTACTGGCTTCTGGAATAGAGCTACTCATGTACCACGCTGAAGCTGCACCCGGGCAGTACGAATTCGTTACTGGGCCTCTTCCACCGCTCGAGGCCGCAGACGCTGTGGTCCTCACTCGTGAAACGATCTACAACATCTCCGCCAAACATGGCCTTCGTGCGACCCTGGCGCCTAGACTATTCGATGATGCCTGCGGGAGCTCTGCACATGCACACCTCTCAGTCCATCGCTCTTCAGTACCCGCCACCAAACCTCCCAAACCAAGTCCCAATACGAACACTTTGACGACTATGGCATCCTTCGAGCGCTCCTTCCTGCAATCGCTTCTCGACAGCATCACAGACATAGCTGCGATCACTCTCCCCACACAAGCCTCATATGCGCGCGTTCAGGATGGGATCTGGTCTGGCGGAACGTTCGCGGCGTGGGGTACAGAGAACCGTGAGTCTCTCGTCCGCCTCACCGGCTCTCCCGGCTCGCACCACTTCGAGGTTCGAAGTCACGACGGCACGGCCAACCCGTACTTGGCTCTGGCGGCGATACTGGGCTCTGGACTACAGGGAATTCAACAGGGAGTCGAACTCAACATCGGCGATTGCCCTGAACCCGCCGCCACGCTCAGTGCAGAGGAGAGGGCTACACGGAATATCACAGGGCGTATGCCGACATCGCTGAAGGAGGCCAGAGAGAAGCTACGCGCGAGCGCCGCTGTCAAGGACATCTTTGGCGAGAAATTCATCGGGAAGTATCTGGCTGTCAACGAGGTCCGTAACCGCAGTTCACAATGCACCTTTATTTCGACTGACGAATGGCACTTTCAGGCTATGGAGAAGGTCATGGAGACAGGAACGCCTGAAGGTGATGCGAAAAAGATTATGTTGACGTATTGAGCGTCCTCGCGGCGCAGGATATATGCATATTATAGCTCTACCCCTTTGCAACTGTACAATAGAGAATAGCAGCATTCATCGGAGTTGCTTGTCAGAGGGACATCCTTCTCTTGACCAACCTAGGAATGCTTGAGTACAGGTACGACGGCGCAAAAGGCAATCCAACACACCTCTCGAATACATCCATGGGTGGCTCGGCGTCCTCGTCCATACTCTCCATGTGCCCTTCGGTCGGTTGACGCCATACCGTGTTCGGAACCCATAAACTCAGAGGACTGGTTCCAGGTTCATAGATCGCGGAGGCAACATATAGCAAGAGTCCATCTGAGCGTACAGGTGCTGACCTCTGCACGAGTGTGCCATCGAGGTCCATCCCGTCGTCTGCGGGAGGAAGCATGACCGGTATGGTGTAACCCTGACGGGCGCGGGGTATCACTGAGGAAATCAGAGTGGAAGATGTTGTATCGGCACTCCACGATATGGGCAGGAATGCGGTTGGGTATGCGAACTGGTATGGCGCAGTTGTCGAGTTGCTCGGTGGAGGGCGGGGAGGCGGCAGCTCGCTAAGCCGTGTATCGCGCCACCACATCCTATGGACCAGTATGAGTGCACCATATGACAACCTTCGTATCACACGCCGTACCTGAACGTCGTCTCACAATCTGCCACTTCTTGACCTTTCCACCTCAGCACGTCGAGAATGTGCAAGACACCAGTCTCGTTCCAGTGCTCGTCGAGAATACAGTCGAGCACGGTATCAGACGGAAGTGGTGACGGAAAGCGCGGCAGGAGAGGCTTGCCCAGCACTCGAGAGCGCAGTGTAGTATTCGGCACTGCGAGATATGATGTCAGCGTACGAGCCACGGTAAGAGTGTATAGACTTACCGACACCGACAGCCCCGCTTCCTTGGTGGCATATGGCCAAACATCGCTTCCCTGCCGGAACGGGAGCCACAGCAACCCATGCAGTCTCCAGATCTGCCGGCAATCCGTCGTCGACCTCGATGTCCTCCCCAAGTGACCCGACTTGCCTCCTCGACGCGTCCGCCGTCATCTCGAGCAGCTCGGCGTACATGCACTGGTCGGCCCACGGACTGATGCGTTTCTTCTTTTTCTTCTTCCGCTTCTTCTTTCCATCTACCGGCTCTGCGTGTTGAACCGTGAAGGTCGAACCGGAGGCCTCAGACGCGGGTTGCACCAGCCCCGCAAGGCGCCCGATGCCTTCTTGCAGTACTTCAGGTTCTCCGACTTCATCTTCATTATCAGATGCGCCGAGATTCAGGTCGGCGAAGAGATCGATGTGGCGTTCGCTCTCAAAGCGTTCGGCGCGTCGCTGTGGCACATATCAGTACGGGGAGACACCAATGGTGAATACCACTGACATACTCGTTTTTGTTCTTCCAGTGCCTGGAGAAGCTAAATCAGCACTCTGGCGAGGTGTATGAAGGCATGTTGACAGACCTTTGCTCGACGAGATGCCTGTGTCTGTGTTCTATCCAATACAGCAGACGGCGGCAACTTGAAAGCTGCTCGTCGAGACTCGAAGCCACTCATGACAGATTAGGGAGTCCACAAATGAAGTCACGGTTCTCTGTATAGTTTCGGGAGGCAAAACAGATATGCACAGGCTCTCGTGGAGGCGAATGTAGTGGACGTCTACAGTCAAGATGCAGCCGCGCCGCGCGTCTCGCGCGTTTACCGCAGGGACGGCAAACTCCGGACTCATGACCGCGATTGGATACGTGCTTGCGTATACCAGTGCCATAAGCTTCCGGGAGTACGCGGTCTACCGCGGTCTACATGGAAATCATATTGATCTTAAGAGGTACACTTGCGATAGCATTACAGTACGGAGTAACGTTAGATACGAGGGAAGCGACCTCGATCAAGCTGCAGGCTCGGACATGGTGGCGTCGATGGTGCTCTCAAGCTGAGCGCTGGTCACACCAGGGCGACGAGAGAAGATCACATCCTTGATAACTTGCGAGATGAGCCCATGTTGGGCCTCGATGGCGATCTTCGAGCTGAAGCCTAGGTTAGACATGCACACCAACTTGCACGATACAGAACCACGTACCTGTCCTTCACAACCTTTGCTAGCTGATTATCATCCTTCTTCTTCTCCTGCTATTCCGCGTCAGCGCCTCTTGAAGTCGTGAACGAGACAAGCGGTCTTACCTTGTTTGAAGATGCGCCTGGCTTATCCGCAGTCGTCGATGGTAGGGAAGGTACCACAGGCTTGGTGTGAGCCACGTTGTTGATAGCTTTGTGCACTTTCTGCTGCAGGTCTTGCAGTTGGCTCGCCGCATATGCCCGATTGGAGATGAGGGGGCTTTGACTGAGGGTGTTGACCCAGTACTTGTTCCACAATAGACCTAGTAATTCGGTATCCAGCGCGCTCTTGAAGATCTGCACCTCGAGCGGATAGTACTGGTTCGCGTGAACACCAAAATCTTCGATCTTCTCGAGAGGGATGCTCTGATACTCAGACGCCGATGCGTTTGGTGGTGTGTAGTCCTCCGGATACGTGCGGAAGGCGCCAATGTCAACACGACCGGCAGAGATCGTACGGTTGGGGTCAATCTGCCCCAAATCAGCGGCATGCAGAAGGCGCCATCAAGAGTGGACGTACAACGACAGCGACAAAGGGGTCTTGGAACTTCTGGTTCGTCATCTGCGTGGTGACATCGATACCAGAGAGCCAGCATCCATATCCTGGATGAGAGTGGTACCAACCGATCACGTTCTCCAGCCGTCCAATCTATGCCAGTCCATCAGGTCATGATATCCGACATGTCTTGTGCGCGGCCTACCTTCTCACTTTCAGCGGTGTACTGCACCATGTACTCAATCGCCTCATTCCCGGCGTTTACACGCGTCTCTGTACCCTGCACTGGCAGGGCAAACGAGTCCATGATCACAAGCGAGTCGCCTTGAACCTTTCCTTGCATAAGACCCATGATCTCGTGAGGAACACCGGATCGTGCGTGGATGACCTGCAGGGTACGTCAAAAGTCAATACTGCAATAAAGGCCAAGCTGGCTGAAGCGCACCATCTTGATCAATGCCACAGCAGAGATCTTACATGACTTGAAGTAATGTTCGCTATGTCCTGATAAGTAATCCAAGTCCGGGCGTACAACTCGAATCGCGCACTCTTTACTCCACGGTGCTTCCCTGTTTAGCGCCCTGTTCGCCTCGACATCAAACTTGAATATCTCGTCTTGTGGCGAGAGCTCGTAGATATCGTTTGCAAGATTGAATGTTTGAAAGGCTGTATTTGACGAGGACGCCATGACAGCAGTAGGCAACGAATCTCCGGCGGGAGAGGTGACCGTCGGGAAGCAAGAGCGCGACGCGTGTGGCGCGCATGCGCGTCGCGGACATCCACAATCAGAACGCGATCACCTGACATTTATTATCAGACAAGCCGAATTAGTGCCCTCGAGTTACGTCCGTTTCGAGAGTTATGGACGCGTGCACGGGATGGCCTATAGCAGTACCTATGGAGATTGGCTGCAGTCTAAGGCTACAACACGAGGCGCCGGATAGGGCTGAAGAAGAAGCGCCAAGTACCACGACTCGGACCCACGCTGTCACCGCATTGAGCGCTATATAAGGGTGTCACGACGCGGCTACTAGCCGAGCCTTGGTTGCACTCTCCCACCATGCCTTTCATTGCGCGACCTACACTCTTCTCTGATAGTACAGTAGGCACTATGCCAATCACAGCGCCCAGTCCCGTAGAACAAGGTATGCCGGTGGCTCGGTAGTCGTCGGTTTTAGACGCGCGATTTGACATGAGTCATAGCCTTTGCCCGTATATGGGCATTCATTGTTGACATCGCTACTTCGTTCTCGACTTGGCTGGTGAATACATGGATAGGAAGCAAGTTCTTAGAAAGTGAAGTGATACAATTTATTCGGACACGGACAAGTAACGCTAATGCCCTTGTAGTTTGTTCAACGGTAGACAATTTCAGTGAGCAACACAATTCACCATGCGCGAAAGGGATATGACTGATCGTCCTTGTACAGCACGAGCACACCCGCTTCTTACCGGGATACCTCTTGTCCTATACTACGGTCCCAACCTCATACGTGTCCTTGTCTTCATCCCGTGGCTCTCATTCCAACTTATTCTGCGCGGTCTTGGCTTTGGCCGGGATGGTGTTGAACGAGGTAGGCCATCCGATAAGGTGCTCCATCAGATCACTGAATCGCCGTGGCAGGTTCACTGGCAGCCAGCTACGAGTCGCAGTATTACACGTACGGAACGGGTGGAATCCCTCATAATTCGGCGTTTGCGTACATGCAATCGGCGGGAGCTCGCACGCCAACCTGGAGGACGTCTCTTATCATGTTCATTTGGTATGCCATCGACCTAGCGCTCGGTGTATGGGGGTTTTATATCCTAGCGCGCTACTATGGCGTTGTGGCGTAGTATGATCAGATCACTACGAGCCTGCGTTTCAGCTAGGGATACGAGTAGATTTGAGGATAACATACCAATACATAGATATTATCTGTTACTAAACGTGATCCATCGCAGCGCCTCATATACGTCCTTCAATGTGACGCGTGCCTTCTTCTCCCGCATCTGCTTGACCCTTTCAAGTGCTATTTGCCGGGCCAAGGTTCTCTCCCGCTCGCTTTGGTTGGGATCACGAAGCTTCTCCTCCCGAGATGCTGAGCACACCCGACAACCCATCAGCGGGACGCGCAGGCACGCTCACACCCTTTACTAACCGGCGATGTTCGCCTGTTGAGTACGTTTCTCCAACAATTGACGCTCCATCTCCTCAAAAGCGCTGAGAGCGACGCTTTTCTCCCGCGGAGTACTTGGGGTAGACGCCGATTCGGCGCGGATATCAGCCGGCCAATCAGCCTCGGGGATATCCATCTTCGCCAATGACGCGCGAACGGCAGCAAGAGACTCCTTGTACGACTGCAGACTTTCGTCATACAAGTCGTAAACACAGACAGCACAACCAGACATGCAGCATTCTAGAGCAATGGTTGTCAGCATCTCTCCACAGGCGAAATTTACTGTGACCCACCGTCCGCCTCGGGTTCAGAGGGTTTGTCCGGGATGATCAACCCATGAAACATACGCGAAGGTTTGACCAAGCGTCTAGGCTGTATATCCTGAGAGGATGGGGCTAAGTTCGCGGACGAGCGAACATGATGTGTGTCGGCCAGTTGGTCCTCTAGCGTCTCCTTGGTGCGAAGCGTGCGCTCGAGTTGCTGGAAGCGCGCTGATAGATCCTGTGCACGCGGCTCTACACGTCGTGGGCGCCTAGTAGAGTAGGAGCATATAGCTATACGACCTCGCCGAGGCGCAGGGAGACGCGGGATAGCAAGTCTAGCTGTATGCTGCATGCATGGAGGTGGGAAGCAAGAACAGGCTGACGGTTATTCGGCGCGAATTCCCGAAACCACGCCTTGTTTCCTGCCATCGCACGGCTACTCCCCTCCTTCATGTCGATATGCGAACCGGTAACCTATCGGACCACCATTATGGGAACGGCCTACTTCACACAGCGCTTGCGCACATAAGTGCTCACGGTGCTGACGTTTTCGCGGCGAATGTGCAACCGTCAACTTTCACGCCACCAACTCAACTCGCGCTCTTCCCGAGATGATCAGAGGCGTCATGCACGGTCACCTCGTACCCCATGCACCCTCCCTTTTGATCGAGGACACTGTCTCGGTGACTGTATCCCTTCACTGAGTGACATTGGTGGAAATTGCTTATGGCTAAGTAAGGCTCTGGACAATATCTCCTGGATTACCGGCGGCTATTGACATTCGCGAGCAGATTCAACTTTCGGCATGTCGCAAGTGCATCTAACCGTCTGTCCCGTATATCTCGCTGACCGAGCATGCCACATCTGATGGGTTATTGATGAAGCTGTACGTCATGGTCGTCTCTCTACAGCATTGCCGGATGATCGAGGAAGCCGCAGATCAAAGCAAGTGACCCGGTTCGAATTTTTGAGAGCCAGCAGGCACATTGACTGCATTGCGCTCGTGGCCTCCAATCTGCTTTGGCCCAGGTGGTCGGACTTTCAATGCCAACTTCCACGGGTTACTATGTCTTCCTTGACAGAATGGAGTCGATGACTTCTGTATCTCCAACGCGATATCGACGTGAGTCTCCAGAACGTCCTTCCGCCTGAATTCCGATCTAAGCTCATGAAAGTGACGTGTCCACATCGCTACCGAGCCGGGGAAGACAAGAAGAGATTACCTTACTGGGCCGTATTCAACGTACGTCTCCCTACATGCCCCATATCAGCATCACTTGTTCACTTGCTATCAGTGTTCTATCCCTTTTTCAAGGAGAGAGCGACCAGCAGCGAATTACCAATGTGTCGGAAGACTCGCCCTTCTTCATTTTTCCAGTCACAAACACCTGCACGTTAAGACCGACACGGAGCTCAGCATCCACATATCTAGGTCTCGCCATGTCGACAATGGCGTCGCATGTTTGCATGCATTATACGCGCGATCTGTTCATTTGCTTGTGAACCTTGTAACCCGCCATCATCGCCGTTGCTGTTCAATCAGGCTCTTGTCATGGGCGGTGTGTATGTGGCCACGCGGGGTTAGTAGCAGCCGTCACTCAGTGTGCGTTTCCGTCCCAATTCCGAGCCTTCGTCTCTACATGATTGCACCTCGCAGTCTTATTCCATGCTCTCGATGTTGCGGTTCTCCCAGAGCTTGCCCTCGTTGACAGGGCGTCGTACCGGCGGTGTGCGAACGACGCCTTCACGCCTACGTTTGCGCCATTGTGCCATAAGTGCAGTGTAGAACTCGCTTCGACTGCGCTCATAAGAGACGGGCTTACCACAGGAAGAGCTCGCTAAGAACATATATCGAGCTCGGTGCCTAGAGCGCAACGTCTACTGAGTGATGATGCCCCGATGCCTGCCTGTCACAGCTCCTTCGTGACACACTCAGGCCCTTTCAATTCGGGCTCGTTCATGCCAGACTGCCCGCAGCCATTCTTTGCGCGCTTCTGCGGCCGATGAAGACCACCCACGTTGATTGATACATCTGACAGGCATTCATCGTCGCGTGGAGGTCTGCAAGCTAATCTTTTGCCGAGAGCTGCTGGTGACAGTCTTTCCTGAGCTATCGATGCCCCAAGACATGGCGTGCTTCGCTTGTCCCGATCTCCTCATGGCCCCGGCGCAAGCTGGCAATCGACAACTGCCGGGCTCAACTTGCCTCTCTTGACATGGTCAGACCCTTGAGATCTCAGCTTCCTTCTCACAGAATCGTTCGTCAGGCGGTGAGCTCCCGGCGGGGACTCCTGGTAGTCGGGCCTGTGTATCTCCGCACGCAGGCTTTACATCTTCTCGAGCAGGCAAAAATGAGAGTTCACAAACTGTAATCCATTTGGCAAAGCCCGAGATTTTGCTTGATTATGAGGTCTCTAGGATATTGGAGGGCTAATATCGTGATGATCGCACAGGCTGATGAGCTGACCGCCCTGTACGTCGTAGCTTCAGATCATCTCGGAAGGGGGTTTAGGGAGCATACATTTGTTCGTCAAAGCTCAATATTGACGTTCTTTCTAGGCCGACAAATGGTGACGTCCCAGACCGATTGCATCGAGCGTCGATCTTGGATTTGACCTATTATCGTCGCAGTTGTACTCCGATCAAGGTAGGAGATACGTGATCGTACGGTATCTCGCGCGTGGATTTGTCCGCACCTTCGGGGCCCTGATCTCGAGACTCGAGGAGTCTGCTCGCTTGGACAGCGCAGCCCACACAGTAACTTTGCGCATTCCGTCCGCATTCCGACGCTCATTATATTCCGATCAACGACGCAATTCGACCCCGACCGCTCATTCGAACATGCACTACCTCTGAGCACACCTGGTGGAGCAGCGTTCAAGGCAGAATAGGTCCATGCCCGAGACGCGTCTAGAGCAGTTCATCTCAGCTGCGCCTTCCATTCGTCCTCTAGTATGGCAGCTGTACTGACAAAGACCCCGTCGTCTATGCCTCCCAATGTAGGCTCATCCATGAGTGCAGGTGCGAAAGTGATTTCGGCAGAGCCTGTGGCGCGGAGAACGCCGGCGGTTGGCATAAAGGTACCGACCATCAGAGTCTTCTGAGTCTATGAGTCTTTCTAGCTTCGTTAACTTTGGCATAGACTATTCTTATGATTGCCGAGCCACCGGTTCATAATCACTTATCGAGGTGAAGCTACGAGCGTAGGCCGGAACTACCCGCACAGCCGACCTGTCGGGCTATCTACTGGGAGTGACGGGCATCTCGCCGGTCTCGGGCTCGTGCGAACTACTTCTATAGATACGCGGAATATCAATCAGAGAAGGGGCTCGAAGAAGATACGTAGATGGAAGTGTCTCGCCTCGAGGAGGTGGATACTCAGCTATACATTAGCAATACCCATACAGCCCGCAGGAGTTAACCCGGGGAGTAGCCTTTCTTTTAGCGCATTCGCATGCAGTGTACGATCATCGAATTTCATCGTCATAGCACACATAATGACGCAGCCAGTGCTAATACTCACACTTCACATATGCATAGTCACGGATCAACGCCTGCAAGGGCAAGCTGGGTCTTACTCTGCACGCGGTTGGGACGTAACAAGTCGTGACATGTACCGTTCCTCTCACAGTTGTCAGCATAGGTTCAAGGTTGCTTACTTCGGGTATCTTATAGAATTCTGTGTGACACTGCAAATCACCGGCAGCCCTGCTGCCGTAGAAGTCTTCGTAAGAACATGCCGTCGAACGCAGACCAGAAGGCTTCTTCCCCTTCTCATTGACCAAGTCGAGGTGATCCTGAACAGCCAATCAGCCGGGCATCTTAGACCAGGACCGACGGGTTTGACGGGTCCTTACATACGCTTGTGTGCCTCCCACGACTTTCCCATGCAGATAACGGCTCGACCGGAGCAGTTCACTCACGGCTGACACTCGCTCATGCACCACCCACTGTTGCATCCATGTCTCGAAGTGCGATGTAGGATGCAACCTGTTTGGCAGCCGACTTCGATGCACCTTGCCCACGCCCAATCTCTCGGCCATCAACTGCCGGAGGACAAATCAGCCTCTGATATGCTCGATGTAAAGAACGGTAGGCGCAGAAAAAGATAATGAGGGATGGCTGCAAGCAAGGCATAGGTATGGCTGAACGTACTCTTGGCAACAGCAGTGTGCACGGCTTTGTGTAGCGGGCCCTCCTGATAGAAATCCCAAGTCAACCTGTGTGCCATATGCCTTTTGCTGAGCACGTTATTCAGAAGGACAATGTAGTCTGAATAGCCCTGTTGAGTGGATATAGGCGATGATAGCTCCGGCGACATCGTACCTGGGTCGGAAGGTGCCATACTTGATGGAGAAGATGGATGAAAAGCGAGCTGCGGGGCAGCAAGGTCTCGTGGAGCTTATAAGTGCGCGTTTTCGGCGCCCACGCTGAAGCCCAGGAAAGAATGCATGCAGGATGCACCAATCAGTAGTGTCAGACACTTGATGAAGAAGGGAACGTACTAGGGTTTCTGCCGCGAGGCAGCGAGCGACAGAGAGCGGGAATTAGCGGCTTCTGAAGTAGTTTAGTAAAACAGATCTAAGGGATAATCAAACGGCGTGTTCGACGTACATCCGATCGAGGCGCCTACAATACGGCTCCTCCTGAGACCGGAGCGGAAACTGGCATCCGAGAGAGCAGTCACAGCCCAGTAGAGAATTGTTTGCATCTGAAAAACGTGACGCAAAGAGGACGCCCGTCGGTCAGCTCAACGGAGGACGATCTCAGCGAGCCACTTCGGCCTCCCCAGCCACGCCGTGCGCGTCGAGCTCAGACTCAGGAATTGGCATGAATCATGAAAGCCGAATTTGACATGATACCGACTTGGTACTCGAGCAGAGGTGATTGAGCGCGCAAATTCAGCCCGAGGTCCACGGACTCGGGGGTCAAGATGCTTCATACGAAGAAAACGAGGCTGCTTGATGCTGTACACTGTATAGGACTTAGACGCCCGAAGTGAGTGTAGAGGTGGTGCGAATGCACCGCGCGTGTAGCAAGCCTCTTTGTTGCCACCGCTCCAATGCTAGTGTTGACTTAGCCGAGCGAGAGAACGAAATAGAGCGCGACCGGAGATGCAGATGTTAACTAGGCTCCAGCTCCGCTTTCGGTGGTTGAAGTGCGCACTCATTCATGATATGACTGCGGACTTGTACCTGGCGGTCGTAGGTATCATCTTGTGCGCAACCGATTCGGTCGGCGACGCCAATCTCAACGAAATGAGGCAAGGTTGAGTATGCTTAGAACGCGAGGACGACGCGCGCGCGGCACATTCATGCCGTAGGACTGTTGTACATGGACGATGGGATCAAGTCATTTCAAGCTCTCGAGGCGCGCGCCCGGGCGTTGTCGGTTATATAGGCCGCCAGTGGCCACAACGGATGCTCGGCCCGAAGTCGTCGGAGCTCGTCAGTCCGTGCCCGCGCCTGTCCAGAGCCTGGAGCGCGCTTTACGAGCAACTACGATAGTCAAGCTGATAGCTTGACGCTACGTCCGTCGACGAAGAGATGCGCTCAGCGGCGGATCCTGAACATTCCCCGTGGGGCCGCGGCGGCCTACGGCGGCATGAGGTCGAGCCGCAGTTCCAGACCCGAAGTAGGTCAGGAGACGCAGAGGGACGAAACGACGACCTCATAAGCACAAGCGTCTTGGCCCTCGTCCGCCTTTGCACTCCTCCCCTGCAGACACTACTATACTCTTGATCTCTGGCCACAGGGAGCGGGGATCACACAAGAATTCTCCAGCTGTCGAAGTCGGGCTCAGCTGACCCGCCATCTCACGCCTGTCTCATATATTCCGCCTATCACTTCAGCTCTATACCATGACGTCCGCCGCGCAACCCCGCCATCTCCAGCACGAACAGTCGCTGCCTGTCTTCAACACCCTGTCGTTCCCGGCCGATCTAGCGCAGGTTCCGGCCAGTACGCGAACCTCGTACACTCGCGTCGACATGAGCCGGCCCGTCACCTCCGCGGGACCTGCAATCCCAGCGGATAGTGACAGCGAGGGCGCCGATCTCTCTCCTCAACGGCCTCACACGACCGCTGCCGCGAGTACAGGTCGCTTCGTGCGTAATCAGGATGAGGAGGCGGACTCTCATGTAGGCCACGACGAAGAAACCAAGGAGCGGTCTGAGGAGAATGCGGGGGCGGTGCCACAAACCCCGCAGGCGTCCGTGACTTTCCTGCTCGTGAACGGCAAGAGGAGGACGATGCAATTTGAACCGGAGACGACCGTTGGACGTGTGAAGGAGCTTGTATGGAATACCTGGCCAAATGGTAAGCTCCCCTCCACCTACAGAGCACGAAGTTTGGCACAAGCAATGTTGGGCTCCTGTCTGATGGGGCTCCCACCTTCCATTCACCTGTCGTGTGCACCGGCTGAGATCATCGTATCTCGCCTCGCTGGTCACCGACGGCGCTTTGCCTGGTGTCCTACCTCGTTCACGTCTCTAACCTCGAATAAAATTGCTGATCTATTTTCGCCGCATAACAGACTGGCAGGATCAACGCCCGCCTGCTCCGTCGTACTTCCGCATCCTTCATCTGGGTAAAGTTCTGCAAGATGATGACACACTATCCCGTGAGTTCCCCGCCGCCGTTCATTCTCACAATCGCCGAACCTTTCCTGATCCAGGTCTGAACTTCGCAACCTACATCCCGTCTGCCGCCACGCCACCATCGACCATAGTGCACCTTTCTATCCGCGCCGTCGCACCGCCGTCGGATGACGGTTCGAAGAAGAAGGGTAGCTGGATTCGCGGTACGGACAGCGAGGACGCCGGCGATCACGGCTGTTCTTGCTGCATCATCTGTTGAGCGTTCTCTGCATCACTTCTCAGGGATTATCTGGTTGCATCTTTCTCTCTTGCTGTCGACGCCTACCTCTGCGCATGTCCACGCCCCTGTGATTTGCGCACATACCATCCGGAATCTCAGATCAGTATACCACATTCCAATCTCACGAAACCTCCTTACGCCCCCCCATTGTATAATGTCGCACCTTTCGACTTGCTTGTTATCGATGCTGCTTTGACTGTTCAATCCTGTTAGAGCCCCTTCGCCGTGCAACTGCTGAAATTCGATCTTCCATGCTCACCATTACTACAACGCGAATCAATGACTCGCGCTGCTATCGTTCGACCCAACTAATCAATCAGATCCTCGCAGGCTGGAAGCTTACACTTCACTACGACCCTCACGAGCTCGCGGATTTCGGACCTCACAGGCTCACACGACCAAGTCACCCTGCGCGCACTCTCCCGAACCCTAACCTTAGACGGCTGTGGCTCCAACGACCTTCCGGCCCCTCTTTGGTTCCGCTCCGCCGACGCCGCCTCCACCAATTGAGACGAAAACCGCTGTCGAGCCCCGCACAAGATCACGCGCTCGAGAGCTCATGCTTGACTGGTATTTAAACTTTACCGGACAGGAGCCGGTCTGCTCTATGCGGTATGATGCCCACCATATGCAGAGAACACCAGGCCGTTGACAACCACAGCAACATTCAGGCTAGCTGCAATTGGAAGTGCAACAAGCTTACGTGGCCCCACTCCGACACAATCCCCGACGTCACGGCGCCAACAATACCCCAATGACCACGCTGCCGGGCGACATCCGGCGCGCATTGAAACGCGACACGCAGACATATAACCAGCTGCTCGTTGGCGTGGTCGCCTTTCCCTTTCTCTCTTTACCTCAACGCACTCGCTCAGTGTTTCTACATCAACTCAACGCTCAACTCGCCGTCGCTGGATAGGACAAGCACAGCATGACCGTCCAGAACGTAGAAGCTGCAAAGAAGCGATACTCAAATGAGATGGCCGACTTCACGTTGCGCAAATGGAATAAAGTGCGGCAACAACAGGAGCAAGCCAACGCAAAGCGTCAGCTCGCTGCTCCAGCATACGCTTTCGCCGGAGACTTAGAAGAAGACCGCGGGCGTACACTCATGAAAAAGCGCGCGGCCCCCATTCTGAAGATGCCAGGCAGGGATGGTACGCACTGCTTTTTCGTCCTGCCGCGGAATGGGTGCTAATCCGGCGCAGGCATCTAGACATCCAGAGCCTAACTCTCACCGTCATACAGACCTCATGCAGTTATGCAATTCCAGTCAGTTTCCTTGATAGCGTCTCCAATCGCCGTGGCTGAATGAAACCCCCAGTTACACCCACGCGTCCATCACTTGAATCCTCGCTGTCTCCTTGCTTTCTCTCCCGCCTCTGCGATCACGAACGCTGCATTGTCCGCCCATATGAACCATTGTATCGATTGAAGCACACATGTACCAATAAGCATACGCATCTACATTACATCATCGGCGCGATCAGTCTCTAACTACTCCACTGCCTCCCTGGCCTCTTCCGCCTTATCCGAATAGTCTGGCGGTACGTGTACGAACAACATCAAGATGAATGCGTCAAACACGATGGCCATGCCGGCGTAGAATATGAGCTTGGGCATTGACTCTACACTTCTCGAGTAGATGAGACCCATAAGGCCAGGTCCAAGGATCTGCTGCCCTAGCGAAGATACAACATTCAGTGCCCCGAATAGTCTTCCCGACTCGGTGCCACCTCGGCGCCGATAGAGCTCGAGCGAAAAGCTTTGCGCTGTTGGGACGAACGCCGCGCCAAGTGCGACGGAGGTGATCCCTAGTCCGTATGTGATGGAACGGGTTGAAAGAGACATGATGGTCAAGCTCGAGATCTGGAACAGCAGTGATACGCGGGCCAAGCCAAGATCCCAACGCAAACCGCGATCTCTATGCTTCGATGCATGCGTGGCAGATGGCTCTATCAGAGGCGTACTCTCCGTGTTTCGCGTTAGGGATACATCACGGGATGTCGCGGGCGAGATAGAGTCGGCAGGTCGCAGGAGCTTGATGATGACTGCATTCATCGTGAGCGTCATGAACGAGGGATGACAGAGTGTGGGCGTATCTTACGCGGGAGTAGAATCATAAGGTAGGCCGCCTTCGAAACTTGGTTCGCGCTGATGACCAGTCCAAGCTATGTACATGTTGAGCAACTGTGCATCGTGCGATGAACGGCCGACAATAATGCTCACCTCAGCAGTGCCCCATCCGAAGGAACCCATGCCATACTGAAGGTAGAATGCGCCCGCACCTGTAAGCAAGTTGTCCGGGAGGTAAGCCATAGCGATGATGAAAAGCCCCCAGGATCTTGTAGGTAGACGGATAGATGGGATCCCAAATGAAAACGAGGACGGCAGAAAGACGGCCAAGGGCTCTATGACGTTTAACGCCGCTTTCTTGGTGTCCGCCCAAAGACCGCCCGATGCAGCATTGTGTAGTTCCAGATCCCGGGCATACTGTTGCTGAGCCGCTTCTATCTGAGCCGGTACTAAGGATTCGGGTATCACAAACCAGACGAGGAAGAGGAAGAGAAGGTGGACACCAGCGCCGGCATAGAAGACAGATACGGGACCGAAGTCCCGTGCGATGAAGGCCGACAGTAAAGGGCCCAAGCCTGAACCGGCGTAATAGGCTCCTATGAGAAGAGAGTACCAGCGCGAAGTACTTGCGGTGTCGGCGGTATCGGCGATGTATGCTTGAGCCGTGGTAAGGGTCCCCACTATACTGCACTATCAGCACAGTGCAAGAAACTCTCCAAAGTGTACGTACGTCCGAAGAAACCATCGATGATTCCTGTACATATGATTATCCAGCGCCCTCCATGGATGCCGGGGGTAAGGATGACAAATAGAAACACCAGATCAGACAAGAGAGGGCCCAGCGCGTATATGCGTTGCACAAACATCCGGCCGCGCCGGTCCGATAACTGGAGGCAACGTCAGTTCGATGACTCTGGGATTGCAGGTAGAACACAACTCACCGTACCCCACACAGGAGCCGTACAGCAGTTTAGCACGCCCATGATGACGTTGATAGCTAACGAGTATCAGTCATGAGGGATGCACTATGAGCTCATCCACGTGCCTACCTGCGATGATCGTCGCTGCACTCGCTTGCACCTTTGGGTCTTCCAGACACGGTAACCTCTCAGGCCTGGTAGCTGCAGATAAAACGAAGCCGTATATATCACGACATGCAATGGTGTTGATGAACTCCAATTTGGCAGGCGTGGATACTGACAGAGACTTCATGTTAGATGAATCGGTTCAAACACAGTGGGGCCACACTCACGGGTTATTCCGAGCAGACTCAGCGGAAAGAGGAAAGCCTGCCTGTAAAGGTTAGCGTAGATAGGCAACCAGTGTCCAAACAGTGTCGCTTACCACCAGGGTGCTGGCCGCCGCCAGAATGCACGATGTTCCCGCTCCTCGAGCTGTTCTCGGAGCAGAGTTCTATGCCAATGAGCGTCCGCCCATGGCCTCTCCTCAGCAGCTACCGAGGGAGAGTCCTCCATAATCCTCGCTCTGGAGGTGCAAGGGCGGCTCTTCCGATAGATGGGGCCTCCTCAGCGAGTTGGATGGTGGCGGTAGATAGCAGAACTATAGGATACCGAGTAAGCATCATGCATCATGGCCGTTCGGTTATCCGAGCCACTCACGGCCAGGCGGATCAATCATTGTCCATCAACGGCAAAGTCCGAGGTTCTCACCAGCGTGAATGCACACGCCCTACCAACCACCAACAGAGTGGTCACCTAACTTGACCGACATTGTCTACGGGCGTCTATTCATGCCGCGGGTGTTGGAAAAGCAATATTGAGGCCCTATCGCCAGGTTCAAGTCCATGTGGACCGCACGGCGATGGAATTCTGCTATCGAGTGCGATCCTTGATGCGCTCGACTTTGCTAACCAGTGCCTGTTCATTCATATATATGTCGGGGCTGTAGCCGTCTCTTCCCTTCTCTTTCACTGCCTTCCATCTCGCGTGCTCGTCCCGAGAGCGTGCAACGACGTGGAGTCACTCGCTTTAACAGGATACAATGGCTCGCAAACACCTTCTTGCCTTCACGATCAGCGGTGGTTGGGGTGCGCTCCCGTGCTCTACGTTCTCGGATACATACTGATCTATCATTTATAGGACATGCGCGACCTATGCTTATCTGGTTCTCGCGCCTCGTAAAGCTGCACCCCGTTGAAATCACCTTCCTGATTCCCGAACCCATCTCAGAGCGTGGCGCGCAGGAGATCCAACGACACTTTGCTGAGGATGAGCAACATCTCAGGGACCTGGTCAGGTGCGTGTATATAAGCCATGCATCGCGCAGCGTATTCACCAGACGCCAGGCTCGACATCATCCCTGGCGCCAGTCCTGCCCGCTGGGACATCATGCGAAAGAGCTTCGACGATGGCTACGACGCTATCCTGGCCGACCCATCTCGTCGTGACCCGGACCTGGTTGTTTGTGACGTACGGTTTTCTCTGTTGTATAGTCGTACTAGTATCTGACCCAGCACTTTTAGATCGTCGCACACACCGTTTTCGAGTCTATGCAAGCACGCGTAGCCGCTGGCGCAAAGAAGATCCCCGTCGTTGGCTGGGCTGGAGAATCTCCGATGGTACTACTGCCCATGATACGCGAGTACTGTAGCGATATACCAGGACTGGTCAAGTCTATTGAGGACAGGGCAAGCGAACAGAACATTTTGTTTAAACAAGCTTCAGATCAAGTAGGTTTGTATGCCCTACGCCCGCTTTCTATGCTCAACACCTGCTTTCAGGTGAATATCGAGCACATACGAGGCGAACCCATCAACATACCTGAACTTCCACCTATGGCCGATTACGAACTTTATCCGCAAGAGGTGTGTCGATGCCGTGCAATGGCGAGTCCATCCGTCAACTAAACCACTGGCTTGTAGCCACCCTTCTACCTCACCTTTGAGATTCATCTTGCAGCATTGCGGTACGTCATCCGAATAGCCGTCGCCTATATACTCTCATCTCGCACAATAGATCCATCGTCGTGAGCGATGGGTTTGTCACCTCTGCTTGTTACGGAATCGAGCCAAAGACGCATGCTCTGATGACGGATTACTTCGGCGACCGCCCCGTCTCCTACTTTGGTCCCCTCGCACCGCCTCCGCAAGAAGAAGAGTTGAATCGCAAGGAGCTCACACAGACCGCGGAGTGGACTGAAGTCGAGATTTTCATGAAGCGCGTTCTGAAGGAGAGGGGCGAGAAAAGCCTACTCTATGTATGTTCAGCCCGCCACTGTCCGCGGATGTATGTGCCGCCAACTGATGTGCTCCATAGATCTCGTTTGGATCTTCCTTCTCAACCCAAATCGGATACGAGGCGGACAAGATCTGGGCATGGTTGGAGGTTACAGCCGACCTCGACGTCCCAACAGTGCGCTATGACATGTGCTCTCAGGGATGCATCGCTGACGACTGCCTCTCAGCTTGTCTCCTACCCGGCGCGCAATCACCCAGTACCGGAGCCTTTGCGCAGCCGTCTAGACGCTTCCCCATATCACCTCCTTCTCGACTTCACGCCGCAACAGTATATTCTGGCCCATCAAGTAAGACTGGCCCTATCCTTCGTGTGCAGATCCACTCTTGACACTTTATCACAGGCTACCGGCTGGTTCTTGACCCATAACGGCATGAGTAGCACACACGAGTCACTGGCGGCGGGTATCCCTACGTATGCTTCCTTCCCTTCCGCATCATTGATCCTCGAATAACACTTGCGCAGGATCTCATGGCCGCTCTGCTCGGACCAGCCTGTCTTATCGACGCTGTGTTCCCAGGTCATTGAGTGCGGATACGAACTGAACGAGGTTCGCCGCGGTTGGGGTCTGAAGCCACGCCTCTCGACTGGATTTGCTGCTACAGGCACCGTGGATGCTACGAAGCGCGAGGCGAGAGAGGTGCTATCGAAAGCGTTCGGTGACGACGTAGCGGCGAAAGCGAGGATACAGGCTGGCGTGGAGCGCGGGAAGACGTTGATGGCGGATGCTTGGACAGAAGGGGGGTATGCAAGGAGGGAATGCCAGAGGTTTATAGACAGGTTCCTTCTGTGAATGTACAGTATTGAGTCGATCACCATCGCTGGGCATGACAAGAGTCGGATAAGATCACACGGCCAGTCTGAATGCGTACAAGTATATTGAAGATGAAGATACACATTCGGCGACAAAGATAAGGTGGTATAAGGAGCATCGGCAGATAATCACTGTACTGGAACCCCCAAATGTGCAGAGTAATCATGAGGAACCCGTATGAACAACATGACGATGAAAGAAATGAATAGCAGGACATCCCCAACGACGAATATAAGCTTCGGCAACTCCTCGATGCTCTCGGCAAAGACGAAACCAAACATCAATGGGCCTAAGATCTGAGTACCAAGAACCTGGATGACCGCTAGCGCGCCAAAGAGTCGACCAGACTCCGTGCCCCCGCGGCGACGATACGCCTCGAGAGCGAAGCTCTGAATCGTTGGCAGAAATCCGGAGCCGAGACTTGCTGATGCGATGGCAACGTTGAACGCAACTGAGCGTTTCGCCAATGCGAGTCCGCACACCGAACCGGCCGCAAGAAGCAGTGAGATTCGCGCGAGGTTGAGATCCCAGGTGATGCCGCGATCCTTCACCCTACGAACGTAAGATAGAGATCGAAGCAGCGGAACGCGCTCGTCCTCGCATGTTGGAGAAGATTCGCGCGAACCATTGACGACTGCGGCCAGGTCGCTGGGACGGAAGAACTTGATGAACACTACGATGCGCATATTATTTAGACGTGGAAGCGCCCAGCAAGGCAATGAAAGACATACGAGGCAATATGACCATGAGGAAGATAGCCTTCGAAGATGAAGAGATGCTGATTGTGACCCCGATCTACTCAGGTGTGAGATACAAGGTGCGAAACGAAGACAACAGGTCTCCTCACCTGCTCAGAGCGCCACCCGAATTTCGCCATCCCGTACTGGATGTAGTACACGCCCGCACCGGTGATGAGCGCGTCAGGGAAGTAGGCCAGCGCGATAAGGGTAAGGTTCCAAGAACGGCTCGGTAGCCTGACAGGAGGTATGCTGAAGCTTCCCGACACCGGAAGGAAGACTTCCAGCGGCTCCAAGACCGACAAGATGGCCTTCTTCGCGTCCACTAGAAGGCCTCCAGCGGTGAGATGATGCGCCTCAAGGTCCCGAGCATGTTCTTGCTGTGCGGCCTCCATCCGTGCTGGGGACAACGACTCCGGTACCACGAAACAGACAAGGAGAAGGAACACAACGTGCATAGCGATGGCCGCGTAGAAAACGACAAGGAAGCCTGAGTAGTGCGTGATGATCGATGCAAGGAGGGGACCGAGCCCGTTGCCGAAGAAGAATGCGCCTTGGAAGAGGGCAAACCATCGTGATGTGCTATCTGCGTCTGCGGAATCGGCAATGTAGGACTGAGCAAGCGTCAAAGTTCCGACTGGTAAGGATTTATCATTGAGTACGTAGTTTGAAAATGCAATCAAGTGGCCCTCACCTCCGAAGACACCTTCGACCAATCCAGCGATAACCACAGCCCATGATCCGCCTGGCACGCGACTTGCAAAGGAAGCAAGGAGAACAAATAGCACATCCGCGAGCAGAGGGCCCAGCGCGTAGAACCTCTGGACAAACACGCGACCATGTCGGTCGGACAGCTGGGTATTTCGTCAGTAAACGATCGTCAGAAAGGATTGGTTTGGCGACTGACCGTTCCCCAAATCGGAGCTGTCGTGCAGCTACAAATGCCGGCAGCTACTAAGAAGACTTTGAGAGGGTCAGAACAGCCCTTGTGGATGTCATGCGCGCGCTCTTACCTGCGAAGACTGCTGCCGCTTGACCTTGTACCTTCGGGTCGCTAGTGCAAGGCGGTTGCTTATCATCGTCCAAGAGCTGAGCAAAGGCGTTGAACGAGAGCCCGGTTTCCCCACGGATGTCTTGGCAGACGAGTAGATTGACGATCTCCAGCTTTGCAGGAACCGTTGATGCTGTTGCGAACACCGAGACCGTGTAGCAAACTATTTGCCTAAGATAGCATCAGCGTCAGCTTGATGTTCAAGACCTGCTTCAGTTGTACTCACCACCAGGGCGTGGGCCGGCGCCACCATGGAAGGTGAGCGCGTTCCTGCTGTTCGTCGAGTTGCGACGCGACCCGCGCGTCAGCTTCAGGCGCGGCCGCGAGAACGTCACTATCCGCCGGCTGAACATCCTCAACATCCTCGGGAAGCCGGATAGCCATGGCGCCCAGAAAGCGTATGATGGACGGCGGGAGGTGGATCGCTAGCTTGAATGATCGCAAAAAGCGGACGGAGATATTGCAGTCAGGAACGACACGGTCGAGGTATCCGGCACGATAGGCAGCACATTATATACCGGCCAGTACTGGCAGCTCTGAGGCTGGCGCAGTTACGCAGCCGCACGCAGATACCGCGGAGACGAGTTGAGAGACTGGCATTCCGAGTAGACTGGTGAAGACGATGACGGCGGCGTCCAAGGCATGCGCGCAGGAACGCGCCGCGGCTGCGCTTCATAACGTGCCTTCGCCACCCATCGTCCTCACTGCGCGAGTTCAAGCGCTCGCCTGCGGCGCAATCGTGAAGCTCTTTATGCGTAGCGAAATCCCCTTCTGTACAACTCCGGCGGGTGTTGAGTCGTCAATCTTTATGTCGAAGATCTCGAAAGTGGGCCCATACACTCGCAGTAGTACACCGGCGCAGCACTGTAGGCAGGGCTGGCATCTCCACCCGAATTGGAGTCCAAAGACGAATGAGACCAATATGATACAACATTTTGTTCGGTACATAACCCAGAGAAATCGAGGACGCGTGGAGTATCAGAATAAGTTATACGCCCTTCCCAGCGGCAGCTTGTCTGCCGGCGCGATGTCCGCAAGTACTCCGTCCGCCTTCACTTCGTAACTCTCTGGGTCTACGGAGATCTGGGGCGTCTTGTCGTTCCATTTCATGTCACTCTTCTTGAGCTTCCTGCATCCTCTGACGGCAATGCCTGTCTTCTTCAGCCCGTATGAGGCGTACGCGCCACCGTCAAGGCTAGCCTGCGAGACGAAAGCGACCGAGTTGCGTGCGGCACTCGCCGGGTGAGAGCCCCACATAGGGCGACCGAGGAATGGTTGTACGGATGGGATGCTGGCGTTGGCATCACCCATCTGTGCCCATGCGATTACGCCCGACTTGAGCACCATCTCGGGTCTCTGCCCAAAGTTCTCAGGCTTCCAAAGGACAAGGTCCGCAAGCGTTCCAACCGTGACGCTCCCGACGTGCGACGCGATTCCATGCACTATCGCGGGGTTGATGGTGTACTTCGCGACATAACGCTTCACGCGGCCGTTATCAATGCCAGATTGATCGCCTAACTCTTGAAGTGGCCCTCGCGCGTCGCGCATCTTGGCCGCTGTACGCCATGTACGGGAGATCACCTCACCAACACGGCCCATCGCTTGAGAATCGGACGAGATCATGCTGATGGCGCCCGAGTCCTGAAGCACATCCTCGGCAGCCACTGTCTCTGCACGGATACGCGACTCGGCAAAAGCCAGGTCCTCCGGGATAGAGCGGTCGAGGTGATGACAGACCATAAGCATCTAAGATAGTGACCAGAATAAGCATGAGATACGGGCAACTTGAAGAAGCCAACGCACGTCAAGATGCTCGTCAAGCGTGTTCTTGGCGAATGGCCGTGTCGGGTTGGTCGAGGACGGTAAGACGTTATCCTGCCCGCAAACGGTGATGATGTCGGGCGCATGACCTCCTCCCGCACCCTCAGAATGATATGTGTGGATCGTGCGTCCGCCGAAAGCCGCAATAGTCGCTGTGATCCCATTCAGTCGAGTCTACTCAGGCCATGAAGACGCGACTTACACTCAACAAAGCCCGACTCGTTCAAAGTGTCTGTGTGAATGTTGACCTGGACATCATAGTCATCTCCCACGTCCAAGCAGTTCCGGATAGCAGCAGGAGTCGTCCCCCAGTCTTCATGTAGCTTCAATCCACCAGCGCCTGCCTTCACAATGTCCTCGATGGCCTTCCTTCCAGAGTCATTACCCTTGCCAGTGAAACAGAAGTTCATCGGTAGCGTATCAGTCGCGAGGAACATGTGGCGTAGAGCCTCGGGAGATGGCGTGCACGTCGTTGCGTTCGTTCCCGCAGACGGACCGGTGCCGCCACCAATCATCGTCGTCGTACCAGCGGCAAGAGCCTCTGGCACTTGCGTCGGCGAGATGTAGTGCACATGGGCGTCAACCGCGCCGGCCGTGAGGATGAGCTTCTCGCCGGCGATGACTTCCGTGCTGGACCCGATCACCAGCGAAGGATGGACTCCATCCATGACGTCCGGATTTCCCGCCTTGCCTATGCCAACAATACGCCCGCCTTTGATGCCGACATCAGCCTATCAGTTCATTGTCAACACGACACACTCGAGGATGTAGTGCATGTAGCAGACCTTATAGATGCCGGACCAGTCAACGATGAGTGCGTTCGTGATGACGGTCTCGATACACTCGTTCGAAGAGCGATCGGTAGCTTGTCCCATTCCTTCACGGATCGACTTTCCTGCGCGTACATGATAAGCCACTGAAGGCATCAAAACCAATTCATGTCATACCTCCACCGAATTTGACTTCGTCGCCGTAAACAGTCTAGCATGGTGAGTATCAGTGTTTTGACGGAAAGGGGAAACCGTATACATACCGCGTCTTTCTCCACGAGCACCCAGAGACCGGTATCGCCTAGCCTTACTCGGTCTCCTGTGGTCGGCCCAAACATGCTCGCCCACGCTTCTCTCCCGATGAAGTTATCCATCTGTACCTCTTGTGCACCCGGCTCCGGCACATGTGCGAAGCCCTTTTGTACCGCGTTCGCCACGATTTGAGCGATGTAGTCTGCGTCAGAAGACACAGGGCCGGTAGCAAGGCCATTGCCACCCGAGATGACCTTCGCACCTCCGATGGGCACGAGCGCGACGGTCTTGGAGTCTCCAGGCTCGAAACGCACAGCCGTACCGGCTGCGATGTCGAGGCGCTTGCCGTACGCGATACTACGGTCGAAGGCCAACGACCCGTTGGTTTCGATGAAGTGATAATGAGATCCGACCTGTACAACAGGATGAGAGTCCGCAGATCACTGGATGTGGATTGAGGCAAACCTGGATCGGCCGGTCTCCGCGGTTGGTGACCTTGACGCGCACGCGCGGGCGCCCAGAGTTTATCGCGATGCGGCCATCCGCGACGATGATCGCCCCAGGCAACTTTGCTCTCGCAAAGTCTTCCTCTTGAATGGCGGGGAAGACGTCTTGCGTAGGCACAGGAAGGAAAGAACCGTAGAGCGCCGCAGATAGGTCTCCGTCGTCGCTCGCAATCGGGTCATGCACAGTAACGAGGAACACTCTATTCAATAGTCAGCTAAGAAGAGCGCCCCGCATAGAAGACGCGGCTATATGCGCACCCGTCTTCAAATGTACCCTCGACTTGGATCTCGTGTAAAAGACTGGGGACTCCAGGCAGGACGTGCCTTCGGCCGAGTAATGTACGCCCGTGCTGCATGAGATCGGCGACACTGTGCTTGCCATCTCGAATCCGTTCTTGTAGGACCTACCTGTAGTCAGTACAGGGTACCATAAAAATTGAGTTGGGAGCGCAAGAGGTGGACATATGTAGGCAAAGCAAAGCGTCGCAAGTACTGACCGACGCGATAAGGGCTGTTGCTTCAGCCTGGTTCAAACGCACTCCGCGCGCCAGGCGCTTTTGGGCGAGGAAGCCGACTTGGTGCAGAAGCACCTTTTCCTGCTCCCGCGGCAAGATTCTCATGGCTTCACAACTTGATAGTGATGGGAAGAGGCAAAGCGTGATCTCCCCAGCCTGGGCGCGGGGGACGCATCGGGTGCAAGGCGGACGCGTTAGCGATAAGGATAACCACGTGCTCGCGCCTCAAGGCTCGCATTCCATCCTCTTTGGGAAACGACGGTCGTTCCTTATGGTCACACGCACATTGTAAAAGGTTATAACATCTTTTCGGGATTTATACTATGTATCGTATGAGGCATGTCGTGAGGGGTATGAGAGTAAAGGTACCAATACAGTCCGAGAATCCAGGGGCACACCAGTGCCCAGATAATGAGATGATAAGGATACAGAGAGAACAGGGAGTGTGTATGATAGCGAAATCGAAAGCAAGTTTGCATGGTTCATAGCGAGAGAGCGGTTCGAAAGCGTGGCGGACAAAACAACGTGAATGAGTGGGTATGTTGATGATGAAGACGTGCGGGCGCTGCCCAGGAGTTCGGGGCTCAGCCCAATGGAGGCGAGAGTGCAGGCACTCAATGCGTTGTGCGCTTGACGAAGATGACAATAACGACGATGGCGGCGATGACTGCAGTCAAGGTGGTAGCAGCGAGGAGTGAGCGGCGTGCCCAGCGGACCTCGGAAGCGCGCATGCGTTGGAGCATCCGTGCGCGCTGTGCGGGCGTCTTGTTTGCTTCCCAATCGGTAGGGGCGGACAAGGGCGAAAGCAGGATGATGAAGCTCAAGAACCACAAGAGCGGGAATACTGTGAGAATAGAGTCAGGATGTAGTCTCAGAAGTGCATAGGGAGATGACGTACGGAACCCAAACTTGAACAAGTACTGGGCGAGGGTGACTGGTTCACGCTCTTCACCATCGCCGCGCTCCAAGTCGGCAGATGCGGACTGAGCGTATGTCGGAAGCTCTTCCTCGCCAAACTCGTTGACGGTTGCGCCAACTGGATAGATATAGGCGGGAGGGAGCTCCTTGGTGATGCTGCTCACGGACGACGCGGCAGGGCGCTCGTCGTGGCGAGAGTCGGTGGTGCCTGTAGCATCGCGGCGGGCGGTAACGCCGAAGAAGAGGTCGACCGCATTGGCCTCAGAGGCAGGGCGCGCTCCTGTTGAGCGGGCCGGAACGGTGAAGGCGCGAGTGGGCGCCGGAAGCATTGCATCTGCAGAGCAGAAAGATTCGCGGGAGTGTTGAGGGAGGACCGGCGTGGAGGAGGCGGCTTTCTCCTTGGTCGTGAAGAGGTTGAAGAGCGAAGCGAACATCGTAAAGAAGTCGGGAGAGTAATCGAGCGCCTAAAACGAAGAAGACCTTGAACGGCGAGTGGCACAACGGACGGGCTGTGGCGAGGCGGCGAGATGACGGAACTCATGTTCACGAATCGCCGTTAAGTATCCTGCTGTAGCCGAACGAGCCCACACAATTGAGGGTGCGTTCCAACAAGCGCCGACAGTGGACCCACAGAGCGCCCTCCGCAAACCGTGAGCAAACTGTCAACACGACATGAGCGACGCTCTGCGCCGCTGACGCTAGTCTCCATGGCAACCGAGTCTCACGGCAGTCATGAAGCCGGTCTCACGACTGGTGGACACGAAGCGTCGTGGCCCGTGGGCGCTTGTATCGGTTAGCCATATGAGTAAGTGCCACCCCTCTCCAGCTGAGATTAGACTATTGGGCCTGGAATCGTCGAGAGACGAGGAGGAGGTCGTAGGAGACAGAGATATCGGCCATGTTAGTTCTTCACCAGGTCGCTGGGGGTATCGCTCAGCCAGGTGGTCATGCAGCCGTGGACCGAATTCTGTACTGGGCTGGTGATGCACATTTCCGAAGGGCGTTACACTAAATCGTTCGAGGCGTATGTCGAGCGTTTTATGTGGGGGTGTGGCATCGGAGAAGCACTGAAGAAGCCATCCGTCAGTTCGAGAAGTGCAGATTTACAAGTTGCCACAGCCACTTAAATAGATCGAGTGCGACTGAAAAGCTCGAGCTCATGCGCAGAGCGCATGTGCGCCAGATCAAGGAAACGAGATGCCCTGAGATGCCATTTCTTTGCGATACAAGAAGCGTCAAGGTCGTATTCCTGCGTCAAACTGGGAGACTCGTGCTCGCGCTCAGCCATCATGCATCATGGATTAGTCAGCACGCATCACTGTCACTGTCGGCCGATGCCGTCAACTCACAGTTCAATCATAGATAGCCGTGTGCTTTGCTGAGTTTCTCCCGCCTTGACCTGACTGAATATATCTGACTACGAGTTGTACAGGGCTGCTATAGCGCCGAGGAAGCCTGTCCCTATACGGCGCTTGTCCTCCGTGCTCATCATTTTTTGCTTCATTGCCGCAGTCCACTCCCTTCCCATGGGCGCCATGACCGTTCTTACCGATTCCACTTCAAACCTGTCTTCCGCTTATAAACCCCTTCTTCAGGGCGGTAGATCATGATGCTGGCAGAGTTCGTGGACCCCAGGTGGACGCCGTAAGTCGTACCACCGTGGCCGGGCCAGCGCCTAACTTCGGGCCACAACGTGCCGACCGCTTTTGTTCCCATCCGGGTCTCCACCATCTGTCCAGCCTCACGTCCTCAAAGGCGCCGTAATATATAGCGCAGAGGCTTCGTTTTGCCGTTGTCTCCCACTGTCGTCTCGACGCCACTCCGAAGCTTGGTATCCGTCACCGCACTCTCTACGCTCCTTAATCCTCTCTAACGAGGCCGGCTCCTCGCCCGCTCATTACCCATTGAAACTCTCGACCTTCGACTCGAACCATGCACAACTGTCAACGCGGATTCGACTCCTACGCACACGCCAGTGCGCTCCGTCGAGCGCTTGCACCGCTCGCTCGCGCGCAACGCACCACCCTCAATACTCCTTCTCGGCCGCCTGCCCTACACCGTGTGCCTACTCCAGTGCCGGTGCCGGCGAAGCCGTCGCTTTTCATGCGTGTGGCCGCCCATCCTGCGCTCGCGCAGCTGCTATTCATCATCTCACACTTGCCACACCTCACGCTCAGCACTCTGCCGACGCTCACACTCGCCGCTATCTATCTGCTGTGGCAATCGACGTTGTCGCTTGTCCTTATCGCCTACGCATTCCTGCGTCCTTACACGCCAGCTATTGCGTTGCTCATGCTCGCTCGCGTGCTGACCCCGGTGTTCCCGGCAGTAGACATCATCCTAGCGCTCGGCGTGTTGCACGCGCTGAGTGTAGGCGGGAAGCTGGGTCAGCAACGCGCCGACACTCGGTCAGCGAGCCCATGCCGGAAGACACGCCGAAGGCCCTCGCCCATCCGTGTGCCGTCTGTGAAGATGGAGGACTGTTATGCCGTGTCTGGATGATGAAACTCTGTTCGGCCATGTTCTCGAACGTCTGGACTCTGCACGAACTCACACGACACGGACATAACCTCCCGCTCTCACTGTACCCCATCGCATAGGCCTCCTTGTCCGCCCCACATACCGTACTCTCACATAACACGGATCCCCGCATTCATAGAACTGTCTCCTACCATAGCTGTGCTTGTCTCGGTCCATTCCATTCCCAACTGCTGTATCGATACATGCTCTGCCAAATTTGCCTACGACGACTGCCATCATGCGTTGGCTTGCGCCTAAGAATACACGGGTTATTCTTGCACGGCAGATAGACCGAAGCTCCATTCATCACCACGAATGCCGATCTAGGGGAGCAACCTGTATTAATAAAAGCTGTATGTAGGTGGGATCATATATCTAGGACCCGTCATCCGAGCATTGTTGATACAATCATGGCGATGATAGATGAACTCGATGAACCACTAGCGTCCTTGTCAACTTGATACCAAGGTCGTCGCGTCCCCGATTCCAGCCTGCTTCCCTCATGCAAACTACAACGTATTGAACAGAGTATAATTAGGCTGCCGTTCGATCACGTGTGTACCTACATGTACATACGAGTCCATCAGCTTCTTCCTGAGGCATCGCAGTATACGAGGCGCGAACCTTCTTCCAGACGACCTTTGGGCCGTCCTGCTCTTTCACACTAGCGGCATCGGCTATAGACCAGCGCCTTGCGTCTTTTCCCTCGACGTCACTGCCGATGATATCTTGAGTCCCAATATTGGTATCATTGACCTCGTCCAACACAAGCTCCTCGAAGTCCGGTACTCGTTCGAAAGGGACATCCAGATGCACCATCAGCTCGATATTCAGATGTGGCGTAAGCAGTTTCAGTAGCTCTTGATTTCCCTCACTTGCGATCCAGGCGTAGTGCGCAGGCACATCCATCCAACCGGACAACAGGATGATCTTCTGGCCTTGAGTGTAGAAGCGCAGAGGGTGACCTGACCACTCAGACTGGCGCGATGCGAGAAGAGCGAAGTGTGGCGAGAGCTCTGGTGATGGGAGGGTAGCACCTGGGTTCAAAACCAGTATCGCTAACTCCGTGACGGTCATGATGGTTGAAGTCAAGTCGGAGTCGACGCCATCCCAGCGCCATTCAGCGATGTGGTTGTCGGACGAACACGAACGCGTAGTGATGGGCCGCGCGTCGTTGATCCTGCGTGATCCATGACTGTGACGGTCGCGATGCTGGGATAGCCAAGCTCATGAAAGTAACAAGATATAGCTTGTAGCGTATATACAAATGCGAAGAGTCCGATAATCGTTGTCTGCCAATGCACTTCTCGAGCATTCACGATGTCAAAACCGCACATAGCTCAGACTCCACATATCCGCGCCGATAGCTTCCCTTTCCAATCTCGCACCGAGCCGCACTAAGATAGATGCAGAGTCACGAAGCGCAAGCCGCTCGCGAGCACTGACGGGACGCACGACGCGCGTGTCGAGTCCTTGGAAAGCCGGTGTGTACGGTACGCATGCCCGCCGTGCGCCGAGAGCGAGGAAGACCGGCGGCACTCGCTTATCGCCTTCAACCTCCGTATCCGAGTCTGAATCGTCCTGTGCGGGAGGCGGCATCCAAAACTGTACAGGCGGGAGGGGTGGCAAAGGTGGGAACGCGGCTTCACCGTCGGCTTCATCTGGGCCCTCCCCGCCTACATCGGTATCGAGCGCCGCCAAGAGCGGTTCAGCTGTAGCCTCACTTGGCGGCGGCGGAGGCGCAACTGGGCCGAAGCGGCGGCGCGGTGGTGAAGGCGAGCCTGCACCTCCGCGCAGACGTTGCGCCTTGCCTCCTTTCTTGCCCTTGCCTTTTGGTGGTGGGCTGGGGGACGGTGATCGTGGCGCGACAGATTGCGGCGGTGTTGTGAGTCCTGCAGACGAGCGTCGCCGTGCTCGAGGGCGGCGTTCCGATCTGCCACCTACTCCAGACACAGGCGACGCAGAACGTGACGGCCCGGGAGTGGTTAGACGACCCGTCTCCAAGGATATGCGTGAGGAGACGGCGATATCCTCCAGGTCGTCCGTCGGTGTTGTTGGCCGTTTCGCCTGTTCCTTGCCCGAACGGCGCGGCGAACTGGGCTTGCGGCGCTCACGAGAACTGCTCCTGTTACGGTGCATTGTCGTGGCCTCACGATCACGACGATGAAGAGGGCTGTCGCGTTTCGGAGGGGGCGAGGGTTCGCGACGTCTCGGGGACGAATTTCTGCGGTGTGGTGAAGAGTCACGGCGGCGTGGCGACGCTGCACGTCTCCGAGGGGACGGATCTCGGCGCCTAGGCGAAGTGTCGCGCCTACGAGCAGTTGGCGACGAATCCCGCCTCGATTTTCTCGAGACGTGTGAGCGGGCATCCGTGTCATGTCGCCTGTCCTTATCCTTAGCTCGCTGTCTCTCGCGTTCTCGCTCCGCCTCGCGTTGTTTCTCCTTGTCGCGCTCTCGCTCCCTCTCCCTTTGATCTCGCTCCCGTTCCCTCTCCTTCTCCCTCTCGCGCTCCCTCTCCCTCTCCTTCGCACGTTCCTTTTCCTTCTCTCTTGCACGCTCCCGCTCTTTTCCCTTCTCGCGATCACTGCGTTCGCGTTCGCGTTCGCGCTCCTTCTCCTTCTCCTTCCCTTTACCATCTCTCTCCCTTCGTACCGATCTGGTCGACTTCACGGACCTAGCCGACCTTCGCGAAACGACACTGCCCGCAACACTACGCCCCTTGTAGAAGTCGGCGTACGTACCGAACACCTGTTCAGGTGTCGGCTGTGGTCCGCCGAAACGAGCCCTGTCATACGCAGGATGCGGTCGAATGGGTCGCTCATCCTGCGCACGCCGCGGATCGCGTTTGTAGAACCCTGAGTACGACGAGTACTTGTCTTCATCATCGGCGGGCGCGGCAGGAGAGGCTGTATCGGTGAGGAAGTTCGGCTTGGGTGGCGCAGGTATGGCTGATGATGCGCTGGACTTGTGCGAAGGTGCGGGTGGCGAATCAGGCGCTGGTAATCCTCTTGGCGGCGAGGGCGTAATGGCTGTTGGAGGTGGTGGAGAAGGTGGCTTGGGAGCGGGTGCGGCGGGTGTGATGTACGTCGGAGGAGTCGGAGGTACAGGCAAGCCTGCGGAGTTCATGTACTTGAACGCAGGACGCGTAGCGTTGATAATTGCAGCGGCGAACTCGCCCGTATCCTGCTTTTCCATCGGGTCCACAGGTGGCGTCTCGGCTTGTATCGCGATGGGAGGGCTATACTTTGGGTGCGCGTCGTCCAACATCTTCTCTAGAGCGGGTGTAGATGTGGGCATCACAAGCGGGGTACCGAGTGCGAGCGCGGTAGTGGGAACCGGCGCATCAAATGGTGTTGTGACAGGCTCAGGCAAAGCGCGAACGGCCGTTTCGCGTTCGGTTTCCGTGCCGGAGACTGGGATATCGTCCGTCACCACGGTGCCGACCTTGGCCACAGCCTTTAGACTGACAGAGTCGCACTCGTTAATGGGCTCATCAACACTGAACTCAACTTCAGGAGTGGGTGTGACCTCGACGGGCGGTGCTGGCGGTGGAGGTGGAGCAGGTTCAGGCGGCGGTTCAAGGGCCCATTCTTCGCCATCTTCTCGTGCCATCGTGCGCAAAAGCGCATCAAGAACGCCCGCGGCTTCCTTGAATACACCGTCGGCACGTCCATCGCGCAACCAGCGACCGAACGTCTCGCGCGCCCAAGCCTGCTCGCGGTCGAGCTCTTCACGCTCTTCGGCCGCCTCCCGCGCGTTCTCGAGACGAGCAGCGAGCGCTTCAAGCGCAGCACCGCGCTTCTCGTCTTCCTCCCGTGTACGCTTCGGACGTCGACTCCACGGCCAGTTCATCCCGCCCACTTCCGAGACGCTCGCATCGTCAAAGTCGGATACGGGCTCGTCTGCAGTGTCTACAGGCGACGCGGGTCGAGCAGGCATCTCGAATACGCCAAATCGCACAAGATCACGTCCAGAGCGGCTGAGCTTGGCGAACTCCAGCATGCTCCAGTCCTGAATGTCCGGGTCCTCCGAGTCCATGAGGAGAGCAAGCCGTCGAGCGCGCTTCTCCGTGGGTGTGAAAGTCGGCAAAAGATGCACTGGTAAAGCGCTTGGCGCGTTGGCTTGCATAGCTGTACTGGAAGCCTGCGAATCGGGCGAGAGCGGTCGGGAAGTGCCAACGAGGTGAACGAGGCGATACGCCGCAAGGAATGCCGAGTATGGCTCTAGTGGCAGAGCTGGTAGCACATCCGTTCGACCGTGGACATGATATAATGAGCCACCTGTATATAGGTATTAGTATAGTGAACTGCATTGACGTCATTCTCGTACCAGGGCGGCTATAGCCATCCACCTCATCCTCAACGGTTTCTTCACTTGATGCGTCGCTATCATAGCTGTAAGACCAAGTGCGCTCAGTTGGAGAGCTGGAGCGAGAGCGGCGGGATATCCTTCTGCTGGGATAGGAAGAAGACGTGAATGATGACAGCGTGCTTCGCGTGGCAGAAGTAACGGTTTCGCGTTCCCGGCTGGAGCTACGGGCACGGGTTATTCGAGAACGGCGGTCATCTCGGCGGGAGACGATTTCATGACTGGGACTACGTCGCCGGATAAGTGACTTCTGGTTCGGCGAGGGTGGCGGCTTGTTGTTCAGTGCTTTCGGAGACGGCTTCTTGGACGGTGTGATAGTCGGGATGACAATAGTGAAGCCGTCTGAGAGATCAGATTCACTTGAGAGACTAGTCAGAGAGAAGAGGGACATGATGGGTCATAACAAGTCGTGGGCCAGCCAGCAGGTCGTAGGGTCAGCGTAGGAGCGAAGTTGTGAGCGCCGGCCATGACGGAGTGAGGCAACGAGGCAAGCCGTGCGCGTGGTTGGGCATGAGGCTGCCGTCGTGCGCATCTCGCGTGTTGTCTTCGACCGCGATCATCTCTGTGCAGACTGCCGTTCTACTTTCTGAACACGCCCCGAGCGTTCCATTATGTCGCGGTGTCATCTAAGCGCTCGTTACTTCTCAACGGATGCCCTTTTCCTTCATACCCAGGCAGTGTCAACGTGCCATCGTGTGGTGAGATGTACCTCAACATGATGGATCCGTGCAAGCACTCCTAGCCACAGAGCATGCTACGGGGCGAGCCTTTAACTCGTAAACGCAAAGGATGGACTCGTACGGATCATACATATATATACTACATAGAAGACATCTATTCTGGCATCCAAGAAGAACCGACGAAAGCCTCTAAAAACAACCGCTCGTGGTCAGCATGCGAGATGCCTAGAAAGTGCCGTCTTTTGTCCTTCCGTGTGTTTTCGTAAGCCTTTTCTGCCGCGATCCACGCTTTATCTTTCGCCTCTAACAGCCGCGCATACGTCTCCCATCCAATCGTCTTGCGCTCATCATCTGAGATCTTCTCCTTACCCGTGACAAACATCTTGAAGCCTTGCTTGAACCACTGTTCAACGCTATAACGTCTGGCCAAGATCATCTGCTCCCCAGCCGTCCGTCGATCAATCTCGCTATCCAGTTCCTTCGCCGCCTTTTCGTGCGTGGTGGGCATATCCCACAGCTTCGCAAGCTTAAGCACCGCCATCCAGTCGTCGGCGGTCAAAACGTCCACTTCTTCGCTATGGACCGGACACAGTTAACATGCGCCTCGGAACATCTTACGAATTGGGGAGACGTACGATGCGAACCGACACGACAGCTTCAGCAGCCCACGAAACTCCTCCGCAGAGACATCAGCGATAAAGTCATTATCCATATCGCACGAACGACCAATGGAGGCGATGTGAAACTCATTGATCCTGCACACATAATGCCTCGCGTATAGATCATCTAAGCGCTTCGATTCCGCAGGCAGTCCGGCGCGCGGTACGCAGAACTTCTCGCCATTCGGAAACTGTAGAAACGGATGAGTATCCTTGGTGGACGGCCGACGCGTAACGTCGATGCATCGAGATGGTGCCGCAGAGGATAGCACGTACGTTGAACATCATGGGCATCATCGATAGCGTATAGTCTTTGGGAACTGTTGTCTTGACCTCCCGAGTTGCGCCGGTATCCGAATTGGCAGTACTGGTCCCGGAGAGCGTAGGAGTGACCACATAGCCTTCGTCAACGTTGAGCGTAGACATCTTTCACTCTCGAGTGACGATTTTGTATTAATGATGGTGACAGGTGAAGTCAAGACTGGTGTATCAACTCGATCTCTCTTCGATATAGAGATCACACCCAGGCGCTTCGTTCTACGTTCCTACAACACGAGGCAGCCCCAACGCTTGGTCTCCTATCTTTGAAGGCGGTCAGCGCGCGTGGACCCATCGATGACGAGACGTGTCGAAGTCAAAGCGTCTCCGTATAGATCTGCGTACAAAACACGTGTGCATTGTATGCAAATGTATGCTATACAGGAGGGATAGTGCTAGACGCTGTCTAAGCTAGTGGCCGAACTGGGCGACGGTATACGTACGAAGACATAACAGGGATAACTACTGCTACGCGGTGAAGTGAGTGTTGTTGCTAGTACGAACAGAGGAAAGACGAGAACACGAGCTGGATGGTGGCCCGCAAAGCGAGCATACTGAAGTACGATGTATGTAGTGGAGGGCGGTAGCGAGGGTCAGAACACACAGAAGGGGATAGGCAGCGGGGTTAGTACCAAGACGAACGAGAACGAACGAAGCGACCGAAGAGCGCTTGAGACCGGATATAGAGGATAGGATATCGGCTGTCCTGTGGATAGTCGCGTCGGGGTTAGAGAGGATAGCTGAGGATCGAAAACACGAGAGACGAAAGGCGATGGTGAGTAGCTATATGCGGGTGATGCGATGCGGTACTGTGTATAGGGATAGGAAAGGCGACGAGGATAGGTGTTGGATGGTTTGCTGCGGGATAACGAGGCGAATAGGTTAGCTGGCCGGCAAATAAGTATGCGTTGGCGACAAGACATGCGGATGGGGGTGATGTAATGCAAGAACGATGCGGAGTAGCGAAAGACGGAGATGTTTTTGGCAGCAGCGGATCCCTCACTGCGTGTGCGACGCGGCGGCGGCAGGTTCAAGCCCAACCCCAACACCGCGGTACTTGACCGGAGTGGCCTCGGCGCCCTTCTCCTGGTCAGCGCCTTCGACACGGTACACTCCGCCGTGGCCAAAGCCCGCCTCGTTGTTAGCGAAGCTTCCGAAGAAGGGCGTTGCGGGGCTCAAAGCAGCTGACGAAGCTGAGGAGTTGTACGTCAAAGCCGGCGACGGCACGAGAAGCGGCGAGTCCTCCGCAGAGCCTCCGGCGTGCCCGGGCACCGAGATGTTGAGTGGTGTTGAACCCTGGCGAAGTGACGGCGAGAGGAGCGAAGCGAGACGAGCCTCCGACGGCGTCGATTCATTGCGAATTGTCGGACCGTTCTCATTTCCGTGCATGAGCTGAGGTGGAAGCGTCGACGAACGCGTGTGGCTCTGCTGAGCGACCGGGGCACGCGACTCGTAGAAGACACCGCCGTTGTTGAAGGCGGAGACAGCATCCTGCTTCGGCAGTCCGCGTTCGCCGCGATGAAACTCCTCCTCGCTCATCGACGAGATACGTTGCTGAGACTGGGCCTGCTGAGAAGCCGGCGAAGCCTGACGGCCGACGAGTCCACGAGGCACAAATTCCTTCGACGAGAGAGCACTGAGCCGGTCAAGCGGGCGGGTCGCAGTGGGCGTGGCCATGGGATCCGAGCGCAGACGGAGATCAGCCAGAGCCTGACGCTGAGCATCAATCTGAGCCTGCAAGATGAGGTGCTGCTCGAGCGCAGTGAAGCCGTGGTTCTTCTGCTCTGTCTCGCGAAGGACCGAGAGGTTGATCTCAGTGTTGGCGGGAACGCCGTTGAGGAGCGGCGAACGCTGCTGCTGATGGTAGGCGGCGGTGAGCGGGTGCACAGGCAGCGCGGAACGTTCAGCGGAGCCGGGGCGGGGTGACTGGCGCTCGCGGTTCAGGCCGATCGGGGGCGGGACGCTCGGGACGGGCGACAAGACGGGCGACTGCTGAGCCTGTTGCCCACGGAGACTGAGCAAGGCGGCCTGGGCCATGGTCAGGCGGGCCGCCGACGCGTCGCCAGTGTCACGGCTGCTCCGCTCATTGCGCTTCAGGATACCAAAAATGTCAGTACAGCTGCGCCAGACGGGGAAAACGACGCACACATACGCGCAAGTCACGCTGCTCTGCCGAGTCGGCAAAGCGTACGGAAATGCGACTGCCAGAGTCGTTCCAGCCACGAACCATGCGACCATGCAGGCGCTCAATGACTTCTTCACACGCCGTGCGGCTTTCCAGTCTGCGTGGAATGGAAGCCGTCGTCAGCCGGCCAGATCGGGAAACATTAGGCGCCGTGCACATACCGGACAAAGGCGATGATCCTAGGCGGGTGGCTCAGTCGCGTCTGGAAAAAGCGGCTGCTCTTGATAGGGTAAGGAGCGACCAGAGCGCCGAGTGTCTGAAACGCAACAGATTCCAAGATGAACACGGAGCAACCGATCAAGATGGAAAGTTTGCACGCACCGCTTCGTCGATGCTGAGCGGGAGGCCCTCGATGTACAGGTTAGTGGAGCCAGAGTCCTTCAGACGTTCCATGCGAGCCTTGAACGTCTCGGCGCCGCTGGGGTCCGTGGCGGCAGCGGGCGCAGAGGGGACATTCGCATACACGGTACCGGGAATCTTGTGTACTTGCTGTTCGGGCGTTAGGTGGCGCTATGCCAGTTAACATTCGCACCGCGTACCTTGGAGAACGAGGGATGAAGGTTACGATACTTGCGGAGGGCTTCGATGCAGGCCTCTGCGGCGTCGCACGTCTCGAAACTGCGAGATGAATGAGCACCGCACGCATGCGGAAATGTAACCGTAAACATACAGAACGAATCCGTAGCCGCTGCACATCGCGACAGTCAGCTCGCGAGCATAATAATAGAAAGGAATGCATGCATACGAAGGGCGGTCAGAGACGTGACGCGTAAAGGTGCGAACGCTAATGACGGGACCAAACTCGTTCGTCATGGCGTAGAGCTGGTCCTCGGGAAAGTTGGGCGGGAGACCGTTGATGTATACATTGGGCGTGCGGTGGTCGTTCGAGGCGATGGACGTGGTCGAAGAAAAGGACGAGAGGCTGGTCGAGGTCGAATTTGAGGAGGCGAGGGTCGAGGTCGAGATCGAGGGCTTGGGGGGCGAGATGGGGGCCGGGGGAGCGCCGTTGCGCGGGGGCGAGCGAGGGGACGAGCGCGGCTGGGAGACGGGCAGCGTCGGGCGGTCGTCGTCCCTGGAGGGCGGGGTGGAGGGCGGAGTGCTGGCCATAGGTGTTACAGGTAGTAGTGATGCAAACCGAGGAAGTCCGCTTCAAAGTTCGAATCCAGAGACTAAATAGCGCGCCTGCCGCCCGAACAAGAACGCACCCGTCGCCCAGAAGAGGAAGCCATCCTGCCATCCATCAAACACCAGCTCTTGACGCGCCTCCCACCCTTCCTCGTCGCAAGAAACCAAGTCGCGCTCCCTCACTTTCTGCCTCCGATCGTCCCTCTGCCCCTGGCTATCGCGTCCGCCACTCGAGCTCACATCTCACTAGCCGGGACCAACTCGCCGCCTTTATTCCCAAAAGGGAAGTCGAGATCAATTAAAACACGTGCACGACTACGGACTACGGATCTCTGCATCTTTCCCTCTCGCACAGCTGTTATCATCACATCCAGATGGATGGGTGTACACGTCCCCACCCTGCAACACATCTGGCTTCTCTGAGACGTTTATTGCATTCCAGATCGCGCTTCCGTATCAGCCTAGCTGGTAGACTTGGGTGGAGACCCGTGTATATTCGTATGGGTGGTGCCGAACAGCCTGGGCTACGTAGTGTACATCGCAACACCGCAACACCGCAGCAGCAGCTACTCCGCAGCGCCTCGTGATAGCATTGACTGGAGTAGTCGGCCGCGTGCCGAACAAGGCATAGCGCCGCCGCTACCCGCCTGTCATCCCTCCCTGCAGGCGGTCAAGTCGGCGCGCGCGGAAATCGGACTCGCTTCGAGCTCTTGAATGCGAGCGGTCGAGAAAAGGGGCTGTAGCCGGCCAGCCGTTGTGGCGTGGAAACGAAGCACTTCTTTTCTGGACAGTCGGGTTAACCTTCTGACCGTGACAGGTGGCGGTTGCTTCGAAGGGCTCTCTCTGGGCATGGCGGGCAAGATCGAACAGCGGCGGCACTCAATCGGCGGGTGTTGCGAGCAACCGGACTCGTACCACAACTACCGCGTATTTCCCAGCAATAGCCCCGAGAGCACAGAGGGTACGCGTTGGGAGCCTGAATGGTGTTATGTCTGCCTCTTGCGGGCGAACGATAGGAAGTATGCTCAGGTAGGAAAACGAAGCAGATCCATCTCAGAAGCGCAGATCCTTGGTTTCCGTCGTCGATACACTAAATGCATGCTGGGCTTGACGATAGCGCACATGGAATAGTCAGCGTGTCGGACGGCCTGAACAAGGCTTGTGCTGGGATCCGGTTAGCTATAGAGGAGGCCAAAGCACGATATGCTACGGTAAAGGAGAAACAAACTCTGTACTCCGTGAGGAACCTTCTGCGGGTGATCATATATAATTTGTATAAAAAAATAAAAAGGCCGCCTGGCGAAATGGCATCGCGTCTGACTACGATAGTGTAATCAGGAGATTGCAGGTTCGACCCCTGCGGTGGTCATCATAGGGTTGTCTCGTGACATTTTTTGGTCTGAACTTCAGGAGATACTTACACGTTACGAACCTCTATAGCAACTGGAATAGGTACAGCGGTTTTAAATGCTACGTTGTGAGGCTAATACATGGATCAATGATCCATCATGCGTCAGGCTGCATCTCTCTAAGCTATGTCGCATCCCGCACCTCTTCAGCGAACGCGTAGTCAGTGTAGCCAACCGCATCGTGAGTGAAGAATGTCGCGCGATCAGGCTCTGCCAGCGGAAGTCCTTTCTGCAGTCTGACTGGCAAGTCTGGGTTCGATATGAACAGTTTCCCAAAGCCGACCAACACGCCATCCCTTTCAGCAGCTTCTCGTGCAGTCTCTGGAGTGAAAGCCGCGGCGTGCAGAACCGGCTTCGGCAGCCGGACTTCGTCGGCGAATGCGTTTGAACGCACGACTCCTGGCGCAGATGCTACGCGGTCCGGCTCTGGCTCGATAACGTGGATGTACGCCAGATCGGGATGTTTGGAGTGGATACGCTCGACTAGGGCCTTGAAGGTCAGGACTGGATCAGACATGCCCACCCCTAGTTTGGACGCCGTCAGTACGACTGGACAGACACATGGATTGCACAAGAGTCCGCCTGCCTTGCTTGTTCTGCCATGGACCGAGCCTTATCGCGGCACGTTCTTGTCCTACCGCCACAACGACGGCATCGACAACTTCATCTGCAAAACGTATCCGATTCGCGATGCTCCCGCCGTACTCGTCTGTGCGATGATTGGTCACATCTTGGAGGAATGTATCGACAAGATACCCATTTGCGCCGTGGATTTCGACTGTAGAGAATCACTTCTTTAGCGCATGTACGCGGTCGTGCATGAACGACTGAAGATGCGTACCACCATCGAATCCAGCGAGATGGACCGCATTGTGAGCCGCTTCTGCGAAGAGTTGAACGTATTCCTTGATCTCGTCGATCGTAACTTCGCGCGGCGCTGACGTCCGGTTATAGAGCTTGATTGGGGATGTAGAAACGTAGTCATATCCCTTTTCAGCGAGCACCTCGGGATACGCTCCAAGGCCTAAGGCCCATATCTTTCGAGCGTCAGGTTCAGGGCTGAGGTGCACACTACGATCGTCAGCCTGACCTGCATGAATATGAATGAGCCCTTCGCATGCACCGCGTCCGCGACCTAATGGGAATAATAGTCAGCTGACTATGTAAACGAGTGCAGTAAGGAGCTACGCAACCTTCTTCCACTGCTCAATCTGCGCATCCTTCCACATTCCCGGAAGATTCTTGTGTCCGCCCGCTTTATCTGCGATCGGTACACCCTCGCTGACGATGAGAGTGCCGGGAGTGCTCGCGCGCTGAGAGTAGTACTCGACGACGATGTCCTTTGGAACGTGGTCGTCCGTATTGCGATAGCGAGTCATTGGGTTCATGACGACGCGATGCGAGAGTTGCATGTTCCCGACGCGGATCGGTTGAAAGAGTTTGCTGGTAGATGAGTTGGTCATGGCAGAAGAAGATACGACCCGAGTAGTGGGATGCAAGAGTCGTCCTGTTATTAGCGAATACAAGAGAGCTGCCTTCGTAAGCCATCACACCACCACCACGACACCGGCTAGATGTGCCTTTCAGGCTCGATCGCAATACTTCATTCCACTTGCACAATCGTGGCATGCGCGGCCGAGATAAAGCGGCAATGGCTTGACAAGGGAGTATCTCCCTCACGGAAGACCAATGGTCATTCGCCAAAACTCGAAGTCTGAGCAAGCAACGAGACAGTGCCAGAAGAAGGCTCGATTCTGCATCATAGTGCATGCCACCGCAACTCTGCTTCGTGTCGGGTGAGATGATTCTACCAGCAATACCTGGCATGTGCACAATGGGAGTATAGGAATGATATGGTCAGGCAATGTACTCTTCACGATGAAGATGACTGAGATGGGGGTTGGAAACAAACGCGCCGTGCCCGCCGCGCGCACTCAACTACCCTCGTCGACGAAAGCTCGCACGCCGCATGCCAGCCGCGACTGCCTCAACGTGGCTTTTACCATCACCCAGCGTCAACGTCTTCTGAAATAATACTGGCCACAGCTGCATTCAAAAAGCGATAGCATACTCCTTGAAAGGAGCAGCCAGTCATAGGCCAACAGTTCAACGGGAAGTCCCCACACACTCGAGTCTTTCAACTCGCACTCGAGAGCCTCTTCGAGGAATAGAGACTTCACAATGCCCTTGCGATACAATACAGTTATAGCCGGCCTACAAAACACACAGTACACTCACGCCATTACAGCTCCCAATGCATTCAATCCCGCCAACCGTCACTGTGCGCCGTCCACCTTGCGCGCCTTCCTGCCCCTCACCGAACCTCTCTTCCTGTTCCCGAGTACCTTCAAACTCGCACTCAGCGTCTTCGAAGCTTCGTCGGCCGCAATCTTCAATCCTGGAACGGACTCTCCTATTCTGGGACCTCGTTCTTCCTCGCTCTCAGTGGCGCTGCTTGTTGACCACGGCTTTTCTAGAGTGATCGTCCGGCGTGTGCCCTCTACCTCGCCGGTTGTCGGCCCCTGCTTCGCGCGCCGACCCTTGCCGCGCCTTGTAGCTGGCGACGAAGCGGCCTGGGTATACCTCTGTGGCGGAATGGGTTGCATATGCAGCATCTCCTCCAACTTCGCAACATCCATCATCAGCGCCTGCGCCGCGTCCTCACTCGCCGTGCGCCGATCCTTCTGCGAACCACCGCGGATGTATTCGGCGCCATCAACTGGTTAGGCACCCCGTGTTAGTGTGGGTTGATCGACGCCGTGCCCGAAACCATACCTGTGAGAACTGCAACAAACTCCTTACGGCCTTCGGGTTGTGCACTGTCGACTTCTTGGATATTGCACACCAGGCGGCTGGGTTTGAAATGTTTGGCGCGCATCGTCAAGTTGAGAACCGAGAACCAATGCTCTTGCGTGGTCCATGCAATCCGAGTGTACCGGTCCATTGCACCGTCCTCATCAAGAAGCGCCCATGCGGCATCCCTCATCGCATCGTGAGCTGTCCAAGCTATTGCGCCGCTAGCATCCACCCCACCCACTGCTTGAAGGTTAAAGTCGATCCGGCTACAAAGTTCGGTCTTGACAACATACCTTTCAGGCAAGCCATAACCTGTCCGGGATGAATATGCGCTGGCGCTTGGCTGATTTCCCACACAGCTTCACCCGGGGCAATTCGGCGGCGGCGAAGTTCTTGCCTGAGAGCAAGAAGCGGGGCTATGCCGAGTACGTCAGGCATCACAAACCACAGAAGGCACCGAACTCACCGTCTGTTCCATCGTAGGCGAATGGCATGGCGCTCAAGACTGTCAGGAAGTGCGATTCTGTGAAGGGTGACGGTGCGTGGGATGTTGTACAGTGCTACGGACGACCTAGCGACAACCCTTTTATGACTCTGAACTGGAGGCATGGGCCACCGACTCTACGCGGCTGTGGCCACCCCCATTGTCCAGCCTATTGTTACTTTGACCTCGCTCACAGCACCCCCTTCCAGCCTCTGCGCTCTTTGTCTTCTGTATTGTGCCATGGTGATATGCGCTCTTCATCCCTGTATTGTCAAGCGAGTCGATAGACTGCTTCGTTGTCTTCTCTTGTGGTTGTGGCCGCCCGATCTCGAAGCTTCGCTGGGCCGAGATGAAGCGCCGAGGTGCCCATGTAGGCGCGCGCTTGCGTAGCGCCATTGTCCGCTACTTTCGCCGAGCTTCCCACGCACATGTCCTTCATCCATTCCGTGCCACATCGGCTCGTGACGGCGGCGCACAACACTAACCGCTCTGATAACCACCATTCAAGCGTTGAAGTAAACATCAGAAGCACTCATATGAACACGAAGTTCTTCGCGAACCCTTCAACCACCTCTCTTTGGGTATAAGAGTACGCTTTGTAGACAGTCACCGAGCAGACGACACCTCTCCTGACCTCCTCTCTCCATCATGGCTCACACCCAATCCGCTCTCGCGAACCTCGACTCGAAGGGTCGCGATCTTTTGATCTACCATGGCGGCGCGTTCAACTGGCTGTACAAGCGTTCGCGGTCCGCGCAAGGGATCGAGGCCCATCTTATCAGTTCGTGTTTTCTCCATCTTTACCCCGGAGTACCCTACTGACGTTTCTCCAGTTAATGGCATAACCCGTGCACGCGGTTGTGCGGCCAGCAAAGATGCCGCGATGGAGGCCGCAGCGGCAAACTTGGTGTGGACGGAGACGGAGACAGCGGTGCACTCTCTCGGCCGGCTTCCGGCCCAGGCGCCCGCACCCAAGGCGAGGCCTGAACACCTTACCCTTCTTCGCCAACACTTCCAGAAGCACCAGCTGCGCTGGCTACCTGCTCTGCAGGTGTACCGACTGAGGGAGAAACCTGGCCGCAATCCCGAGGATCTCTGGGCGAGCTCGTGGGTCGCCGTGGTTGCGGTGAATCGTAAGTTCGGTGTTGCCGCCCGCCTGCAGACACGTGAATACTTACGCACTCTCTAGTGGGCGATCGCGGAACGTACTACCACCGCGGAGAAGCTTTCGACGAGAAGGCTGCATCGTACGAGGCTGCGCGAGTGGCTCTCAAATGGCACGCAGACGCGATGGGACATGGGAGTTACGGCCGAAGAGCATAACTCAAAAACCGCGTCGGGTGTATGCATAGTCATCTTTTTTGGGTTTAACGAATATTTCTACAATGTACCATCACCATTCTAGCATTCATCCATCATGTCCTTTCACCGAATACAAATACTTCACTGCAGTGCACGATCCCCATCAGGCATCATCACAATGCTGTCGTGCGCACAGTAGAGCTGTTGAATCGGCTCATTCTGGACGTAGAACGATCTGTGGGTGCTATTCCGTCATAGAGATGTTCTACGGAATCTCAACCCGTATAACGCCCGAAGCGCCGAATGAACCATGACTTGGCCAGCTTGCGCGGGTTTGCGTTCATCCATTACAATGGCATGTCTCTCGTGAAGCATGCACCTGCAGCGGGATTGAATAATCGGAGCGAAGAGCATGTCGATGCCAAGACACAAGATAAGTATACTGCAGGGCACAAACGAGGCCCAACACGAGAACGAGGAGTACACGGGAGTCAGAATCCCATCCCTTTCTCTCTCGGAAGTAGCCGACTGGGGGCATTTATAACGGTTCCCTGTTGCGCGAACGATAACCCCGGCATCTGTGTTCGCCAAACAACACCCACTCATTACCTCACCTCAACTCATCGTATCCGCCATGTCCTCCTCTGAGAACACGCATACCAGCTTGCGACTTCATGACCCTACAAATCCGCAGGTGCGCATCGTCTGGACCAATGACATCTCAGGCTCTAAGCTGAAGCTCGCATGTATAGATCGAGCAACCGCACGCCTTGCAAGTCGTTGCGGGCATGCCCCCACAATCAAGCTTCGGAGGCTGGGTCTTCGTGCAAAACGGGGAAAGTGGACGCTTCGTCGCCTGGGGTTTCAACGTCGCGCCGGCGCTACTCGTTTGGAGCGTGCTGATAATCGTCCTTGGGTGGTTTCTGATGATCGCATAAGGTGGAGGCTGCAGTGCGTGTCGTAGAGACAAAGGTCAAAGGGAGAGTGGTGAAACGAGGAGGTGGCTTGAAGGGCATGTACCACTACGCCTCGATGACGAGGCTGATCGATCAGATAAGAGCCACACTGGCTGTGCATCGCATGTAGAAGGAGGTCTGAGTAGATGAGGCAGTGGCGCTACTACGAGAAATGAAAGAGAGACACGACATGACATGCTGAAAGCTGAAAGCGCTCATAGAGCGGAGTCGCATGCGCTTGACGCGGGAAAGAAGATCTCGTCGTGAATCTCAATAGCGCACAAAGCAACGAGAAGCTTATCAAAAGAAGCCTCGCCTCGTTCATGCCACACCGGCCCGGAAGGGTGGCCCGCTTAACGCACGCGAGGCGCGAGGCAGAACCTACTTATGCATGCCGAGCACGATCGGCAACGTTCAGACTTCGCCACCCCGCTTTAGGTACACGCTCTCAGAATGACATCAGTTGATCAGGGAAAGCTCAGTAGTCTGGTAGACATGAACCCCGACATTAACTTCGCCTTCGGGCTCCTCAACGAGATCTTATCGAGGATCACCTTCAGCCACCTATGCAACGTAATCAGCGTCGTCGTCTCGTGCTTCACGCTATACGTCCTCATCCAAGTCAGAAATGCCGTCCGACGGCTGGAAGCTGAGGCGACCATTACACGAGCAGTCGAACGACGGACCGATATCCGGATTGGTATCGAGACATTGGGCGCAATCCGAGAGATCGTGGAGAGTCTTCGGGGCGCGCAGAACAGGCCACGCACAAGACAGGAGGCGGGTATGGAGCCACCACGGGCGAGGGAGGTCGAGGCCGGCGCACACGAGGAGGGGCGTGCGAGTGTGGAGGGCGCTATCGTGAGATCAGAGAGCACGAGGGAGGAGAAGGTCGCGAAGGCGTTGCAGGACTTGACGCAGAAGCAGTGGGGGGAGTTTGAGCCTGAGGAGGCGGATTGGTAGCCTGCGCGGACAGTCAGCGGAGTTCTTGTGTCACATTCATTCCTTACCACTATTGCTATCTATGCGCAGAGCGCATCCTCCGGACGCATGTCGCCCAAGCCATTGATGCTCGTGGGAGTACATACAACGATGAAAGGAGTCTCATCAGACGAGACCCTGACAGTGCGTCTAGCCATGCCTTCTCGTAGACATGTGGACAAGACGCCACGATGAGTGTGCCATGGTGAGGCCAAAGAAGTGGAGACGATATAAGCGTGGCGAGTTTGCGACTTGTCGAATCAACAGGTCTGCGACTTGCGCGAGGTAGAGCCGGCGATATTCATGCTTGTGATACGCACTGACACACCCGACAGATACCGTCGCCATCCTCCAATCCTCCATCAACGATGGGTGTCTCTGACATGATGGTACCATTGCTCGTCTGCCAGATCTTGGCGACTCTGGTGCTTGCCATAATCATACACAAGCAAAACGAAAAGCAGCAGACCATGAAGCGCACCATCGAACACCTGGCAGGTCGCCTGGAGGACTTGGGCTATAGATGCGATGAACGCTTCAATCGGCAGGATAATGCGGTTAAGGATCTGGGCAAGCAAGTTCGAGATACGACGAATGAAATCAAAACGGACATGTTGGGGAAGCTACTGCAGATAATGGGAGGCCATGCCTCTGTCCATTATCGCTAATGTAATGTGCAGTCTATTCGCAAGCAACGCAGTATGCTGTCGGTCTTTTGCTCTCGCTTGATGTCTGTGAACCGTGAGATATGGACTGGAGGTCAACGAAGCATGGATGCGGTCCGTGATGTATTGGTGAACGAGGAGCAGGTCTCCGAAAGAACGTCATGGCGGGAATGAGCAAGATGATTGGAAGCGCCTGGACGCGTCGCGCAACATCCCGTCACGTCGGCGCGGCGCTCGTGCGGGACGCGCCGAACGCTCCGTTATCCCCTGACGTCACGGCGTACATCAGGTCTCCGTGCGCCACAACGATGTCAACGCACTCCAAACCGTCTTCCTCGGCTGTCTCGCGTATATAAACCAAGATGCAAAATATTCGAGACCCTCACTACCAACCGCCTCACCCACCACAAACACACACTCAAGCAGCCCAACTACTACTTCACGACCATCATGTCTCTTAAGAACGACTTCCGTACGTTCATGTTTGACTTCGGATACACCGACCGCGTTCTGACGGTCCCCACAGCTTCCCAGCTCAACACCGAGCAGCAGGTTCCCGGCACCGACCTCGGCGCGCAGAAGCCCTGGCAAGCTGCGAACCCTCAGGGCCTTGAGCCCGTATCCCAAACCATCCGCGACTCCGACGCGACAGAACCCCGCGCCAGCGCGAGCGACACGCTTGGCGGCGCCACGTCTGGGGACGTGCACACTGGCATCGGCAAGCCCCTGGGTGGCGAGACGAGCTCGGAGTTGCACCACAACGGCCAGCACCACCGCAAGAAGCAGGGCGGCGGTGTCGAGCAGTTTGGCGTGCAGGCTGGCGCGCAGGGCAACATCAACCGGAAGGACGAGTTCCAGGATATCAAGGAGTTGAATAACTAAACGTCTCGAACATCGTCGTCGCTTTCGCATAGCAAATTTGTATCATATATCGCACACCTCCGCATAACATAGAACATGCCCGTACTATCGCATCCACTCAATTTGGGTGATTAACTTGTGATCTCTCAATGAGAACTGCACATGAATTTCGTCAACTTTCGACACGAAGTAAACGGGTGTTGGGTTCTTGAGCTTAGCGTCGTCTCCGGCATCATCGAGCATTGCACGCCGGCGTCTGGTGCATGATCTGGTGGTCTCCGAGAGAATTTGATCTAGCGAGCCACTACACGATCCTTCTTGCGTCATAGCTTGAGGAGGTGTGAGGAGGCGCGCCGTTCTGCGATATATATGCGTTCGCCGAGTGGGGAAATCCATCACCTGCCTCCGAACGACCTAAACACGCACACTGCACACTGCTCTTCCACAAGCACACCATCATGTCCGGCCCTGAACAACGCAGTGTGTACTATTGCCACGAGCGCCAACGCTGTCTTCTGACGGATAGCTGCAGCCGAGAACAGGATCGAAGAGCACCTCCCACGCACCGATATGCGAGCGGACCTGCCTCTCGGCCAGAACATTACCGCGATCATACCACCTGCGCAGCACAAGACTCCCGGAAGCAGCGATGAGTCGGGCCCATACGCAGACACGGCTCCGTCACTTCAGAACGCCATGGGCATGCCTCACGTCGGCGAAGTCTACTACAGGAACGATGCGTCGCTAGATGAACGCACGAGCGCGAGCGATACGCTCACCGGCGCGACCTCTGGAGATGTGTACCGTGGGCATGGGCAGCCTGCCCAGGGCGAGACGAGCGCGGAGCTCCATCATAATGGAAAGGCGCACCGGAAGCGCGAGGGCGGAGGTGTCGAGCAACATGGAGTTCAGAGCGGCGCGTTGGGCAACTTGAACCGCAAGGACGAAATGCAGAATATCAAGGAGATCAGGCAGTAGACCGTCACGGACTTATACGCACCACCAAATGTACTATAGCCACATCTTGTCTGTCTTTCTATCACGGCAGTCGACCTCAATGATCGTACACATGTGTACATGCAGCATAGCATAATCGGTGCATAAAACTACACACAAAACCATGGAGTAACCCGAACGAACCCAGCTTTTGTGAGCGACGCCATCACGCGACCAGCCCACGTCTTCAATGCGAAGACGCTTAGAAGGTGCTGGGGCGCGAGGCGACGAAGGTCGAGCGCGCCTTGGAGACGCGGTGGGGGAGGGGGAACTTGAGGTTGGGCGTGAGGAGCTGCTTGATGTACGGGCGGCGGACATCCTCAGACTTCTCGATCTCGACGACGCGGAGGATCTATCGCAGACGTTAGATAATGTATAACATCATTTCGAAAAGGTTATATACCTGGATGGACCGGAAGCGGGCGCGGTGGCGGGCGGCCATGTCCTGGTAGAGGGCCTTGACGGCGGAGGCACGCGAGAGCTCGCGGAACTCCTTGTACATGTTGTGCGTGCCAGAGCGCGAGTCGTAGCGGATCCAGATACCGAAGTTCTTGACCTTCAGCGGCTTCTTCTCGTGGATCTGCGTTTTATTAGCATCCCGTCCGCCTGCCTCTTGAGGGCTGCATGGGCCAATGGCTCAAAGATAATAATACGCACAACGTTGACGCCGATGATCTCGCCGGTCGCCTTCTTGACCTTCTTAAGTTGCCTGTACACCTTTGAATATGATTTCAATGCCGCAATAAATTTTCAACGCACCTAAGGTAGTACCAGAAGCGGGACTTGGCGACAACCTCGTTGGGCGCAAAAATGCGCATGCGGTAGATCTTGGGGTTCTCCTCACCCGCCGTAGGGAGATGACGGCCGACGACCTGGTACTCTGTGAAGCTCATCTGCAATATTTATTCAGCTAATTATCCTCCAGAAATTCAGCATCACGACGTACGGCGGGCGGGTATGTCTTGAGGCCTGTTGATGGCGTTGTCGGTGGTGGTCGGTCTGAGGAAAATCAGCAAGTTCCCGCGCTGTCGTACAGGTCTCGTGCGCCTTTCGCAAGTTGCCGAACTCCGGAAAAAGCCGAAGCCTTCCCATACTCTTTCCTGCACCCCTACTGAGCACTGTTGCAAGTATACGACTACGAAAGCGAGTAAAGGTATGTAATTGTATGGCTGTATAGTACATGCGTGGAGACAAACAGGATAGCGTCTATAACAAAGCAAAGCAGATCCGAAAAGACGCGAATAAGGTTAAGCAAAGCGAGCGAGCGGTATGTAACATATAATGTAGGAGATCTGTATCGTACGAGCAAGGCGCTCCGTGTATAGTAGCGTCGTTCAATCCATCGCAGTCGACCTGCGATCTGCGCCGTGCGCCGCACGCATGTTCAGAATGCCGCCAGAGACGCTGGAGATATGGGTACCAGTGAAGAATGCCGAGTGCGAGAGCAACTCTTGTTCAACGATGGCGCGGACATCGGTCAGCATGATAGGCCAGCCGAACAAGCGGCGGTCTGCCATGCTCATCAAGTCCGGAAGTAGGATCGCACCCTGCTCGCGGAAGAGTTTGAGGGCGTCGGGGTCGCGTTCGTCCGTTGCGACGTAGAAGGCATCGTTGTGCTGGGGTGGCGGACTGTTCTGCAACGCAGTGTTGATCTTCACGTCGGGAATGTCGTAGGTCCGAGGTTCTCCGTGCATCTCTTCGAGCATGCGCCGTCCGTAGACGAGATGGCTCTTCACGGTCATCATATGACCAGCTGGTGAGCTGGAGGTCACCCATTCCAAGCCGACGACTACAAAGACGCGAGTCAGTCTGAGAGCCACGAGAAGGCAATGGAAGAGAACGTACAATCACCGCGCCGCATGTGCGCGCCCATCCATAGCCTCCCGTCGACCTTCTCCGTCATCCTATTTGCGAGCTCGAGCGCCAGATCCTGAAGTGGCTGCGTAGGCTGCAGGTGATACAGGACGTCACGCTGGAACTCCCGCATCGCGTCCGTGGTCGTAAAGCGCATGGCGCCCGCCTTCCGCCCATTGTGCGTCTCGCCCTCAAGGAGTAGTACACGGGCCTTGATTTCGTTGAAGTCGTCCTTCCACGCACGTATGTGGGAGCGCGGCGCGACGTCCCGCGTGGGCTCAACGACGGCCTTCGACAGATCCGAGTCGCGCACACCCTTGAACGTATGCAGAACCTCCCATCCGCTGGCCCACAGCGCCTCCATGATACCCTCTTCCGTGCCTAGATCATATCTGTCCTTCGCCGAGGTCAAACGAAGGGCTTGGACCGCGCTGTTGTAGCTCAGCCTGTTGAACAGCTCGAACTGCCGGCGCAACTCTTCTCCAACATCATCCTCCTGCCGCTCCTCCCACTGTCCAGCCGTCCCGTTAACGTTGAGTGGACTGGGCGTCCATCCGCCGCGCGCTTTCATGTCCTCGGGAAGAACGTCTACACGGCTGATACCCGTCGGGTCGTACCATCCGTTTTGAATGACGAACAGATCCGGCGCGTCGGTGGCGCTCCCATCTACAGGTGCATGCGTGTGGTATGCCTCGCGGTCCCACTGACCCCGCCCCGATTCGATGTCCTCAGGCAGCCCGTGTAGGCGAAGGTAATCCGAAACGAGGATGACGGGATGCACGGCGCGCATCGCGGTGATGTTGAGCATGATGGGCAGAGGAATGCGGTAACCCATTTGCTCCTCATAGGGGAGATCGCGCCACTGATCATCGTGCATGGCGTCTCCTCTATTGACCATAGTCGCGAAGTCCGCGCATACGTCCAGGCTATACTCGCATGCACGAGCGTACACGAACGAAGGCAGGATCAGCGTGCGATTGAGCAGGCGGGCCTGAATGAATGCCGCGTCGATGATGTATCGCATCTGCGTTGGCGAAGTCAGCAACGCGCTTATCTGAAACGCAGAGATGATTGAGAACGCACGTTGTTCCAGCCCAACCACAGACTGTAGTCGCGCGCAAAGAAGCCGTCGGAGCGGGCGACCAAAGCCGTGATCTCATCGAGCTCCAGACGGTAGTAGTCAAGGAGGTGGCTCGGGATCTGACCAGGCGAAGGCAGGAAATCCTGCGTCGCGCTCACAGATACGTCCGAGGCAAGATCTGGTGCGGTCGTCGTCTCTACGTGTTCCAAATCACTCGAGGCGTTCGCTGGTTGGGTGTGTTGTGAATTCCATGTCGGAATGGGTGGTGGAGGTGTTGGTGGCAAAAGTAAATGCGCAAGGGCGGAGAAGGAGAAATACAAGAGCGCGCCGAGTATGGCTGCAGAGCCGAAGAACGAGAGGTTTGGGTGCGCCGCTCTCCAGCGGGATAGTCGGGACTGTGGTTTATTCCAACGCGGAGAGCCACCGTCACCGAAATCATAGAGTGGCAGCTCTTCCTCACTTCGACCCGACGCCAGGGGTGAGCTCGAGTGGGACCGAGCCATCGTTTACAACGGATGAGACAAGCAAGTGGCAAAGGGGAATGAAAGAGTGGGCGTTGCAGACAAGTATAGGATCAGCGAGCAGTGCAGATTACAGCGCTGAGGGAAAGCGCTCGGGCATGACAAGACGGTGGTGGGAGGCGCAGACAAAGCGCAGACTTGGTCTTACCCCACCGGGGATGCCCTGGCCTAGGCTATGTACAGCGGTGATGAAAGTGGACTGAGCCGTCTCAATTCAATGCACGGTCGCGACCCTGTAGCGAGGTTGCAGCAACCTCCCTACCTATTCTGGTACACGACACTCCACAATCACAATACTTGTTGCATAGAAGGGTCAAGCATGGCTGAGAACGTGTCAACTGGGGGCGCAGTTCGGGGGTGGCTTTGGTGTACTCGGATGGTCGTCATCAGCGGGAGCGCCAACGGGAGCGCCGCGGACGGATGAGGCGATCGTGCTGATCCGCCGATCAGACCGGAAGAGCACGTTCGCGCCTTGGTTCACTCGCCCATCGTCTTCAACATGGATTTACTTGGTCTAGTCTACGAAGTTAGAGACAGCCTGCTCTCCGGAAAGTTCAATCACAATGACCCACTCACAAAGAACGCTTTCACCGTGAGTCTTGTTGGCTGTTGATGTCGTTGCCGGGCGCTGACTTTTGCATTTCCCATCGTGAGACTGCGTTCCGCGCGATGCAAGCGTCGCCACAATCCTTTTCGGCTCTCGTTGACGGGTTAGAGGCAGTGAGACAAATAGACCCTGACGATAGCGAATACGCGCGCATACGCGAACGCTTACTGGCGGCGAAACATGCCCGTCTCATCGCTGCCCTCAGAGGTGTCGCCGAGGCTACATCACACCGCCTGCGAAGCACATATCCAGCCGGGCAATCGCCGATATTCCGTGTACCTGCAGAACTTCTGGCCAACATCTTTGTACTTCTACATGACGAGAGTCCCGAACGCGACAAGTTATCCATGTTCATCCTCAAGACCCTACGTCTCGTATGCAGACACTTCCGCGATGTAATAGATAACCAGGCCGCTCTGTGGAACCCGGTCTTCATCAACGGCGTGACGGAACGCGAGCAAACAGCCATTCAGCGGACGAAGAACGCGCCAATCATCATGCGCCTCCTGCCTATACCCTCTCTGGTTGCTGGTTGGACGAAGTCGCTTCAGCAGGCATACGCCCAATTGCATCGCGTACAACATCTACAAGCCGATTATTCGCGGCTATATATGTCGGAGAAGACACTTGCCTATGCGAATATTACCGAAACGATGCCTCCAGCTCCCATGCTAGAGACGTTCCGCGTCCGCGGCCCTAACCGACCTCATCCCAAACATAAGTTCGTGCTGCATGACAAGGTCTTCAGTGGACAAGTACCTTCGTCTATCAAGGAAGTGGCCCTCGACCTTTGTGAAGTCAACACCCTTATACTACTCGCTCCATCATTAGCCTCTCTAAAGCTGAAGGAGTGCGACATCCGCGGCACTATCAATACGTTCATGGACAGCTTATCTCGGCTCCCCTCCCTCCGTTCCTTTCACTGGCACAACTCCACCTTTATCGGAGTGGACGAGAAGCCGGACCCCTGGATATCTGCGACTCATACCTCACGTTCGGTCGCGCTGACCTCTCTTCGGACATTGATACTACGCGACAAGATACCCCGTGTCGCCAAACTACTGTCTCTCCTCGACTTGCCTGGAACGACGAACATATCCCTTCTCATCCAGGATTACAACCACGAGCATGAAGACGGAAACCCGTACGCCTCTGTCCACGCAGCTCTCGAGCAACATTTGACTCGCAATGTTCCTTCCAACGGTGCTTTCCGCACAATCACGTTCTCAGGGAAAGGTTATGAAACCGGCGCGATCAATTTCCTCGCAGAGTCTTTCAACGCGGAAGATGGTCCTGCATCCCTCCAGTTCTGCATTATTCGGCCAGACGATAACAGCCATGTCCACTCTCGTTCCATGCAGGAGATCATTTCCTGGCCTATCTTCCACAGTGCAGCCACCACGCTCCGCATCAAAAGATACATACATGCTACATCCTGGCCTCCTATCATCCGGTACTGCACTCATCTAGACACTATAGAGTTCGAGGACTCGGGGACAGTATTAGGCTTTGGACAGACGTTGGCGGATCACAGCGGCGAAGCTGGGGTGAGGCGTCCCCTCCTAACATCTGGTCCCGAAGAGCTAGTTGTTGTCCCCCGTTTGCGCAAGATTGTTTTACGACAAGAACGTCTCTCTATCGCAAGCATTTTCACACTCTTCGGAGGACCAGGCCCGGATACTGCTCTGGGAGTCCTTAGCGAAGCGCTTCGTCGGCGACAGCGCGCAGGATTCCGGCTTGAGCAACTATCCATCTTCGGTTGCGATATATCCCAGCGTGGGTCAATGCGACTGAAGAGAGATGGATGGTATAAACGACTTCTATGGGATGGAAAACTAAACGGAGTGGACGAGCGTCGGGAGCCACAGTACCGCGAGACGCGCAGGCGGATTCTTGGAATACCACCATCTGTACCGGAATACAGCTTCGCTTCCGATCTATCTACCGACGCCGTCAATCCCATATAGAAGGAGCTACTGTCCTTGATGGCAGCGCCAAATGGACTCGACATCGCAGGTATTGCCATGAATCCAGAATATAGAGCATCGGATTCTGTTGTATTATGTAATGACGGTGTATCAAGTTGCGTTCCTGTGTAGTCCGTGTAAGATACATAGCTTGCTCGATGGTAGAAAATACTTGCACTAGGGTTGGCGTGACAAAACTTCTACCGCGGCCGCGGAGAGTGAACAGTGCCACATCACGTCAGGGAGCGCGACTCGGTGTGCCCAGAGACATGCAGAGACATGCTTGACCTTCAACTACCATGACGCTGCCCGCGCCGCGAGATTCACGAACTTCCTGATGCCATGAGTACATGCAACCTTCACGAAACAGCGCTACCTATGTGCCTACGTGCTAAGCGGAAGAGCGTGCCTCCGAACGACTTTGTTCGCGTCGGTCAATCGTAGACGGCGCTACGTCGACTAGTGATCGTAGTAGGTCGACCAGACAACACCGTGCATCAATGCCCCCTAGGACTCGTTCTGTTCGCCGAACGCAGTCTATTCCAACGGAACGCCCACTGCGTGCCATCTTGATCTTCCTCCGGACGATGGCCAAGCCGACTGCGAAGACGCGGACAGCTGACTGGGCAGACGGAGTAAACCCTACCATCCACATCGTCAACTCCTGCCGAGCGGGCCGTTGGAACAAGGCACTTCTCTCCTTCTTTCTGTCATATGCGCTGTACTCGTGTTTTCACCGCCGATGTTATAATAGTTTACGAGGTCATACCATGACGGCCATTGCACGATGCTCTTGCTCTCGGTCTTCATTGGCGTTCTTCTCAGTACTTCCGCTCAAGGCGCCCTCGCACCTACCATCGCGACTGGTCCTGTCGTCGATCTAGGGTACGCGGCCTACCTAGGAAATGCAACGACACCTACCGGTGTAGAGGATGGCCCAGTCGTCTTCTTCGGCGGTGTACCGTTCGCACAGCCGCCGTTGGGTGATCTACGCTGGCGAGCGCCCAAGATGCTCGACAAATCAACCCCGTCCGACTCCGTGAACGTCAGTGATGCGCGCAACTTTGCGAGTCCGTGCATACAGCAACCCGCGAAGGCTGGAGTGGGGTCTGAAGGTGCGTTGCATCCACTATTTTGTGATTGCGCTTGTCTAACGCACGGTCAGATTGCTTGTACCTCAACGTCTGGATGCCTTCGAATGCTACAAACACGTCTTCCCTTCCCGTCGCGTTCTACATCTATGGTGGAGGGTTTGCTTCCGGGACAACGCAAGGCTTTCCTATGTACGACTGGGTTGCACAGAACCCCGGGATCGTTGCCGTCTCTCCCGCATACCGCCTGAATGCACTTGGCTTCCTGGCAGGGCCGGGCATTGCCTCCGACGGGGACTACAACGTCGGTCTGCTGGACCAGCGCGCTGCTATGGAATGGGTTCAACGCCACATCGGGTCCTTCGGCGGTAATCCAGATGAGGTCACTATCATCGGTGAAAGCGCAGGTGCCGCTTCGGTCGTCATGCACGTCACTGGCTATGGAGGTGCGTCTATGAAGCCGACCTGATCAAGCACCTGCACTGAGGATGGCGGTATAGGTAACCAGACTGCTCCCTTCAAGCGAGCAGTAACTCAGTCTATCGGATATGGACCAAGTCAAGCTGCAGTGAGCGACGAGACGAGCAAGTTCTTCGGTAGGTTTTCCTTGAGACACCGATCTGCCTTTGGTCCGCGCTCATTGCGTTACAGCGAACTTCACCGCATCGGTCGGATGTCCTTCGGACCTCTCCCCGGCGGACACAATGACCTGCTTGCGGAACGTGACAATGGACGAGCTCATCCTCGGTATCAACAACCAACCCACAGACACCTGGAATCCCGTCTACGGAGACGCTTTCCTGCCCGATCTACCTTCGCAACTCTTTCGCGATGGGCGCTTCACACCGGTCGAGTATATGGGCGGCCATTGCAGCGGTGACGGGCATACGTTCAGCTACGGCTCGCCCACTACGACGCTCAGCGATGCCAACATAGTGACACAAATCTTCGAGGACCGCTGGGTCGGAGTCGTGCGTCCGATCTTCATGAACTTCCGAACCGTCCGCTGAAGCCATTATTGAAGACGAATGAGACGATACAAGATGTCTTCGAGTTTTATCCTGAGGTCAACGCTCCGGGAAGCCCGCTGCATTCGTACTTCGACCTCGGCTCAGAGATCGGTGGAGACATCGTATTCAGCTGCATGTATGTCCTGTTCTCTGTATGACTCATGTTGTCCGACTCATACTTCATGCCAGGGACGAGTTCATTGCGGATCATATGCTTGACGCCGGTGTTGACAATGTCTTCACTTTTGTGTGAGTAGCTTCTCGACATATGTGACCCCGTCTGACGTACGTCGTGATTCAGATGGAACGCACCGAACCCCGTCTTGTATGCAAATGCGCCGTACAGATGGGCAGCACACACTTCGGATCTGTTCTTCCTCTTCAGCGGCACAACGTGAGTCTCATAGGTATCGTACGATAACGCATATAGCCTGACCGTGAACCGTAGGTCCGCCTCCAATGCCGGCTTCACGTTCACTCCATTTAACGCGGTAAGCGTGAATGTTCAGACTTGTGAGATGTACACACTGAATCTGGTTCGTGTAGTCTGAAGCAATCCTATCTAAGGAAGCCATTGCATCTTGGACATCGTTCGTAGCCAGCGGAAGCCCATCGACGGAGCGTCTCAATGGCTCGGCAGTGTGGCCGCACTATGAGACGCAGGAGAGGCAAAGGATGATCTTCACGCGCGGTAACAACACGAAGACTGCCAGCGCTGTCGAGCTATGGCCGAAGTACAAGACCTCCCGCTGTGCATGGTGGTTCCAGCGAAATATCACGACCCAGACAACTGTGTAAAGCGTCTTTTGGTGTTTAAACATGATTATGTGCATTTAGGAGAATACAAATCAGTACGAGATGTACATGTATACCCCAACCAGCTATGTTAGCGATCCAAGGGACTGCTGCATAAATATGTTGGCAGTGTCAGGGTTCATCACGGTGAGTATGCAAAAACATATAGTGCGAGAGAATCTTGACCACCGCAGGGGTCGAACCTGCAATCTCCTGATTACACAATCGTAGTCAGACGCGATGCCATTTCGCCAGGCGGCCATGACGTAGTTACATGCGCAGAAGTACATGATCCCGCCTGGCAGAAAGCTAATATATATCTCGCCAGCCGCGCAACGCGGTTTTTTCTTCAACTCATTTCCGGACTCGCACTATTGTCCCCCTGCGCTACAACACCTCTTCGCGCAGGAGCCTACCGCGTGTCCGAGAGCGAAACTGCCGGCCCTAGCTGGAGCGCCCTCCAGACCCTGTCACCAGTCTGACTGGATGGGGAGGCGGTCCTTACCAGGGTCGGGACACGCTCTCGTCGACGACTCACTCTGCACTGTATCTACCCACTTGTTGTCAAGGAATATATGTGCTTTCGTGAATATCTCGACCGAGTGATTGCCCAATGGAGAGCGTGAGGGCGTCGGTGACGATGTTGGCAAATGAGTTGGATAGGCCTGGACGTGAAAATTCCCGCAGCAGGTCTCAGCCTATGCACGCCAATATCGTTCTTACAGCCGCATGCACGCTCATGTCCGATGTCATTACCGGACCCCTCATCGGTGCTCTGTCAATGCGCGCACTTCTAGCGTCCTATCCGGCAATAATGCAACCAAAAACCTGTCCGTAGCCGGCGCTATACACACGTAGTTTTCACCCAAGTTGTATGAAGTTGAGATGTACCATGATACAATCTCGATGATGTCTACGTACTCGCTACCTAACGTAGCTCTCTAAGAAGTATGCCCAGAAAACAAAACAAAAGCGTCGAAAGCACTGCGACCCACTCCCTCTCATCCTTACATCCCGTCATTTATTTGCCTACGACTTGCCGGCAACCTTCTTGGCCGGGACGAACAGCCAAGAGAGCGCCATCAGAACGCGGACACCACATGCGATGCCGAGGGACGAGTCGGAGCCGATACTCTGGAGAATGGCGCGCGAGACGAAGCCGCCGAGGAAGAGCGCGAAGATGCCCATGACTTTGTGGTCGCGGGTGATGACGATGTTCTTGAGGTGGAAGAGCTTGGGGTCGGCCATAAGCTCGCACCATACGGTTGTAAGCACGACTACAAGCACCGTCAGTCGGAGTTCCCAAGTGGGGATATCAAGTACACATACTGGTCGTAGCAAACTGCGAGTTCACGCGCTTGCCCATAATACCCTGCAGACCCATACTAGCGCTCATAAACGCAATCGTCACATACGACAACGCGTTCGTCCAAGACGGGCTCCCGCGATCCGCCGCGACGCTCTGCTGCCCGCTCTGCCAGATCGCGACGGCAGCGGCCATGGTGAAGAGCGCCTGGATCATGGTACCACCGATGAGCCACAATCGGGTCCGAGCGCCGATGCGGTCGCCGATGCGGCCGAGGAATGCGCCGAAGAGGAAGGTCAGGAGCGAGGTCAGGGCCTGCTTATCCGGGGTATGGAAGGAGGTATCGTGGTCCGGGCCAAAGAGGCGCGCGAGGGCGAGGGCAAGCTGTAGTATCACAGGGGCGTTAGAGGACTGTGGTCGAATGGAAGAATATGTATGGACGTACCTGCAGGGTGTTTCCTGTCTGGAAGGCGCACCATACGAACACGGCCGAGAACGAGATGGCGTCGCTGGACAAAGTGACATGAGATGAGAACGGTACATTTCCGCAGTCGGCGAAATCTGAACGCACATCCAGCCGGTCATGAAGCAGTAAGCAGTGAGCTGCCATGTCGCCTGCATTCCATCGACCTCCTCCATCAAATACTCGCCGAGTCCGCGCTTGCTGGTCGTCGACGACGCCGGCTGCGGGAGATCCAACTTGGTGTCCGACATGATGATCGAAAGGCAGAGACTCTAGAGGGATAAGGGAGCGGACGGGGCTCTGGGCAAGCTCGAAGGCAAAAATGCCCGAGGGCGGCTTTATGTAGTCGGGCTGGGCGGAGGAGGCAAGACCCAAGAACTGTCGCTCATCGCGCAACAGTGTTGCGGAGCATTCGCAGGGCGGAACGCCGAGCGCGAATCATGAGAAAGCTCTTCTGTATTCCAGCACTCCAAGCGCACGTACTGTACTCCTCTCGTCGGGTACATGCTCTCCTATAGGCCCGGCTCGACGCCAAGCCAGACATGTCAGAATGGCATAGGAATCGAAGAAGCACCGTAAGAGCGGTGATTGACAGAATTCGGACGGTTCGAACGGCGGACGCGCGGGACCTGTTGGCCCTGCGCGCTTTTCTCGAGCTTGGTGTGAGCGAACAAGAGAGATGGCCCGACGGCAAGGTATCCGGCCATCCTGAAGGAAATGCTTCGGGAGTTGGACGACTGATGCAAGGCCCTTGGCTCGACTTTGCTGCGTGGCGCCGCGCATGTATACACTCTCGGAGACGTAAGGTACGGAAGGCAATAACGGACAGAACAACACTCCGGACCGCGACATCTCGACAGTCTAGCTCAGGTGGTCCCCTCGCGAGTAATACTACCCGAATAAAGTTCGTACCGGCTTCGAGCTGGCCAGAACGCTCGAGCGTAGCTATGATCATCACGATGTACGGTACAGCTGACCTTCTCATCATGGGAAGGGAGCTAGAGGACCGCATATAAGGACCAATGCTAAGAGCTGCAGAAGCTCAGGAATTAGCGGTGGACAGCAGGTATTCCCGCATGCAATCCATACAGCGCGAGTACGTAGTCCTATCCGCAGAGCACAATACCCCGTCTTGGTTGAGACAACGCGCCTACCTCTAGCGCGGTGTATAGTTTTCTAGTCGGGATACATACCTCATCGTAGCACGCGCACTTGTAGTAGGCAGGGATTTTGCAAGCCAGTTTATTAAATGAATGTGGGTGTATAAAGAATGACAAGGATATGTACGGCCCGGACGCGCGGAGGTGACAAGAAACCGGTACGGAAGACACAGTGCGAGGGAACCAAGAAGATAGATGGATGGAGAGAAGATTGTCTGTCCAAGCTGAGCGTGCTGCGAGAGCAGTTGCGAGGGAGAAGATATGACCTGTGAACTATTCATAGACCGAGAAGCATGGTATATGCCATATGCCAAACTAACGTATGGCGTGCTTAGAGCATGCCGAGGGCGGCGGCCGCGGCGAAGAAGACACCTCCGATGGATGCGGTGAGGCCCATAGCGCCGGACGTGTTAGAGGACGACGACGCAGCGGTGGACGCGGTGGTGCTGGCAGCTGAGGAGCCGGCAGTGCCGGTAGCCGAGCCAGTCGCCGAGGCGCTGCCCTCGGTGGGCGTGGCGGACGCAGCGGGGTAGGTAGCGCCGAGTGCCTTGACCTCGAACTCCTGCGACGTCGCGTAGATCTACAAGATTGGCAAGTCAATTGCCATTCGAATCTCGATATCCACAAGCGGAAATACCTTGGTCTGATCGGTCTGGTCGGCGAAGACGAGGGTGTAGCCGGTCGAGGGCGTGAGTGCAGCCTGCTGGGTCGTGATGGTGTGCGAGCAGTCCGCGTTGTTAAGGTTCGCCAGAATGGCCATAGGCGAGACGAGGATGTCCTGGTTCGTGTTGTTGATCCTGAACCGAAAATGTCAGCGAACAATGCCATGGCAACATTGACGTGAAACATACAAGAGCTGGAAGACCGTCGCGGGCGGGTTGGTATGGCAGGCCCAGGTGAGGGTGTTCGCGGACTGGGCGACTGTAAACGTGTAAACCGTTATCAGTCTTCCATTGTTCTCGAAAATAGCTATTGAATTGAGAGGACGCACCCCACCAGACATCAGGACCGCCGGGAGCGAGGATGGAGAACGAGTCGGCGGCGGCGGCCGAGGCGACGAGGGAAGCGGCAGCGAGGGCACGGACGGAGAACATCGTGATGGTCGGGTACAGGTAAAGAACGGCGGGGGGAGGACAGCACGCTGAGACGGCCTGGGGAAGGGAAAGGTCACGGTCTTGGGAAAAGGCTGGACACGGAGCCAGCTCGGTTGACACTGACAGCGGCGCGAGGTCCCCGATCAGGCGGCCGCATGGGCCCGCATGCCCATCGCGTTCACGTGCTATACGCGTACTTGCCTCCAGCCACCATGCACAGACGCGGCGGCGTCGGCCTCGCGGGCCTTGATCGCCAGAAACAGAATCAGCGCTCGTACGCCGCGCTCGGCAGCCAGCTCTCGCGCGCCCAGCTAGACTCTTTCCAGTCTGATCTCCACAAGTTCCGCACGGCGCTTACCGCCTTCGCGCGGGACCATCGCGATGCCATTCGCGGCGATCCGGCATTCAGACGCCAGTTCACCCAGATGTGTGCACAGCTCGGCGTCGATCCCCTCGCCGGCCCAAGGAAGGGAGGCTGGTGGGAAGATGCGCTTGGTCTGGGCGATTGGCAGGCAGAACTGGCTGTGCAGATTGTGGACGTCTGTGTCAGTACCCGCGAGCGAAATGGCGGGCTTATCGCGCTAGACGAGCTCGTGCGCCTCTTGTCGCGTATGCGCGGCGTCGATGGCGGCGCTGTAACGGAGGACGACGTCGGCCGCGCTCTGAAAGCATTGCGACCACTCGGCACTGGATACGAGCTCGTCGATTTCGGCGACGGGCGCAAGATGGTGCGATCAGTCGCCAAAGTACTCGATGCGGACCAGATGTCCGTGCTTGCGACCGCCCAGGCGCATGGAGGACGTGTTGACGAACATATGCTCGTCGAACAGCGAGGATGGACGCAGGAACGCGCAAAGGCCGTGCTACATCTTATGTTGCTCAAGGACGGGACGTGTTGGATTGATGATCAAGATGGGCCCAGTGGAGATGGTATTGCATACTGGGTTCCTGCTGCCATGCAATGGGAAGAGTGAGAACGAGACTGTATAACATCGACATATGCCGTGAGCGTCCTAGTCTTGGAAACTGTCATGTAGACTGATCTCGGAATAGTGTACTCTTACTTATACGGGACATCTTGATCTTCCTTGCGTTCTCCAACCTTCGATCTCTCCAGACCATGATGTCGCAGAGAAGTCCAATCCTATGTGGATGGTTATATATGCTACTAAGGCTCGTTGTAACATGGCCGCCTGGCGAAATGGCATCGCGTCTGACTACGATTGTGTAATCAGGAGATTGCAGGTTCGACCCCTGCGGTGGTCATACGTTATCGATAACTGGCTGTTGCTTTTATAATCGGGTGGCTTTCCTAGCGTGCTTTTCTCTAATTTTGTTCATGGTGACGGCATGTATGAGTGCACTTGAGCATATGGCACATATGTACCTGACTAGTATTGACAGCAGTTCGAACAAAAGACCATTACAGGCGTGGCTATACATTTGTCTGGGCCGTGACATTCCTCTGGAACCACCACTCGCATCGAGAAGTCTTATAATCAGACCACGCCCCGACAGCACTGGCGGTCTTTTCGTGATTACCACGAGTGAACACCATCTTGTGTCTGTCACTCGTTGTGTAGGATGGCCAGGCTAGAGAGCCGGGTGTGCGCTCTGAGGACGGGTTACCCGCCGCAGCGAATGACGTCCAATAGCCGACAGCTTGTTTGGCCAAGATCGCTTCGGACTGCAACATGCCGGTTAGACAATGCGTAACGGCGTGTTCATGTGCCTAGGTACTCACAGCATTGAATGGTACAAACGTGCCGCCACTATTGACCAGTAAGCACAAGGACAGCTTGACGCTGGGAAGACTGAGTACTCACTTTGTTCCGCTAAACAGGAAGAAGACATCGGACCCGTGCGCAGCCCATTGGTATGGTGCGCTCGCGTAAGCTATGGGGTTTGGAGCGTTCCACCTATGGTGATGCTTTGAGATCGCAGGCGTCTGCACGCGCTGGATGGTAAACATACACAAATGTGAAGACATTCTTGATCCCGGCATCCAGCATATAACCAGCGATGAACTCGTCCCTACACGTCGATTGAGCCATCAACGCGAACATGACGAGGAGTGACGGCGAGGCACGCACATGCAACTGAAGACTATATCGCCGCCGATCTCGGAGCCAAGGTCGTAGTACGAATGCAAGGGGCTTCCTGTGGCGTTAACCTTTGGATAGAAGTCGAAGACCTCTCGGATGGTATCATTAGACTACATAGCATCGCATGAGCCAGTACGTTGATCGTGCAAGAAACAAGACGCACGACTCCAATCCATCGACCAGTGAAGACCTCATCGATAATGTCAGCCTCGCTGAGTGTCTCAGTCGGCGAACCATTGCTGAAGGTATGCCCATCTCCACTACAATGTCCACCCATGAACTCGACGGGAGTAAAGCGCCCATCGCGGAAGAGCTGCGAGGGTATATCGGGCACGAACGCGTCGCCATAGACGGGACTGAGTGAGCCCAAGGTCTGGTTGTTGATGCCGAGGATGATGTTGTCCAGTGTGGCGTTGCGCAGACAGGCCATAGTCTCGACTGGGGAGACGTCAGTGGGACAACCTACCGAGGCGGTGAAGTTGGCTATGACGTTCAAGTCAGTGCCCTAACAGGTTTCGAAGACGCGCCTGCTTACCGAAGATCGCATCTGTAGCGTTGCTCACTGCGAAATCACCCGGTCCATAACCAATAGACTCGACTACTGCACGTTTGAAAGGAGCCGTCTGGTTCCCTGAGTTCATTCCATCAGCGTCTGCGCAAGACATTGAACGGCGACTCACCTCCGTAACCAGTGATCTGCATGACGACTGCAGCAGCTCCGGCGCTCTCGCCTATAATAGTGACTTCGTCCGGGTCACCTCCGAAAGCTCTGATGTGCCGCTGCACCCATTCCATGGCAGCTCGTTGGTCCAGCAAACCAATGTTGTAGTCGCCATCAGCAGCGATGCCGGGACCAGCCAAAAAGCCCAGGGATGCCAGCCGATATGAGACTGAGACGGCCACGATTCCGGGGTTCTGGGCCACCCATTCGTACATCGGATAGCTGGCGGTATTTCCCGCGAAGAAGCCACCGCCGTATATCCAGAGAGCAACGGGCAGAGAGGAGCTATTTGTGGCGTTCGCCGGCTTCCAGACGTTGAGGTAGAGGCAATCTGTCCTTGCGATCAGTCAGAAATGCTTCGGGAAGCGTTGACTGTGGATGCTGACCTTCGGAACCAACACCCGATGTGGCAGGCTGCGGTATGCACGGACTCGCGTAGTTGCGCGCGTCGCTGATGCTCACGGGCTCAGATGGGACAGACTCGTTGAGCATCTTGGGCGCCCTCCATCGTAGATCGCCCAGCGGTGGCTCTGCGAATGGTATGCCTCCAAAGAAGACGACAGGTCCATCTTCTATACCTGTGGGCGACGTCGCGTTCCCTAGGTATGCCGCATATCCGAGGTCGATGATGGGTCCAGTCGCGTTGCTTGTCGCGGGAGCACCTACCGTAGGAAGGGTGAGCGTAAGGGAGAAAAGAATAGCTTGAACGGATGGTAAGATCATCGGGCTATGATGACTTAGTGTAGTCGCAAAGATTGTTGTTATACAGATGACGGTAACGGGAAGCTTGAAAAGATTCAGTGTTGAGGGCACGAGAGCGAGGCAGATGATAGGGAGGAACGGCGTGCTGCTGCTGCATAGAGGTCAGCGAGTCGTTCGCGGGCCGCTTCAGAAGGCGGGAGTGAATGTTCGGTAGGTCATTCAGCGGATGATAGGATGTAGCTGGTCAGCTGCTATGGCGCTCACAGTTTCTCCTTCAAGAAGCTATTGAAGGTAGCGTCATACGCGAAGCTCGGAGGAGGAGCAGCACCGCACTCATGCGCAGGAAGAAGACGGGTCATTGGATGTAAAGGGCGGCATAGCTCAGCGCCGCGTAGACTTGACTTCGACGACTTCGTTCATCGAGCGAAGGCTGGTAGAGTTCACGTGTATGGAAGAAAGTGTCAGCGGGCGCTATGAGGCCGTCAAGACGCATCGGGCATGGAGAATAGTGTTTGCGGCACAGGCGTCCCTGGTGGTTGTTTGGGATCAAGCTGATTCTCCGGACGCTTCTGGGGAAGTTGTGCTCGACTCCTGCCACCATCATTGAGCGTCGCCACCCGCAGACCAAATACTATGCCTACTGCGTTCGCTCTCAGGAGTGTATCGCTTCGCACTCCATGTGGCGTTTGCATGCACACGACGCGTCGCCTGCCGAAGTGATCTTGGCCCTCAATCGCGTCTCGAACCCGAACCAGCCTTCGCATCTGCCGTCTTCACACCTTACGAACCGCTATCATGTCTCAAGATACCCGAAAGCACGTCGTGGTGGTTGGCGGAGGCTTCGCCGGGGCGACGGTGGCGCGCACACTGTCGAAGAAGCTCGACCGTACCAAACACAAGCTCACGCTCGTCACCTCGCGGCCTTACATACTCAACCTACCTGCCGCTATTCGCGCTACTGTGACTTCTGAGGGCAACTTCGAGAAGATTGCTATGATACCCTACGACAAACTGTTCCATAACGACAACGGGACTATCAAGGTCGGAAAGGTCACCAGTGTTCAACCTGGTGAAGGCGGGGAGCGTGGGCGCGTCGTGTTCTCCAATGGGGAGACTTTGGCTTATGACATTCTTGTACTTGCGCCTGGTAATGTTTGGGCCGGGTCTATCAACTTTCCCGAGACGCAGGAGGAGACGTTGGCGCACTTAGAGTCATGGAGGAACAAGTTCCAGAACGCCAAGAGTGTTATCGTTGCAGGTGGAGGTGCTGTCGGGATCGGTACGTCGTCCATGCATGTGAAGCAATAGAAACATACTCATTCGACCATTCAATAGAGTACGCGGGCGAGGTCCGGGACGTCTTTCCGCAGACCAAGGCCACTGTCGTTCATGGCGGACGCCTGCTGTTGAACGATTTCATGTCCGATAAGTACAGGAAGGCAATGGAGGATGACCTGCATGCCGCCGGCGTAGACGTAATCTTGAACGATCATGTCGACGGGTCTATCAAAGACGGAACAGTCAGAACACGCTCCGGTAAGGTGCTCGAAGCGGACTTGCTGGTGAGTTGCTGTCTGCATGCATGCTGCCTACTCGCGCGTAGAGGAACTAGCTCATCATTACCACCCACTAGGTCACGGCTTTCGGCGGCAAACCCGCGACCGAATTCCTCCAGAGCCTAGGACCTAACACGCTAGCAGGATCTGGCCACATCAAGGTTGATTCAACACTGCAGTTGCCCGGGCATCCGCATATCTTTGCCGCGGGCGATGCAGTCGAGTGGCCGGAGTCGAAGCAGGTGATGCCATGCTACAACCAGGCGTCGGTTGTCGTAAGCAATGTACTCGCCTTGCTAGGCGACAAACCCGCGAAGAGCACCTATGGCGGGTCTCCCACCATCATCGTGGTTTCAAATGGGCGGGTACGCTAACCACATTTCTACATCCTCAAAGAGATGCTGATTATACAATAGAAACGTGGCGTATCATACTTCGGCTACTTGAATCTTGTGTTAGGGAATCTGTTTACGAGCTTCGTGAAAGCTGTCTTATTCAAGACTACCAAGCTCCAGTTCGGATACGGGTTGTTTAGCACCTAGCTTCTTGCCTGCCCCTCCGGAGCAATGATCCATACATTCATACATGCATTAATTACCTAGTACCTGGACACTATGATCATTGACCTGTACTACTGAACCATAAATACTGCTATGGTGGCTGTTATAGATGCTGTATGCACACTTTGGGAGGCGATGGTGGCATCTTGAGATGTTACCACAGTCCTCAGCTGCCCGTGGCCGGAACAAAGTGGTCCGTCGCGTGGGACGAAGTGATACTTTGTGAGCTGTCAGGCGGCTGTGGCGCCAACCTTGTCCCCTACTCTCATGCTACAACCAACTTGGGTCTCAGGGTGACACCCGCTTCTCCAGGCGTCATGTCGCTATCGTTGAGATCAGACTGAAGATGTCCAAACACCGAAATATACTCGCACCCACGGGCAGGGTCTAAACATATGGAGCTCCGTGCCGTCAGGTCCCGCCGCCGGACGATTCGGACTTGGCCAGTCGAAGATTTGACTCCGTCGAGTTCTTCAACTTTGCGAGATCGACGGCCTTCGGCTCTGTCAGCTACCATCGCTTCCTCATGGCTACTGACGAGGAGAAGAAGGACGCGCGCGCCCTCGACACGGCTTACGAGCTCGAGGACGGGTCAAAGGCGTCGTACGCTCGGCGTCTGCTCCGATGGGGCGTGGAAGAGCGAGGTGCGCAGTGTTCACCTCACAGATTTTGACTACGGTATTGACCAAGTAATGCAGGTATCCAGCCAGTGCCGCTGGAGTTGAGAACGGACACCGAGTTCAATAAGATCTTCTTCATCCTATTGTCCGCGAACACGAACATTCTCTCGTGCGTTCACCATCGGGTTCCTGAAACGCGCGCCCTCTAATCGGCCCTATAGGTTATCCACTGGTTTACTTGGTCCCCTCGCGTTCGGCCTGGGTCTACGAGACTCGTGTCTGGTCATATTCTTCTTCAACGCGCTCTTCGCATGCGGGCCGGCCTACTTGTACGTCTACACGCACTATCCCGGAGTGTCTACATCTCATGTTCTCATCCAGTGCTACGTGGGGCCCAAAACTGGGTATGCGGCAAATGTGTGCCTCTAGATATACATTCGGGTTTGTCACGATACATCTCTTCCTACGGTCATTCATTGGCTTACGACTCGCAGATACTGGGGAACCGCCGTTCCGAGTGTGCTCAGTCTCATGAACGGCTTTGGGTTCAGCATCTTGAACTGTGTGCTGGGAGGTCAGGCTCTGTCTAGTGTATCCGGAGGAAGCTTGAGCTGGACGTACGTCGTCTTGGCTACGTCTACTCTGCCTGACCTGACTGTCACATTTTAGAGTTGGCATCGTCATCATCGCGATCATATCGCTCATCATATCTTTCAGTGGCATGACATTCCTGACCTGGTATGAGCGATTATCTTGGCTACCGATGCTTGTAGTCCTCTGCGTCGCGACTGGCGTCAGTAGACACGAGTTTGTGAACCCTCCATCGGAACCGGCTACCAGCACCGGTGTACTCGGCTTCATCGCGACAGCGGCCGGCTTCACCTTGACATATTCCCCGTTCGCTGCGGATTATACCGCGTACATGAACCCTCGAGTGCAAAGCTGGAGGATATTCATCTACGCATGGGCTGGATTGACGTTGCCGATCGTGAGTAGGCGAATTGGGGACAACTGGTACGCGGCTAACACTGCCTCAGGTCCTTGTGCAATGTCTCGGTGCAGCAGTTGCCGTCGCGGCTCCCGGCATCCCGTCGTGGAATGCTGCCTACGAGGATGACGATGTCGGTGGACTAGTCGCGGCTATGCTCGAGCCAGTCGGCGGCTTCGGAAAGTTCTTGCTGGTTCTCCTCAGTCTGGGCGTGACGGCGAACCTCGCCCCAACCCTATACTCGATCTGCTTCGCTATGCAAACCTTCATCCCGCCTCTGATCAGGGTGCCGAGGTACTTGTTCTCTATCTTCGCTATTGCTATGTATGTTTCTTTCGTCTCGTTACCCACAATGAGTGCTGACTTCCATGCGTAGCGTCATCCCACTCGCTATTGTTGGTCAGCATCGCTTCTATGCGACCCTGTCAAACTTCCTCGGCGTCATCGGCTACTGGGTCGGCGGTTACGTGCCCGTCCTCCTCATCGAACACCTCTACTTTCGCCGCAACGACTTCTCTACATACGACGTCACAGCCTGGGACCAGCCCTCACGTCTACCGTTGGGTTACGCCGCATTGGCATCTTGCGCTCTCTCCTTCGCGCTCGTCATACCATCCATGTCTCAAGCATGGTACATTGGTCCCATCGGCGAGAAAGCTGGCGATTTGGGCTTTGAGTTTGCCCTTGCTATCTCTGCCATCCTATACGTCCCTTTGAGGCACATAGAAAGGCGCTACACGCACGGGCGATGACATGCGCTGGGTTAGACAAAATGCCGATAGAAGATCTGTACAACATGTAACTGCTCATATATGTTCGAGCGGGTTCACAAGGAGCGCGTACCTGCGCGCGATGCTCGTGTCCACCGGAACCCATCCGCCTGAGCGGGAAAACGAACGTTCTCATGACCACCTAAATCTCAATCCGTGCGTGTACGCGTGTCCCATGGTCGCGGTCACTCCATAGCTTCAGACCAGCACTCGTCCGAGATAGGAAAGGTTCTCTCAAGATCCTGATCACGCTGAAAGTGAAAACGTTTCATCCGCCAGTCCATATATTCAGCTGCGAGCAAGGTCGCCGTCCGCCGTCTTTAGCCTCGCCTCGCACCCGCTAGAGTGCTACGTCATGCCGCCACAACTCAAGCAATCACCTCCGTTCCGCGCAGAGCATTTGGGCTCGCTCAAGCGGCCGGCGCATCTCCTTCGTGCACGCGAGCAGTTCGATAAGGGAGAGATCAAACGCGATGAGCTCACGCCTGTTGAGAGAGAGGCGATTGAGAATATCGTGAAGATGCAGAAAGACGTGGGCTTGCGTGTGATAACTGATGGCGAGTTCGCCAGGTACGCTACGGATATTCTCAGGTAGCGGTGCGACCCTAGACCGAAGTACAGGCACATGTTCTTCGATGGTGTTTTTGACAATCTTGAGGGTATGAAGCATATCGCGGATGGTACGTGTTGCAGTGACGAACAAGGACTCCAGGATTACTCACGGTTCTTGCTCCCAGTTCCCACGTACATGTTTATGGTGAGTGCACAACCATCGCCCGTTGCATACTGAACTGAATGAAACCTCAGGAATACGTTCCCGGTATGCCGCTCTATCAGACGTGTCTAGCACATAGCTTGATCTCGAACTCTAGACGTTGCCGCCTTCATCAATCACGAGTCATTCAAG